ATATTCCGTCCTCAATTACGATCGTATCGGTGTAGGGTCGTCCTCTAAGTAAGCAAAGTCTATATCATTATGAGTGGGGGGTCACGGTTTTACTGACTTATCTTCCTTATATTAGGGTGGATGCACTCTCGGACGCCCAATTCCAAGTAGAAGCTGCTGTACTTGACTCACTGGTAGATTATGCGCGATATGCTACGAACGCTACGAAAGTGGCACTTGTAGGTCACAGCTACGGGGCGTATCTGACAGTTGCATCCGCGGCCAGCAAAAAAACCGCGGTTGATGCCATCGTCCTTACCGGTTTCGCAGGTGGCTTTAACTATTTTGGCCCCTTCCTTGCTGGGTCTGGCTTCAGAGTCGCACGGATTCAAGACCCGATTCGCTGGGGGGCTTTGGACTCGGGTTATCTCACATCGGCAGACCTCTTTGCTGAGACGTATTCGTATTTCGGAGAGGAAAATGACTTCGAGCGACGGGTCGCCGAGTGGTCTTACTTCAAGGGTAGTGAGCCATTTGCCGTGGGCGAGTTACCATCCCTTATCGCGAGCAGTCCCCTCGACTTCGCTGGGGTCACGGCCTCCGTCCTCGCTATCCAAGGACAATTCGATCTGTCAGGCTGTGGTGGTAACTGCGTCGGTCTCCTAGATGGCCTCAAGGACGATTTTGCTAGCGCTAAGATCGTGAAGACCGTTGATAATCTACCCGCGGGGTAAGTTCTACAGTTTCCAAGTGTTGAATATCTACCTCCTATCCATGCTGATTCTGGTTCAGACATAACCTCAACCTACATAAGGTCGCCCCACAGGCGTTTGAGACGATTTTCAGCTTCTTAAAAAGTCAAGGGGTGTGATGCTTATCTATTCGTCCTAGGTTTGAGTCTTGATTGGGGGAATATCTGTAACTGTTAATTTTCGGCTTTTACTTTCTTTATAACTGTAGAGTCAAGGATCGCTAGCGCACCCAAACAGCTGCGAACCATTACTAATGGTTTGAGAATTTACTGTTGAGATTTATTCATATATAGACGGCATACAAGACCGGCAAGATAGAGTTATAAGGGAGGGATCGATGGAACATTTAGCGTAATAAAATACTGGTAGTGTTTAAATAAAGACGATATTAATCAGGAGATACTATCATAACTTCATTAGGTTAGGTGGTACTTTAAGAGGGTATAATTAGGTACACACTGCAAGCAATAATTTGGCGTTCAACTTTCCAAGCTCTTTAGCTATCCTGGCAATCCTGGCTATCAAATATTATACAATCCTCCACCCTAGATGGTTTTTTAAATCCGTTTCCCTGATCCCGCACCCTGCGGGTTACTTTAATACCAAAGTCCGAAGCCGACTAACGGCAATACCTATGTCTAATAGATCGTAATAAATGTTACATAGAAAAGAGCATTAGACGCCCATTGCCCCTCATGCCAACGCTCGTACCATTCCAGGTTGGTCCTCGTTCGTTCTAAAGTGTGGGACCGTCCGAGCGTCGCCTTGATCTTGCTTCGACCCCGCCTGCGCCACCGTCGTTATCTCAACATTTCTGGAGCTCTGTGACAGTGATTCGGCTATGCGGGAGTCAATCTAGGTACGACAAGATTGTCGTGCCTGGGGTAAGCCTGGGCTAAAGAGCGTTTTGGTGCTTTCGAGCATCCGTTTCGAGCGCTCGACGTGATCTCTAGCGGACACGTTTATAGGTAAGCTCGGAAACAAGATGTCGGTGGTTTTTTTTTGTGTGTGTGTGAATATTTATAAACTGATGGGAAGAAAGGCCGTGGCCAAGGAGGAAGAAAAGGGGTATCCAGAGAGTGAGGGTGATAACTGTTTGGGTATCGAAAATGATTGCGTCGGCGTAGTAGTCACATAGAGTGATGCGATCCGACGAGGCGGTGTGGAGGATAGTGGCCGTTGAAATTGGCCGTAGTTAATCTCCCTGTATGTATAACCCGAGCCTTTTCCTCCCATCACATCTAGATGTTGCTTAGAACACGAGGTTTACGCCGTCTTCGGGATGCTCGTAGTAGGATCCGCCCAGTTGTCTGATTAAACGGCAACGTTCCTCCATGTTGTAAGTGTTGTTGATTCTGCCGATACCTCTCGACGACGCGTCTCCGTGTGTTGTTCTCAGAACCCAGACACCACCACCTGCAGGCCAGCCAACGTAGACCACCGGTTGATTGTATCTATCTGGACTCATGAAATTCCTCCTGTAGGCATCTTCGCTCTCCCACCAGGTAGCTCCGAGTTTTCGCATGTTACCGCAATGAATATCTTCCTCTGCCTGATCCAGAGACCTCATGGCGATGTGGAATCGGTCTAGATTTAAAAAGTCGAGTTCGACAGCAGTGCAATGGAGAACGTAGACTCCTCCATAGCTAGGGTATCCGCGCACGGCAGCACCGGGTCCTACTCCGAATTGTGTTCGGAATTGAGGTTTGTCGAATACCATGAGGTAGTCATCTTCTTCTCCAGAGTCGTAGATGAGATTTCGCGACTGCGCGTCTGCAGCAAAATCCTCGTCTGCGGAATCATAACCATCGTCAAACCCTCGCGATCGAGAGCTTGACATAAAATCACGGGTCAGGCCATGAGCTCTTGAGCGACGGGCTCTAAAAGAAAATAGATAGCTTCCAGACAAAGCTGCAAGAAAAAAGATGGCGGGTGTTATGAGGGACATAATGCCCGGAGTAGGTTGTGTTCGGACTGTTGGGGACATCTTGGCTTGGAGGTCTGCACACCTACCTATAGGTACTCCCGGCTCCGGTAGATAAGCCCTAATAAATTCACATGAATGCAATATGGGATGCAATATGGATGCGATATAGATGCACTACGGATGCACTACGTGGTTATGCCCACGTCATCTAGCGGGTTACCTACTGTAAATGACTTGGGCTCTGACGCTTTGCCCAGTTGTGTTATGTGTGTTTATGTGTGTTATGTGTTACGTGTTATGCCACTATTTGCATAAAGAGCATTGAATAAAATGATTGGAAGGGCAAAAAAGGAAAAAGGGAAAAATGGCATTCTTCACTTATTGTTAGGCATTGTTTGGCACCACATCCGAATTTCATCTCTCTAACGTAGGGCTGATAGGCAACCGAATAAACACCAAGGATGCCGTGGTAGCCAATCAAATAGCCGCTCGCCCTTCGACATATCTTAGGTACCTAACTTGCATATACGTGGCCACGAACAAAAAAATGTGTGCCACTTTTACTGTGCTTCTTATTGACCGCCTCAACTCCTCCCGCACAGCCATCGCGAGTCACGCAGGTACAAATTCCTTACCCATGCCGAAAGGAAGCTATGACTTCATCAAGAAACGTATTATGACTTTTTTACTGGTTGCCTCGTTGGAACAAGGTAATCCAATGGCCTTTTGACGCCCAACCCAAGAATAAGGTCCCGTGAGCTTTAAAAGTCTGGCCGCCAATGTTTACATTGATAAAGCAGCGTTTCCACTTATAGCTCGGCTATACATTGCATGCCAAGCATTCCGTTCATGTCTTCTATCCACGTCAATACGACCTAACTCTTTCGAAACGTTTACAGGGGCTGAGAGCGCAGCAAAATTGACGAATGCTGGCGGGTATTTCGTCCTAACGGAAAACTGAGGCCATGGAAGAATAAGTGAGACTCACTCCAGACTCAATTGCGAATAGTGGGGCATTATATGCCATTGGCTCTAAGAGAAGAGCATGACGGTCATCTATCTAGCAATTTCGAAGCTCATGAAGTTTATGACTTAGTAGCTCTATTACTAAAGATATTATAGGACTCCTAACATCTCATAAGCCCAATTTGAAGAGTGAAAGCATCTAAAGTAACTGCGGCTTCAATTGATACAAAGAGATATTTCCAGGACATTGGTAGCTATAGTACGCCTTCAGCATGTGTTCGTACACTCAGGAGCTTTACATGGGAAGAGAGGAACGCTATTAGACAATTGCTAGAGACATAAGGCAGCCCACGTAAAAATGCGGTTTCTCATTGGTATCCAAATTTCAGCTCGATCATAGTTGCCTTCATCCGAAACTTACAGATGACCATCTTGAAGCATGGCATTTGAATCCTTCGCGTGCCAGTACCGGTCCCAACAATCTGGCTAGTCAGGAACGGTATCCAAGTGCCCTGATCCTCTACGAGATATATACATGATTGGTTAAGATGAGGTCCATTGGTTGCCTCCCATGTCCTCGGGCCCGTTGTGTAGACTGACGATGATGGGTTGAGCTGCCTCGGTATAGACTTGATCCTTATTCGAGAGTCACGATAGACTCCACATAACGGGAAAATAGAGAAATAAAATGCCTGAACTACAGGTAGGCTCCACTTACTATTATAAGATTATCCAAAACTTCGTGAGCTTTCTTACTTTACTGGGGTCATACCCGAATGGAGCATAGTTAATATCCATCTATAACTCCATAACTCTATAACCTATCCTCCGTGTAGAATAAAAATAAACAAGTTGTCTATTAAAGTAAAGAAGGTTTAGAGAGTGAAGGCATAGTAATTAGCCCACTATAAGGTAGTGGAATTTTAGAAGGAATTCTTTAATACTAAGACGGTCACGCACGTTCCTTCTAGGTATCTTAAACAGGCACTTATATATAGAAACAGTACGTTGCTCAACCGATATCATAGTCTTATTATTGGTATAATATACTTACCTATATTATAAAGCATGTATATTAGAACTCGATATAAGCAGGCGATTTGTAGATATCGGGGTTAACCCTGGACCTACATAGACTACGGATCCGTACCCTTACCCGTCCTATCAGCTGCGTTCAAGGTTGGCTCCGCATGGATAAAGAGGGGATTATTCTGGAATTTATATATATTGCGGCTCTTTGTCTTATTAAACTATCACCTCCACCCTAGCAAATAAAATGGAGTCCTTGGAAACCTAACTTACCCCCAACACTTGAGAGCAGTTCAATTCTTCGATCCCCCAACATAGTTACATAACTGTAACCTAGGAGTTTTCATTCTCGTTGCGATTCCAACCATGTTCCATACCGTTAGGTATCAGCAAGCGAGAACGACGGCAGTGCGTTGTTCATGCGAATGACAGCACTCGTACTTTTGTCGGCAACCGGCCAGTTCTTGTACACCTTTTGCGCAAGCGATGGAGACAAGTGCGGATACGAGGACTCGTCGAGTGTTCGGGACATGACGTTGAAAAGCTCCTTGTCACCAATCCAAGCCCTCGCGTCCTTGTACTGCTCATTATCCTTCTCCGATGACACTTTCATACCCTTCCGGCAGACCTTCTGGATGACCCCCCAAGATTGGACTAAACCTGTAGCATTCTTCCGCAGGGACGAGGTCACATCCTCCTTATCTACCTCGGCCATCCACTGGCACTTCTGGGCTTGGTCTAGAATCTCTATTACCATCGAATGAGCGGCATGGTCGGGCGCTCGTAGATTAAGGATACCTCGGATCTGCGTCCAAATCTTTTGGCAAGTTTCCGCGAACGAAAGCCAGTCGAAGTAGAGGTCTGAGGTTTCGGATATGATATAAAACCCTAAGTTTCCCAATATGGTGGTCATACGTCGGTCAGGATTAGACCAGGCCTCGCGGCACCTTTCTTCAACCTCTGGTGATAGTCCTACCTGTTTCGCTTTTGTGGCAATGGCTTCTGGGTCCCCGATGGCTCTCACAAGATTCAAAATCATGTCGTCGGTCATGACCTGGCCTCCACACATCCAGTTTGAGAATACACCGTCGAGTAGGCAAGGATTGGACGCCCACCGCCCCATTTCCATGTTCAGCTTAGGTTTGGTAGACCTTCTGTTTCTTGCAAAGTTCGTTGCCGTCACACCTGCAGCTAGTAGGAACTTCTTATGCGCTTCTTCCATTGTTCTAGGCAGTCCACCGACGAACATATTGTCTAAATCTTGATTTTGAAGAAAATATTCCATGTCGGGCCATACCGGGTCGTTTGGATACAGAGAGCGGCCGGCAACATATAGATGTACCATACTCGTAATACCACGCCATGCCTCTTCGAATCTACAGCCGTAATTATGAGGTTGCTGATAAAGACCGTACTTCAGCATGCCGCATTTCACAGGGTTGATCCGTAGGAAATAATCTGGCTCCTGAACGAATTCCGGTACTTCAGGGTTACCCCTTAATTCGTCTGAATCAGGATGAATGGCCCTTCCCGACGGGTCTCTTATACCACCGCCTAGAAGCTTCCTACGGAAGTTATCCCCTAAGACATCTAATTCGTAAGCAGCTAAGGTTGTTGCGAGCCACTGCGACCCCTGCCCGACGAGAACGAATGGCTCCTGGTTGAGTTTCTTGCTCCTAAATGCGGATAGCATGTTACGCGTGTGTTTTTTAACTTCGTGAATCGGTTTGTCCGGCATATCCTGGAGCTTATCTTGGATATCTAAGAGCAGCTGGACGCCAAATGCGACTGAAATGGGAATTGTCCCGGCCCTGAACATCAGACCAATCCCAGATGTGATTTCATCGCTGGCGAAAGCTCTGCCATGGCCCGCGCGATACCTTGGAAACATGGGAGCATGCGTTTAATACGACGGAAGTTCTCCGTGGCCCCGTTCGTAAGGGTTTCGTCTCCGGGAACTACATAGTACTCACCCAGAGATTTGGTCTCGTATAAGGAGTGCTTGAGGGCGGAATATATATCCGACAAGCAAAGCTGCCCATGACTGCAATCTATAACATGGCATCGTGGCGATGGCTTCAAGAAGCTATCCAAGTCTTGGCCTTTGCTAACCATATCCTCCTCGTGTGTAGCATAGATGAAGATGTCAGGGAGATTCCAGACGGGGTATGATGAGGAGGGGTAATTTTTTGGCCTTTCTATCATCAGATCTAGCTCATGCTCTGCTCTTCGAACAAGTTGAATAGCTGTGTTGGTAAGAAGAGAGGGCATAATGAGCTCCGCCACTCCCTGTCTGTATGCCCGCCAACTCCGTCGGATAGAAGAACGCACATCATCGAGTTCCTTCATGAAGGTGAAGATGCCAAAGAAGAAATCTTCTTCAATAACTTCTTCACTCTTTAAAAGAGTGACACGGGCGACATCCGTCAGTTTATAGTCATTCTCATCCAGTTCGACTGAGCGGCCGGGCTCGACATCCGGCCCCTGCTCCTGTAGCTCTTCGACTTCAAGTGCAGAAAAGCGATTGACCAAATTGACTACCGGTTCTGATCCAGGAATTTCTTGTATCCGTTTCTTCACATGCGAAGTCCGCGCCTGCTCGGATGGGCGCAGAATTTCCCAGGCATTAGTAAGGACACTTGTGAAATGTGCATGACTTTTGTTGGATCCTTCATCACTATGGGAATATGCCTGGTACCACTGTGTAAATTGGTTTCGGGTGTTTATAACGCGACTGAACAGGTTGTCTAACGCTTTGGGAATATTGACTTTAGGATTGAACTCGGCAATAGCCTTCGCCATTCGACCAAAGTCTGAGACATTGATAGTATATTGTGGCCGAGTTAGACTCTTAGGTGGACTCGCCGGTGCCTCACGAGCTTGCTTCCTGGCTTTCCCCTTAAGCCTCCTACTAGGGGCTGTTAAGACACCAGTCGAACTGGCAGGGGTAGGCTCGTCGATTTGATGCCCACACCTCCGAAAGTTATAAGCCAACCACCCTGCAATTGTCTCGGTGTCTTCCTTATATTGTTTATAAGTAGAGAATCGATTACCGGTTGTCCACTCCATGATATGATATACATGCAACAGGAATGGCCATGTCTATGGAGCACAATGTGTTCAGTTTAGTCAGTTCATCCCTGTTTCTGACCCAAGCCGTAGCATGGAACTAGCTCGTAGTGCGCATCTCGAAAAGATTGTCTGATCGACGAGTATAAACTTTCTATTCGGCATCTCAAGACACTTTACTTCGAGAAGCCAACTTAAAAGGTACTGAATTAGGCTCCGGCTCATCTAAGATGAATACCTAAGGTACGACAGCTCAGTGTACCTCTCATAGAATCATATCACTAACCACTACTAACATCGCGACCCTCGTCTGTCCCGAGTAGGGATACAGGATATAAGATATAGCTTATAGCGCTAGAGTTCCGATGGAAAGGTATAAAACGTAGTTAAGCATTGTACCCCTGACAATATCTTAAGTAGCGTTCTCTATGATAGATCCAAGCTCCGGTGACGGCTTATCGTCACGATCGGTTCCCGGCGTCCGCACGAACAGTGCCAGTATTAACATCATAATACATGATATTGATACTCCAAGGTATGGTAAACCAATCCAAACCCCACCTAATCGCATACCCAGCGTAAAAAGGCCTGCCAGGGCAGGCGTTGCCCAGATATTGCTCCCTACATCCAAGAGCGCCATGATGCTAAATAGCCTAGACCGATGTTCAACATCGATATGCGAGGTCGCGATACTTTTGATGAAACTTGCCGATCCGGAACCAAGAGACATGACAACAAGGCCGGTTACGAACACAGGTAAAGTTGGGGATACACTAAGGATGAAACTACCTATAGCGTAGACCACGTAAGACCACCGTGCCAGTATCAGGTCACGGTCTTTCTCGTTTGCTACACGGAAGAATTTTGGTGTCGTTGGTTGAACGACTAATTTAGACAAGCCAGGGACGATTAATAGAACCACGACTATGTGGGCGATGCCGAAGACGGATTGAATATAACCAGTTTTGGCTAAGGGGATATGGTAATGTTTCGAAATATACTGGACCATGAACTGGAGCGTACACATCACGACAGGCATCGACAAGAGGCATATGCAAAGAATGAGAGTGACAGAACCTGTTCGAATGATAGATAAGGAGTCTTTTAACTGATTGAAGCCTCGTAGTGCACGTGTTTTGAATGTCAGTCCAGACCTAGTGACATCTGAGCGCATGGGTCGGCGAAATGTTTCTGGAACAATGGCAATTAGAGTAGCGGTTAGAGCCCATAGTATGATGGTGAGCCACATGGCGGGCCAGGGACCTGTTGTGGACATCATAGCGGACGCCAGTGCTGGTGATACTAAGTTGCCAGCAAGACTTGCAACATGGATTCTCATGAATGCAATTGATCTATAAGTTGTAAGTAAAGCGGTAGAACATTGGAACCCGGCTGGTTGGATTGCTGACTTACCTACTGGACTCCGGAACTATGTCGCTCACCATGCTGTACGTGCAAGCGCCGATAACTGGTGGACCTCCAGAAAGATGTGCTACAGATGATATCCAAATCCATCGAACCGGGAACGTGTCTGGAAACCAGCCCACAATCATGATCAACAGCACATGTAATATCATGCCAATTGCAGCGGTAGCATATACCGGTTTGCGGCCGACGCGATCGGCAACGATCCCCCAAAGAAGAGCGACGAGACAACCGATACCAGAGTTAAGAGCCTCTAAGAATGCAAATAAATAGGCTAACTCGGACTGTATAACATCCTTCTTGCAGAGCACCTCATCGATCGGTTCTCCCGAGCTTGGTGACTGGCCGTAATATTCGTGGCAGAGAATGTCTTCATATATCCTCGTCATAGGAATCTGCTGGAAGCCACCGGCGAGAGAACCGACGAGGACGATTAAATAGCAGAGGCTTAATATGAGGTTAGGGTTGTGCATCCATGATACGATGTTTTCGGTGCTGGAGATTGAAGAAGCAAGCGTGGGTGACCTCAACCGACCGGGCTTCCAAGCTGAGGCGGAAGCTAACGTGGGGGTCCCCTGGATGGTTGAAATCCCCGAAGTCCCTACAAGAGGAGTACGCTCGGTGACGGCGTTCTCGTCATCATCGGGCGTTGTTTCACTCATTTCGGGGTCGAATAGATCTCTTGGTTGTATATCTCGGGTTGAGTGACGATGACGATGATGATGAAGATGAAGGTAAATCGTAAGGGTTTCACTTATCTCTCTGATGTAGCCACCCACCCCACGCCAGGATCATCTGCTTTGACCTATCATATACCGAATAGGAAGCGATTTGTGACACTTTGAACAGGGGTAAGATATATGTCAACTTACATAATTCAAGACATGATTCAAGACATGCTTAAAGGTGGTGGAATCACACGTGGATTAATTCAGTGTACCCATTCTGACGCTTCACTATCTTCTAAAATTTTACAAGAACTCCTTGTTTCAATATTTCAATATATATTCACTTCCAAATACCACCGTGAAGCTCACATACCTAACGTGCCCCCATTCTATCGCGGCCGTGCAAATTACACGAAATTGCAAAGTCGACACTATTTAGTACTACCGCTGCCCTCTGCCGTCCCACGACGATCGCGACGAACCGACCGACAAGAGAATTCTATAAACGATAACATTTCGCTATATATGTCCTTCCTACCTACATACGAGATCCTCCTCGCGTCACAAGCTGAAACCCCCAGGCAAGGGCAATGATGGAGAGTAGTTGTCATCATCTGCGATGCATTCTTAGCAAAGGATAAAGTCGGATCGGCCCGATGAAACAATGGGAGGAAGTGGAACAAATAAGACCCTGTGTTTCAATCAAGATCTCCGCCTCCATTGAAAGACGTACCCCCTTGTGAGGGGACTGCGAGGGAGCGGGAATCAATAATGTTTCTATGACGTGGCCGTTTGAATTTTGTCTTCGGTAGAGATACTAAGCATGACTTAAACATCCGAACCTACGAAGGCAGGAGAAGCATTGCTATGCGAAGTGGTACGAAGTTTCCTAACTTTGGGCCTCTGTGCCAGTCGCGTTCGTATGGCGATGCCCCCGCGACCGTGTCGCCCTTGCAATAGCCAATTAGCCGATTTTCTCGAGGGTGACCAGGCTGTGACCACTTAGAGCCCAACATAGACGGTGAAGAGCCATCGAGGTGGCTTGCGACGTTTTCCGCGGCTTATTTCAGGTTGGGCATATCCTGTTTGAAAGGGCCGAGCGTCTTCCTATGACTCCTTGTCATACACACAAGTCAGCGAATACAGTTCTCAGGATATGGGATATGAATCGTGGCTCGCTGAAAGTTGCACCAGCTGCAAACATCCAAAATTGAAATGATAGATATTTTACCCCGTGCTCATAAAGGGGGAAACCGGTCTAGGTAGATGAGGAAGTCCTCGTAGTCCGATATGACCGACTGTCGTACCAGATCAGCCATAACCTGCACGTCAAATTTACGACCTATGTTATCCATTCACTAGCATCTCAGCTACGATGCGATCGCGGCCAGAACGGACCACAACCCCGCCGATAAAAAGCAGAAATCCTGCTCATAAACGACATCCTGTAATCAGACTGGTTGGAATCCCGAAGGCGACATTGAAGTTGATACGATGCAGTGTGGAGCTTAAGGCCAGAGATTGAATTGCGCCAGTCCCGGAGAGGCTTTTCAACTGCCGTCTAGGTACTATTGTCAGCGACGATATCAGATGATATCCATTAAGATTATGGACATGGTATGCTAGCAACGCACCTTGTGAATGCGCCCTTATAATTTAGTACTATGGGGCACTGATGTGAATAGGTATTCTTGGTAGTTTGGCGGCTCTATTGATACGAATGGTCTGGAACTTCTTCTCAATCCCACGGCTGCGGTGCGATGGAACGCGTAATTCAAAATGCCCCACGTTCAAATTTCAATTTGGCCCTTATCGTGGTGCGTCTTAGGGATTCCCATACGACCTGATCCTTGCCCAATGGCTGAGAAGCTAAATATAATGAAGGAAGATCAGGTTAACTTAGCAAAATTTAGCCTGTTCGGGAGATGTAAAAGTTATTACAGACTGAGAAAAAAAAACCCTTTTACATGCGGAAGGATTATAACTTCTTCGGGATGATTTCTATTTAAGGTACGTTTCTTAATTCGAAACTACCGCATGGTTGTTTAAACAGGTGGGAACCGATCCCGCGATAGCTTCGTCATGCAAAAGATGATTCCCATTCGTGGCTTATTGAATGTATGTACTAGGTAAGGTAACCCACTTCACTAGGCCCGGCTTTTAATTATCTAGCTCGATAGCTCGCCAAGTAAGCAAACAGCTGTCAGTCAGCCTTGACAATGCCGTTAGGTGCTTGAGGCGTTAAGAGGCGTCAAGAAGCGTGAGGCTTGAGCTACGACAAACATGACAACCCCAGCTAAACCCAACTAACAATATTTTGTCTAAGATTTTCTGATTGGGTTAATGTCCGAACGGCCATCCGAAACGTGATGTCAGGCTCGGCGCGAAAGGGAAATTCGCGGAATATCATTTCTTATTGTGGTGAGACACATACAATACTTCGAGATTGGATAGACTGACATGTTGAATTAGTATTACCAAATAATCAGCCCATGTCGTAGATTATCTATTTCACGATTTCAATCCCTATATTGTACACTGAGGTCATCACCCCTTAATTATTAGTTAACAACACCAGGCTCGAAACTTCGGGACCGCCTCGATGCCCTTCGATGCCCCACGATGCTCAGCAGTGGATACGCTTGGAAATACGAGTGAGCTAGTAAGGACGTTAAACGACATTCGGCGTGAGTTACCGTCATGCATAGGAAGTATTCACCTGCACGTGTGAAGATGCATGATGCATTAGTTAGATACATACAGTCAGGAGGATCTCCTGAACAACATCTCCGAATCAGACGCCACACTATCGATTAAAATACGATTCACTTACCTACCTACTTGTAATTCGACTAGAAAAGTCATGTCTGATTCGGACCCCCCGTCGGGACCGAATACAGCGGCACAGAGGTAGATAACTGTTACATGACCCGCGGTTTACTTAGAAACACCATACGCCCATAGGATTTTCGAAAAGATTGAGGCTCACGGTTATACTAGTTGTTGCACGACAGCGATCCTCAGCTGGAATGCTGGGCCGATCAACCATTCCCTATATAACGGATAGGTCTGACACCTTAGCCGTACCACCGCTCGTTGTCTTAGTGCAACCCAGGGAGTTATCGTCTCTCTTAATTAGACAGGCAGCCATAGCACGATCGACATATTATCGTCTTCCTAGGCTTGACAGAAAGTCCACAACCTTACTTTGACCGGATCCTCGCAGACAATGCATCTACTTGGGAACTCGATCGTAATAGGGGTCTTCGCTGCCCTGGCAAGCCAGTCCGTACTTGCAGGACCCGTTGGACATGGATCGAGCTATGTCGGCGGGATACCGATGCCGTATGATTTCAAGAGGTTCGAATATACATATCATAGAAATATCAGAGCGTCCCTGGGTCTCCGCGGTTGTACGAGGAAAAGCATCGCCGTTCGCAAGTCATGGTAAGGAGGCACAACTGCTCGCGAAGATGAAGCTTCTATCTTAATTTATAATTCTAACATTAAAAATAGGGATAACCTCGATGAAGCGACAAGAGCAGATTATCTACGCGCAGTAAAATGTCTGGCGGCTAAACCACCAACGATGGACACGAGTCTAGCGCCTGGCGCTGTCAACCGGCTAGATGACTTCACTTACATCCACATTAACCAGACTAACATAATCCACCAATCAGTAAGCGTTTCTGCCAGATAATCCATTCCAACGTATTCACCAACTAATTAACTTAGGGCTACCTTCTACCGTGGCACCGTCTGTTCCTCTGGCAAATGGAGCAAGCGCTGCGCAATGAGTGCGGGTATAAGGGGCATCTACCTTACTGGGACGTTCCGCGGTTCTCGGAAGACCAGACTAAGTCCAAGGTCTTCGATGGTTCAATGACATCTTTTGGTGGTAACGGCGCTCCGGTACCTCATAAGGCTCATAAAGTCACCCTTCCTGGGTTGATCATAGCTAATTTCTCACTACCAATGCCCGCCGGCACGGGAGGTGGCTGCGTCACGGATGGCCCCTTTAAGGAATTCACAATCAGCTTGGGTCCCGTAGCGAAGGAGATTATCGACCCAGCTAACAAGTACGGGTATAAACCTAATAAGCGATGTCTGTCTCGGGATTTCTATGACCCTGCAAGCAAAGGCGTCCTGACATGGGCCAACGCGACAACCATCGTGGCATCCAAGAACATCAAGGAACTTAGGAACAATATAGAGGACCTATGGCATCTGAATTCGCACACATTCGTAGGGAGCGAAGCGGCAGATCCGTTTAGCACGCCTAACGATCCGGTCTTCTATCTTCTACACGCGCAGATTGATCGCCTGTGGGCGATATGGCAGGGCCAAGACCTACAAGGAAGGACATACGCGATCGACGGGAATAGGACATTCTTAGGTCTCGCCCTCGACTACGCGCCGGACGTACCACGAAGTCTGGCAACGATAGAGGACAAAATGGACATGGGCTTGGGCTGGAACCCTAAGACCAAGGAAGGGATGCCGGCGACGGAATTCGGACGATGTTATTTATATGAATAGACCTTGGCGAGATTTAATAATTTTCTTTTGTAATAGATCTAATATCCGCTAGATGGGTCCTTATGAGACATGACTTATAATACAATAGAAGCTAGACCTTTGTATTCCTACGGAACATGAACAATGCTCGCATGGCAAGGTTCGAATATCATGATCATATATAACCAATGCATCCACGTAAAAACTCCGATGAGAAACGGAGAATCTGGGGTTTATAATATCCTTTACGGATTCCTGCACTACGTCCGGCGGAGGGTTGTTAATGAAATTTGCTCCGTATTTGCAGCTGCCAGTTACTTTCATCTGTATGCCTGGACCAGTGAAGCCTTTCGCGTGGCCCATCCTACGCCGAAGAGTCCATAGAGGCCTGATATCATGGATGGCGAGCTCGGCAAAGGGGTAAAATATATTTTACTGCCGGACGACGCGGAGATGCAAGCATTCCTCCGGAGCTCCCACCAATCGCATGTACCCCATACTGAAAAATGGTATTGACGGGTGGCGTTTTGAATCATTCGACCCGAAAGAAATGTCTAGCGTGTGGCGTTGCAGATGGCTTTCAGTCGGATCTTAGATCCCTAAAGTGCCTCACACATCCATCGCGCATATACGCGCTTGCCGCCTTCGCGTACTTCAAGCTACATATTCCCTCAGTGTAAATAACAAGAGTAGGCCCTATCGCATATCTTCAAGGCTTGCTTATCTCATGAGTCCTAGGTTTATTGATGGGATACGACCTGTAAACAGATTCACGTGCACCATCGGACCCAATCAGTTATTATGAGTATCGCGAGCGGATGTTTCCATTAGCAAATCTTTATCGCAATGACTTGTCCGTTTTCGAGAATATACTAGAAGTTCAGCCATAAGGACTATATTATAACTCGTGGCATGTCTCTCGTATCGTTTACGTATCGTGAAGATGTTACACGGGCAGCTAGCCACTGCGCTTGCGCGATGGGTGGCGTGCCCCCTACTTTTCAGGTTTACGGGAGCGTTCAAGATATTTCCTATATGGGGACGCCCCATTGGGTTAACCGCGCGGCACCCTACGTATCACGAGCGGTAGTCCGTCCGAGATTCCCCTGTTACCTTAGGTTGGATATCATGTGTTTGGCCCTCAATGATTTGATTTTAGCCGTCTAACTCGATCTCACATGCACCTTAATCTCATAGCATAGGTGTCTTATGGCGAGATGTAACGTCACTCATAAGCTGAAAGAAAAGCAAGCTGTGTAAAAGTTTTCCTTACCTTGACTACCTTAGGTACGTACTCTGGCGTACTTGTTCGCCTAGCTTTGTCTATTCTATTATCTATAGGTTTCATATATGTCTTACGTATGAAGATTTACGTTGGTTTACAAGTGAGAGGAAGTCTGACGCACACCATATTTTACATACATCGGGTGATGGTTTATATGATCCGATTTCGAGAATACAAACTGCACAACCTCCTTTCATGACAAATCAAGTAGTTAAATATGTCTTAAAAGATTTCAAGTTAAGCAAATGTAATTTTTAACTCAATATTAGATTAGGTTCTATTATCATGTAAAGAGGTAATTATAAATCCGGTAACTCTTAACCCCGAGCCTTGCATCATAAATGTGAACTTCAAGAACAAAAGTGACTCTGTAGTGTATGATACCCGGGGCGCCTTGAAAGTAAAATACGAAGGTACTTTTCCCAGTATACGAGTTGTTCCGTGTGCTGACACCTCACTGCGTGCTCTTTGGAATAATATAGTCATCTATTATGAGGAACCCTGGACCTTGATCGTTTACATATTATCCTCCCTATAGGGGTGAAGATAGAGGTACTTTGCTAACATTAGTCCTAGTTGGATATCGGTATTAGAGCTGAAAGTTGACCGTATCTCTTAGTAGGCTTATCGTAATACCTATTAGCACATTGCATCGGTACTTGGTTTGACATCAGGGGTAGAAGCCTGGATAGAAGATTTCACCTACTTATTAAAAGTACGTCAGGTACCTGTAGCTTCAATCCAGGGATCCGTTTAGTACGACCTGTTCAAACTGCTGTCCAGAGAGTCCATGACAAACAAATACCTAGGGATCTCGCTTGTGGTTCCTTTGGTCTATACTACCACCTTTCGATTTATTGTTGTTGGGTGTCGGATATAGTTACTATCCTTGGGCAACTATTAGTCCCTCACAATGGGATTATAATAGAATGGGGGTCTCGAGGAAACCTTCACGCTAGGTTGGCCTTTAGAGGTGCCTACAAGGATGATTTCTGATAGGTATAGCTGGTAACATAGCTTTCCATATACCAACGATTCCTTACAGGTTATCAAAGCATCCTACAACGCATACCAGCGAATATAACAACTATATATGTAACTCTCTAATATGTTGCTAACGGGCTCCTAAGCTTGCCGAAGTGCAATTTTATGAGGGGTACATTAAACCGAACCGTAAGGCAACCGAGATACCTGGAATGCATGGACGGTAATGATTCGTTACATGATATACTCTGTATCGTTATAATAAGTAAGGTGCTCATGGTGCATGGAAAGAATGCGATGGGTGTTGACCTAATTTTAGTATACACGGTATATAAGATATTTCAGCGGCTAACAAGGAGACCATACCCTTTATTGTAAATTATCTATTCACATTGAAGGTCAGAATTTACCTATATAGTAGTGATTTCTGCAACTTGGACGTCTCGTCCTATCAGGTGCCGCCCCAATGATGCGAGATGACAGCATTTAGCCTATTCGAGCCATAGCTACAGCAAGGGCCCAGAACATACCCAAAGGTTACAGAGCTTTGGAGGGTTTCATTTATCAAAGTCACATGCAGGGTCCTATTGACGAGAAAGGAAGCTCTTTGAAACTTACAAGTGCCGACATACTGGACATAGAGAGATGATTTGTGCAATGGAATAGTTGCCACCAACTATATACCTCTCCTCGCATTTCATTGACTTATAAGTATGGCCACCTCCCTTTGGGCAGAGATTTTCATCACTGGTAGAAGATATCAGATCCTGGCTGTATGTAGAGCTATATAGCTATAATTAACTTCTCAGAGGCACGACGGCGACGATCGGTCTTAGCTTTTATTATTTTCCATTCATAATGAAACGGCTATTCCTGCTTGGTACTGTTTTCGTGAAGATTCTTGCGGCTAGCCGATTGTGCGATCGAGATGACGGTCCCAGTCTTACGGTAAGGACAATAACTGGAACATATACCGGCCTACAGAATTCAGAATATCCAGGTGTTAGAGAATTTCGAAATATCCCGTATGCGGAGCCTCCTGTTGGCAAGCTCCGATGGAAACCACCTGTACCTCTCCGTCCTTCACGGAGCCATCATCACTCTTACAGATTCCCACCTTCATGTCCTCAATATTTGACCTCTCAGTTATCATTATGGAATGCCAATATTACCGACTTCTCTATCTCAACAGGTGACCAAAGTCATTATGCAGGAGAAATGGCACAGACCACAGCAGAGGATTGCTTAAGCTTAGCGATTTGGACCCCTATTAATACTACATCACATGATAAGCTTCCTGTGGGTTTATTCCTGCCGGGTGGTAGTTTTAGGGGCGGTGGCTTGGATGCCCCCTATCATATGCCAGCGGGATGGGTTAACCGCAGCCAAAAGCACATCATGGTTACCATGAATTACAGGGTTAACATATTTGGATTTCCAAATTCCGCTGGGCTCGAAGACAACGATCTTGGCATTTTAGATCAGAGACTTGCACTAGAATGGGTATATGCGAACATTGAAGCATTTGGTGGTGACTCGAGCCGTATCACCGTATGGGGTCACTCAGCCGGTGGAGTATCAGCAGATGTTTTGAACTTCGCATATCACGATGATCCGCTGGCTGCGGGCTTCTTCTTGATGTCCGGAGCAGCAATGCGTACTTTTGCACAGGGCGACAACGCACTACAAACAAATTTTACATACGTTTCCAAGGAACTTGGGTGTGATTTTCCAGACGACCCAGAAGCCGAGGTTGAATGCATGCAACAGGTCCCAGTAAATTTAATTACGAATTTTGTTGGACATTATGGGGACGAAAACAAGAAGCCATCTTTGTTCTTTCGACCTACTGCTGACAACAAAATCATATTCAAGAACTATACAGAAAGAGCCGAGAAAGGTCTCATATCGAAAGTGCCAGCACTCATTAGCGACACATCGAATGAGCAATCAAGCCTTATTGCCTACCCTATTGACAACTTGACTCAAGGACCTAATAAGACGGAAGTCGACAAAGGAACGTTGAGTGACTTTATTTGTCCGGCATTCAACTCTTCAAATGCCAGAGAATTTAATGACCTCACTACATATCGCTATCAATATGCCGGGAACTACTCAAACTTAACGCCATTCCCTTGGATGGGAGCCTACCATGGAGCCGATTTGCCCATGATATTTGGAAGTTATAACCTTACAGGCGGAGCTACAGAGTTTCAGAGACAGGTAGCAGAGACGATGCAGGACTACGTATTAGCTTTCTTGACAGATCCGGAGAATGGGCTGAAGTCACTCAGTTGGTTACCCGATAGTTCTGGATCCAGCGTTGGTGGTCCAATGGTGAGGTTCGGAGCAGGTGACGTTGTAGTCCAGAGTATCAACGCCTCAGACGTGGATGTTGCGTGTACAGGGAGAGGTCATTACAACTCACGTCCATAGAGTTGAAATTTGAATACAGGTTCGTGGATAAAAATGCGAAATAAAAATCTCCGAAGTTCTTCTCTTTCAAAGCTATTAACCTAGTCCTTTGACTCGTAGAATGAAATATGCGTGAATTGTCCCATTATACCAATAATTCTCGGAGTCTCGACGAACTTCTTATGGTCTTCACCATATGCATGAATGGCTGTGAATACTTAAATGATGATATATGGAAATTTTGAACATATTAAAGAACATATTAAACCTGCCTGCATTGGGGTAGAATATGCTTAGAGTTATTAAGGCTGCCACACTCGTAAGGACCAGACTTACATCTCGTCGTAGGCCCGTACATTTGCCCTGAGGCAGTAAATATTCAGTCTACTTAAAGTAGCACACTGTTTCTGTAGTTTCATTCATAACTTTCCAAACATAGTCACCAAGAAGACTTTACTCGACTCAGAAGCAAACTGCCTATTTCGGTATGACAAACTCATCGGATGGCAAGATCCAGGAGGATGGGATGGTAGCCCTCGCTCCGCATCATTCAGATGATGCGTCGTCTATTGACCTGTTAAAGCTTGCCCAAACTGATAATCCCATTGGTCAAGCTGGAACTTCGAGCACACTTCCCATTACTGCACCAGCATTGCCATCTTTGGGCTACCCGAGCATGTCGCAGCATCCCAGTTCAGGAAAGCGTGGACCTTCCCCAGTTGATACCCTAGAGGGTCCTCAAAAGTAAGTCTTTACGCATCATATGAGCCTTAAAAATGCCTTAATAAGTCTATGCCCGAAACTAATATCACCAAACATAGGAAATCGCGACGCTGGAGAAGTAACCAACCAGGATCTATTATGGATTCATCTTCAGGCCTTCCTACCCAAGAAGCTCTACTGCTCCAAGAGCAAGGAGCAAGTCAACCACCTTTAAACCCTATCAAGCAATCCAAGTCCCAACCTCAGGACAGCGCTTATACGGAAATGTGCTTTGAAGTCGACAATTCCACCCGATCCATCAGTACAGCCAACGACTTCAAGGAAATCAGTGGAGAGAACAAATCAGTGTCCGACTCCGGCATTCTCACAGAGACTGAGGTTGCGTCCCTACCGTACGGCCTTGGCTCCATTTATGCCGAAACCTGTAGACTAAAGGCTGAAGCCGAGCGTCGCGAGAAAGAGATGGAAGCCGAGAAGGCAGCCGAGAAAGCGCGTCTCGCCGCGGCGAAGAAAGCCAACGAATTCCGATGGCCTGGTGACACATCGGCGTACCCAGCAGAGGCTTCCGTATTCGTGAACCCTCCAGGCAGTAGGCTCCGCGCCAAAGCTGTCCACATCGGTACCCCGAAGAGCCATCCCTTGACGTCACGCGTCAGCGTCTACGCCGTCAGACAAGAAGGTAGCGCCGATATCGAGTTCAGAATGGCTCGAGATGGCTCGACCCCAGAAGAAATACGCCAGGGCCCCTCGGTCGACTACAAGCAGATCCGCCTCAACAACTTCTTCAAGGGCATGAAGCAGAGTCAAGCTGACCTTTGGGCCAGGCAGCTGTTGTCTCAGGTTCCGGGCATTAACGACGCTATCGTGAAGTGGAAATAAGCAACCAATAACCGATACAGGGGTACAAGAAGGTTCTTCAAAAGTTACCTGGCTTACTGCGTTGTCTCTTATGTCCTCGCATCACGAGCATCACTTGCTAGACAACCCCCCAAAGTTCGATTGGTCTCTGAGTTATACAGTTGATAGTTGTGTTGACAGACATATGCGCATTGCATTCTAGATTAGGTAGGTAGACCAAGTAGTGATTGTATTGAACTTAGTAACGCCTAGCCTTCTAACCTCTGAGGGCGCTTCGCGCCTCTTATATAGTCGTATAGACCCCTGTAGCAACCCTGACAGAGTCACCCCTCCCTCCAATGGTCCCGTCCTCGGGGCCATGCGACGAAAAGCCGCGTGGGAAGAGGGTAAAAAAAAAACATCGTGAACCTCGTCGTCGCCTGCTGGTCCTAGGGTGTGTACTGCTACCTCGTCATAGCCTCATCGTCAACCTCGTTGCTACTGTTACCTCGTCGTAGCCTCGTCCCATTTTATAGCGTTGATAATAATAAGGTATGTTTGCTTATAGCCTTGTCGTTAACCTCGTCGTTGCCACTGCCTTGTTGTCGTCTCACGGCCTGGTGGTTACTCTCCCCGCTACCCTGTAGCAAGGCATACGCGCTGTCTCGTCTCGTGTCTTCTAGCCTCGTTGCTAGTCTCGCTACTGTCTTATGGCCTCGCTGGCCGTACGCTCGATAGTAGGGTTCTCTCTTGTAACGCTCTCGTCGTCTATAGCCACGCAATTCAATAGTAGGGTGCGCACTCCCTTAGCTATCTCACTGCTGGTCTACCACTAAATCACCTGTTGCCGTACTAGGGTGTGTCCTGGCTATCCTCGAACCGCGTCAAGGACCTCGGCAGTACACCCTTTCAGGCCCCGTTTCTTCCCCGTAGCGTCTACGTGGTCGGGTCGCCGTCCCATAGCTACCTCCTGTTCGATCGTTGCGGAGTCACTACCTACCATTCCGGGTGTCTCCTGGCTATTCCAAAACCGCGTTTGGAACCTCGGCAGTACACCCTTCCTGGCCTCGTTGTTCCCCGCAGCGACCGTACGGCTAATCCCTTACAGGGCTACCTACTACCGTACTGAGATGCCTCCTAGCTATCCTCGAACCGCATCAAGGACCTTTGGCAGTACACCTTTTCGGGCCAGTCACACCCAATCGGTAGTAAGGTACGCACTCCTATAGCTACCTTGCCGCTAACCCGCTACAGAGTCACTACCTACCGTACTGAGGCGTCTCCTAGCTATCCTCGAACCGCGTCAAGGACCATCGGCAGTACGCCCTTTCAGGCCTCGTTATTCCCTGCGGCGACCACAGCTCTCTGGGGACGACTGGGGAAGTCCTACGACCTCCTAGACGTACGTAATTGAGATGATTAATCAGGTCCTATAGCCTCATGACTATAAGGCCTCCTGATCGAGATAACTAGTGGTCCTGGAACGTAGCTAAGACGACTAGTAAGGCCCTAGAGCCTCATAGCCTCATCGCTATAGCCTAGGCCTTATCTCGGTCGTGTAAGGCCGGATCTAGAGCCTAGTCGCTGTGGCTACTCGCTTAGCCTCGTCTAGCCTCGTGTTGATCGTGGAGCCTTGCCCCTGACCCTAATCTCTGTTGTGGGCCGCGTCTCGGTCCTAGAGCCCCACAAGTCTCTAACGAGATCCCTGCTTCCTAGAATGCTTCAAAATGTGGACTGGCAATACTTAGCTTGGGGGCCTCCTAAGAGGTCGCTAGCCCCCTCCTCTCGTGGTATCTACTGTTGCCGTCGTCTCTCTCTCTTCTCCTACTGCTTCGTCGTCTCTCTCTCCCCTCTCATCGTAGCTTCTCGTCGTAGCTAGCCTCCTGCGCCGTGGCGGCAGTCTCCCTCCCTCTCGTCTCGTGATGCTTCATTTCGAGTCATAGCTACTCTCTCGCGATGCCTTCTTTCGTAGCTACTCTCGCGCCGTTGAGGGGTTTCTCGTGCTGCCTCACGGCCTCGGGGTCTACCGCCCTGATAAACGGTCAATGCTGATGGGCAATAGTAGTATGAATCTATTAACGCTTGACCTTCTATCCTCTACGAGGGGCGCTTTGCGCCTCTTATATATCAAGTGAACGCCGATCTATGCCTAATTCATACTAGCTCCCACTATACCCTGACAGTAAAGGGGGCCCACGCCCCAGCCCTTAGACAATCATCACACCCTCTAACTCATAAGACATAATTCAAACTGAAAAAAAAAAGAAAAGAAAAGAAAAGAAAAGAAAAGTACACACATACCTAGAAACTCCGAACGGCGATATATCCCAAGAATAGACTACCCAATGTGACCCACAGGCTAGAGACTGCAAAGCCACCCTGGATATCGCCTTTAGTGATAGACCAAGTAACCCCAAATATACCGCTACCAGAAGCAATCAGGACGACTATGACGAAGTATATTGATCTCCAGTGCCACCCCTCTTCAAAGTAGACTCCCCAGCCGAATTCAACCCGATCTTCGGGCGCCTGCAGCTGCCCGCACGTCCGCTTGGGTAACTGGTTATATATAAACTTCTGCGTCGGGCGGATGCAATCGGGATGACTGAAGTGATGCGATAGATATCGCGGACCGATGGGAGGGACATATTTGGGTTTGACCTCCGGTGCCGGGCGGCAATTGTACTCGGTCCCTATCCTGTCAGCCGGGGGCAGACAGACACAATCTGAGGTACAGACGTGAGCGTGCCGGTGGACTTCAGCAAATTCGCTTGAATCAACCATGAACTATTTTTTTTACGTCAGCCTTATATAAAATATTGCTATGGTCGAAGGACGTACATACCCTTGCCAGAGAGACTCCAGTAACGCTCCGGAGTGTAAGCCAGGACGTCACTTTTCTATGTTTTAAGTATTCTTTCCGAAGGAAGAGTAAAAGCTCGCGATCAGAGGTAATACCTGGGAGACGTTCTTGATGAAGTCTCAATCCGGTCTCTCCGGTGTGGATGCCAAATAGTACGTGCAGCAAATCAAGAGGTTGAAAGGGACTTGATGGAGTGTTAAGGGAAGTAGTCTGGTGTAGTGGCAAGGTACTATTACTTGTCGAACTCCGAGCTGTCGAAAATGCCCTACTTAGCGAACCGAAAGCCCGTTTGACACGTTCTCCCATACCCCGCAGAATATAGGTATTTGGATTCCCCTTTCTGGGTGCACCTTTTTGGACTGCTCCCCGCAAGGAGTCCTGGAGCTTTTGCAGTGACCCTGGCTCTATCTCGACGAAATCATCGAACAATTTAGCACCGCAATCCTTAGGAAGAAATTAGCTATACCCCGCCCATTTGAGTGTTGGGAGGTGGCGATTCAACTTACGCAAGTCCAATCTATACGAGTCTGGCCAGGAGGAAGTTGTGGTTTGGAAAGTGGGAATGGAACCCTGTCAAGTATATAATCCAGGAGACGTGGGAGGGTTATGGGATATGTAAAAGCTGCGAGGTCTTGCCCATTTCTATAAGAACGCAGTTCTTCCTTCGGACGGCCACCATCCCCCCAGGATTTGCGTAAGCTCCCCGTAGCCGTAGGGGGGTCTTTTTGCTTGTTGAGCGTTAGTTTCCTAGAATTTGACCCCTTAAAATAATCTTTACTTATATTGATATTCGACTTGCTTCCTAATTGGGGTTTGTTGGTGACTGTTAGAGTTAGCGCAACGAAGAAAACAATCGATGTCATACACTTGATCCGGTGCTTGTTATACGATGGGAGGAGTGGAACGAGAAGTCGGTTGACGCTACTCCATAGGCTGATCCATAGGACAATCCATAGCAAAATGAAGAGGAGCATTTTATAGAGGACCACCAGAGAAGAATCTTGAACGGAAGAATCCGACGGTTCATATAAGGGCTCGGGTGTGCATATCATTTTAGTATACGATTCTGTTTCGACGAGCCGAGCCTCTGGATGTGATTGGTTTAATTTCGCTTGACCTGTGTCCTGCATCCTAAGACCGACTCCCAATTGAGGGAGAAATGGATTCCTAGCGATTCTGTTCTTCTCCAACCTCAGTTCAATGGCTTTTCGACAATCATCGACGTGAATAATATGGCGCAGCAGTTCTCGTTCCATATCCACGCCTTCTGTATCGCCGATCAACCCGTGGTGGAGAGTCGAGACATTCCTAGCCAGAATAGCTGTGGTGATTCCGCACCAGTATGCCCGTTCTGCTATTGAAACGCTAGGTCGCCCCCTGATCCATTTGTGGACTAAGGGGTGCATACAGTATCGATTCTCTCCCTCTTCTATCACAATGAACGATCTCTGGAGAAGGACTTTTATCGCTCGGTCAAGACGAACTCGTAATTCCTCTTCGAACTCATATTTGTTAAGGAATTTTCCATTTCTTAGAACCAGGGGAAGGGGCGCGGGGGCTGACTGAAAATCTGAGCCAAAATATTGACTTAGTAGAGCAGTAACAGGCTTTCGAAAGCACCCGAACCAACTCCCGTTACGTCCTTCTGCTGGATTCGTTTCTAGCCCCTTTATGGAATAGTTGAGGGCCGCATTAATCAGAAAGTCAAGATAGATATGGTCGAAATGCAAATAGGATAATACGTTGAGAATTTCAACCGCATCCTTGGAGCTTTGTTGCTTATCAGCTTCCAGCGACAGATAGAGTATTTCGAACGGAGTAATAATGCTAATATACCCATCGCCTAGATAATCAGATCTCATCAGCTTGTCACTTTCCCGGAGTTTCCTCCGGTGAGAAGTGATTTGGCTTAAATGACGCCTATGGGAGGCTAAGTAGTTGGTCAAAGAGCAGATACCATGCTTCACTGCATTACCAGCAGCGATCAGGGCTAATGGGGAGAACCCCACAGATTTAGCTATCCCTTTAGCTGACCGCTTGTCGTTAACACGCCATGGGGATGGGTACGCGGCTGCTTTAAGAGCAAGATGAATAGCGTCCTCCTCCGCCATATACCGAACTCCTAAGTACCGCTTACCGGCGGTGCCATAACGGTTGTACCCGGGGGTGCGGGAGGTTATTAGAATACGCCCATGTCGGCCTGTAGGGAGTATATCTTCCAAGTCGATCTCGGAGGTATCAGCATGATCGATTATCAGTAGCCACGGTTCATTCTGTAGGGCCAACCACTTCTTAGCAGAGTCTTCGTCAGGCTCAATACCTACGATCCTCGCAAGATCCGAATAGCCCTCAGACACGCGCTTCCGAGAACTACCATCAATAAAGAAAACGCCCCAGAACAGTCCTCGGAAGTCTTCGGCGTATTTTAGAGCTAGCTCGGTCTTCCCCGAGCCTCCCTTTCCGAAGAGCACAAATCGCTTTTGGCTAAAACATGTTCTATCCTCGAACGCGGCTTTAATCATAGCCTCTTCCTCCCGCCTTGTGTAAATGCTTGAAGTGTGCCGTGGTATAATGAAATACGTGTGAATGGTAAGGGCTTGAATGGACCCTTCCGCAATAATAAGGGCTGTATGAAGCTAAGTTCGACAGTCAGTTATGTGCTTCCATTAAAAAGTCTAGAACATACCTCGGCTCTTTCAACGCCGGAGTCGAGACGAGAAATTTTCCTTTTAGCCAAAGAGATACGGTTACGAAGCGTCGCTATAGTAGCGAGCGTCTCATGTGGTATCGTATTTTTATTTGTTGCAATCGTATGGGGCAAAATGTCCACAACTGAGCAAAGAATGCGGATCGTCTCCATTCGAAGCTGCAACTTTCTGCATCTTTTGATAAGCTCGCACTCTTCGTCAATGTGTTCGAAGGCCGGAAGAGGTTCTCCGTTCTTTTGGAAATGTTTCAGGGGTATTATGGACCCTTCAATGAGCCCACTGCAAGCCTTATAGATTCTGTGAAATCGATCCGCTTCATCTAGGGGGGATTTGGAATCATCCACCGCCAGCTTATTGAGCGAAGAAGCGACGCTGTAGATATCATTCAACAATAACGCCAACGCATTTGAGGATCCCAATTTAGACTCCAGAGAATTGAGTCCCGACTCTTGAAGTTGTTTCGCATGGTTTATCAAATCCTCAGTGCCAAGACTCCTAGAAAGTGAGTGTATCATCAAATATATACTGGACATTCTTCAACACAGTAGTCCATGTAGAGTTAGAAAGGCACGCAGTTAAGAAAACTAGAAAAGTATAGGCCTAGGTATAAAAGTCGTACGAAATAAGCAAAGGACCTTCGGCTTCAATTTATTTGGTAGCTTGGTTTTCGTAGCGGGCTATGCCAAGGTGGCTTTGCAGAGGTAAGCAGGCTGGGGCTGAATTGGGGTAGCATTCGCATATCCATTCGCATATTCAACGTTCAACGTGCTCTTGCATAGGGTACGAACCCATCTTTCTCGAGGTTAGACCCTTCCATACTCGACTTTATCACATGAAGAGTTGCAAACTTAATATATGTACCCTTCATTACCTCAATATCAGCACGGGCCAATATCAGGTATCCATCACAAGGGATCGTGCTCACTCTTCATCAGATCTTCATAAAACTTGATGTAGTACCGGTAGTAATTTGAAGGACTAATCGATCGCAAACCTGAGTGAATTATGTTAGTAGTATTTCAAGTATGAGAGTGATTGCGATTTTTTCTGGATACCCTGAGCAGTGCGTCGTTTGCTCTGTCGATCCCGCGTAAGATTTGTGGTGCCTCTGCGTGGATATTCGTCGCATTTTCTACCTCATATGCACGTTGGCATCGTGACATCAGGATATCAGATGCAACTGCTTTTCTTGCGACTTTACTTAGACGGTTAGTTCTCTCCGGTACTAATATAAATAGCAGCTTCCTTAGCAAGCTTCTGAATTCTCTTCTTACTTACCTACATATTTCCGCTCTACGAAGAAATCCATTCCACCATAGGTTGCCCCTCAATCTACTATTAACTGTAGCGCATTGTCAAGTTAGTATCAATTCCATCAATTCCACCATCATACTACCTAAAGAGAAGACCAGTCGACCATAACCAACGCGATGCGCTTGTCAACAACTTTCAATTTGGTCGCCATGGCCGCCGCTCCCATCTTTCTCCGACCAGTATCAGGATGGTCATTCACTATGTATGATACTGAGGATTGTAGCAACTCGACAAACTCGGACGCGGTCGCAGATAGAGTGGAACGACAAGGCGATGTCGATTGCGACGTAGTCCTAAATGCGGACCAGCATAAATCGGTCCTTGGTGGAGTCCCGGCTGGAAGCGAGTGCCGCATTTCATTCTATCCCGTCAAGGATTGCGGAGGCAGAGTCGCGTTTAGCTTGACACAAGACACTACATCTTGTCTCTCCATTGAGGACCTTGTTGCACCATTGGCATATTATAGCGCTACGGATTGTGCCTAATAAAACAGCTCGAGTATGAAGAAAGTGTGGGGATGTTGTGAGGAAGTAGGATGAAAGAAAACCTAGGAGGTGGTTATGTCAAGGAAAACACTTGAATTGAAAAACATTGAGAGGACAACATTAGAAACGGGCTGACACGGTAACTAAAGTCATATATTCCGTATTACGTATTGCGATCACTGTCACAATTGTGTAGTGTATGTAATCGGTCACCCCACTGCAAAATAGGGGTTATCCTTGTAGACCAAAACCCTTGATGACATAAGCTCTTAGGTTAGGGGCTCACATCGCGCTTAAACGCGACTTGTTTTCTCGCACTACAATTGAACCACTTCTCTTGCAAGTATCTCGATAGCTAATAAGAAGAAAGTAGGAACTATAACCCTACGAAATAGTCCATCTAAATCCCCGTATCCAGAAAAACGTTCCCTTTTTTAGAGTGTCTACGGGGCTGGGTTTCCTTAGTCATGCCTCAATCCAATGACAATGTCGATTTTTGGTCTGTTCGCAGAGCGCAAGAGACAGCACAAGAAGTGAGGATACTATCCATTACATCCCTATTAGGCAATGCCTAGGCTGACTGGGTATTTCTAGGCTGAAGTTAAAGATAAATTAGTCACAAAACTCAAAGAGCATGGCATACTCCTAAATGAGCAAATGGATGCATTTAAACGCGATGTGGTCACATACTCCCAAGAGCATAGTATTTGGAAACACCAAGAACGACAGTTGCGGAGTACTCGGTCTCGCCAAGTTGAGATAGAGAAAAAGTTTAATGACTTATCCTTGCACTCATTTATTTCCGCCGCCTTGGACTACTTTAAAAATCACGTCCCCAACGACCGTTGTATCCGAGTCTTTGAGGATGCCCTTTCAGTCCTTCCAAATAGTCCACAATGTCCGCCTGAAAGTAAACATCGTAATCCTCGTGAAAAGCCGGCAACACCGTTCTCTGCATCTAGAGCGGTAAAGTTTTACATACGTTTTGTTCCAGACATATGTTCTTAATTCTAATCTCTTTCCAGGATCCTGCGTCTATCATGTCTAATGCCGAGTTGATCGATGCTCTTGCAGTAGCAATCAATATGGAACCACGGAAGGCAATGTCACTTCGTGGCCAAATTACATGGTGCGATTCAATAAGTGGCTCGATGTCGGGGATATTGGAACTAGGCACCGGACTCGTCAGCTACGGCCGACTCGGTCGCGATCATATGCTTGCAGATGTTCCTAACCAGTATGTTAGGGATCGTCTAATGGACTACATTGTTACCCAGCTTGAAGACGACCAGAAAGAGCGCGCAAAAAAAGCGGTATTTTCGGACCTTAACGCTACTGAGCTCGAACAATACTCTGCTTTGATTGAGAAAAAGGCGGAGGAAAACAAGCCCAAGACCCGAGAAGAGATGATTGCACGAATAGTCGGAAAAAGGCCACTGACAACCGACAGCGAGAAAGAACGTGTAGTGAATCAAGCTTATGCTTTGGACCAAGTTGATATGGATGATGACCTAACTCCTCAGCCCGGCTTCAGTATCCGAAATTACGAACGCCTAGAGCCGCTCAGTCACTCGGTATTCCGTCCGGGCTTAAGAGAATTGACTCCGGAGGAATCGGTATTAAATACAGGTGTGGATATTGACAAGGACTGTGATCAGATCCGGACTATGATCGCATGCTTTGTCGACGGGAAAGGATGGACTGCAGATCAGTTTCGCTGGACACTAGGAAATGTCTCACGTCAGCAGCTAACAACCTTTCTTCTTGAAAGAGGTCCTAAGCAAGGAGCCAATAAACCGATCTTTCAACATGCATGGGAATTCTTCAAGAAGCGCGAGATGCTGGGTCTGCCTTTGGCGGAAGTGTCAGAAGAAAACGCCATTGTCCTCCAAGAACGCGATATCAATCGTGCAAATAAACGCCAAAGCCAAAGCACTGACGGAAAAGAGAGTAGTTCTAAGAGGAGGCGTACGAGAAGAGCATAACCAGATGAAGTAGAGAGGCCACGGAAAACCCGGATTATACTTTTTTTAAATGTAAATTAATATGTATGGTATGCAATGAAAAACCGGATAACAAAATGGCTACGAAGCCAATATTATATCATGGAATAGTGTTCCTTTGGTAGGTAACCTTAGATTCCGCTGGGTTAGGAAATAAGTGGGTCAGGGGTAGATTCAGGGGCAGATCTACTAGAATTAGGTGTATAAGAAACGCACACTGCCCTTGAAAGAGGATTGGAAGGCAGGTGTTAATAGTTAAATTCATCTACTATGACGCTATGTATGAGCACCGATCAAGGGTTCTCTGACAGATTTGAATCGATTTTCTCATTTCGAGTCCCCAGAGGCCAAATTTAGGTCGAGGTTCATGAGCAAATTTATGTAAAGTCATACCACGAAAGCGAGCTGCTCGTCGATGAGGGCTAATAAGTCAGCACGACTAGCCTTATTCTTCCTCTGCGCGAACATAAAGACACTACCTAGGTAGGTTAGGTATTGAGGTAGTTTCCGAGCGTCTTCTCGCAGATTAACTCCAGCATGGCGCCGAATAGGAACAAAGTACCATATAGAAATGCCTTTTTGAATGAGCCGATATCGTCAATACATAACAACCAAGCCATAGTATATTCGGTAGCAAAACGAACACGTTATCTCTTGCGACTACACTATAGGTTATTGAACACTGTAGGAAATAGGGATAGAATTCCCTGTTGGCCAAGCGGAATAAATACGGGGAAGATGCTACTAACCCTACAGATACTTGAGACAAAGTTCTCTTTGTTTACCTAGCTACAAACTTGTAGTATCTCATAGATCCTTTGTCTAGGAAATTTCAACTTTCTTGACACTTCGACTATTTCTTAGAAAATAATTAAGAAGAAAGAAATTGTCATTTAACACAAATCGTCTATCTAACACAACGACATTCATGCGTACTAGTTCAATATATATGTTTTTTAACTAATTACAAGGGCGCTGGCTTAGCCTGTTCCTATACATAGCCGGCCTTCGCCCTCCTACCACTCTTTCTTTCTCCCTTCATAGGATTGTATACGTCGACCAACCTTCCAGAAACTAATGCCGCCAGGACATTATTGAGAGGATGTCATCCTATCGCATATCAGGAGGGCAGTTGGCATTGGCCCAGTCACAGTTTCTAACGGCCTAAGCTAGTGTTCAACTCTTTTTATTAAAAATTATGTATCTAAACAAGGTAACGAAGCCCACGTCCTATCCTCATCATATCGTTCCCAATATACATAGGGGTAGGCTCTCCATTAGTGCCAGTGATAAGCTCCAAACAGACTTAGCTGAGAGAACTCCTCTAAAGCCTCGTTTGATTCAGCCCTACCAAGCTTTAAATCTTAGGAATAATACTTAACGATAGAGCCGGGCCATCCCTCTGTAGGCTATATTGGAACTTATTTCAGCATTAGTTTCGGGCGGGTTATCCCGTTGGCCTGGTTCTGGTTGAGATGACAATGGGTTGGACAGCCAAGATACAAACCTACTCCAGCGAGAGGGAGGTACGGGTGGTGCTTTAAATGTACCGAGGTCTTCATTTATAATCTCAATCCCGCGCTGTTTTGCTATCTGTCTCTGAATGACTCTCGCTTCGTCGACCAGACCGAGTTCAAATAGAAGATTAAAAACGTCATACCAGGCTGGGTGTTTCTCAGCTTGTACAAAATCTAATATCATGATCCACAAAGCATTGATATCAGTTTCACAGGCGAACTCACATAGACGCACAGCTATTCTTGCGTGCGCGACAACCTCGTCGGCATTAACTGTACCTGTAGCTTGCCGAAATTCGATAGTCCGCTTGGGCTGCGCTCGGAGACGGGCTCCATATAACTGTACCGCCCCGTATCTCTCCACGTCATAAGCCAGGAAGTTGTAAGCGCAGCGGGTGATTCTCCAGTGTTGCATCAAGGTGGATATTACTGGAGCGCTCGGGGCAGACAAGAGCTCCCGAACGGCGGTTATGATATCCAAAGATTTACCAACCTGCCTCCCGGGTAGAAATTCCCCCTCTTCCGCCCATGCATATCGACCTGAGTTGAAGAAATCCTTATCGAACTTATAGCCCTCGAGAGTACCTGGTTTAAAAATGGGGATAAATTTAGGGCCTTTCTTTTTCTCTGGTTTAGGTTTAGTTGCTGATCCAGGGCGACTGGTTACGAGGTCCTCCTTATAGTGTCCTTCGTCAAGGTCACCTACTTCAAGATGCCTACCCACCTGTGCTGACGATATGCCGTATGCTAAGGTGCTATAGTGTCTATTGCTTAGGCAATAATCCCTCCACTCTCTTCCCCGACGGTGTGGAGGATGCATCTGCGTTAGGATTGGATCAGCAGCGAAAAGAAAAGCAGCAATTCGGCGCAGATGATGGATTGGTATCCAATCCTTGCCTCGTCCATAGTGGATATGCAAGCCGGCGGTCTCCGGTGCAAATACCCAGAAATTGTTGCAAATTGCTGTGAGAACATGATGAACCTCGGCGAAAGACTTTTCTGTGGCGAAGAGCGCTGGTGATGTGATTTCCAGGTCCTGCCAATCATAAAGGGCCATGTCGGGATCGAGGTTAGTTGGTTGAACGCTCAAATCTCTTCCAACCCTCCAGTCCGTGTACCGGATCAAATGACTTCCATTTTCGTCAGTCAATTCTCTAGAGCTGGTAATTACACGGTCCCCCTCATGTCCCCGTAAAGCCATGCGAATGACTTCTTCTACTTGTCTTCGAACAATTGTTGCGGTTGCCTTGTCAGGCTCGGGAATGATTGGCTTACCCTTTGCTAACTGAAACATTCGTGGTGTAGCCATTATTGGGCCTGTCCTTCTAATACCTATTAGAAGTTCGACCTCGACTCCGAAACTGCTCTTGATATCGTTTGACATTTTACAAACTTTGCCAGGTGACTAGAGCCTTGTGATTGAAATTGGTTAAATGATATGCGAATTTAAAATAGACGACGTTATTGTAGTTCTACGTTTAAGTACACAGGAATTTGCTGTTATCTTTCTCGGAGGAGAGGCGTCAATTATAATGTCACCTGTCACATAGGCTGAACAATGAGTTGTTCGTAGCAGCTGTATTTGTTTGGCAGCAGCTGTATTTGTTTAGCAAGCATAGCTTTGTTTTGAACTTGTCCCAGGCGACCTTAAACCACAATTCGCATAAAATCTCAGAAGCTGTGGTCTCAGGTCACCTAAGGTAAATACTAGCGATATGTCTTTTAGTGGAGGGGTTCTTAGGTACCTGCCTGAGTGGGTGGATACACGACCTCAGACATGATATGTTGATACCAAAATGTTTACATAGAAAAGGTCATGTGTCTTACTCGAAAAATGACAAAGTATTAAGGATATTAGGAGGTCCTAGTCAACCAGTTGGCGGCCGGGGCATCTTACTGCTCTACTGTAATATTTATTGAAATATATTTGGTAAAGTGGCGATTTGGGAACAAGTGAGTGCTTGTTAGTTGTTTGCTACTAAGTTGCAAAAAATAAGACAAAATTAAGATGCAAATGGGATTTCTCATTTCCAATATCACTTATCTGGCAGCTTCAAGCTTGCCGATCTTCTCTTCCTTCTACTCTCCCGGTCGTTCCACTCCTGCTTGGCAGCAAAAATAAGGCTAATGGCAAGACCGAGACCTGCCAGTCCAATACCCAGGTACAGCGCTCCTCTGTAACCTCTGAGTAAATCATCCGCCTCTGTGAGTCCACCATGGTCGACTTCCATCTCGACCGTGCCGGCGAACCCAAGCCCAAGTGATACGCTGTAATTGACAACAGTATTGATTAAACTCGCCGCCACGCCTTGATGTTGCTTAGGAAGAGACGCCGACATAATGATGGTCCCGGCCGGGAACGACATGTCCATACCCCACGGTATGATGAGACTGCAGACAAAGGTCTGGGCCCAATAGGTTTGTTCCACGGGGGCCACGGCTACAAGAATAACTCCGACCAAAAAAAACGTCATTGACATGACCATAACGATGCTTGATCTTACTTTCCCCAGGATAATACCAGTGGTGATAGATGCGGCAAAGCCTGATGCGGGAATGGGACTGAACCATGCCGAGATCTGAAGGGGACTGCCGTGTCGTAGATTCGCATAAAACTCAAGAAGGTAGAAGAGCCAGATACCGAAACAGCCCCAGCCGCAGGCTATACACGCCATGACGAAGCCGACGTCGCTAGTCAGGGCTGCAAAAGGGATGAGTGGTTCGCTGGCGACTTTGGTCTCGATGATAAAAAAGCAAGGGAGTAGGATTATGCCGAGCAGAAGACAGATATATACATAATCTCGATCGTGTCTCCAACCGACTACTACGGCTTGGTTCCACGCGAAATTGATGAGCACAAGCGACGTGACGCCTACGACGCCGCCAAGCAGGTCGAGGGCCCGAATTATCTCCGCCAACGTGGTCGGCGGGGCGCGGGCACGCGGAATCGACGGAACGAAGATGACAACGAGGACGGCCAGGATGGCCAGTACAATAGAGAAGGAGAAAAAGGTCCACGGCCACCACGCGAGATCGAACAGCGCCGAGAACGTCGCACCGACGATGGAGCCCGAGGGCGCACAGGCGCCAAAGAGCGCAAACGCCATAGCCTTTCGCATGCCGTCTGGGTAGGCCGCACCGAAGATAGCGAGTCCATTCGGCATCGTGATGGCAGGGCCGATACCCGACAGCACACGCGCGAACACAAACATGACAAAGCCGTTTTCCTTGTTGTAGATGCTAAGGCCGGAGATCAGGCTCCAGACGGCGAACCACGCGTACCCTATGCACAGCATGCGTTTGTAGCCGTAGATGTCGCCAAGCCGGCCCGAGACGAGGATGAAAGTCCCGACCGTCAGGCTGTAGCCAGCCACAAGCCAGCTTAAGTCGCCGGCATTCGAGACATTGAAGCTTCGCCCGATAGCCGGGAGCAACAGCAGCACTTGTCCTAAGCCTAATTGCGTCGTGAACATGGATAGGCAGATGACGATGATAAAAGCGACTTCGCGCCATAGCGGCAGCGCCAGACCTGGGTAGACCTCTTTCTGCGATGCCGCTTCGTCACCTTCCCTGGATGGTTGATTTCCATCTGCGCTCGAGAGATCATGTTCCGAAGAGTCGGATTGGTGTTGCGGATATGCAGATCCCTTCTTCCCCAGCCCGATCGTAGTTACATCTTCTTCCGATGCGTTTTCGAGGAACGTGAAGCGGTCTTCAGACCGATCATGAGGGCGGTTTAGGGTATCGGAGTTTCTTACTAGGAGATCGAGCTCGGAGCCAGGATCAAACGTAGTTGAGATTCGTCTGCTGTACCGCTTGGTTGACGGTTCCGGTACCGAGGGTAGCCGGATTGAAACCTTCCTATATGATGGTTAATCAGTTATGGATATTATCAAGGAATTTTCAGCGTAGCCTACCTAGAGTTTTTCGCGGACATGGCGAGATATCTTAAAACTAACGAATTATGATGATGAACTCAAGTTATACATGCTTCTATATCTCGATGGGGCCCTTTATGAGGAAACATCTCATATGCCCTAGCAAATAAAAACAGGTACCTATATACACTCATGATTTATAATCCCTCGGTGTAAAGATTCGACCACACGGGGATAATATAATGTCTGGTTTAACGTCCGCCGGATCCGAGAATCGATATCTAATTAAAGCTCGGAGACAGACAAGCCACCCGAAGCCTCTCAGCTGACTTGATAATACAGCTGACTTAATGAGACAAAAGGATTCGGCTACCGGTATCTGAAGTCAAGTCATAAGCTCGTCATCGTAATGATATAAGTAACTAATGTCCTCGCTTTCCTTCTTTTAACTTATCTCTTTGTCTGTTTCATATCTTATAATAATATCTTATAATAAAGTGCCTACGTAAGGCTCATCCTTTGAAAGGAGTATTGCACTAATTCCGTACGCCGTTTAGTCGGTTCCCCCCGCGTTTACGGCCGGGTTAAATATCTCAAGGCTAAAGGTGCCAAGAGATGGTTGGTAGCATCTTATGTAGGCTGTCTTGCAAGGAAGACCAACAGCACTAACACAAACAATTACTTATGTACCTCTTATAAAACCGGCACTTTTTTGACGCTATTCTGCTACTATGGTATCAGGCATAAGTAAAACTACCCTGTGAGGTACCGCAAAATACGCTAGACAGGCCACCATACTAAATCAGTACTAGATTGTCCAGGGTCTTCAAAAGATACATTTCATTAAAATAAAATAGGAATAATCGATGCATCAACATCCTACACTTTTAAAAAATAAAATTTATATTGAAATGATCGTTAAAAAAGCTGCAATTTAAAGGTTTAATTTTTAAATGTTAAAAGTTGTAAAATCTTTTGAATTTGCTGTTATACGTATATAAGTCTATAATAAGTAAAGTAGCAATATAGGCCACATTTTAGCGCACGACTTGTGACAGGGGTTTTACTTACCCATAATACCATAGTAAGCTTTTATTTGTGGTTGGTCTGTGCATACATAAGCATCGGATCCCCACTTCGTGTTAGCCTTTGTCACACTGGATTTGGTAAGATGGCGCGATACTTCGTACCTCTAGGAAAATCCTGTGAGATGTTGTACATGGTTACACGTATATCCACATCCACCTTTGGTCACGTGCCACTTAAACATCTAAAAACATCTCAAGTGTTTGTAAAAAAAGATGAAAAAAAAGTTTTAGTTTAATCAATTAATGAGACCATATCTGACAGATCCCAAGCCGCAAAAGGCCTAGAATCCTAACGCGTAGGTATAAAACAACTATGTCTTTAATCAAAGAAAACGCCTCGCGTTTCCCACGTGGCTAATACCTAAGCTAATACCGGGCATTTCTCTCGAGATCCAACAGGATCATATGTTTTCGTCATGAATATCTGGGTCTAAGGCCTCATATAGGTATATTTAAGAGACTCCAACAGCATATTTCCTTTATAATTTAGCTTGAGGATTGATTATCACAAAATCCTACTGAATGATCCTTCCAGAGAACGCACTGATTCGCTTCCAATAGGTATATCGTCATAGTTCTATTCCTTCGCGGGGTTTTCTCATACTCGGCAAATTCACTTAGAAGGCTAGGTATACGGTACCACGATCCTGTCATGGTCACATGATATATGGAGGTATAAATACATCGTATCATACACTAGAAACATTTGTGTGTGACAGGTGCTCGTCGATCGTTGGTGGCTACCCATAGTCCTGGGAGCTGGACTGGCACCTCAGTGGTCTGAGCTCGTAGGAATATGCTCTTACTTTTAAACGAGCTGTTGGCCCTACGTCTACTGAATGGCCCGGAAGGACACTTGTTGGTCATCTCGTACGACGTGATATGCAGTAAGAAGGTGCAGCACATTCAGCTACAGTTTCAAAGCAACTGAAGCAGGCTTCACTATCCACATAGCGTATATATATTATCCCCTATCGACTACATAATGTCGTTTGCATCTTGGCGCCCCAGCCGCTAGTAGTTAGTTGATTGCGTTACATCCAAAACCATATCCGAACAATGACCGATGTAGCTATAGGGGCGCAGCCACGGCGACCACAGCTGAGAATCGCGGTTAGTAGTGACCTTGACCCGTCGTAGACTCCAGATTAAGGGTCGTAAAAGCTGTGACACTGACACCAGAATGACAAGTGCGAAGAATGCCGTCGAAAAAGGATTAAATGCGATAGGGGAACACCGCAATGCACGTCTTGTGCCACCTCCGGGAAGACTTGCATTGTAAGAGACGACTGCCCGCGCAGAGGGCCAAAGAAGGGATATCTCAAGACTTTACAGAATAAGATAGGTAAGCCTTGCTGTCAACCATTCTACTTTTCCTACCTATAGCTTTGAGACTAATAGAAAGCTGTGCTATGGCAGAGGACCTACAGGCCCGGTTAAACGAGCAGCAAGAGGCATCAGCTACTGAGACACGAACTTGTTCGCCATCTCAAGAGGAAGTTAATTCTGATAATGACAATGGCAGCAGCATGGACAACAATGAAATTCAGAGTACAGCCACCCCTATAACACTTGGTGATATCCAGCTGTGGACGCAACCGTTGGAAGTCCCATTCCCCATGATGCAACCAGGGCCATGGGACTGTATCGAGAACCCGTTTCCAAGCTCGGACTTCCCGGTATTGGATCATACTCAAGAACCGGCTCCGTTTGCCGTGGGGGTTGGACTTGATATCACTCCCATGATGCATAATGACTTGTAGGTTTTATACGCTGAAGGCTGATTTACGGACCAACCGTATTAACATTTCCCGTAGAGACCAGCTCTATTTTGATCGGGCCTATATGTTTGCGCCGATATTGCAAGCACATCGCTACCGTTCCTGGTCCAAACAACCGAATAAGAGCAAGCAGCAGACTTGCTTACAATATGCCATGTGGACATTGGCGGCATCACTCTCCAGTCAGTTCCAGGTTGCCGTACGGCAATTGTACAGCGAGGCAAGACAGCTTCTACATATAATCGAGTCAGAAGAACCCTGTCACCAAGTATCCATCGAGCAGGCCCAGGCGTGGCTCTTGCTTGCGATATATGAGCTGACATGTGAGGACTACCACCGATGGATGATGTCCGCTGGAACGGCCTTTCGCTTAATCCAGATGATGAGGTTATATGAACTTGATATACACCAAAGCCTTTACACTACGCAGGCTCAGGAACAATATTCAGCGCAACTTAGTCCTTCGGGGCAGATCCAAGATGACTGGATCGATGTTGAAACGAAGAGGCGGACGTTCTGGCTTGCATATACAATCGACCGCTTTACGAGTATGGTCGATGGATTGCACATGTTCTTCAACGACCGGATGGTTACTTTGCCTAATCCAATCTTCCTGAATATCAGTATATTAACCTTTTGCTAGATCCGTACCCTCCTGCCGGCTCCCGAGGCAAACTTTGCCAGTGGTCGTCCCAAAGAGATGAGTTTTCTCACGGATATGGTCCGCGATGCCGATATAGAGCGGCTGGACGAAGACTTGTCGTCCTTTACGGAAACCGTTATCGTGGCTCACATTTGTGGACGGGTCCTAGAACATAAGCAGAGACCTTTGGCCAGAACCCGCGATAATAATGTCGAATTCTGCCGCCGACACCGATGTATTAATGCGTTACTGGCGCAGCGCGTCGCGATGCTGCGAATGCATGCCTCGGTAGAGCACTTGGACCCCGTACTTACCTTTACTGCTCTGGCGGCACATATCTCTGTGCTGATGCTCTACGACTTTATCGAATCCAAGCCATTGGGTACTAAAGCACAAGCAACGCAGCTTACTAAAGCTCTCCACGCCGAATATCAACAGCAAGCACTGGACGCTGTAGCCGATATACCTCCTCTGGTTTTCGCACTTGACCAGCACTTTCAGGTAAAGCAACCCCCCGAGTGGTGGCTATTAGCAGGCTACCATAATCCTCGGTGTGCAGCTATCGAGCCAATTTGCCGTGCAAAAATGACAAATAACTAAGTACTATTCAATTTTTACAGACACATCCTTTGACGCCTATCCTACTTCTTTTAGGTGCCAGATTTTCGCAGTCGCACCCTGAGCTGAACGATGTTTCCAACAAGCTCATGCCTTGCATCATAACAAGATTGCAGGCCTCGGTCAACCTGAATAGGCTTTCGCAGAGTTTTCTTCAGCTCATAGGACCTCAAACCGACATTTATGGTGCATTCACTTAGAGTCAACTAGGCAAAGATTTATACCGGTTGCGTCTAACCTACCTATCAACAATTGATATTTGCAAACCTTATAAGAATTATGTTTTATGTATACCCGCGTGGAGGAAATTTTCTACTATAATCTATTAAAAATGGAGGTGTCAGGGAGGTGGTCAACCGAGTGAACGATTTAGGAAGCAGCTGTAAGACATCCACAAGCTGCGCAACCCTTCCGCGACGACTCAAGGCCCAAAACAATGATAAAGTAAATAGATTAGACTACGATACTGGAAAACAGGCCTGTTGAAGGACCAGAAACCGAATTTAGAATATAGAGATCAACAGGCGTATTCGCAATCCCTGTGCCACTGTCAGGGGTTACGATCAAACAACTGATATTTATAGATTGGGGACACGCGGCAGCTGCGGTGTCTGCGGCGTGGGGGCAGTAAGCGGGCTCTAGGATGAGCCTAGGAGGGCGAATCTCGCTATATTTGTATAAAAAACAGGTAGATCAACAGATAGAAGGATACCGGAGATTAAGAGTCGTATTGAAACTCCTCGTGCTTCGCTGTTAGTGCTTAACTCCCCTCTCTGTGGCCAACCCCTTTGACAACTACATGCGGCCCGAAAGCATGTTGGTACAAACGTGCCTCTAAAGGTGACAACAAGAAATGATTAATTTAAAGATACATAGCAGGTACCTAGGTAGTTACCAAATCACCAGCACTTGATTATGAACTTACTCGTTCACTATAATAAATGAACTCAAATAAATCTATCGTAGTACGCCAGAGGATCGATTGTAGTAGAAGTATGCAGAAGCGTCTTGTACTGTTGCATTCAAAACCTGCTTTAATATGCAGAAAGACAAAATATAATCTGAGACGCTAATCTATGAAGGAAATCTACGATACAATCCACGTAAAAAGTCTACTCTATTTTACATACTGAATGGCCCACAGGAGACGGGAAATGGATCCTAGTCTAACAGATGTTACCTTTGTTGCCCTCAACCTAACATGAGATATCCTATCCGTTTGAAATCTGAACCCGGTATATAGTCAAATCAGCACTCTATCCACCTCTGAGAAATAAGAAAGTCAATTATTGTACACCAATCAGTCGGTACAAGGCAACCTGGGACTCTAAGCAGCCGTCGCGAGGTGACGGCTCTTTTCCGCAACGGTGGCTGCTAGGGCGGCTAGGGAGGGCGTTTGTAATATATTGAAAATGGAAATGTCGGCAGCAGCCTGGAGGACCAGCATGTTGCGCAGCTCGACCGCGACAAGGGAGTCAACGCCGAAGTGGGCCGGCGGTTTGCTCAGGTCGATCTCGGCCACTGGGGTCATGAATATGTCAGAAAGCTTGGAGGCGATAGCGTTGCCGATAAGAGTGGCTCCCTCTTCGCAGGATCCGGCGTCCCCGAGCTGCGTGGCGAGTGACAGGCCGCCGTGGTCGTCCCCATCGGACGGTCCGGCCAGCGATGACGCCTTGTTGCGGTATCGCAGGGGTAAGAAGCGGGCATCACGTCCGAGCTGCGAGCGGCCGTCGATATCCCACTGGGGGCCAGGACCAGAGTTGAGGCCCACGATGATCTGGAATCGGTCCCCGAGCGGGTGAGTGACGGCAGCCTTGAGGGCCCGGAGCACGATGTCCTCGTCGAGCATAGTAAAGTCGCCATCCTTGCGCAAGCGGTCGGCCACCTTGGCCGACTTCGCAACGTAGCCAATATCTGAGATAGGTCCAAGATCGATCGTCACACCCGGCAGGCCCTGGGCCTGACGCCATCGTGCCAAGGCGTCCTCGTAGGAACCACCGGCGGCGTAGTTGGTCTGCGACGTTATGCCCACAATTCCTGATACAGACGACAGCATCACGAAAAAATCGAGAGAGTCCGGCTGCGAGAATGCAGCGTGCAGGTTCCTAGTGCCGTTGAGCTTAGGCTGTAGGCCAGCGCGCCAGTCGTCGAGCGTCATCTGTTCGAAGATGGCGTCGCGCAACAGCATAGCACCCTGTACGACGCCGCGCACCGGCGGCAGACCCTCGTCCTCGCAGGCACGGAGGGCCTTCGCCAGCTCGGTGGCCCTGGCGACATCGCAGCTGACGGGCTTTACGCGGCAACCGGTCGCGCGCAGCTCGCGCACGAAAAGAGCGCCGTTGGTGTTTTGGTTCTCGTCAAGGTCTAGATCACCGGCGCTACGAGATAGTAATATTAAGTTCTTGGCACCGCGATCCACTAGCCATTGCGCGACCGACCGTCCGATACCACCGACGCCACCGACGATGAGGTATGATGCATCAGGTCGCAGTCGGAATCGGGCCGTTAGACCCTTCGGCCGTGGGATCACCCTGGCCCGTTCTTCAGGCCCGGCCGACAGCACAATCTTGCCTATTTGGGCACCGGTCTGCACGAGCCGGAAGGCGGCCTGGGCATCCTGCATGGGGTAAACGGTGACGGGGTGGACCGACTTCAGGGCCCCCTGGTCAAAGAGACGGGCGATCTCGCCAAGCGCGCGGTGAATATTGGGTCCGCGGTGGCGCAAGAGTGTCGGGACATCTAACGACGTGAACGAAATGCCGCGGGAGAAGGACTCCAGCGCGACTAGGCTGTTGGCCTCGATCTCTCCTTTCCCGATTTCAATCAGATGGCCCAACGGCGCGATAGCGCCAAGGCTTGCCTGTAGTAATGGTCCAATTAGCGAATTGAGCACGACATCGACGCCGCGCCCCTTCGTGGCGGCTAGGACGGCTGGGGCAAACGACGCGTCGCGGCTGTTGAAGATGCGCTCGACAGGGATGTCGTGTTCGCGCCGGATGAGGTCTTGCTTTTCTTGAGACCCGGCTGTGACGTAGATCTCGGTGACACCTAGGTGTTTCGCCAGCATGATGGCGGCTTGCCCAAAGGCCCCAGCCGCAGCATGTATGAGCACCGACTGCTTGGGCGCAAGGCGAGCGATGTCGACAAGTCCAGCATACGCCACGGTAAATGCTAAGGGAAGTGAAGCAGCAGTCTCAAAGTCCATGCCACCGGGTATCCGAACAACACCGTGCCACGGGACACGGGCGCAGCTAGCAAAAGAAGCGCCTGTCAAGAGCGCCATGACACGGTCGCCGACACTGTAATCCTTTTCCTGAGCCTCAGCACCGACGCGCGTAATGATACCCGAGCATTCGAGGCCCATGGATCGATCTTTGAGTTGGCCCATCGCCGCCGAAACGTCGCGCGAGCCAAGTCCGTACGCACGCGGCGTGATCTCAACTAGCTCTGGCGACAACATCTCGTGGTTCCAGTAGTTTTCCTCGTCGTCAACGAAGGCTAACGTGTCCAGATATCCCGGGATCCCCACCTCCAGCCGTAGTGGCCGATTCTCCTGAAATAGGGGCTCTAGGGGAATGCTAGCAACAGCATCGACATCTCCCTTCTCGTCCTGGGTCCGTTGTAGTACTTCACTCCAGCTCGACACAAGCGAACCAACAACCGCGTTGTCGCATTGCTCGTCTTTGTAAATACGGGGAATAAGCAGAACGCCATCACGCTCGGCATACTCAAAATCGGCTGGGCCGCCTTCGGTGTCGGCTCGCCCGAATCCCTCCCCGAGCACCCGCACGATAGCCGACACGACGTTCTCTCCACCCTGGGACCACCTCTCTGCCGGATGAGCGGGGCCAAGGTCTAGGGAGAGGTAGCGACGGCCGACGTACTCATTGCGCAGCACACGCAGGAAGCCCTGGCTGACAGCTTGCTCAGGCGCCTCACTGTTTACAGCACCGCCGGTAGTGACCCAGAGCAGACCGCTGCACTGCGTGACCATGGCACGGAGTCCTTCTATGCGCACCGCATCGAGGTCTGCCAGCATGGGCTCGTCGATCTCGCCTACGAAAACACAGATCTTGTTTTTGTAGGCGTCTAAGCTACTCTCCTCGAGTATTAGATGCGCGGGGGCGGGGGTGTCTGTACCGGTCTGGGCCTGGATGCGACGGGAAAGCAGATCGACGAAGCCCGGAGGCGGGGGAGCTTTGCTGCTGGTGACCACGGCGAAGCTTTCTCGGTTGTTGGCTTGGCTGAGGTTGGGTTTCTGGTGTTCGGCGAGCGGCACCGTGGACATGAAGATGCTGCTGGTATGCATGATATCGTTCTGTGAGTCATGAACCTCGAGATCGACACCACTAAACCCGGCATCCCGAAGCACCCCATCCCAGAAGGATGTTGTGAGGGTCGGGATTGTCTGGTAGTCGGGCTCCTCTCCCTGCGACCGGCTTGACAGTAGGCCGAATATGAACTCGACATCTACTTGGTCCTTGGTCGTCTCCGCTAACAACAACGTGCCGCCTGGCTTCAGCAGGCTACGCGCATTGGCTGCAGCACTGATCGCATCCTTGGTCGCGTGCAGGGCATGGAAAGCTACTATAATATCGTAACTCCCTAGGGCGAACTTCTGCTTGGCTGGATTCTGCTCGATGTCGAGTTGGTCGAACTCGAGCAGATCAGCCCATTCGGCAAGGTGAGTACGGGCATCTTCCAATGACTCTGAAGATGGGTCCGTGATATGCCAGCTACCCACCAGCGGTGTCTTGGGCGTGCCAAGTGCTGCCAACATGCGACGTGTGGTGTGGGACCCGGTTCCGGCGCCGATCTGGAGGACACGGGCAGCCGGGTTCTTGTGTACGACTTTGCGCAGGAGCGTCGAGAGCTTCTCAAGCGCTGGTGACCGACGTATCGAGTTGGCGTTGTACTGATGCAGCAGCCCGCTGACTTCCGGGTTAAGCTCACCGCGGAGGATGGGCGTGAGGTCGGCACCGATGCGGCATATCAACTCGCCATCGACGCTCTGCGAGGCCGTAACGGCTATGTATTCTCGACGTTTCTCAGGACTGTCCAGTGTCCCTTCTTCGCTACTGAGAGCTAGAGGACTGGGTCCCTCGGCGGCTTTGTGGACCAGTTCACGTAACCATTCGTAGTACTTTGCGAGATGTGGCTGTTTCTGTAGTTTGGATACATCCTCCGGGGTGAGCGCACGTAGCGCGTCCTGAGCAAAAAGAACGCATGCACGCTGTAGATTTCTGGCGATGTCCGCGTCGGCCTCGGACTCGGGGGAAGCGGACATTAGCTGCTTCTTGACCTGTGCTAGAGCCAGCGACTGTCGAAGCGAGAGGTCGGGACTCCACTCGAGCTTGCTACACACCTCTTGCTCCCACTTGCTAGTGGCAGCGGCCGCGGCCGCGCCCTTGTTAGCTGCGTCCTGTCGCGCTGTGGCTCCACTGCCGCGCCCTAGAGAGGCGCACTCGAGACCCTGGATCTCTAGCACCGTGGCGTCCGTCTGACCGTCCACGACAGTGACGTCTACACGCCCGCTTTGAGGGTCGTCGTGTAGCAGTGACGTGTCGCAGTGTAGCGTGCGACCAATCTCGCGGCTGATCTGGTTCGACACCCACATCGACGCGATGGACCGCGGTACCTTTGGGTCTTCCTGCAGGGCTCCGACACTCGGCAGTGTGGAATAGAAGGCTACGACGACAGCATCGAGTGTAATCGGGTGCAGCAGGGTAGTCTGTGCCGCCACTGCCGGGTCCGTGTCGGAAGAGGCTTCGTGCCGGATCGTGATGTCGCATATAGATCGCGGTTCACGCCCGTCCTGGATGATCTTGGTCGTATTTTGGAATAGGGGGCCGTGGTAGACGCCACGTGCGCGGAGGTTAGCGAACATATCCTGAGGGTCCTTCTGGCGTGTGTAGATAGACAGCGGGCGTCGCTCTACCGTGACTACCGTCCCGGTCGTTGCCGTCTCGGGGGCTGCCGCCTCCTGCTCCGGCGTGATCATGCCCCGAGCATGCAGCGTCCACCGATTCTCCAGCGTGACTGATGATACCTCGAAGCGCCACCATCCGCGGGCGCCAACTTCTCGCTCAGGGACCGGCCGGAGCGTAGTCCGGATCTCAACGCCGTCGGCATTTTCGGGGATTACCAGGGCGAAAAGGAAGTTGATATCACGCAGACGGAATCCCGAAGTACTTCTGCCGGGCCTGTCTTTCCCTGCATTACCTGCCTGCTCCAATAGTCTCGCGGCCTCGATCGCCAGGCAGATGTAGCCGGCACCCGGGTACACAATACTGCCCTGCACCATATGATCACGGATCCAGGGGGTTTCGGCAAGGCGCAATACACGGCGCCACACAGCCACGCCGGGGTCATTACCGGCGACAGGCATACCGAGTAGCTCGTGCGGTGGCTGACTGCGCTCGCGGATAGCCCGGTTAACTCTTGCCTCTTGCCAGTGGCGCATGGTGTGGTTCCAGGGGTACGACGGCAAATCCGTCAAGACGCGGGGGCTCTCGTTGTCATACTTAAGCACGGGGAAGTTGATTTGGCTCATGACGAGAGGCTGTCCTTCGCGGAGGAGATTGATAGCGGCCGATCGCATACTGTCGCCTGCATGCTCGTCACGTACCAGTGTGCCCCAGTATGGCAGCTCGATGCCCTCGAACTCGGGCAGAGACAAGATCTCGCGGATAGGCCCGCCCAACGCCGTATGAGGGCCAACCTCAAGCAGTACATCAACACTTCTACCCGTCGGATCATCTAGATCGCCCAGCACCATGTCGATGAAGGCGTCCACGAACTGCACCGGTTGTACCAGACTCCCAACCCAATGGTCTGGGCTGGCGATTTGCTTGATGTCGGTAATACGTCCACCAGTAACTGCGGACGAAAAGATCACTGTGGGGGTTTTCCCGGCTTCCTGCAGATTTTGCTTGGCATTATGTGCTACGTCGCGCGCCATCTCGTTTCGGAGGCGCTCTCGGTAGGTATCCGCGAAGGGATCCATGTGGTGTGAGTGATAGGCCTGCTGGACTTTGAGACGACGCGCGAACACGCCATCCTGTTTACACAGGTCCTCAAGCTCTTGAACGGCAGGTGCGTCACCAGATATGGTGACACTCTGGGGGCTATTGACGCATGCGACTACAGCTTTGCCGTTCCCCTTCGTCAGCTTGTCGAGGTAGAACTGCACTTCCTCAACGCCTAGGCCGACCGCCGCCATGGACCCCTTTGCGGCACCGGATGGGCGTTGCGTCTCGTCTGCTGCAAGCACGGCGCGGTAGTAAGCCGTCGCCATGGCCTGACGATGAGTAAGGGCGCCCATGGCGAAGGCAGCCGCGATCTCGCCCGATGAGTGACTTGTGACAGCCGTAGGCGTGATGCCCCATGCTTCGAGCAGGCTTACCAAGGCGATCTGTAGCGCCACGCACACGGGGATGCTGATCTCGGTGGCGTGGACTCTCGTTGTCTTCGCATCGCGCTGTAGCTCCTCTAGGAGCGACCAGTCGGCCCCGAGGGCGTGCAGATGCGCCTCAGCCGCCTCGATCGACCGGCGGAATACCGGGTACGACGTTAGCAGCTCGCGGCCCATGGCATACCACTGCGCACCCTGGCCCGTGAATACCATGCCGATGCGCGGACGATTCGAAGGTCGGCGGCCGGGCTTGAAGCGAGGTGAGTCAAGGAGTTGGATGACGGCGTCGAGCGTGCTATCCTTCTCCAGACGCACTTGGTGGGCCGCAACCCATTGGAAGAGTGTCCGGCGCTCGCCCAGCGTGTAGCTGAGATCTCCTAGCAACTGCTCAGAGGCCTCGTAATCAAGCGACCTGTGCTTCTCCAGATATACCTTGAGGTCCGAGACCGCTTGCTGACAGCCCCGCTCGTCGCGCGCGCTGAGGATCAGCACTTTGGTGTTGTCAGTCGTATCGTTCATATGATTCTTGCCGTTGGTATAGCTGTTGCCATTCGTATGCCCGTTGTTTTTCTTATTGTGATTGTCATTGCCATGAGTGGTAACGTCATCCAGACCGGGTGTGGAGGTCCATGGGTCGGCACTCTCTAAGATGACATGAGCGTTCGACCCGCCGTAGCCGAAATTGTTGACGGATAAGCGGCGCGGGCCAGCAACTAGACCGTGGGGCCACGGCTCCATTGCTGTCACCACTTTGAGACGCCACTCCTCTAGCTTGAGCTTCGGGTTGGGCGTCTCATAGTTCACGGAGGGTGGGATCAACCCCTTCTCGAGGCACAAGACACCCTTGACTATGGCGGCGAGACCCGAAGCAGCCTCGGTGTGGCCGATATTCGTCTTGACGGAGCCGATACGCAAGAAATGCGTCTCGTTATCGCGGCCCTCACCCCCTCCAAAAATAGCGGCCATGGCGCCCGCCTCGATGGGATCGCCGGCCGGAGTCCCTGTGCCATGGGCCTCAAAGTACTGAGTACCGCGCGGGTCGAGACCGGCACGGCGGTAGCATTCGCGCATAAGCTCCACTTGGGCGGCGCCCGACGGTGTCGTGATGGTGTCTGTCTTACCGTCCTGGTTCAGGGCCGTCTCACGGATCACGGCTCGAATGGGGTCGTTGGCGGCTAACGCGTCGGATAAGCGCTTTATGACCAGGGAGGCCACGCCTTCACCACGACCGTAGCCGTTGGCGCGCGAATCGAATGCGTACGACTTCCCATCGGGCGACAACATCCCTAATGACCCGATTGCCTTGAACGTGTCTGGGTTTAGCATCACGTTGGCCCCGGTCACAATGGACATGTCGGCCTCGCGGTTACGCAAGGTCTGTATCGCCTGGTGCAGGGCTACCAATGTTGTTGAACATCCCGTCTCCAGAGTCATACTAGCGCCATGGAGGTCAAAAAAGTGTGAAATGCGGTTGGACGACATGGGGCTCCAGGTGCCCACTACGTTGAACCGTGGCAGCCTATCCTCATCTCGTATTATTCCCTCTTGGTAGTCATGCGTGAAGACACCGGCAAACACGGACGTCTGAGATCCCATTACCTGCGAGAGAGGCAGGCCCGCTTCGACTCGAGTCAGTTGAAAGTCAGAGCATTGGAGAGGAATGAGGCAGCAGTAACCTACCGTTTTCGAGCGCTTCATAGGTAGACTCGAGCTGTAGCCGAAACTGCGGGTCGATTGCCTGAGCCATCTCTGCCGAGTAGTTGAAGAATGCCGCATCAAAAGCCGCTACGTCCTCGTCAAGAAAGTGCCCACCCCTGACATGTGTCTGAGCCCGGTAATTAGTGCCCTAGTATGCCAACTGTGCGTACGCTACTCGATGTAATATCACATACCGTGCTGTTTCTTTCGTGATTCTGGTGATAAACTCCTTTCAGGTCATACCGATCTACTGGGATCTCGCTCCACCCAGTCTTCCCTGCGGCCATAAGGTCCCAGAGCTTGTCTGGGTCGCTAGCACCACCAGAGAACTTACAGCTCATGCCAATGATGGCAATGGGCTCGCTTGCCCACTCGCCGTTGTCTGTGTCCATTGTGTCGAGATGATGTGGGCCTAGTCAAGGCTCTGTGCCCCCCACGGTGATGGTAAAAAATAATGAGGATAAATTGGACTAGGTCTTGTTCAAGGCTTTAGGTAGAAGAAACTGGCGAGAAATCATTCGAACCAGCAATCGTTTCTTATTCAAATAAATATTATACACTACAAGAATGAATTTGCCACTATTAGATATATAGTCATGATATCGTTCACTATCTATGTACAGAAAATCACGTCAAGGCAGTTATTTCTCATAATCAATTCAACGACGCGGACTAGGACCTGCATTGCCAACAATCTATTCCTGAACGAATTATCAATTTACCGTATTATACACGACAAGCGGCTGGAAGCATGAGGCACAGGATTAAGCTGCTGACTGTATTTGTAAATAAAGTATTGCCGCGCACAATAGTAAGTCCGCTCGGGAAATGTTGTCCGGAATGGGTTCTATTTAGCATCTCGCCAGGAGTCTTTTAGAAGCGGACACATACGAGCATTCATAGCCCAGCTGGGAGAATCCCAGTCGGAAGCCGGAGCGGACGTGGATATGGATGCGGGTGCGATGATTTGTCCTAAGCAAGAGGAACATCTTTCGAATCCCACATCGTGGTTAGATTAATTCTCATGGACAATGACGAACGGGCAGCTTCTGTTTAGACATGTAGCCTGGCTATTATCTTCAACAACGACTACGAAGTAGTTCGCCCTTGTTGAGGTACTACCGCTCCGATCAATAGCGTACAAATCATTCTGTCCGCCTGACAACTAAGTCAATACTAGAAATAATAGTCCGTTATACTTTTTTTTTTTCGCAAGACATCGTACAATACGTTAAGTTACTCGTTTGCCAATAACTTTCTCTATTAATTCACTATTATAAGCTTTGCTAGAGTACGAGAGAGTTTATAATCCTGTTGATATTAGGGTATACCATATTGGGAGGTCCTAGCCAATCGATCGGCAGGTGAGGTTTCCCACCGCCGTAATTTAGTATTTATTTTTAGTAGTTTTTTTTTCACTTAATTTGGTATTATATGTGATGAGATATCTACAGTAAGCGTCTTACGTGCGTGAGCTGAAAGGTGTGCGCTGGACCACAACCAACAAGCAGGATTGTGGTTTCGGCGCCCAGGCAGGGCGAGACGCCACATAGCTGGAGGCACTGCACTGAACCACATAACCAACACATAAGCATCCTTTCAACCATGTCCAGATCCTGAAGCCTGCTACACCGTCCGGATCGAATCTATATAATGAGACTTCTGCAGGTCCGCAGATCACAGTTCGAAACCGGGTAACTCACCAAGCCGACACAGAAAACTCATCCATTCGTTTGATCCAATCACTTCTCTTCAAACCTCACTTTCGATTCGAAAGGTATATAAATATACTTTCTAGATTTAGTCCATCATGATGAGAGCGAACATATTGCTTGGCACTCTCATCTCTTGGGTCTCTCATGGTCTAAGTGCCTCGGTGAATACGACGTCCTTCTCCGCAGCAGACACTATACAGCGAGATATTGCTATCGTTGGCGGCGGCTCGTCGGGTACACATGCGGCCATCCAATTCAAGGATGCCGGCAAGACCGTTGTCGTGATTGAGAAGCAAGCACAACTAGGTGGTCATGTGAAGACATTCACAGCTTCGTCGGGGGTGCGAGTCAACTATGGCCCTTCCAACTTCCAGAACAACACCGCCGTCGTGGATTGGTTCTCCCGATTTGACATTCCCGTCGTGCAGTATGAGCAGCCGGGGGTAGGCGCAAAGTATGCTGATTTCAGTACGGGCAAGGAGCTAGAGAATGGAACGCTCCCTAACCCTGATTTCGGTGCGTACCTCGAAGTACTTGCCAAGGTAAGACCATCTCGATATATCCTGACTACCTAGTAACGGCATGAACTGATATCCGGGCTGCCAGTTCCCATACCTTGAAGACTTTTCGCATTTGCCCGATCCGATCCCAGAGGACTTACTGCTGCCATTTGGCGAGTTCGTCGAAAAGTACAATCTCCAGAGTGTCGCGTATACCATCGCCCAGTTTGCTACTTCAAATGGCAACGTTTTCGAGCAACCAACACTCTACATTTTGAAAGTAGCAGACGTTCCATATATCCAAGGCATAATCAACGGTGACGTACTGGCCCCAGCGACATACGACGCCCAATCGGTGTTTCAGAAGGCTCAGCAAGATCTTGGGTCCGATGTCTTGCTTCGCTCTACCGTCAGCAGCGCAACACGATCAAACACTGGGATCAGCCTCGTCGTCAACACTCCCAACGGGCAAAAACTTATCAAGGCCAACAAGCTGCTTGTCACAGTGCCCCCGAAGATCGATAACCTGAAACCATTTGATCTTGACCAACGCGAATCAGGAATACTTTCTAAATTTCAAAGCAAGGCGTTCTATACTGCTTTACTCAACCAAACTGGTCTGGCTAAGGGTTTCAGTTACTATAACGCCAAACCCGCCGCAGGCCAAACATACCATGTCCCTTCATTGCCGCTCTTACAGTTCATTTGGGCAACCAAAGACGTGGACACGTTCTGGGCCTGGTACAGCTCGGCCACTGAATTGCCAGACGCAACAGTCAAGGCAAATATCATCAAGGATTTCCAGGCACTTGCGCCCGGATCGAAGCCTCAAATTATGGTATTTTCCAACGCCGGCCCGTCGGGCGTAGGCGTGACGGCGGATGAGATCAAGAACGGCTTCTACAAGGACCTTCTTTCGTTGCAAGGGTACAGAAACACGTGGTACACCGGCTCCGCTTGGGTCTCGGATCATTCGGCTGGTTTGTGGAACTATACCAATTATGAATTGGTGCCCAAACTAACTCAGTAATTGTTTGAGGAGATGGGTATACTTGGCATGTGGAAATGGAGTTGAACAGAGTGCATCCCCCTTTGTTTTTAGCATATCCAGTTCTCATCAATAACCCCAAGTTAGCCGCAATAGTCACGTAGTTTTAGTCAGTAGCTTCAATATCAACATTTTACAATCAAACAGCTCAGTCAGGTTTTTGTTATCACATATGAGTTCATGTTAACCTATCTACTGATGTATTTCACCTAAGAGTAATTTATTCTACACCTTTGTTTTGGTCCGACAAGTGAACTGTACCGGGCCGTACTCGCAATCTTGCAGCTTTCAGTTGAGCGGTAGCTCGATAATAGGGGTACGACCACACCCACCAGCACACAGCCCCGCGATCGCATAAGCCGCGAGTTTAGGGTAATGTTTGAGTATGTCGTCACATGTAAAATTGGTAGCTCAATGAGTACAGAACATCCTCAAGTATATAGTTAACTATTCTTATGTCCATGCATCAAAGAGTTGTTACGAAGAGCGAAGTAAATGTGATTTCATGAGTCTATTTGATTGGGGAGTCTTGATCATTCAATTATACACTTGACAAATAATCTACTGAGGAAACTAGTTGGAAGACCAGATAGCCTTGTTCTCCTCAGCGAACTTCTCGAAGCTTTGTGGGGGGTGTCCTGTCACCCTTTCGACATCATTCGATGTCCCCTTCTCGAAGTCTTGCGAAGCCATAACCTCTAGACGGGTTAAAAATCGAGCGAAGTACTCCGACAGACCGGCTTGGACTAGGATGTCAATCCGGCCGGCTTCGTCGAGCTTTACGTGCTCGATCTTGCGCCCGAGAACTTTGGAAAGCGTCTCGGCAATCTGTGAATGCATTTCGTGTTAGTATTGAGCTATGAAACTTTCTATTGAAATGGATGGGTAGATAGGAAGGGTCATCGTACCTGATCGTAAGTCAAGTTCTCAGGCCCGAGTATCCTGAGGTCACTGTTATAGGACTTCTCGTCCGTCAGGGCGTGATAGGCCACCTCGGCAATGTCATCCGCGCTAATGAAGGGGATTTTTCCATCTTGAGCGGCGGTGAAGATCTTGTTCAGCTTGCCGATGGTAAATGCAAGACCCGGTTCAATCAAGTTTTCTGTGGGTTGTATTAGCGATATAAGAATATGAATTAATAAAAGCCAACGGCTGGGGTTACTTACCCATGAACCAAGACGGGCGAAGCACACAGTAGTCAACACCAGACTTGATGAGATGCTCCCAAACTCTGCCCATTCCGTCCTTGCCAATTGTTGCCGAGTTTCCAGCACATAGAACGAAACGATTGACGCCTTGCTTCTTGGCAAGGTCCACGAACTTGTTCATGGGCACCCAAGGCTCGCTAATTCGAGGCTCCATCATGTAGACGGCCTTGATCTGTGTGCTCTCGAATGGCTTCGTCCAGGTCGACTCATCGCTCATGTCAAATTTGACGGTGGGATGACCATCTGACCCAGCACTAGGTCCTTGACGCGAGCCTAGAAGATAGGGCCTCTTGTCCGCAGCGAGCAATGCCGCAACTCGTGGAGCCGTCTTGCCGCTACCGCCAGTGAGAAGAATCGACATGTTGGATAAGGGGGATTTTGCTAATTGTGAAATTGACATTTACGACTTGAATTTTAATTTCTGCGGAGGATAGACAGAAAAGAAAGAAGGGGGTAGGGGGTAGAACAATATAAGTAAGAGGAAGTAGAACAATAGAAAGAAGTGTTGGTAGTTTGCTGCTTACCAACAGTGCTACGCTATTATTCGCACAAACGTTACCGCGCTCTCGGAACTCGAACAGGCCGTCGTCATAACTTTGAACCGTTGTATTCCGTGATCCTACCGGAGATAAGAACATAAAGCATCGCCTCGGATTTCTCCCGGCTGACCGAGCCTGCTGCCTGGATGCTGTTGTGTAACGAGACCAGTCTCCGTGCTGCCGTAACAATGGAATCCATCCCTTGCAGCACTATTTTGGCGTCCAAAATAAAGTGGGTTGATGCACCCAATCAGGGCTTCGCGTTGTGGGAAAAGTTACCTATTTAGGGAATATCTTTTTTTTCTTCCTTCGGATTTATTATTCGCGGACTCGGCGGTTGAGGGATAAGCATGTCAGGTAATCCGCCCCCGGTGGTAATTAGCTCCCGGTAGTAGCGGGATTACATACACGCCGCATCCACGCGTGTCCGGAATACATGGACCGGCCGTCTCTAAGCATGACAGTCTCCGGTGATTGTATATCGAGAGACCAAAGTTTTCAGCGGTAAGACCATCGATACCTTGTAGATATATAAATAGATACCTAATATAAAGAGAGATGCAATCGACTTTTATTCCACACTATTCCAAGATTAGCAGCGCAAACCAACCAACCAACCAACCAACCGTCCAATAAACACTGCAACCATGCCCGTCACACCACTTCCCGCCAGGCTCGCTGGTCCGCCTCTAAGCGACCGTGAGGCCGTCGCAGACATTTGTTACGCCTCCTTTGCGTCCCTCGACCACGGCGACGAGCAGCTCCTCATGTCGGTTGTGACCCCAGATATCCACACCTACATCGCCGGCAAGACATGCAGCGGCGCTGAGGACCTCAAGGCCAAGGTGTTCGACCATGTCGGCAAGAAGCTCGACACGATCCACTACCTGACCAACATGCGCGTCAGTGTCGACACCCCCACTACGGCCCGCGTCACCTTCACCGCGCAGGCCGTGCATTGCCGACCTGGCAAGGGCAACGAGCCGGGTCCTAACAAGTACATGACCGGCGCCAACTACAGCTGCGCGGCTGTCAAGTCGGACGGCGTCTGGAAGCTGAACGATATGGAGTCCAACCATCTTTGGTCCGAGGGCGATCGATCCGTCATGAAAGGTTGAGTCGAAGAAGTGAGGTTGGGCTTTACGCCCACGAGAGATATTGATCGGGAGACTGGAAGCACGGATCATGTATGACTTGGATTTATTTTATCTAAACCTTGCTCGAGTTTATAAACAATCTCAAGTACTTCGCTCTTTGATATATGCCGCATTTCTAGTGATGAAGTAATTAAGCAACTTTAGCTTTGTATAAGAGAGTAGAGACATTAACGTTGTCAACGAAAGTAGGTAAGCTATTAGTAGACTGTAGACTAGCTTGCTTCTGTTTGGCTTCGAGGTTAACTTAGCAAATATCTAAGAGCTGTAGGAAAGCTGCGTTCTGGGACCGGACACTCTTAATCTGTCTAAGCTCGGTCGGTCGTTATAAGGAGCACGCATATTCTCCCATGCAATGCGAAAATATTGCATTGACGCGTCGTGCATGTATGCGTTGTTGATAGTTATAAATTAACCTCGTGTAAAATATTCTCTTGGGATGAATTCAGCAGAGAAATACAAAAAAAACATAATAATGTGGAATGAACTCTTAATTCCAGTCTGATAAAGTCATGAACCTATGCCATGGCAATGCAACCAGAATAGGTCTTAAAACTTCAAGCCGTTTTTATCTACAAAGGTCAGGGCCAAAAGTCTTACACATCCAGGCTTGGCAAAGCTACGTGCGAGTAAAAAAGGATTGCACGGTATTATTAATGCTATAGTGGCTAGTATCGCTATAAATATTGCAGTAATCTAGTGGACAAGCCACTATTCAGCTTTGATCTTAGCGCGTGGCTCGTACAGTATCAAGAAGTCAAGAAGTCAAGAGAAATACAAAATACGGTGCTAAGAGATGCGATAGTGCGAATTATCAACTTATAGGGTGAACAGCAATTAACCAGGATAGCTTAAAAATCTAACTGCCACAAAAACCCAAGCATCTAATAACTTTTCCTCAAGCCGTCAACGGCGCCAAGATATCATAACTCACAATTGTCTGCGCGGCCTTAGCGAGCTTCTGCTTGAGCCCCTCGGGGTCCCGCCCATCTCGCCACTGGTACATCCGGCCGATCTGAGCAGAGTTGCGAGGAACCCACTGGCCACGCTCCAACCTGGCCCGACTATAAGTCTGTAGCGCCTCTCTCAGCGCGTTGGCTGCAGTTTCGCCGTTCAGGGTCTCCCGCTGAGCCTGCACCGACTCCAGAACCTTGCAGACTACGAGGGCGTCTTCAACACCCGTGCAGGCGCCGATCCCCAGGAATGGAGTGCTGGCATGCGCCGCGTCGCCGACGATACAGGCGCGGCCCCGTGCATACGTCGGTGGAGGGTTGTCGGTCATATCGTAGATTCCCCACTTGGTCATTTTCTCCGGGTAGAGCTTCCAAACGTTGGCAGCATGTGGACACCAGTCCCTGAAGATTCGCTCGACCTCGCCACGGTCGGCTTGTGTCGTCATCCTGTTGGGGTCAGGGAACTCCTCGGCATCGTAAGCAAAGATGGCAATGTTCAACAGTGTTCCGCTCATGACCTGACTCAAGTGTACTGTCATTAGCAACCTCGTGCGCATATAGAGAGGGTAGGATGTCTACGAACAGGATACGTCAGCAGGCATGCATTCGGACCACAGTGCATACAGCCGCCCTTAGCAGTCTTCTCGCCCATGGCGGCAATGCCGACATCAATAGGGACCATAGTGCGGTAGGTAACATTGTGCGTGTAGCCCGGCCGGCTAGCTGGATGGTCGGCGCCTAACATGATTTTCCGGGTGCTCGAGTGGACGCCGTCACACCCGAGCAAAACGTCAGCCTTTGCCGTGCTGCCATCTTCAAAGTGGAGAATGACCTTGCTGTTCTCTTCGTCGTCGTAGCTTACGAGCTGCTTTCCGAACACGGCGGCCCCTTCTGGCAGCAGGGCCCCCATCTCCTTAAGGAACTGCGAGCGCACGCAGCCCCAGAACAGGAGCTTGTTGTTCGGCGTCCGGAAGAGCAGCGCCTTGGATTCGTCCTCGGCGTCCTCTCGGGTACGTGGGCTATAGCCGTCCCAGTAGCTGTTGCTCGAATTGGCGTCCGTCTTCTGGCTGATGCGGCCCAGGATCTCTATGAGATCAGGGTTTATCTGTTCCATCCACCCCCGTGCTGCCTCGGTGAACGCAAATCCGGCGCTGACCTCCGTCCAGGTTGACGCGCGCTCGTAGATGACTGCCTTGATGCCCCGACGATGCAGGCCCAGCGCCGTAATGACACCGACTATGCCACCACCCACGATGGCCACCTCAAGAGAAGGTGCACCGCCGTTGATGTGGTTGTTGCTGCTGCTAGCCATGGCGAAGATGTTAATGATAGGACCGAATAGGACGATAAAATTGTTTATTGGACTGAGAAAGTTGTCGATAAAGCAACACAACAAATATCTACCTACCTTCTATTGACTACTCACTGACTACCTAAGGTAGCGAACATCGTGGTATGTATACATAAATAGGTAGCGAGCTTGGCAGCGCACTAAGAAGACAGGTTGATAGACTGACAACTCAAAAAATCGACTAAGTTGCGTAACGGAATATTCATGCGGTTGGTTTCTGCTAAGAATAGTATCACTTACAGCTGAGCCCGGAATTTTGATTCCCCTTGACTTTCTCATGAAGAATCTGTTATGAACAATCTATTAAGACCGGAAGGATTCGCTGTCAGCTAGAGTGAGCAAAGGGATTTCATAACTTGTCGCAATAACTTTTGCGCAGGAGGAAGGCTTACGGCAACCCTTCCCACCTTCGGGACGAAATAACAGCGAATGATGACCGCGACGAACGACGCCACTAGTCGCCACTATTCCGATACACAGACGGAATGTGCGATGTTGGGACGCGGAAGACGCTACCTTCTGAAGGAACAAGGCTGGCTCATGGGCGTCTTACATAATTATGAGGTGTCGCTTGAAGCCTCCATCTTATATCTTATATCAAGTCGACCTTGGCTAGCCACGAGCATAGACTTGAACGAGGATACGAATAACCCTAAGATGTTCTTCACATTACTTCGCTACTAGACTACTATATGCCCCCACTGTTAAACATTATATCATCCGCTATGCTATCTGGCTTTCCCTAAATAACACCGATATTTATATACCCTTTCAGGAGATTGAGTAACAATGACGGCCTCCACCATACCCACCACTTCTTTAAACACGCGCAAGGCGAAGAGCTTTGTTTTTGGAGGACATATCGGACCACAGAGCAAAAAGACTCTGGAAAAGCATGTACGACAGATCTTGAATGGACCTAATGCGAAATGGATGCTGGATACGCTGGCAGACTTGCCACGGTACTGGGAAGCCGTTATAGAGAAGATCCCAGAAATGGCCGGGACGATGCAAGGTGCCCGTCTACTGGCCGATTTCGAGTCGTGGCTCCGAAATGGAACGGCGACCGACGACTCTATAGCGTCAGACGCGGAGATACCGGATATCTGGATCGGCTTTATGATGATCGCTATTCAGCTTGATCAGTACTGGCGGTATCTGGAGTTCCGATTCAACGGCCCGGCTGGAGGTGTGGACGACCCGCAGGCAGAGTTGGTGCAGCAGCATCAGTCTACCGGAAGCGACAAGGTCGAGACGGTGGGTTTCTGTGCTGGAATGATCGCTGCCGTAGCTGTTGCAAGCTCCCACAACCGGCGGGACTTTGAGAAGTACGGTGCCGCGGCACTACGCATCGGGGTTATGATGGCGGCCCTAGTAGGCGCCTGTGAAGAGTGGAGTAAGGGCCTCGGCAAAGGAAGATCCGTCTCGTTGGCTACGGCGTGGAGGACTCCCAAGCAGGGCGAAGATATGGCGCGCATTGTTGCGTCCATGTCTCCCGATGCCTACGTCTCCGTGCTTTTTGATGAGTCTCGAGCCACCGTGACGACGTCAGAGCGCCTCGCGCCAAAGCTGATAAGGCAGCTTCGGGCGGCAGGTGTCACGACAATACCGCTCGCCTTTAGAGGCCAGCTCCACACGCCCGGTGCGGAGCGGGAACGCCATACCAACGCTCTGATCGAGATATGCCACGCGATGCCCGAGCTACAGTTTCCGGATGCTGCCTGTCTGGCACTGCCGACTTACCTTGATCACCCCGAGGGGAAGCCGGTCTCGGCCGAAGAAGTCGACTTGATTGGTATGGTGTTGCGGTCCATCCTAGCGAATCAATTAAGCTGGTCCAGTACCGTTTCGAAGCTTGTGGCGAACGGGGAGGACGTCTCGCTAATTTCCTTTGGGCTTGACCGCCCTCTGCCGGCCACCGTTCTGGGCCGCTTTGGCCCGAAGCAGGTGCATTTCGAGGACCTCGTAGACCACATAAACAAGTCTCTAGAATCCTCGCTCAGACTCCGCCCAAGCAACCGCGCCGGTAACCACTCGAACGGTATCGCGCAAGGTCAATCCGCAGAACCGAGTAGACTCAGTGTCAAGCCGGAAGAAGACCAAGATGATGTGATTGCGATAGTGGGCATGTCCGTGAAGACGGCGGGTGCCGACGACCTGGAAGGATTCGGGGAGATGCTTAAGACCGGGGCGTCGCAGCACGAAGTGATCACGCGTGAACGGATGGTTCACGACATGATGTACCGCGAAAACGCCGACGCTGACCCCAAGAGGAAGTGGTATGGTAACTTCATGCGCGACCCAGACGCTTTTGATCACAAGTTCTTCAAGCGCAGCCCACGTGAATCGATGGCTATAGACCCGCAAGGCCGACTCTCGCTGCAAGGGGCGTACCAGGCAGTCGAACAATCTGGGTATTTCAACGAATTGGCAACTACCAGCGCGTCCGAGCACCAAAGACGGAAGCACGTAGGAGTTTACGTCGGCCTCTGCTCTTTCGAGTACGAGATCAATATTGGCTGCCACCCGACAAGCGCGTTTACGGCGACCGGGGGCTTAAGAAGCTTCATCCCCGGTCGATTATCGCATTATTTTGGTTGGACCGGGCCGGCAATGACGGTCGATACAGCATGCTCGTCGTCAACGGTGGCCCTTCACACGGCCTGCCGGGATCTGCTGTCGGGTGAAGTCCCGGCCGCGCTCTGCGGTGGCGTCAATGTCTTAACAAATTTGCAATGGACACAAAACCTCGCCGCCGGTAACTTTATCAGCCCGACGGGCCAGTGTAAACCTTTTGATACCGACGCCGATGGTTACTGCCGAGGTGACGGAATCGCCTACGTGTTCTTGAAGAAGCTATCTACCGCTGTAGCTGACGGCAATATGGTCCTAGGCACTATACGCGCTACGGGTGTCAACCAGAACCTCAACTCCACGCCGCTATTTGTCCCCAATGTGCCTTCGCTATCGACATTGTTCAACGACGTGATTCGTAAGGCCCGCGTGGAGCCGCGTGACATTTCGCTAGTCGAGTGCCACGGCACTGGCACGCCGGTCGGAGACCCTGCGGAATACGAAAGCATACGTATGGCTGTAGCTGGTCCTTTGCGCGATACCGTTGTGCCCGTTGGCTCGGTCAAGGGTAACGTTGGCCATACCGAAGGTGCCTCTGGAATCGTCTCCTTAATCAAGGTCCTCATGATGATGAGAGACGGTTTCATCCCTCCCCAGGCTAGCTTCAAGAAAATGAATCCTCATATCCACGCGCAGCCATCAGATATGATGGAGGTGGTCACGTCGTTGCGGCCCTGGCGAGAGGACCGGAAAATCGCCCTCATCAACAACTACGGCGCCTGCGGAAACAACTCGAGCGTGGTGGTTGCCTACACGGCTCATAAACCTACCAGACCCCTTTCGGCTGGGTCAGCACTGTCATCGCCGTCGGCGCCTCGATTACCCTTCTGGATCTCAGGCCTCGACACCCGTAGTATTGCGGCCTATAGCACCACACTAGCGCCCTACCTACGATCGCATACTGGGCCCGAAGATGGACAAGCGACGCTCGCGGATGTGTCGTTTAACATGAAGCGACAGTCAAATCCCGGTTTGCCTCAAGGGCTGATCTTCAGCTGCACTTCATTGGCCGACCTACAGGAAAAACTTTCTCAGGCAGCCTCAGCTACCACGAGCACAGCTGCCAGCATCGGCATTGCCCCAGTGAAGCCCGAGCGGCCCGTCATCTTGTGCTTCGGAGGTCAAGTATCAACCTTTGTTGGGCTTGACCGCGCATTGTATGAAGGTGTAAGCGTATTACGCCATCACCTAGACAAGTGCAACGTCGCTATCACGTCCAAAGGCCTGGATAGTATCTACCCCGACATTTTCTCATGCGAACCTATACGGGATGTAGTCAAGCTCCAGACCACGCTCTTTGCCATGCAGTATGCCTCCGCCAAGAGCTGGATAGATTGTGGGCTTATCGACAGGGTGGTATCCGTCGTAGGCCACAGCTTTGGTGAGATTACAGCACTCTGCGTCGCGGGCGTGCTCAGCCTGGAAGACACGGTTAAAATAATTGCTGGTCGAGCTAAGCTGGTACGGGACGCCTGGGGACCTGATCCGGGAGCTATGATTGCTATCGAAGCTGACGAGGCACTTGTGCATGATATTCTGAAGGAGTCAAACCTCAAATCCGACGGGTCGGCCGACATCGCCTGCTATAATGGTCGCCGCAGTTTTACCGTCGCTGGATCGACACAAGCCATCGACGCTTTTTCCAAAACGCTAGCTGAGAAGAGCAGGATGGTCGAGGGGGTCAAGAGTAGGCGTCTGAACGTTACTAACGCCTTCCACTCCACATTGGTAGAGCGCCTCGTGGACCGCCTGGGAGAGCTCGGTAAAGGAGTTACCTTCAACAACCCCGTCATTCCGATAGAACGTGCTACTAAGCATGGTGATCCGGCGGCTAAACTGGATTGGGGCTTCGTCGGTTCCCATATGCGCCAACCGGTCTTCTTCGATCATGCCGTACAGCGGCTCATTAAGAAGTACCCGCAAGCCATCTTCCTCGAGGCGGGTTCCAGCTCGACCATCACCGTCATGGCGGCCCGCGCACACGCCCAAGCGGCCTCCAAGACTTCTGACGCAATCCACTTCCAGTCCGTTTCCATTACGAATACCAAGAAGGGTTTCGACGGACTCACGGACGCAACTGTGGCCCTCTGGAAACAGGGCCTGCGAGTGTCTTTCTGGGCACACCACCGGCTCCAGACAGGCGACTACGCACAGCTCCTCCTACCGCCATATCAGTTCGAGAAGACACGCCATTGGCTCGAGCTCAAGTCGCCCAGGGAGGAGGTCATCAAGGCGGCCCAAAACATGATAGCCACGGGAGGCAATGGGCTGCTGCTGACAGGAGGGGTATCACGATTTGCACAGCAAGAACACGAGGACCCCAAGACCCTACCTCTATGGAATTTCGTCGGCTTCCAGGACGATCCAGCCAACAAAGGACACAGCACCAAGAAGCAGGCGAAGATAGCGCGGTTCCGTATCAATACGGCCTCGGACAAGTACCAGCGTCTATTCTCAACCCACGTCATCGCGCAGACGGCGCCCATGTGTCCCGCCACGCTCGAGATCGATATAGCCATCGAAACCGCTTTCAGCCTAAATCCAGACTACAGATCGAGTGGATACTCGGCGGTGGTACGCGACATGCTTAGCCATTCACCCATATGCGCCGACTCAACGCGCGTTCGCTATATCGACCTAAGGCCCCTCAGCAATACCGAAACAGAGTGGCACTTTATAATACACAGCGTGGGGGATTCTACTACACCCGCTACCGAGAAGCACGCCGAGGGACGGGTCCACCTCTGTTCGCCCTCCGAGCCGTCCTTCGTCCAGGAGTTCGGGCGCTACGAGCGCGCGGTCAGCCACGCGCAGTGCCGGGCCATCCTACAGCTAGGTCCGAACGACGAGGGCGTAGAGGCGCTCCAGGGCCGCAATGTATACCGGGCCTTTGAAGGCGTCGTCGACTTCGGCCCGGTGTACCAGGGCGTGCGATCCGTGGTGGGCCGCGATGGCGAGAGCGCCGGTGTCGTTCACAAGCGTCACAGCGGCGACACCTGGCTCGATGTCCCCAAGGCCGACTCGTTCGGCCAGGTCGCGGGCATGTACGTGAATCTGCTGACGGACCTCCCGGCGAGCGACATGTACGTCGCCACCGGCCTCGAGCTAACGATGCGCTCGCCTAAGGCACAGACCGTGACGGATGGCCGGGAAAACGGTCCCGGTGTCTGGCACGTGCTTGCCCGCCACGCGCGCCAATCCGACAAGACCTACGTGACGGACGTCTACATCTTCGACGCCGCGACGGGGGCGCTGGAAGAAATCATCATGGGCCTCCGATATGTTCGCGTCGCCAAGGCTACGATGAGTAAGATACTGGCGAGGGTGACTGTGGATAAATCGGTTGTGAGGGGCACCGCAGCGTCTGTGCGGTCGTCTGCCCCTCCTGTTACCACCCATTCCCCGTCTGTCGAGACCAGAAGTCCCCAACCAGACGCAAATGTACAAAGGGACAGTAACAGAAAGGCAAAAGCTACCGGCAGGCACGATATCACAGAAGAAGTGCGCAATGTAGTCGCTAACGTTTCCGGCATCGAGGCTAGCGAGATGACGCTTGATAGCGATATGGCTGACCTAGGTATCGACTCGTTGATGGGGATGGAGCTGGCACGCGAGGTCGAGAATACCTTCAAATGTACGCTCGACCAGGCCGAGCAGATGGAAGCTACAAATCTTCGTCAGTTCATTGCTTGCGTATCGAATGCTTTGGCTAGGGCTGGAGAGGGGTCCGGTGTGGAACGAGAGGAGGAGGACGATGATGATGTTAGCGACGATAATGAGAGCGACTATGACTCGGCTGCCACCGGAGAGGGTGACAGCACAGCTCCGGTCTATGACACAGCCTCTGATATCTCTACTCCGGATGACGCGCCAGATTTCACCGCTGCCAAGAGGTTAGTCCCTAGCTCCCTGTCAGCTCCGGCTTCGACAACTGACGCATCTGCCGCAGAGGCGAAAGTGCTTAATAGGGGCGACGTAGCGGCGCGTGAGGCAGAGGCAGAGCGCCTAGTGGCTGCTTACACAACAGGATGGGAGTCGGCCCTACTCGAGGCCGCGGCAGACCGTACAACCACCACCCGTACCGGTAGGAGAGCCACGGTAGTTGTAACAGGCGCATCGGGCAGCCTTGGGTCACACCTTGTCCAGACACTCGCCGTGCGGCCGGATGTCGAGACTGTCGTATGCATCAACCGTCCCGTTAGCAACGTTCCCGCGGACAAGCGGCAGGCGGATGCGCTGTTGTCGAGAGGCATCAAGCTGTCCGCGGCCGCGCGCGCGAAGTTGCGGGTGTACGGTACCGACACCTTTAAGCCGCAGCTCGGTCTCCCAGCTGAGGAGTATGCCTGGGTGGCGCGACACGGCACCCATATCATCCACAACGCGTGGCCGATGAGTGGCACGCGGCCGCTCAAGGCTTACGAGCCCCAGATCAGGGTGATGCGGAACCTGTTGGACCTGGCTCGCGACATGGCGACAACCTCCACCCCACGCAAGATCGGCTTCCAGCTCGTCTCCTCCATCGGTGTGGTCGGCTTCTCTGACGGGTCCCACGTGCTCGAGCAGCCTGTGTCCATTGCCGCAGTGATGCCCAGCGGCTACAACGAGGGCAAGTGGGTGTGTGAGCGCATGCTCATAGAAACACTGCGTCGCCACCCGCGGTTCTTCCGGGCCTCGGTAGCGCGGCCGGGTCAGATCTCCGGGTCGACCGCCAGCGGCGTCTGGAACCCCGTCGAGCACTTTCCCTTCCTAGTGAAAAGCGCCCAGGCGCTCAAGGTATGGCCCGACCTTCAGGGGGTGCTACATTGGTTGCCCGTGGATCGGAGCGCGGGCGTCATGGTCGACCTACTGAGAATCGAAGACCATGATGGGATGGCGGAGGTTTGTCCGGTGTATCACATCGACAACCCCGTCGGCCAGCCGTGGAAGGACATGTCAACGGCTCTTGCAGCCGCCCTCGATATACCTTCACGCGGTATTATTCCTTTCCAAGACTGGATCAAACGGGTTCGACAGTCGCCTCTCTCCGAGAAGGAGAATCCGGCCGCCCGAGTCATCGGCTTTCTCGAGGGCCATTTCGAGCGCATGGCATGCGGCGGTATTATCTTGGACACGCAACGAGCAAGTGAGCATTCTGAAACCATGGCCATGCAAGGGCCAGTAAGTGACGAGGTGGTGCGGTCTTATGTGTCGGCTTGGAAGACGTCAGGCTTTCTTGATTAGTTTGTAGTAGACATAGTTGCCTAACTTTTCCTTTCTTTTAGACGGCTGGTTATTGTAACATCATTAGAAGTCAATTATGTACACGCAAATTATAGAATTCAAATGGCCTTTTACTAAAGCCATCTTCATTGAGCTTTCAACATTGTGCTTTGCCCAAATTAGGGTGGTATCCTTCTAAGTTTCGCCTCCAGGGAGTTTCGACCTCTTTCAACACTACGTACTTCCGCTGTGGCATGCTCCGTAGGGTATGAGAAGAGTAAGCAGATGATGAAACGCTGGCAACGGAAAAGGGGTGGTATCACAAGCAAAGGTAGCGCGATGGTTGGTAAAGGAAATGTTTAAGGATTGTTTCCAGAAGACTACGAGAATATATCGTCTAAGCTATTTCTATATTAATCATTTCGCAATAATAGAACCATTAAAGCTCTATAATACCTATGGTAATAATACTTCGATGGGTGATATGCGGTATAAGTTCTTTATTGGGGATATCTACATAGTTTAACCGTCACTCTCATCCGTATTAGTCTCTTAACGTCAATATAGTTAATTCTAATGCAAAACGCTACATACTAAGACATTATCATATGCTAATCATAACCAAGCCACTGCTGAACAAAAAGGCATCTATTATCGATAATAGATAATAAAGAAGAAGTGAAATGAACCAGAGTAGAAACAGTGCTGCCGCATCACCCACTTTCTTCCGTAATCCTTAACGTTCCTTGGTTTTAACTCAAGTATGCATAACATTATATGTTGTCCCTAATGCCACTCAATCAACTTGCTGTCGGGAGCCCAAGTCAAATGAAGATCTTGACGGCGTTCTTTCTCTCGGTAAGTATCCCTTCTCTTAGGGACAGTAGTTGACCGCATCGCTGTGCAGTCGTGACAGTAATCCCCAAAGTATATCTGCCGTCGCCGACAGCCGTGGCACATATACATTGGGGGTGCTGTCGTTCTCCGGTATGACTCGGGTGCATGATGTGGGCCGTGCTTAGCTTTCGCACTTGAAGCTGATTTCGACGGGATGAATCGTAACGTCGAGCCCGGTGCATTGTATATTATCGCATTGCTCTGCTGTAGTGATCTTTCGTGGATGGTCATCTTCCCTTCGTTTACTATGTATTGGGTCGGATACTCGCTGTGGCGTGTTTCCCGCGAGAAACGATTAGCCAGGTCGCGGGCCTGGTTGGGGTTCTCATGATAATAGTCGTAGAAATGTGGCATTGCGAGGCTGTGCGTGATACTCCGGAACTCCAGAGTTATTTTATATTTCTTTTTGGAATAATTTAATCGTGTAATAGATAGTATATTTTATGCTTGCAAGTACTGAGCATTTCTATAGAATTAGCAAGGGAATAAAGAGGGAAAATCAATATCACTAACAAGAAGGCTCTACCGTTAGTCCATATTTATAATGCTAATAATATTTTGCTTGTTGCACATTGCCTACCTTCCATGACGTTCTCGTGGACGATAGGTGTAAGCATTAATGCCGTAGTATAAAAATTCTCCAATAGCACGTGCCTAAACAATCCTCGCCGCGGGGCGAAGCTGCGGGCTGTCAGCTAAAATCGCCCCCTTTAATTGGTGGAAGACGGGGAGCAATCATTTTGGGTCCGGGCTTGGTGATGGAAGCCTGCTGCGGGCGCACGAAGCTATAGTCAACTTAAGTCTAGTATTATATATCCAGTCATCGGTGAGGCTGTCTACGCTTCCACGAACGAACACGTAGCATCCTAACAAGATATGACCAGGCCGGGCGGTGCCGTCTGACAATAAGATTTAGGACTTGTTTGTTGCTAAAACGGCGGCTGAAATCTTACCCATCCATAAAGGGGAATTTTATTTTCTGGAAATCCAGTATAGGTCCAGCAATTACATACAAGCTACCTACCAAGGTAATGTAATCACATGAACATTATACCTCGATTGGATATTATTTGTTTCTTTCATTGAAGCCGGGCGCGCAATTAGCGTGGAGAATATCGAGCTAATCATCTAACAAAACTTCGTCTTACCTATATCACATACCTGTGTTGATTGCTCCCGGCATGCGTAGTTCTTGCATAGGGCGGTTTGGTGAGACGTAAATATTATGTTTTCTTAGATGTAGGAAATAGTACCGAAGGATTAAGTGATATAATACGAATAACTGTCTACGCACCTAATGTGAAGTGCTTATATCTTAACAGCAATAACCTGAGGGCGAGATAAGAAAGAGATATCAAAGACTGAGCCGGCATCAATCTCGGAGATTGTGCGGGATGCGTATCAGCTCGCACTACACTCGGCGTTCTGCATGGGGGGGCTTCGTGCCCAACCAAGCAGATATGAGCTTTGAGGCATATCAGTACCCATCTCCAAAGAGACAAGGTATCGTATAGATACATCATATATATACGTGATGGAAAACGAAAGATTATGCAAGTTCTGTAGCGAAATTAATTTCGAAGCACTGAGAAATCCCTTGATTTCAGACTTGCCTGCTCTTCAAGAGGGACGAGCAGATACTAGTTGACATCCTTTCAAGGATAGACGGGACGATACTCACAAGCTCACCTCACTCGGCACATTCGGTGATATCCTTCAGAGGAAGAAGACATGCCGGCTGTGTCGGCTCATTAGAGATGCTTTAACCCGACATACTCCAGGTCAACTACTCGAAACTGACGTCTGTGATGCAGAAATATCCTTCTTCGGCGTGTACCGCGACCCAAAAGGGAAGTACTATTGGATCCGACGGCTATCCATCTTGGTCGAGATTGGAACTGATGCATACAATATCGGTAGCCCGAAGAAAAGCCTATTTTTTGCTTTCCAAGCATGCAACATCGGCGCAGCAGATGCTCAAGTTGACGGGAAATTCTTAGATACCCAGCCTAGTATTAATGAGATGATATTTGGAGGCCGTCGGCGCCCGCTTCAGCTTGATCTCCAGTGGGTCCGCCGATGGATTAACATCTGCGGCACGGATCACGGCGATGCTTGCGAGCGAGCTGATGTGGGCTTGGGAAGCACGCTCGAAATAATCCGCTTTATTGATGTCAACAAGAGGTGCATCGTCACCTTGACGGGCGTTCAGCTTTCAGCCTATCAATATATAACTCTTAGCTACGTATGGGGAGGGCCACAGACATTCAGCCTTACCAGGTCCAATAAGGATAAGATGGCACAGCCGGGGATTTTAAACGAAAACTTACCACAAACAATAGAGGACTCAATATTGGTAACGGGGTCTCTGGGCATTCGCTACATTTGGGTGGATTCTTTATGCATCGTTCAAGACGACGATGAGGACAAGGCGATGCAGATAGGCGCCATGAGCCAGATATGTGGCTTCGCTCATCTCACAATCGTAGCCGCATCGTCCTCAAGCGTCCATGGGGGCCTACCTGGTCTTCGTCCTGGAAGCCGTTCTCTAGAACAAGCGGAGTTAATGGTTCTGCCTGAGAGCATAGATAGCACTACCGGGGATGTGTTACCGGGCCTATCCCTTATGACAACACTGGACCCTCTCGCCAATCCCAATGAAGACTTCTTAGAACGCACACCCTGGAACAGCCGAGGTTGGACTATGCAAGAGCGCGTTCCATCTCGCCGCGTACTTATTTTCATGCAGGAGCAGGTATACTGGATCTGTCGAGAGGCCATGTTCTGTGAAGAATCCTATTTCGAGAATAGTCTTCTCCGCTTCCACAGATTCCACGCTAACGCCGCCGAGCGGACTCTAGCAAACTCGTTTAGAAACTTCTATGAGCCTGAGGATGACCAAGTACGCTTCTGGAAAATGTACCAGAATCTCGTGGCCAGTTACACCCGTCGGCACTTCACTGATGAAGGCGATATTTTTGATGGATTCCTTGCAATTCTTCAGGGGATGTCGGCTCTTTCGGGCGAACAGTTCTCGTGGGGTTTACCTCGATCCTATTTTGAGCAAGGCCTGCTCTGGAACTCCTTTACTAGCCTAAAGCGTAGAGAAGTCAACTCAACTCTTCCGATGACGTCTTTGCGTGTTAAGGTTCCCTTCCCTAGCTGGTCGTGGATGGGCTGGATAGGCGAAGCGTTCGTCTGTATCGGGGACGACCACTATGATATAGATCTAGGGCAAGCTTAACCCCCTTAAGGAGTGGCAGTGAGATCTATTAGCTTACATTAGTTACCAGAGAAGTTCCCGAGGTACTATACTTTGAGCATCACCATTCTCCCCTCCGTCTCGAACGCGTGAGAAAGGCGACAACAAGGTATGACTTGATGGCATCACAAAACCATGCAAGTTAGAAGGCTCATTGTAGTCAACCCGTCACGCTATCCGATATTGCTACCCAAAATCCACAGCTTCTATCTACGGAGCTTAGCAAGATTCCAGAGACGCAGATCATCTTCTTCTAGACGAGTTCTACTTTTCTGACTTTGGCCCCGCCGGATGACGACACAAACCGGTCCTTTACAATCATAGATTCATATGGAAACAAAGTCGGCTCTACAGGAAATCTCGAGCCTAAGCTAAACAGAATTCAAGGGCAGCATAAATTCATTGTTATAGGTAGCCGAAGAAACCAATTCTCGGATCCAATGCTGCTCCTTCTCCAGATAGAGTGGCACGGGTATGTTGCGTATCACGTTAACAGCGGAGAAATCAGAGAAGACGCGTGGATGAAAGAAAATTACATGTGGAAACTTATTTCACTTCGCTAATTGCATTCCTCTGTTTATATCGATAAGCCCCGGATTATGTATGTACGGAATACGGATTAAGAAGACCCCAGTTTTTAGTCCTACACGCAAGTACCCTTTAACCAGAAAAGTCATCAAATAATAAAAGTATGTTCTTTTTCGCCTCGGGCCGTAAATATGCTGGATTAAATTGGCACGAAACTTGGAAATTGTAAATTGTACAGACGTAGAAATATGCATGTTGGTTCACGCTGAGCTCGGTATTCTGCATGTGGTGACCAAGGATGCGACCTAGGCCACGCCACTTCTACGCGCCTGGACTAATACAGACTGTAGAATGATAGTCCTAGTATTGAGCTGGCAACCTATTTACCAACCATCCAAATCCTCCTCGTAGGTTGTGATACGTATGTTGTAACGAAGGAGTTTAAAATAATGTATGTATGGCCTATCTAAACCAGACCGTTTATAAGGGTGACATTTAAGAACGAAACGCTACTCTAACCGACGAATACGAGCATAAATTGGAGTGGTATTCCTTTAGACTAGCTTATAATAATTATACCCAAGCCAACACTTTGGTACCGAATAAATCTCGAGAATAAAGTGATGAAGATCTACTTATTATATTTCATTAATTTCACAAGTTGATATGCCCCTTGCATCATAACTACCCAAGGTAAGCATCACCTCTTGGTGCGACTAAAAATAAATCCCCCTCTTAACATACCAGCTTTCGTTCATACTTCTTCCCACTTTTTTTAAAATATACTTCTGGTTTCCATTGCTTCCCACCGTACTAGAACCCGGTTGAGTTACCTACCTACGTACCCTAGTTGACAACTTAACTCTTCGAGAAGATGGCGAGCTCCCAACGTGGGAAATCCCTAGAAAATGACGAATACGACCCATATGAAGTTGCATTAGCAAGGCTAGACTCGATTCAATCGGAATACATGAAGAAACTACGAGATGCCAGAGATACGTTTGATAATAACCGTATTTCAATCCAAGAGAATATTCGAGAGCGTCAGCGGGAAGTCCAATTGCTTCAACAAGAACTACAGAGGAAGGAGACCGAGTTACAGGAAAAGGAACAGGAGTTGAAGGATGAGGAGAATAAGTTCCATGTGATCTTGAGACAGGAAAAACAAAATCGTAAAAGGAAGCTTGAGCCTTACCTGAGGATTTCTCCAGTAAGTAAAATGGCGTCGCTAAGACACGATTTTAGCTGCTGATTTCCTAAAGGCACCAATAGAAGAACGCGACAGAGAATCAACCGATGTAACAAGAGGGCGAACGGAGGTTGGTTCTCCCAGACAGAACACCAATAATGATGCTGGGCGCCAGCTCCAGGAAACGATTGTAATTGATTCGGAGGAGGCTTCAAGCGACGAGTGGGTTATAGATAAACCACTCATGACCTCGGCTATTTCACCAAGTAAACGGCAAAGAACATCTGAAGTTGGTCAGTCCCTATGACTAGTGAACACTTCGTGTCGCCAGTGTCCCACATTATCCAGGCTGAACAGACTAATAATCTACCAGAAGGTCAAAATGTAAACTCAAGTTCGAAGCAGCGAAATTGGAAGCGACAGAGAGTGGGAATCGAAAACTCTTCAGAGAATGGTGAATGTTCGATTACAGCTCAGCCAAGAGAAGGCCAGAGTGAAACGGAAGCTACTACCTCGATTGTAGTTTCGTCGCCTCCGGTATTAGGGAAACATAATCAGAAAAATAAAAGAGTTTTTGAAGGTGTTATTGATCCTATCGTGGGCGGAATCTATAGAATCTACCAGGGCCCTCGTAAAGGTTCATACGCAGCAGTCCTTCTTCCCATCGGCGATTTTGGCCCAATAGGTATCTCAAAGTCCCTTTACGACACAAGCCTAAGGAGGTCTATTCCATCTTGTTACATATATAACAAGACACTCAAGGAGATATTAGGTTGGGAGAAAGACTACGATGACGGCGGGCCCAGAGTTACGGATCGGAAGTTTCCTGTCATGTCTTTCGGCGGCATCGCGAAGGATCAAATACGGTTGGATGGGGAATTCAGTCCCACCGGCGCAAAGTATGCCTGGGTTTCTGCAAAATCTATCAGAACTTTTGCGCTCGATGCTACAATATCCCGGATGATACCAGGATACGCTAGTGCGAAGAGGTTCAGCACTCGATTAAACCAAATAAACGGAAATATGGTTGGAGAAACTCAACAAGTCTGCGATCATAATGAGCGCCCTCAGGTTGCATCGGTGAGACTATCTCTAGAAGAACCACAACAACAAGATACTGAGAGTAGTCAAACACAAGGGCGCTCACAGGTATTAACACTCAGATACTCCGAAGCTGATCAAACTCCTCATCAAACCCAGACTATTGAGGAGCATGACGACACCATTCGCACGACCACTGAACCACGTCCAAATTCCCAATCCCAAAGAATCGACCATGAATTTCATACTTTCGAGTCGATCTACCGTGAAACATCAGACCTAGACTTAGTAGGATCGGAAACACCGTCAGACGGCGTACATGATGATGATGACCGAGATCGTCAATTACTAAGCGATCTTTTTCCGGACTCTCCAAACGTGGAGATGGGAGAGGCTTCTGACGACAGTACTGCTAACGACGTACGACAACGTGATCCAGTCGAACCTTCAAGCCTACTTGCCAAGGCACAGTCTACCTCAGGGTTGCCATATGTTGCCCATGCGATCAGACGCCCCTGGTCAGAAGATAATAGCCCTGATCGCGCTAATCAAAATGGCTCCTCATCGCTGGGATTGGTTCCTGCGTCCTCGAAAACTGTACAAGCTTTTTATACCAACCTGGGAAGGTATGTGAATCAACATGAAAACAATACACCCGATTACCCGCCACCTCCTGCGCAAATGTCACCCCAAGGGCCTCCGAAAGATGACCAAACAACTGCTGAGTTACAAGCTAACAGAACTCGCAATGACGAACCTGAACCGCCGTCCGATCTGAACATCCAAAATGCAGCTTCAACAGCACTTTCATATTTAAATACAGTATACAATAGGGAACGGTAGTCCTATACATATGTATTCATCATGTACATGGTCAAGATCTCCTTACATGATAGGTATCAAATTTTAATCAAAGTTCAATATTCTTATCACGACATAGAAATATCAGCGGACCATATGTCTTTCTTTTTAGCCATTATGTAGGTATGTGTTAACAAGATCAAAGGGACTAGGAATTATCGACATATAAAGGAACAAGTAGCAGATAGGTCAAGCTATTCAATTAGAAATTCCTAGATCGTCATGAAATCACGCTCCTGAAAGTGTCCCTCATGTGGATCCCTAGCAACAGTGACTCAGGCACTCATTGTAAATGAGGCAATCACTGCCTGCATCTACGCATATATAAACAATAGCTAGATCCTAATCCTGTAATCCTAATAATAACCAATATAACAACGATGTTACCATAATCTAGGGAATCACAATCATGCCTACTAGGTACCTAGGTACCTACTTACTTGATTTTTGATCGCATTTGGGAAGGTATATAAAGCGTTGGAAGTGAGGTAAACAGTGTTATATGTAGTGGAATACACAATAGCCCGTCTGTATAATACTATGGAAAAGCTATAACAGGTAAATAATCGCAAACTCTTACTTTTCTCAATTTGAAGTTCCTTGGACATGTCACATTACGTGACCTTCATTACCCCTTAATGCTTGAGTCCACCCCCCAACAACGCACCCTATGTCTTTCAACAACAGCAACCAATCCTGCAGTGTTGACCATTGTAGGCCGTTGTAGGCATTATTCCAGATACCTTAGGTACAAGGGTACAAGCGACGCCTCAGAAGGTTAGCAGTCACACTCTTCAAAGACAGCTGGCTTCTCCGTCAAGACAGTCGCCGCCATAAAGGTAGCGTTTCCCCGGCAGTTTGCTAGGAAACAATAATTCCGCCTGTCCCGTGCACATGTTCGAATTCACAGTATTCGTACCTTCCTTCGCGTCGCTCTTTCCCCGCACATTATTTCCTTTCCTTCAAACCCTTCAAATTCCTAATGCAGTATCATATTATCTGGGTTTTCATCGTCGCGCGCTGAGTTTATTTGTTGAGCGCTCTTCTTGTTTTAGATACGCGACAAACTGACTTGTTCTTATAAACAACGACGCAATCATGTTTTCCAATCAGCAGCACCGTGTTCTTGACCAGCCCTTCACCATGAACCAGCAAGTAAGTGAATCGATGGGCCAAGCAACCCATCACAGCGCTGGCAACAAAACGGACACAGACCCAAACATTGAAGGCGCGTGGATTCTACGACAACCCTGGCACCCAAACCTGCCCTTTGATCGACTACAGATAGGTGGATCAGCTCAACTTCCCAACTATAGCAAGCAGCAACTTAAGGCTTTTGTTAAGGATGTCGAAGCAGAGGAACCTATGCAATATGAGGAGGAGATCGATGACAATGCCATAATCAAATTTGTAGCCAGACCGCATGTGGAGGCTATTCGATACGCAGTCCACGCAACAGCAGTTCAACCTCCCTCAAGCCCCCCGCGCCTCGTCATGTTTACAGATGGATCTCTTAAATCCACGTACAATATTGGATGTGGTATTACTTATAAGCGTACCTACGTCGCTGACCGCGACTGGATCGACGCGGCCTATGGATCCAAGGGAATTTCCAAGGGCCTAGAGCACGAAGTCACAGCACTGCACAGAGGGTTGTGGATAGCCTATTACGAGATGATGGACTGGGCCGGACGAGTTCCCAACCCTCGTAATGGCGGTCGGGCCACTCCGCCAACGGTAATAATCATAACTGATGGCCTTTCCGGAATCCAGCGCTTGCATTACAGCTATTGCTACACCAAGGTCGAACCTAAACCGCGCGATGAGGGTTTAATCCACCAATATTTGGTCTATCCTCTTGAGAAGCTCGTGAATCTCGGCAGCAAGGTCGAAATCCACTGGACACCAGGACATGTCGGCATTGAAGGCAACTCCCGAGCTGATTCGTTAGCCTCGATAGGAGCTGATTATGCCATCAAATATTCCCGTTCAACCGGCCGTGGTATTATAAATTTGATGCTTCCATTCTCAAACCAGTTGTCGGGTCAAAAGGCAAGGGAAGCATATCCGTTTCACTTGGGCAATCCCATGAATGATCTCATCCATTGGCGCAAAGAAGAAACGAGGATGGCTCTCCGATTTGTATTAAATTCAGGAGGCTCTACGGTTAGTATTCGACCATTAAAAACTTGATAAGTTTTAACTAATTTGTGGGCAGAATTTTCTTGCATGGCTAGCCAAAGCTGGCATATCTCGCAATATGAGCAAGACCACACAGATGGTTATCAAGAAGAAGCAGGTGACTAAGGCGATGGAAACCAAAATGAAGGCAGCAAAGCTCCTTAGGAAGGCTGGTAAACTGTTCGAGGAAGTATTTCCACCTAAGGATAACCGCGACGGTGGCACTCGGCAGTCAAAAAGAAGAGCACACGACGAGGCTGATGTTGACGACCTCGATGACTTGATACCTCAACCCAAAAGGGTCAAAGCTGACGATCCTGATGATGTTGACCCAAACTGCATTATGCAGTAATTCTAAGTTTGTTGTTTAGGATATGTGGCACGACGCAGGATATACTAACTGCTGAATAGGGGGTTATAACTACGATCTCGGGAATTAGATTAACACTCTAATAGTGGCTTAACAAAATAGTCGACAAGTCACCGAGGAATTTTCCAGTTCCCAAAAATATTCCAGAAACTTCAGAAAAAGTACGGAAATGTATTAGGATCCCACGTTGCATGTCGACAGAATTCAGAATCAAACAGCAAAGTGGGCTGCTGGTTTTCAATGGTATTAATACAATAGAGAATCAGAAAAGGTAAATACATCCCGAATTAGACCAAGATGTCATCCTACATGAAGTCCTAAATATTGCCAGGAGACTAATATTCTAAACAGGGGGCAAGGAATCGATGCAACAATATCGACCTGTCTCATCTAGGGGGGTTCCATTACCTAGGAAAGAAAGAAGGGGCTAGGGGGCCTCCGAATTTTGGCACACGGGGTGCTTGGCGTTTAGCTGGAGCCGTCGTATTACCGTATACCTCCTGTATGATATCTTCCCAAGTAATCCCCGAATACAAAGGAGCCGAGTCACAGATCTTTCCTTCAGAAGGTAGAGTGCCATTTGCCCAATATGCCGAAGTCGTTCTGATAGTGCATGCTGAAGGAGCGGCCAATGAGGAATGCTATTTGCAAGGCGGATAGTGTCAGAATTATGTGTGCTTGTAATCAAGAGCTGTTCGTAGTCAAGGGAATAGAAAACTTACGCCGTAACCATCGACCGTTAACAAGGCACTTCCCTCAAAAGTGGAGCTGACATTCTTGGCCGAGACAAGGGATGTGAGCCCGTCGAAAGTATTGCCGATGAAGAGGACGGGATTCTTTGTCTTGACATTGAAGTCACCCGTGTATCGCTCTTTTGGCTCGATCTTCCATTGCGCGCAGGCGCTGTATAAGAATATTAATCCGTCTCCAACTATAGGTAATCATATGGTTAGCATCAAATATGAGATAAACACAACGGAAAGATAAGTTGCATGGCTCGGCTCATACTAAGCTGCTCGCGTTAAATGAGTACTAAAAGCTACTTACTGATCCTACTGGTGTTGTACAGACGCTGGATAGCCGGAGCGAAGTCATCAAATGTCTTGCTTCGCACCATGTTATCGCTGCAGTGGATGGAAGCAAGTGCCTGTGGTTGTTGACTCTGCTTGAATATATCAATGGAGGACGTGGGAAGTATAGCCTCGAAAGCGTCGTTAACTATGTCGTACTGCTCGGTCATGATCGCATTGAGTATACTAGCAATACCCGGCCAAGAGGAACTAACGTAGAGGCCCTGTACCAGAAGAGATTTTACGTTGGTGTAGTCGATCATGAATGATTTGAGAGGAATCGGGTTATACTTGACGGCGCCGAGGAGATCCCAGATTGTCTGTTCGAGCTCGGCGGCCGTCTTGTTGTTACCTTTAGCCAGCGCACAGTTCTCGCGGGCTTCAACACAGCCGGTAAACATGGCCGAAAATTCCGCATCCGCGTCTGTGAATTCTTCAAAATCCCTGTAATAGGGTCAATTGTTAGTATCCTGAATCCGTGGCCGATCGATTACTTACGCCTGCGCATGGTAATACTCGTGCGGGTTTTGAACGCCGTCGAGGATCATCCTTCCTATCCTATCGGGGAACATAGCAGCTGTAGTCGCCCCTAATGTCGTGCCATATGAGAAACCTAGCGTGCGTTGTCAGCTCTCCCATAGTTTACACTGGTGTTAAGTTCAGTGCGTATTGACATACCCCAGTATCGTAACATTCCATCTTCTCCAAGAGCGTCTACGATTTGCATCATATCTCTTGCCACAAAGGCAGAACTAACCAAGCTTCCTGTCTTATTATGTGCCTTGAGGCAGGCGTCGGCAAGTATAGATGCGCGTGCCCATTGCTTTCCCAACTCCGTGTCGGAACTATTTGCAGGTATAACGTCCAGATAGAATGACCAAGCGTCGTACTCATTATCAAAACATTGGATAGGAATTTTCGAGCCATGAGTGCCGCTATGGATTCCGTAGTCGTTAGTAATGTCTCGAATACCCCAGGCCAGGAATAGCAGGGACTAGAATAAAATCTCACCGTGGGTCGAATGCAATAAGATCAAACTGACGGCCGGTAAGTCTAAAAGAAACATTAGTGTAAAAACCCCAAAGCAAAGATTCTATCTCCTAAACTTACGCTAATAGCTCATCCGCCAAGGTTTTAATGCCTATTTCATCTCGTCCAGTACCGCCAGGTCCGCCGAAATCGAAGAGAATGCTTCCTTTCGAAGGTTTCACAGGGGCAGGAATCCTAACAAGGTCAAGCTGTAACTTCTCATCGGAATCCGGCTCGGTGTAGTCGAGAGGAACCATAAGAACGCTGCAATCTACAGGGACATCGCTGGGAACTTCGGTCTTGTTGCACGGCCCCCATTGAAGTGTTGAAGTCCCATAGGGTTGGGCAAGAGACAAAGTGATAAAAGAAAGCTGTAACGCGCCCCGGAAGGAAATCATCGTGGCTCACAATACTTCGTTTTGCCTTGGGATAGGATTGCGATGATAGAATATTGGATTGTAATACAGGACGGGAGAAGGGGTATATATATATGAGCGAAGTATACATGATGCTCCATGGTTTCCTAAAGCGATGGCACACTAGCTAAGAAATTACAACAGTCACAAGCTGAGGCTAGGTTATGCGCGACGACCATGTAGTTTCTCATATGTCAGCATTTTCGTCGAAAAAAACGCCTTGTTTGACAAGTAAAGATACGCCGTAATAACATAGGGCTGATGAAGCTATTCGCTGAATGGTTGGATGGCGTGGGGCTCCACTTAAGCGCATATACGCCGTATTCATTGTTTAAGCTTGAGAGAACTAATAAGAGGTGACATTGCACCGCCTCCCTCTACCATAAAGATGTACGCATAGCCGGGGCAGTAGAACCTATCACAATCAGCGAGTTCGACAAATTAAATAAAAGTTTGACTTGACTCGGGCCTGACTTGACTTGGCTTGGGTAGATAGCTTTTTTGGGGTATTTGCCCAGGTCAGGTATAAAAATTTTTTATTTGCCTATTAAGCAAATAAGTTGAGGCTATTTAGGCCCACTTTAGTATATATCTAAGGGATATGATTGGTCGATTTAAAGATAATATTTGTTTGTATGATCGGTAACGTTTTACATTAAGGTAATTACAGGGTCTTTTCTAGCACCTTTATACAATTGACGTAATATTAAGCTCTGTATTGAGGTGACCTTATTTTACCCTATTTTAAGTACGTATCGGGGTACGTACCCCTATGCGTACAAGGTAACTACCTGTAATGAGGCTATTTGTAATTGTCTTTTTTAAGATCACGATAATTTTTTGGTGTTGGGGTGGGGCTGCGTGGGTATATATCTTAGATTACCCCGGCTCTGACCAATCGGATCCCGGAAATTTTATTACCCGGACTTTTGCCGGTATCGATACCGTAGGTGCCTTAAGTCAAACCTACGATATGGCTAAGTAAGCCTTATTTTTCATTTTATATGATTTGACTTGTATCGAGTCAAGTCTTTACAGTTATTTGGCTTGACTTGACTCATCGAACTCGCTGATTACAATAGATAATTAGATACGGCGTATGGATTGAACTAATATTGAAGTTTATAATAGTTTATTGAAGACTTTAACTAGACGTTAACACGTAGAATGTATAGTTTAGCTGTAAAAATTAAGAAGTATTAAAGAAGAAAAAGGGGAAGTGGTCAGGGGTTAAAGTCTTTTAGAAGCATTATGCTTGTAAGAGGATATAAAAATAGTATTGTACCTAGTATATATTTTCAAGCCACAGCAAGCCACACTATCCCAGCTCTGATTTACGCGGCATAAGCTAAAACGCGTATTTCGTACATTCTACGTCATCGACATTTCAAACCAACAATTACAACTTTTACGAGTTAAATAACCGACTACAGTATTCATATACAATATTATGCTATTTGCCTGCTCAGAGATATAGTTATCTCATTCCCGGATCGTTACTTAATTAATTAATAGTCACTCGTTATGTTTGTAGCCTACGTCTCGGAGTTCAAGAGTCTCGGTCACTTGCTTGCTTAGACTGCGAAGAGTACAGCGTGTTCTGGTTTAAGACGATCGAATCGCGAAAATGGAGTTTGATAAAATCATGTACGATCCTAACCAAGTCAAAGGTAGTTTAAGCGCTATGGAAGCTAAGGTAAATAGTGTATTCCTATGATTCGTGGTGCAGTGGAGTCGTCTCTCGTGGAGACTCACCTATTACTTAAGGACTATCGTCTATAAACAGAACCTAACATGTCGTTTACTATAGCCAAAAGGCTCGGCATCCCTAGCTGCCATTGTCTCTGCGTTTGTCCCCACATGGGTAAGTGTATATATATATATATTCAAACTTCATACTCCTGCTAAGCTGTGAAGGCAACGGGTCTCATCTTTGTTGCGATATTCATCGTTATTCGGCACTGGTATCCTAATATCTATGCTCCCCGGACCTTTATCGAAAGTATACCGGAGAAGTACGTACCTACCTCTGACTTATCATCATGATACTAAATCTCTTGTAGGGACCGGACTCCTTCTGCTGGTCGGTCGTACTTCAACTGGGTCCATACCATGCGCAAGGTTCCGGATAAGTTCATCTTATATCACCAGTCTTTGGATGCGTATCTCTATCTCCGTTTCTTGCGTACAGTCATCTTCATCTGCTTCGTTGGTTGTTGTCTCACATGGCCTATTCTCATGCCGGTGAACGCAACCGGTGGTGGTTCCTCAACCGAACTTGACAGGATCGGTATTGGGAATGTTAAGAAAAGGGGGCATCTATACGCCCACGCAATAATTGCTTGGGTATTTTTCAGCTTCGTTATGTTTACAGTTGCCCGCGAGCGACTTTGGCTCATTGGTCTCCGCCAAGCCTGGACTCTGTCGAAGCCTGTTGCAAACCGCCTTTCTTCGCGCACCGTTCTCTTTCTATCAGCCCCAAGAGACGCCCTTGACGAAGAGAATATGCATCGGTACTTTGGAGATGGAGCTCTGCGCCTTTGGCCAGCGACTAAAGTCGACACGCTAGAGCATCTAGTCTCGAAACGTAAATCAAAAGTCGAGCAGCTTGAGGCTGCGGAGATGACTCTAATTCGGAAGGCCAACCATGAAGGTAGAAAACGAATTAAATCCCGTGCACAGAATGAGCATCCGCACTACGGTAATCTTGAAGATTCGGTTAAGAAATCCATAAGACCGCGGCATAAACCGGACGTCTCGCCACTAAATGAGAAGGTCGATAGTATTGAGTGGCTACGTGAGAAGATTAAAGAGGAGGAAGCAAGTATCGAGGATGCGCGCAATTCATACGAAATTGGCGAGACTAACGGAGCGGCCGCAGTATTCGTCGAGTTTAAGACATGTGCGGAGGCTCAGCGGGCCTGTCAGCAAGTCGCGTCCAGCAACCTGTTAGCCCTTAGTCCCAGGTATACCGGTGTTTTACCCCAAGAAGTCATATGGAATAATCTCGTTATACCGCCTGCTCGCCGTATCTCCGAAGAGGGGACTGCCCTGGCTATTGTTATAGCTCTAATCGGTTTCTGGTCTATTCCAAGTGGTATCATCGGCCTAATCTCTAACATCAGCTATCTTGCAGATAATGTCGAATGGTTGAGTTTCTTGAAGGATTTACCAGAACCAGTCATTGGTCTGCTATCCGGCTTGATACCTCCATTGGCGACAAGTTGGCTAAGCAAGCTAGTGCCTAGTATATTTAGATGTAAGGATCCAGTCGTCCGGATTCAATCGTGGATAGATACCATGCTTACCAATATCAGACATATTCAAATCAACCGGTAGCCCTACCAACACTGCTGCCGAACTAAAGGTCCAAAGATGGTACTACATCTTCCAAGTGACGCAAGTATTTCTTGTCACTGCAGTTTTCTCCGGGGCGGCACCCGTGGCTGCACAGCTTTTGGAAAAAGCCAAAGATCCCACCTCGATCCCGGAACTGCTAGCGAGGCAGCTTCCAAAGGCGTCAAACTTCTACCTAACATACTTCATTGTGCAAGGCACTACCTCAGCTGCCGATAACTTACTTAACTACTCGGATCTTTTGAGTTATCTTTTCTGCGACTATTTCTTTGACAAAACTCCGCGCCAGAAATTTAACCGATATACAAGTATGAAAGGGATCGCATGGGGCAAGCTGTATCCAAAGGTGAGAGGCATACTTAACTTGTACAAAGAATATGGGTTAATGCTAACTTTATATAGTTCGCCAACTTCGCAATCATCGGTTAGTATAGAATTTATCCTTGTCTTTGGTTTTATCCGCTCACCCTTCATAGCAATTGCATACTCGTGTATCGCGCCATTAGTACTGGGCTTCGCGGCTGTCGGACTAGCCCTGTATTACTTCTCTTACCGCTACAACCTCCTCTTCGTTATCCAACCGAAGATAGATACCAAAGGCCAGGCTTATACGCTCGCATTGCAGCACCTTCTCACAGGTGTCTATATAGCTGAGTTGTCCCTGCTAGGTCTTTTCAGCTTGAAAAGAGCAACTGGTCCATCTATTATATCTGGTTTCTTGCTCATCGCGACAATACTTTATAACGTACTAACTAACAGGTACCTCGCGCCTCTTGAACAGTTCCTACCGGCCGACTTAGCTACGCTAAGCGAGAGAGACGATGAATCTACACCGCTATTAGCTTCCGCAGAAGAAGGACAGGCACACCCCACATCCCGGATTCAGCGTCTAGGACAACGGGCAAATGTTCCGAAGACCATCGCGCAGCGCATTCTAGACCCAATAGCACATTTCTTCGAGCCGCAAGTTTTCGCTTCGTACCAAGCCATGAGATCATGGCTGCAAGACGGAGACTTATTGAATAGCGAAGAGGACGTCCCGAAGTACACTGAGGAACAACTCCAGCAAGCATATTTAAACCCGGCCCTCACAAGTCCAACGCCTTTGATCTGGATCGCAAGGGATCCGATGGGCGTTAGCCAGAACGAAGTTACGGAAAATGAGAAACTTGGTTTAAAGGTCAGCGATCAGGGCGCTTGGCTTGATGAGAGGGGTAAACTTAGATGGAGCGTTAAAGAGTTTCAGGAGGTGCCAATCTGGAAACAGGGCGTGACGTACTGAAATAGTAAGTTGCTTATCTTATAAATAGGTTCTTTATATTCTAACCAAGTCAAGATGTTAAATTGTTCTCAAAGCTGCGATGCTCGATGCCCCTTTCAACTTTCCCTAGAATTAGAAAATCATGATTATGTCATCACCCCTTTTTTATGTGGGGTACTTACCTAGGTATAGGTACTTTAGTGAATGAGGAAAAGGGGGAAATGGTTGAACCAGATAGATTCATACAGAGAAGCATATATGATAGGATACGAATTGTTTTACGCCAACTATGAGATAGTTTAACCGTGATATCCCACGTTATGTCGTGAGCTCATTTCCCTTCCGAATTCCTACCTAAATAGCCATTTGAGGTATATTCTCCCTTGTGCTCCTATGCACGACGCCCTAGCACCTACGCAAGGTCCGGAAATATTTTACCAATGGTCTCGCTTTCACCACAGCATATTCTATAGATGACGTGGGCATATCCCTTGACGGTATTGCAGAGCTCTGGGGCAAGAACTTCGTAAGCTTGCATCATACTCAAGAGTGCCCATACGGTATTTGCGTTGGCTTCCCCCCAGCGCTTTATCTCCAGCACTGCCTTCTTCCCTGGCCCCATGTCTCTTGGTGGGCGGGCTACGACGACGTATCCGAGCGTCTCTAGCCCCTTGAGAATCATCTCCAAGCCGTCTGCAAATTTACCTCTTGAGATCAGGTCTGCGCCTGCCCCGTAGTAAGGCCCCGACAACTCGGAGCGCACCACCGGCGGCGCATCCTGCTTGGCTGTGTACGTCTTCTCCAAGTCTTCGATTATCTTCCTCGCTCGACTCAGTTGTGCCGGCGAAAACCCCCGCTTCAATAAGGGCTTCAGGGAGAGGAATAAAGTCTGGCGTTTCTTGGTGATACTTTGAGGCGTGGACTTCTTGTAAAGGCACCGCGCGCAGTCGCAGACAAACCCCCAGCTACGTTTGAGCTTCTTCTGGGTTTCTTCATAGGTCTCGTTTGTCCTGGGGCACCAGTACATGAAGCGCAACTCCGTGCCCGCCTCTAAGTCTTGGCTGGCCCGTATGATTTGCATGTCGCCGATGAAGGTGCGATAACAGTTGGTGATGCAGGAATGGTTGATGCGTGATGCTATGGGCCAGATGCCGCATGTGGTATATTCAGTAGACTTGTCATTTAGCTCACTATTTTGATTGACCATGGGCAACATAGTTGACTTGTAACTGGTGCGTGGGGTCCCAAAAGAGTTCATCTGAATAGTCTTCACGACGAGAAATCTACATTCTTCTTGTTAGAATTCCTATTTATCCGATTCAGATTCTTAAAGACTTACGTATCAACCACGGGAGCTCCGTCGACCTCAGATATCGCAACAGGGGTATAGTCACCGTGATGCAATTCAGTGAATACCTTCGTCCCATCAGGGTTATGGTATAGTTTCTGAACAATCTGGGTGATGAGGTTTGCTTGGCCGCCCATGGACATGGTGTTAGTGTGCCAATTCATCAAAATAGTCGTGTTCGATATGCCGGTATTGCTATCATCGCCAGCGTAGCTGTACGCAAAAGCTTTCTCACATAATAAAAGCTCCCCTGCCTTGACTGCCTTCGTGGTGAACAGACCCTTACCTCGACCGGGCGAATCACGGATGGCCACTGGCCCAACATATGTTGCACAGTCAATCAAAGGCGGAGTATCTTCAGCCTGCTTGTGCATGCTTCCGAATTGATACGATCCTTTTTCTTCCTCGCGGAGACGTTGCTTAACTCGCTTAATCTCGTTCCACGCATCTGAATTCTTGGGGTTGGAACGCACGACGGCCAAAAGCTTCTCCAAGCAAGAGCTAAACTTCCCCAGTGCGTAGAGAGCCTTGGCCTCTCGAAATAAGGCCTTTTCCATTGGAGAATCATCGCCCACATTGCTCTTCTGTGCATCGCTGAGTGCTTTCTCCGGCCGGTCGAGGTAGAGGTTGGTGAGAGACCGGTTAAGATAAGCTAGCTTTTCCTCCTTAGCAGTCCTGGCGGCGCGTATCGCATTCGTATACCTACGAGTTTATTTAGTATCCTAAGCTATCAAGTGCATAATACTTCCTACGAGGAATTACTCACAGCTGCTCCGCCTTAGCCCAGTCCTTTTTCTGAACTGCCTCATTTCCCTCCTTACGTATGTCCTCAGAGCTCTCGTCTAGACTTATAAACCTTTTCCTCCATTCTAGAGGAATGCGATTGTCCGTATCCTCGAGCCAGATGATGTCGCTAACATGATCGACCCGCAAGCTATATGCGCCACTGTTGGTAACTTTGAAGAAAGGTTCCTTAATGATACAAATATCATGAGCTTTTAGAATATGTTCTTTGGCAACCTTGGATTCTTCGGGCTGGTTGTAGAGCTGAAGCAAGATCGCGGTACCCTCCTCGTCTTCAACGATGGCCATAACGGCAGTCATCCGATCGGGTGGCGTCAAGACGTGGACCAAAGCATAGCTCCCCCGATGATGGTTCTCAAGCATCATTTCTGATATCATCAGAGGCTTGAGATCCTGTAGGGGACGGATACATGGGGGGTAGTATGGTGGTACTTGCGACGTGTAGAGCTTGTAGTTCATCATGCCACCCATACTAGCGGATTGATAAAGCTTCATTGTGAATTGTAGGACAAGTAAGCTGGGCGGGGGATGATCTCGAGGCTTTTCGCCCTTGCGACGTTCTGCTAGCTCTGCATTTTCTTTACTCTGTTTAACGAAGGCAAAATATTCTTCGGAGTTGGTAATGTCCTTGGTATCCATCGTGGATCTGGCTTCTCTAGTCTCTCTGTTGATACTTTTGAGAGTGTACCTAAGGTAAGTTCAAGTTCAGTAAAAAAGTAAACGAGGCAAGACTCTAGAGAAAATGAAGACAGTTCCTATGAGAAAGGATTTAGGGGCGTGCAAATATATGACTACCTCCTACCAAGCTTATTCCTTACTTGAGAATCTGTAAGTAGAAGTACTCGTCAATATCTTTCGTGGCTCCAATCACTCAAATATGATGGGTAGCCTGCAGCATTGTTTGCTCTTTGAGTGTTATTGTCCAGGCCTATTGGGCCAGGCAGCTATCCAAAAACTTGTATTTGTTTTGCGACTCAGGTTACGTCGGCCTGTCCCCGCGCCAATAACAAGATAGTCTCATCATATTACCTTAGGTACCGTAGATAGGTATCTATCATCTCTCATTTTTATATACAGTACGTAGTGGGTAATTGCATTGACTAATACGTACCATAATTCGATGTCTAGGGCATTAGGTACTTAAATTAGGTACTTAGGAATCTTTAGGGGCGCTTTTTCGCATTGAATATCTTCTGGATACCTTAGGTACCCGCATACATGCGATGCCAACTTCCGTCATAAAGGGGTACACGCGTTTTCAAGACCTCATGTAACATGACTTAACACAGATACTCGTTTTCAATCTACACACTCTATCTAGAAAATACCATAGCTGCAGCTATTACTGAAACTACTCAAGCTTTATCACGGTACGAGAAAGGGGTAGAGATAGGTACAGGTGATAAGTTCAGAAAGGCTACCTAGCCGTAAGACATCCAAGCACCAAACCCCCTTAGTCCTAAGTATAACTCTGAGTAGCAGTGCGCTTGGTAGAACTTAATATAGATATTCAAACTAATATTCGCGTTCGTATTCCTCAGGTTGCGCCCCGAGGGGTTGAGTATTAAGTGCCCAGCTAAAGTCAGTTCTCTCTTTTCTTTTTTCTTCGTCTTTTTAGTCGTGATAACTTTGCTTTCCTCGGAAATATCAAAACCCGGTTCATTTACTTAGATGACTCCACTCATCATACGGTTTAGAGGACTGCTGTCTCCTCCAGCCATAGTTTGGGGATCTAGGCTCACTTATCACCTCTAATCCTACCGGACTTGTTGTTTCATGTTCCGGTTCCTCTGATCGCTCTAGCATAAGTGGCTTTGCAGCTGGGAGGCTCCAAGACTGTTCTTGCTCAGAGGAAGAGTCAGGTGTGCTGACTTCTTTTTCTAGTTTGCCTTTTGAGTACCTGCCTGTTAGCGTTGCTTCAACCTTGAGGTAAACAAGAAACGAAAGGGCCACTATTCAGCTAACTCACCACCGCCTATGCGCATATGATATTTGTTTAGTCGCTGTAGTTCCGTCATACCACTGCTCAGGACGTTCATCTTATCCGTAAGGAATTTTCGTTTGTCTACCGTTTCCCAACTCTCGGCAGCAATCGTGCTTACGGTATCATCGCTGAGATCATATACCACTTCTGGGGTAAATAACTTAGGCAGCTTCGAAATAAGACAGGCCTCAATAGCTAGCTTGCTGAAGTCATCTATAATTTGCTTCAGTGCCACCTATTATACAGTATAAGCTTGTGGCTACAAGGGAAGTAGGGGTAACTTACTTTATAATATGCCTCCACCCAGTCGATCGCATCCGAACTCGACACAGTCTCCATGTCTTTTTCGGTATACTTAACAGCTGCCTCCAAGCACCCATCAAGATTTCCACGTAACATACTTGGTGTCTCTTTCAGGCCACGCATGACATTGTTCCGATAGCGGCTGATGCGAATTTTCTGGACGTTTTCTGTCAAATAATGGTTGTATGTAATTGGGTGGCCATCCTCATGAGGTCGCAGGATCTCGGCCACCTTGCTGCCAAGCTCGCGGTTGAGCCGACCCAAGCCATCACTAATCAATTCACCCCAGAGCTTTGCCTTGGTATCCTCATCCACAATATAGGCCAATGCTTCATTGACAATAGACTCAACAGCTTCGGATATCTTGCTGGAGAAACTTTCCAACCAGCTTCTCCAGGGCTTGCACTGTTCACGGAACAATTCGCCGATTATCAAAGGGTTATATGTGCCCGGAAGCTCACATCCCCGAGTTCTTTTCATCAGGTCTTTCACTTCTAGTACGTAATCGTCTCTTGAGATCTCCGTAGGGTTGTTTTCTGAGGCTTTCTCAACAATCTTCCTTGCATGTCCATCAATTTCCATCGTATGAGCAAAATCAGTCAAAGTGTTCTGCACGACAGCACGGAGCCTTTTACGGTATCCGATCTCTTCCCGAGCGTTTCCAAAGAACTTATCCTGATAAAATCCATCTTTTGCTTCGGTGATAAGATTCGAGAATTGGTGACTAGCCTTGAGCAAGTACTTGCGTTGTTCAGCGCGCGTGCTCCGAGCTTCGCCAAGCTTTTCAAGCTGGCTTGTGCATTCATCTAGTCCTCTCTGAATCTCTTCCAGAACTTCTGGTAGCTGTTCCAGTATTTGTTCCTTTAAAACCTCGCTCAACCGAGTACGTAGGCTTGCGGAACCTTTCTGAGATCGTGGTAGTCCAGCCCAGACGCCTTGGTCGAAAAACTCCGCCTCTGCTTGGTCCCGCTCCTTATTAGTGACGTCTCTACTTTTGAAATCACGATTTCTCATAACGTGCCATCCAAGCCGGAACTTGACGTCCCTATTCTGTACTAAGTCGAAATAGTCACGCTCACTTGCTGAGCCGACGTCGAGTGTGTCCGGCTTTGTGATGAGCCCCAAAGTCCTTTCACCACGGATATCTATCTCGCGTGCATGCTGAGTGACTTCCTGCAAAGCAAAATTGCTCTGAGCTGAAACCACGGCCAGTATAATACTCCGTGGATTCTTCATGTACGATAGCACTAGCGATTGTACGATCGCAGCATCCTCAGCCGATTGCTCCTTATTACCGGCACGAAAAAGTCCCGGGAGGTCGACAATTGTCAAGTGAGGCTGAGTTGGACCGGATAGTTCGATGCGAAGGACGTCCTTGCAGAAGGTTCTACCTTGATCAAAACCAACTCCCATAACTTCTTTAGCCTTATCTACCAAGGCTCCAATGTTGAAGCTGTCAGGGATCTCGGAGTATTGGAACTTCTCAAGACGTGCCTTTTCTTCAGCCGAGCGATCGATGCCAGGAGAAATAGATACGCGACACTTCTCTTCGATGTGTTCGTTGGTATGTCGTAAGATCAATTCCGTCGCGAAGCGTGTACAGAGGCTATCCTTAGTCGGAAAAGTCATGCCCGAAATTGCCTGCAAAACAGAACTTTTACCCGATGACTGATCGCCGCAGACGACGATCTGTGGAAGATTAACATATCGGTTGATCCCCTTCGACCTCAATTTATCGATAATATCCATCAACGTCTTATGATCCTTGGATTGAAGCGGCATAGCCGCTCCTTGGGCCGCCATATTAAAAAATTCCGATATCAAATGAAGGATTGAAGCGCTTCTGTTCACATACTCGTTATTTAGTGTACCCAAGGTTCTAATTTAAAGATGGGAGCTTGGAGCTTGGAGCTCGATATCAAGGGGAATACCGATACGTACCTATTGACTGATCATCCCCCCTCTCTCAAGAGGTAGCCTGACTTGATTTATTGATGCAGGCTGCCGTGGCGTTGGTATGCAAAGTTGGGTACCTAGGTACTTATGCACGCTTCCAACATGTAATATGTAAGTAATGGTAGCCTGCATTTGGCCTCCGTGTCAGATCGACCGAAAATCTATTACTGTGAAAAGGAACTAAATTCTTTCCAACAAACACTCGAGATGTATCTGAATATCTAGATACCACGTGACTGAGGTTCATGTAGATGTACATATGGGATCAACTGACTTGTCACATCTAGATGTTAATAATGTGGCTTACAGCAAGTACAGCAATACATCTGTTGGCGATCAAGCCCTGTCACCTTCAGACAGATATACGAGTAGGTACATTTCATACCGCAGAGCTACCGTTGAATTACCATAAAATTAATCACCTATATCTTCTCTTTAAAAGCATGGAACTGTTCCGGGAACGCTGGCTGGGGTTTGGAACCGTAAGGTATCATCCTCACCATATGCCGTCTCTCTCCATCCGCAAAGTCAGGTACCGCGCTATGCGCTGCAGTCCTTTGATCCCAAACCACAACTGTTCCCCTTTCCCATTTGACCCTACAGCTAAAATCGAGACTTTTGATATGATCGTGGAGGAACTTCAGGAGGTTATCCGACTCCTCCGGTAAGAACCCCTCGATCTTGCGAGCGATTGTCGGATTTACGAATAACGAGGGTTTGCCCGTGACAGGATGTTTAATAACCAAGGGATGTGTCGTGTTAACAGCTTCCTTCAAGGCACGCTCCGTCCCGACACGAGCAACTTCTCCGACCGAAGCCGACGTGTGATAGAGACTTAATCCTCCGAGGATCTGTCTAAAGGCAGGTGATAATGCCTCGTATGCTGCCGTTAGAGATGTGAAGGCCGTGTCGCCCCCACCAGATTTGGGAATCTCAAGAACCCAGAAAAAGGTTGTTGATGGCACATTTGGCGTGAATGTCTGATCGACATGCCATAAGTCGTACGCCGTGTGAGGACCGAGGAGTGTTCTAAGATTACCGCTGCGATCGCATTAGTATAGCCATCCTGCATCTGTCTAGGGTTTGCACACTTACGCAGTTTCATCCGCATACACCACATGGAATTCTGGACTTGTTCCCGCAGGATAACCCATCGTAGGATGCTTATGCAAGGGTCCGTAATACTTCACAATGTTTCGTTGTCTCTCGAACCCAATGTCCGCAAAGTCCTGGTCCCTCTACATTTTAATGTTAGTAGTATTTTCGTCGACATCGCTGATTAGAGCCTCACAAAAACCAAGACCCCTCTCTCGGCTGCCAGCAAAGCAACTTCATCTAGCCCTGCCGGAGAAATCTGGCTGAGCTGAACGCCGGTGATCTCTGTCCCTACCCTCGGTGTGATGTTTGCTATCTTCGCGCCTACTTTAAATATGGCCGGTTTTAGGGGGTCCGCGCGGCTACCCGGTTCATCCGCCTCAAATTGAGGGACATCCAAGGCAGGCATATACCCATCTGGTCTGGTTGGAAGGTAAGCCGGATACAGAGGCTCAGATGACATGTTGGTAACTCATTCCTAACTGCGCATGTCGTTTAAAGTCGAAGATTACTGACGCGCCGGTCACCGAAGATATTTAGAAGTTTCAGGGTCCGTACCGGAGTCCTAGCTTTCTACGAACATGCCACCCTCGCCGTTTACCAGCCGAGTTTCCCTAAAGAACCAACCTCGGTCTTTGCATTCCCGACGTGGTACAGTAGATCTAGATCCCGGTGGGTCATCAATCGGACCCGAGGCGGATCAGATAGGTTAGCCTTCCATTACGACATCGGCGTAGTAGATGACGGCATGTCAGCTTGGCCTAGAGAGATGTCAAATACCGACCGTGCGGTTCCAATAACTACGATACACTCTTACTTGAAGCTAGATAAATAAGATATTCATATTATATACGATACTAGTATCAAATAGGCCGACTCTCAATGCTATGATTATAGCTTGAATGTCATCATAAGCCGGCCCATGATAAGTACAGGGCTTTTGCTAAACAAGTTCGTATTGATAATGAACAGCTTTATAATTACCTAGCATGTTGCCGATGCCGTACCTAGGTAGACATCTCTCAAGACTTCGTCCTCTTGGGAGTATTAATGTCCCCCAACAACGAATGACGGATAGTTCTCCCCTTTCATCCAATTCCAACACCCCCGGATGACCGAAGCCATGGCATTAACTCCGTCAGATGTATATACGGGCAAACCCAGCCCTGAAAGTCAGGCCGATGTGCTACATACTGCATCACCAACATGGCTCGGAAAGATACACCCTTTTTTCAAGGACTCAGAGCATGTCATAGTTTTCAAACTTGATATCCTCCTCTTAACTTGGGCTTTCGTCGCTGGTTTAATGAAAGATATGGACCAGTCAGCAACGACGCAAGCTTACGTCTCAGGCATGAAAGAATCGCTTTCGCTCTACGGAAACGAGCTAGTCGAGTTCACCACTTATTTCTCCATCGGCTACGCGCTATTTATCGTTCCAGCTCAGATGATACAGACCCGAGTTCGCCCCTCAATATTTCTACCAATCTGCGAAATCATTTGGGGTGCACTCACTTTGGCGACATATAAGACGCCTAATGCGAAAACTATATTTGGGTTGAGGTTCTTCCTGGGTGTTTTTGAGTCGACGTCTTGGCCCGGCCTCGTCAGTCTAATCTTCAACTGGTACACACCAAAAGAGCTTGGCAAGCGACTGGCCATATTTGGTGTCAGTGGTGTGGCTGGTAATATGTTTTTGGGCATTCTACAAGCCGCGCTCTATAAAAACCTAAATGGGGTGAATGGTCTCGAGGGCTGGCAATGGCTGTTCATCGTCTCCGGCGTTATGACGATGGTGTGGGGAGCCATAGGATTTCTCGTTATCCCCGACTCTCCTAAGATCACTCGAGCTCTCTACTTAAACTCTTCTGAGCGGGATCTGGCGCGTACAAGGCTCTCTAAACACGGAATGACAACTTCAGAGCTAATCCCATTCGATCTCCTCGTTCGAAAGCTCCGCTCATTACTAAAGAGCCCCCTTACGTACTTGTTCCTCGCAGCCTACCTTCAATTCGCCTGGTCGCAACGCGCCAACTCGTACTTCCTCCTATATCTCAAAGGTGTCACAGACGCGACTGGAGAACCATTATATTCGACCTATACCGTGAACCTCATTCCTCTCGGTGGCTACGCTATCTCAATCGTCTGCAACATCGCACTAAACGCACTAAGCGATTGGAAAGGCTGGAGGTGGCAAGTCTCATGCGGCGCCGCTGCTTTACAGCTAGTAGCAACCTCTGTCCTGGCCGGATGGCCTAACTCGCATGCTACAATCATGGCCTTCTACTTTCTCACTTTTGCTACGGCTGCTTGGGGTTACGCACTCATCGCGTGGCTCGCTGAGATACTGCGGAAGGAACCTGAGGCGCGATCTATCATCGTGGCCATCGCCATTACACTGGTATATGTCGGCCACGCCACGATCCCGCTACGCGCGTGGCGAGTGTCCGACTCTCCTACGTATCCAATTGGCTTTCCATTAGCCGCAGCGTTTTGCGTAGGGAGTATAGTATTTATGCTAGGGATGCGATTTTATGTCCATAAATATCCAAACCTATTAGAATGGGGGCTGGACTGGAGGGAAAGGCAAGATGGCGCTGTCGAGGAGGCATCCGATTCAGACCATGCGAATGGAAAACAAATTACGAAGCAAACAACACGGGAGATTTGAATATAAATTTATTGATAAATTGAGGAATAATATAACAGTATCGATTACAGAAGCTTATAAACGGCCTGTAGAGTTTATATTATGCTTAGAGTTAACTTTACTTGATTATGTAACAAAGAAACACTCATATATGTTCAGCTCAGAGGACAATATGTGTGCTAAGACGCGTAGTTGATACCCCTTTACCTATTCAACCCGGCCGCAGTAGAGGCCGCAAGTTTCCCTGAATGAAGAATTTTAAATCCACCATTGCGTTATTAAGAAAATATTACACTGATAACACCACCTTCCCTATAGCCAATCGGAGTCCTTCAAAGGCCATCAACGGGCGTACCCCTTCCGGAATGGATAAGATAGTTTCCTTCCACGGCATGAGGCACAACTAACGCCACAAGCCACCGATGGTCGTCGAACCCGAAGAATCTAACTCTATCTTAGTAGAGGAATTTAGGAATTCACCTTTCACGATATTTGATATATGTGAGTGATAGGCGTACGAGGACGGCCCCCATCTGCGCGGTCCTATAGTATGACCAGCCTTAAAGTCTTAGCTATAGTAGTATGGTGATACGACTTAAAGGATAGTGGCCCTGTTGTTATTCAGGTTAGATAGATTAGCACGTCATTCCGTTTCACTCGCTCGATTAGGACAACCTATGATGACCTTTCGTATTCGGTTAGGAGGTATGTAGTCTATGTTTTTTAAGTATGCCTATCAGGTTGCTTGGGATACATATTAAGCCCATCTATTCTGTATAAGACCTATGTGCTGCGGCCGACTCAACCTCTTCCGCTTAGATATTTCTCACAGCTTCTACTTTTCGGAATCGATATCTACATCCGAATAAACCTAATCGAATTATGGTAGAGGTACCTTTCTCTTCTTTAACGCCTGCGAAGCAGGAGGAACTTCTGAACGAGCCTGCAAAACAGCCTCCGGACGGAATACAGTCCAACTTGACGAATCCACAAAACTTCAATAATGGCGGCTTCGTATTGACGTCGTTTTGTTTGGCTATTGCAACGGCATTCGTATTTATGCGTCTTTACGCGAAAGTCTTCCTCATCGGGCGGGTACGAATCGAAGACTGTATTATAGCCTCCTGCTAATCCGTCCTTAGATCTCCTTGCTGACATAGTCTAGATTTAATAATAGCCGGATACGTACGTTATTACTTTACAGTTGATGTTGCCTCGTTCGACGGGTTGACAGTATCAAAAGAGCATCTTTGTAGGCATAGCCTATTGTATCTACAGATTAATCATCAATGTCGGGTTTCGTATTCACCAATGGGACGTTCGTCTTAGCAGTATGAGCGAGCATCTATACGTAAGTTTCCAGCAAGGCCTTCTAGACTAGCCGGCGTTGCTAAAGTAAACTAGGTCATGCATCTCTGTATCAACCTTTATTCCGCTCACTTACTGGTCACGAAAACGGCCATCCTCCTGGAATGGATTCATATATTTGTCCCGGATGGGCGTCGCAGTTCCTTCTTTTGGGCCTGTTGCTGCCTTATTTGGGCCAACATCATTTTCTACAGCGTGGTGATTATAGTAGCTAATCTTGTGTGCATTCCCATCCAAAAAATCTGGGATAAGACGGTTGATGGAGAATGCAATAGCGATGCAAACTTTCTTAATATTCTCTCCGCCTCGCTCAATTTAGCCTTCGATATTTTTATCCTAGTCCTCCCACAGCCCGTTATTTGGAAACTACACATGCCGAAAACGAAGAAAATTGGCGTGTCGGTTGTTTTTGCTATTGGCATCTTGTAAGATGAATCATTTTCTTTTGTAACCTCTGTCGTGTGAAATACTGAGCTTAGAACAGAGCTACTATTGCTTCTTGCTTCCGGGTTGCAGATTCTCTACAGTACCGCTCGGGAGATTTAACCTACGTCGCTTCTGATCTAGTAATATGGTCATTAGTTGAGATGACATGTTCATTCTTGGTCTTCTGTGTGCCTATTATTCCTAGAATGTGGAATGGCTCCTGCACCCGAGACCCAACAGTGATGAGAATGTGGTGCAATAGATCTATACTCCGGACTCATCCCCTACATCATCTTCTACGGAGGCGTATTAACGGAGCCTGGAGCAGATGCCGGGATTATTGGAAGATTAATAAGATTCTCTCATTCTCCAGAGATGGCAATTACGAAGAGAACACGGATCTAGGGTGGCCGCTGGACCAATTTCGAGGGATTATATGCACTAGAGAAATCATAAGTACGGTTGAGGATGCCTCGAGCTTTAATATAGAGACCGATGGACGGAGTGAATCTTGCCCATGGACTGAACCGGTTTAGAAAACCGAATTTAGGTACTTCACCAACCTTTAATGCCACATTCAATAAATGAGCTAAAAATAATAAAATCAGACTGAAGTGCCAACAATGCTTTGTGAAATTGTGTATTGCTTTGTAAGTTGGTTCAAAAGGCGCTTAGTCACTCAATAAACCTGTTTGAGTTCTAATCAGCTAGTGCGCTAAATTTAGCGTACAGTGTCTTTTTTTGATTGGTCGCCTAGGAAAGAATTCTGCCGCCTGGAACTGATTGTACGATTTAGACACCGCCTAAGAAAGTCCATAAATATCTGGCGCCTCTCTCCACTTCTGATGCCTTTCTTTTCCTTTCTTCTTCATACTTACCTTGGAAGAAGAATCCTCGCTCAAGAATAAGGATTCTTAAGAGGGGAGACCTGCATTGCACAGCGCGGAGTCGATCCTCTTCTATTATCCCTCGTGGATCGTAGTTTCCGCAATTTTTGCTTTTCCAATCATTTTCATTGTGATCGGTGCCTTGAGCACTGCCATGAGGAAGATGCTACGTTTTGAAAGTAGACGATTAATTGTATGAGCATTGGAGCCGATGGATTAGAAGCATGATTGGAACTACCTACATTAGATACCGTGGCTGTGCTTAGGGAACGCGTTCTATCATTTCGTAATGAAAGTTCATGCAAAGGATTGTGAAGGCCTCCTAATGACACAAAGATAGGCCGACTCGTACATCAGGTAGATTTCCATAGGTGACGCGTTTCCCTAGGCAGAAATGCGCTCTGAAGATTTTCTATTAAATTGCCATCACGTAACTGCGGTTGGAAAGGCGCGTAATTTGATGGCAAAGAGGACTCATCTCCGCGGTAAACGTCTCGTACGAAGGCAAAAATTCGCAGGCAGCAAAGATAAGAAACTGGAAGTTGTAAACTAAAGAAAAGGAACTTTAGTTACGTAAGTTGTAGACACTTTATACGCATATATGTGTATAAATGAATATATCAAAGTATCACGTCTTGTGATTGGCCTATCTCTAAAGCAGTAAAGATTCAACGTTGCAGTTGCTCTAACTACGTACTTTTCAACTTGGTAGCTTTTTCCCTGTTAGCTTCAGGCGCGCAAACTTCAGCCTCATAAACATAAACATTTCCGAATCTATGACCGAAAACTTTAATTATACTTCTCCGCCTCACCCATTTTCAGCTCAGATTAAGTGGCCAGCCAGCCATCGACTTACGTCTTACCTACATACCTACCTAGGTACCTACCTATCCATTTCGACATGGGTTACGACGAGTCTCCCCTAGGCGAGCGAAGAGCCTCGCGAAGTGATGGCGATGGCGACGGTGATTACGAACGCGACAGGCGGAGCCGAACTAGCCACCGTAGCGATTCCCACCGACGCGAAGCCCGAAGAAGAGATAGGTCTCGTGATAGATCTAGAAATACAAGACGCCACCGACGTTCTAGGTCTCCCGATGATGCGCCTCGCCGTAGATCGACTTCTCCGGACCGTGACCGCGGTAGAGGAGGCGAACGTAGGCGACGAAGGTCACGCGATTACGATAGGCATAATGAAAGCTCACACCGCACTCGGGCGCGGGACAACGATTACAATCACCGAGACAGAGGTGCCAAACAAATAGTGAAGCGAAGCGGTCCATTACCTTCCCAGGCTGATTCTTTTGCTGTTACGCAAGGCGAGGAACCACCAAAACCGAAGGAGAAACCCAACTTTGGGAACACAGGCGCATTGGCCGCTGCTTCAAACTCCATCATCCAGTCAGACGGTTCCAAGATAGTACTCAAGTACCATGAACCGCCCGAAGCCCGCAAGGCCTCTCCGAAGGACCAGTGGAGATTATTCGTCTTCAAGGGTGAAGATATCGTCGATACAATCCCTCTTGGAGGTCGTAGCTGCTGGTTAGTTGGTAGGGAGTTGGCTGTTGTGGACCTACCTGCCGAGCACCCGAGTATTAGCAAGCAGCATGCCGTCATACAGTTCCGCTACATCGAAAAGCGCAACGAGTACGGAGACAAGGTTGGAAAAGTAAAGCCGTACTTAATCGACTTGGAGAGTGCCAATGGAACTATGCTCAACGGAAAAAAGGTACCCGAAAGCAGATATCTTGAACTCAGAGAGAAGGATATGATCCAGTTCGGTCAGAGCACACGGGAGTATGTTCTAATGCTTGCTCCGAAGGACTAAACTCTTATGAATTTAAACAAAGAACACAGCCTCGCGTGTCAGTTCAGTGTGGCATATCGTTGTTACGCTACACTGTGTGACTGTTGCCCAAGTCCCTCGACTGGGGCGCACGATGATGTAGGCAGTCGCAGAATCGCAGAATCTTCCTCGAACAGCCGCGCTTAGAAATCAGGCAATGAACATCTAGTAGATTATCGCTTTGACCATATCTTCGCCTTGGAGGAAATGCTCCAGTGGATTTCTGTAACCATCCGGAGTCGCCTTGACTTTCTCGGGGAAGATCAGGCAGGCTATCGTCGGTATGAGTTAGTGAGGCAGTACCCCTTTATTGACGTTACACACCAAATCCGCCCCTGTCAAAGGTGTTCACTTTCATCACTCGTTAGCCGAGTTTACGAGATGGTTGTTTAAGTTGAAAATTTTTTGAACAATCACGGGACGGTCTCAATATGCGGGTGACGGGCCTAGAATAGCATATTGTGAGGTATAGAAGTGATATTTCATAGTGATACCTCACTTCGAAAAGTATCATGTCTCGGAATTCAGGGACCAACAGCTTATGCCGAAGAATCGGCTGTGTCGCCAACTGGTAAAGCATGAGGGTGCCTGGCAGGTGGGACCGTGACGAAGTAATGATGGTGGTGATGGTCGATTGGCCCTGTTCTAGCCGCCGCCTTGCCCAACATAGACTCTCTAGTCCCTTACATGATAGCTGGTAGAATTACAACCGCATACGAGCACCAGTGGAACTAACCATGTTCCACAGGATGGAGAATAGCCATAATAAAGAATCCAGCGGAGCGATCCCCATGGAGCGGCCAGACCGCCAGATAATACAACCTCATGATACTCCCCATGTGAAACTCGTCGTATTACATGTGAAAGAAAAAAATAAATAGAACTTCAACCAAAAAAAAAAAACTCCCCATATTGGGAGCCCACCAGTCGCGTAATTAATTTCGTGATCGCGATCTAGTGCCCAGGCACACCGGAATAGGTACCTACCTCTACTTACTGAAGGGCGACTCAGGGGACGTAAGGCAAGTTGCCGTCTGCCACTCATGCAGCTTACCGTATGTATTTTGAACTAAATGCCTTTTCTTGTGCAAGTAAACTGTTCGGGCGAGTGATGGAACCCCGAGACAACCCTGCGGGATTCATAATCAATTTTTGTTTCCAGATACAACATTCGAATTCCGAATGTAGAGACGGTGCCCTTCTGAAATATCTATATTTGGTACAAACAGTAAGTTAATAAATAGCCAAGTTCGGTAGTTGACTAATACTAATACTCCGAGTTTAAATATTTGATTTAATATGCGGATGAGAGTTTAGAGTTAAACTAGTAGGACTAAAGACCAGTTGAGGAAAAGTGCTAACGATCCCTCTGTGAGGTAATTCACTAACCTAAGCTTATTAGTGCGAATAGTTTAGGTAGGTTAGGTATGTATGTCTATAATAAAGTTTAAGCTTTAGTTAGAGGGCCGTACTGGTGGGACATTTGCACGATTATCGGTTCTCGATGGTTGTACAAGTATTTTAATAGGAAACATCAGATAGGAGGAACCGTTATTCAAACAAAGTTGGATCCTTCTACCAACATGACTGTGACGAAGGCGATTTATCCATCCAATCAACAGTTTCACCGGCCGATGTCTCGGATCTCGTTGACTCGGCCAACGATAAATACGATCTAATTGACGTCAACTGCTTAACATCAGATTTGATAGGGCTTCCAATGTTGTTTGCATATGCGTGTACCTAGGTACCTAATTTTTTACATGAGTCTTCCCCGTCCTGCTGTTACAGCCTATACCTAAACATTCCACTTAAGCAGGTACGCATTACTCTATTCTTATACAAACATGGAAGTGCCGAATTGCGACGCCTTCTTAGTGCATATTCCCCCCCATTGCCCCCCTGCCGGTGGCTTCCCCCCCAGATCACGACCCCTGCTTACCTCTATGCGGCCCACCCGTCTCACTGCATATTCTAGTTTAATATAGCGTTTATAGGTACTTACCTTTAAAAGGCAACTCGTCGCAACTTCGATCAAGGATAAGTTAACTAGCAGAACCAGGTACATACCTATGTAGCCTGGTAGCTCCTGTTAAAAGTATGGGTGGTGTGGGGAAATAGTAGAGTATGACTAAACTAAATATTGCTGAGCCTCAGGCTGAGGACACCCATAAACTTTCCCATAGACACCCAGACACCGAACAGCTGACGAATCTAGAAACAAGGCCCCGTGATGCTACATCCTGCTACCTCCTGCTACGTCTTTTTTTCCTCCCTTCAACTTTGTACACCCTCTATTTCCTAGTGTCTCTCTACGATGTGACCTGTTCAACCAACTTTCAAATTCCGCCTCGACCGAAACTTAGCACTGTTCAATCATCCGACCTTCTCAACTTTCTCAACTTCAGAGCAGGGCAACGTCGTGTTAATAGCACATGGAATAGCACATGGAGAGAAACTGGACCGTATGGGGATTGTCTTGTAGCCACTGGTCAGGCTGTCCCGAACTATACTTGCCCGTCTGCCTCTTTTCCTATGACTCTTTGAAGTATACCGTATATATATCCCCTGGCTCTAATGATTTCTTGTATTCCGTGCTCAGTACTGTCATTATTGACGACTGATGTCATGCGCGATGTTGATCGCAGTGAAATCTGACCCTCCTTTATAAGTAGAGAAGCACGTCTTCCAGTTACGGATCTTACACATACACCCACTCATCACGAAAAAGGTAATAATATTGGCTTGAGTCCTCATCTTGCCTGCAAGCAAGCATGGTATGTTTAAACCATTTCCTCTCTTTTTAATCCTTTCGCTTGAAATGTATCTGAGCGCATCTGGGGTTTGGTATATCGTCCCAACCGCTCTTCGTAGACCTGCCCTGCCACCCTTCGCTCCAGAGTCCTATTATGGTAATCGCCCGTGTTTGGCGATGCTTCCTAATACGACTTCTAGGAGTACACCAAATCCTCAGGACTCGGAAGGCTTCGTTTCTGTCTACAATTATGAGCGGTTTGCTAATCCCGGATTCCCAACAGGGCTCGATCAATAAACAAATCTCGCGTTACGAGACGACGGCGGTTTACACCCACCCCGACGCTAAGGTCGATATTGTTCTCGTCCACGGCCTGAACGGTGATCCGCACAAGACTTGGACGGCTAAGAATGATGTCTTCTGGCCTACCGACCTGCTGCCGACTTCCCTGAGGGATGCCCGCGCGAATATCCTCGTGTACGGATATAATGCTGATGTATACTCGAAGAAGCATGGGTCAAACCCAAGCGATAACTTCATTTACATGCATGCGCAAACTCTAGTAACGTCGCTCACACACTATCGAAAGGATGAGCAATCATCTCATAATCCCATCATCTGGGTGTGTCATAGCTTAGGCGGAATCTTGGTGAAGCGCGCGCTCCTATATTCGAATGACTTAAGATCTTCGCAGCACGAAGACTACAGATCGATATATGTATCTACGTATGGTCTCATCTTCCTCGGTACACCGCATACAGGCTCAGATTTAGCGGCATGGGGTACGATGTTACAGGCAATGTCGGACGCCGTAGTCCCAAGGACCTTCTTCCAATCGGAGTCGGTTCTTCTCAGAACGCTGAAGAGGGACAATGAAACTCTACAAAACATCAATATTCATTTTCTCGATATCTATCAACGATTTAAGATTCTCATGGCACACGAGAATCATAAGTCAGATCTAAAGGGAACTAGGATGCTAATAGTTGACGCTCATTCCGCTAGTCCTCAGCTTCCGGGCGTAACGTATTACGCCATCGAGGCAACTCACTCCGGAATGTGCAAGTTTGAGAGCAGAAATGCACCGGGCTATAGAACTATAGCTACGGCCCTTAGAGATTGGGTGGCCGATGCGCCGGACGTCATCACCACGCGGTGGAGAGTGGAGGAGGACGAGAAGTTGGCAAGGGCCAAACATGAAATAGAAGAGAGAATGAAGCCATGGGTATGCTACCCCCCGATACCAAACACTAATCACAATGGGATCATGCCTAACCTCGACTAGCTTGACTCGCAGCGTTTTCAGCAGGCTGGCCAAGGATCCAGTAGGTTACCAGCACTACCCTTTTTAGAAAATAGCTCAGACCGGTATCATGATCGGTATTTGGGGAGCTCATTGTTTGAAGATGTTCAGCTTCCTTTCGAGATTGAGGAGGTTGATGATCATTATTTACGAGAAAGCGTTAGACACCGAAGATCGAGAAGCCGTAGCTGATTGTTATTTTTTCCTGTAGTTCCGCAGCAGCATAATGAGACATTACCTTCAACCCCAGACCCTTCGAAGATCGATCATCACCCTAGACCGCTTATTACCGGCCCAGTGACACCCAATCAGCCATCGGAAGAAGATTATTTCCCTTCTCAACAGTCTAAATCTGATGATAACCCTCCTCAAGAGCCCCTGTTCGTCAAGCCGACAGTCTTTCGTCCTAACACTCATTTTAAGGGCCGGACTAAAGAATTGAGATTACTCCATAAGATGCTAATGGATCGCAAGAGAAGATCAGTCGGAACTTCGTCCGTCCTAATTCAAAGTATGCCTGGCGGTGGTAAGACCCATTTAGCACGACAGTATGTTTTCCAACATAGATACGACTACCCCGGTGGCATCTTTTGGATCAGGGCAAAATCCCTAGAGGAACTGGACTACGGTTTCTGGGACATAGCAAAGACGGTGGGATTGAACGAGGTGAGGCTTCTAGACAGGAGTGGACTCGATGATACCCGCAAGATGGTCAAGGCCGTTCACACGTGGTTGAGCGTCAATGACAACTGGCTACTTATCTTAGATGGCATCCACTTTGACCTCGTAGGCCTTCAGCATTACATTCCCTTCACAAGAAATACCGGTATAATCTACACATCAACAGAGCGAACAACGGGCGAAGACTACCAATTCGATAATCCTCAAGTCATTGCGCTGGACGCACTGACGAAGCAAGAAGCCCAGGAGCTGCTCTTCGAGGAGATGGGCAAGAGGCAGCCATATACGCAAGATGACTTAAGACGTGCCGAGGAGCTGGTTGAACTAATGGACCGTTTACCTCTCATGATCCATGTCGCAGCACTGCAGCTAAAGGCTACCAGAGAGCCGCTTGCGAAGTATCTAAGGTCGTTCCGAAGTCGCCCGAAGGTCGGTAATCTCCTTGCGTACCGGGCGGTCCGCGAGCAGCTCGAGCACAGAGGCGCTACCGCTGCGCTAAACTTGATGGCTCTACTATCTTTCTTCGGCACGCATATTCCTGTCGAGATGATAGTACTAGGTATGCAGTTATGATTTCCCCAGGTCAAGGTGATCCTTACTAACTATCATTCCAGGCGCAAAGGCGCTGGACAAGAGAACCCCGGTTAAAACCGCAGATCCCGAAACGAGGAGGTCTTCATTGAATAATACATTCAAGATACTTATTGCATTCGCTCTTGTTGAAAGAAATGAGAGCACTGAAGCCTCGTCAGCTAGCTCGCATAGTACCCGCAGTGTCGATATGGGCCAGGACAGTCTCGACATACTAAGAGTTCACGGAATTGTTCAGGCATTTTTCATCGATGCTCTTGCAGAAGAGAAACAAGCGCCGTTTTGGTTGGAACGAGCAATATGTATCTTCTGTAAAGCATTCGACGTGAGCGACCGTCGGGCCACTGACGACCCCCAGACAGGAGTGCCTGAAGACTTCCGAAGGTTTCGCATCCACGGCGAGCGATTACTAGCACACATCGGCCGGTTTGAGAAAAGACATCCCGATCTCACGCAGTGCCGGGAACTTGTCGAATCACGCTTAAGCACCATCGATAAGCGAATCGATGAACTCACTAAACGGGTCACAGACGCTTCTAGTCAGGGTTCCGAGCCAATAGTCGTCTCCGTATTTGAGCGGACTAACAGCTTATCTGAGGAAGACTCGTTGACGCCTCCAAGCAACAATAGCGTCGTCGAGCCTTACATCTTATACGACGAGAACTCGCCGTTGTCGCCATTAGAATCTCCAGCGATCTACAGCGCCACCGACTATAACCCTTATCATTGGCATGTCACTTACCCACACGGCGTGCTATACGATGATGTAGACCATTCAAGGACAGTAACGCCACAGCCAGCGCCAACGGAAGTTTTTGAGTCGATGTCTATGCCGGACGATGATGAAGTCACACGTAAGGTCTTTGGTCCCCATCATCGAACTATCAAAAGGCACGCTGAGCGACGTTATCGTGACCACGCTGGTTCTTGGAGAGCCGCCTCTCAGATACTAAGTGATCCACGTGTCAGTATCAGCCGTGAGACAGCGAAAGGCATCATCAACGCAACAACAATTCAGCAAACGTCTAGACCACGCTCCTCTACAGATAGCATGTCGTCGGACGCCACCAAGGCGCAATTAACTCTCGATCGCATTAATAGGGGATCGCCTTCACCGCAACGGAGAAGCACTGAAGACAACATTGAATCTGTTAGTGGCATGACTTCGGTCGTACGTCCAAGGCTGATAGCTGGAAAGCCATCATACGCCGATCCTAAAGCCGAGGCCGCAGTCGATGATGGTTATTCTGTGTCCGTAACGTTCTCAAGTCCGGCTCCGTCGCCAAATAATGCTGCCACGTCGATCCTCAAACGCAGAGAAAATGATCGCTCAGTATCGCTCGACGGACTCGCTCCGGTCAAAATCTCCAGTCCTTTAGCCGCAACTCCACTTACTATCACATCTCCGCCAGCACCAAGCCATCTGGTCGCACAGACAACTTCGTTACTAGAAGGTGATAAGATGACCCGCGCGCCGAAACCATCTTCACGACCACCCTCGAGGCCTCCCTCCACGTCGCCTTCGCACTCTCCCTCATTGCAAGCCTCAAGGCCATCTTCGGTGGTTTTATCAAGGTCTGCACGATCCAGTCTGTCCCATCCTACGGGCCCCTTTCCCCCGCCACCGATTCCAATCGAAGTCAACTCAAGCAGCAGCCTACGCTCTCCACCTGCTCCTAATTTTCGTCAATGGGACTCTTCTACTCGACTCCCCCAACGTTCTATCGTTGAAGATGATGAGTATCCACACTTATCTCAGTCATTCCCTTCAATCCGAACTCCTCCAAACCTGCCATATCCTCATACGGTGCACAATCCACCCGAAGGTCTCCCCGCATCGGAGCATCCACCACCATGGGTAGCGTCGGCCATGTCCCCCAATTTGCACCCTCAAGGCTATTCTAGTCAACCTATGTCGCGCAATACGAGCCACCAGTCGAGCCACAGCCACGGCTCGAGTAATTCTCTAAATCATACTACTTCTCCATTAGCACATAGCTCATCGCTGGAATCTCAAGTGATGCAGAGACCTCGCTCACGCCGCCCAAGCGTAGTAGAGACAGAGCCCAGCCCGCGACTAGACGGGCTCGAGCTCGAACCCGTGATTACTAGCTACTCACTCTACAGCGAATCGGCTCGCGGGCGTAAGCGCACCGCGTCGGGAGGATTATCTCATTCCTCGAATTCTTCGAGTTTGCTTTCCCGATTTAAGCCGAAGAGAAGGGGAAGTGAGAGCCGTCGCCATAGGTCGGCAAGTGGCCGACTAAGTAGTTTAACTAAGATCTCCAGGATCAGTCTAAGTCCAGACCTAGAATCACCTAAGGATGCTGAGCCAATGTCGCGGTCTGGCTCGGGTGGGATCCGGCTGGCGGATGGTAGGGTTGTAGAGTTCGGGTCACCACCACTGGGGGGAGAGGCGTCGTCTACCCCCATAACAAACAGCGCTAGGGCTAAGGCCGGTAATGGCAACGATAATAGCCCTTCCATATCTTCGAGCCCTTCCCGAACATTATCCAGGTTCAGCCCTCATAAGCTAAGCAGAAGAGGCAGGAAGGGAAACTTGAAGGAAACAGCCACTGCTTCCGATGTTGGGCTAGGGATTCTGCAACAGCAAAGACAATCGCCGTGATTTTCGAGAGCTACCAGCTCTGTATATACCGTATCAAGCTGGGAGCGAGGGATATTGCTTACGTTCGCTAACCACCGGAATTTAGACTGTACATACACATATATTTGCATAAGCATGGGGACGTCGTGCATATTTGGCTTGGAAAAAAGAAACCAAAAAAAACAACAACGTCGAATCAAACTGCATATCTAGGGTTTTCTTATATAGCATTATAGTAGGCGAGCATTGGGAGAGTTGGAGGTGGTAGAAAGACTGATACCAGAATGGAACTTTTTGGAGAATAGCTGTTAGCTTCCTAGACATCGGGAGGTGTGTACGGTATACGCTGTTGTATTAGGTAGCTGAGTATTGAGCATGGGGAAAATATACGGTGTCCCATATAGAATACGAACGAGTCGTGCAGATGGCGGGGGGAAGTTGTGAGATTGGTCGTCGTAATGCAAGATGATACCGGTTGGTGAGTGTGATATGACGATATAAACGTTGTCCTATTCGCGTATTGAAGTTGACATGTCAACCCCTGAATTTTCAGATTCCTAAACGTAAGAAGATCAGTCTATAACTTCTAATCTAATTGATATGCAGGTTGTTTCAGTACGTAAGTGGACAATCCGCTTTAGGAGTAAAAGTGAAAGTGAAGTTGTAGGGAAATAGAACTAAACCATAAACCCGGTCACCACCATAAGTTGCCAGCGTCCAATACGTATGCAAGCACATAGTGGAATAAGCCCCTTACTAGCAAAGAGCTTATGAAGGCATCTAGGAGGATACTCGCACACACATTGATTTCAATAGCCACAAGGGCAGTTTAGTTCGCGCAAGATTACCTTTAGCAGGTAGCAGTACGGTGAAAGCAACTAGAGCACTGACCCCCAGAAGTCCACGTAAGTAAAACTCACTACTAACTCCCTACTAATTCACATTAAATTAGGGACTTAACCCCATCTCACGAAAAAGATAGGTTACCTAAACAGCCGCTTTCAGTAGCATACAGTCGCGTAGGCCATCACTTAATGGCAAACTACCTAACATAGCCTAGGTACCTATATAGCAGCAATACTCGGAACAATCATAAGGTTTTCAAGAGAAATCCCCAATCATCCCATCCCACTTGGGACAATAGCCCAAGTATAAAAATATAATATAAAATGTACCGACGATCCCGTCTCCCACCCCCATCTCAGCCCCCCGTTTTCGCGAATCGCGTAGAACAGATAGCAGGGCCGTCTAAGGGCGGGAGGGCAAACGGTCAATTCGCATAGAAATCCGAACCAACCCGAGCCCCCTCCCAAATATTCCCTCCTGGAACCGTCGGCGCGCGTCATGTGTAAAAAAAGATAATGACGCTTGGGACACTGGAGCAGAGTGTCCCGTTCAATGTACCGCATGGATTACAGAGCTTCAAGGAAGGTTCTCGCCTTGTGCTCCACCTTGCCGCGCGGAAAATAAAAAGGGGTTTAATTGATGCGAATAAAACATGCGGGGAACTGTCAAGTCAAAACTATTGACAATGTAATGTAGAATAAAGAACAAAGAAAGAAAAGATGCTAGAGACGAGGGACTTTCGAAATCTGGATCACGTTTAGCAAGCTCCTCATAGATAAAAAATCATGACAGAACAGGGTCCTGGAGTAATGTTCCCGATTTACTACCTTCCATGATAAATGTCATTCCTAAACTCCCGGGCGTCAGCGGGGGGTATCGTACATCATATCTAAACTCAACCCGCTTTCGGTAATACCAGTGTAGGATCCATTAGTCGTCGATATGAAATGTTTGGACTTATGAGTCAAAGATAACCTTCTTACGGCCTCGACCTCGTCCGTTATCAAGAGCATCCAATTCGCGGTCGATCTCCATTATATCCAGCATTTCCACCTCGACATCTCTTTCGTCTTCTAGTTCCTGTTGCTCGACGTCGGCCGCAGCATTCAAGCTGTCCGCGAAGGCGAATCCACCTCTCGGCCTTGTTGGCAATTGTAAAGACCGGTGCTCCGTTTGGGCTTGCGCGGTAGTATCGTTCGAAGGCGATTCACCAAATAAGCCCTCCATCCCAAGTTTCGAGAGCTTCCTTTTAGGACCAACAGAAAGGTTGTAAGCAACACTACCCGGCTGTTGTGGTCGAGGATAGACAACGATGGCGCTGTTCTCCTTTACGCGATCGCTTGGTCTCTTCCGGCGACCGATGACTCCGCCAATCTTAGTGCCGACAACCGTCTCGCTCTCCCTAACAATCACAAGTCTTCCCTCGCCACATACTAATAATTCGACAGGCAAGCCTTCGTTTCCAGATAGGCTTGCGCCACCGTTCTCAACAAAGCGGACGATGGCACCAACACCGGTGCAACGTTCGCCCATTAATCCAACGCTCAAATCGTTTAATCGTACCATACGGGTTGGCTGCGCTCCACTAAAGAGGTTGACGCCACCACCGGCACCCTTGCGAATTTGTGCATCCCAGAATTTAAGAACACCTGGTATGACGAAAATATGTTCAGCACCTCCGATCCATAAGGCAACGCTCTCATCAGCCGTCGTAGTTGTACTAGCTGGTAGCGGCGTCACCACGATGCCTCCCCTAACTGGTGCAAAACGTTCAGGTCCATGTGAATTTGTGAGAGCATCGCGTCTAGAGTGAGGAGTCATAGGCACAAACTCAGAACTGGCGCTCGAGCCTCGTTGGGAGGCAGGGTTTCGTAGAGGGCTTGTACCTTCGAGATATCCAGAGATGTTGAATTCCGTTAATGCGTCCCCGCGGATACCAGATCCAGGCTTGCCAAATAGTGCAGGTCCTTGAGGGGAAACACCATCGATATCCCAAATGCCCCATTGACCATCCGCAAGGAGAACGAGAACAGCACGACCATGGGCAATCCACGAAGCCGCAAGTATCGGTTTCCGCGATGAAGAGGGTCGGGCAAAAGGGGGATAGAACGAAATAAGCCAAGAGCCTTGCGAAGGGAATGGTCCCTCGGATAGATCGTCAGGGGGCATCGAGGCAAGTGCATAGTCGTATATCCTAACGGCTTCAGGTGACGCATTACATAGAAGTTGGGTCGAGTGAGTAGGGTTAAAGGAGATAGAAGTAAGGGGTTTGGGTAGGAATTCGGTTTGGAACGGCTCGATCCGTCGACCTGTTTTTGATGAATCCTCTAGGGGTACGTCCCATAGTCGTAGGGCGCCAGAAGCTTCAGGGGAATGAGCGGCTACTACGACGCGAGGTAGCGCACTAGACTCTGAGCGCGATCGTTCGCTCGACTTGCTACGTTCTGATACGGTCTTTGGTCTGATGAGCGTCATCGCTAAGGAATCACTGCCTTTTATTTGACCGGCTAGCAGCGTCATAGTCTCACCCCATTTGCCATTGCCAGCCTTTCCAGCTAGAAGGGTCTCTTGTAGTTCGGCTCGGGCTTTGCTTAGGGGGGATGGCGGAACAAGGGGCAAGGTAATGAGGAAGACCTCACGAGTCGCACACGAGGCAGCGAATACCATCCTATCCTTCAAGATATCTGTACCTCCCCATGCAGCATCTTCTGCCGTGCAGGGTGTTAAAGGCAATGCCGCAAGATGAAAGACGGCAGTACCGAATTCAAGGTCGAGGGTTTGAATAATTTCAGGATATGATGCGTCTTCGTCGAGCGATTCTTCGAACTGCGGCGCGTCAACGAACGATCCTCCCTTCCCAGCGGGCGCAGTATCTTCATCATCAGAATCGATGATCATGACGGCATCAGCAGTAGGTTTGCCATTCTGCTTAGTTGCAGGGCTACGCTCAGCTTCTGTAGACACGTCAGGTTTAAATCGCCGTCCTCCACGCCATACTATTGTGATTCCACTCTCATGACCGTATATTAAGATAGTCGCGCCCTGGGGCGAGAGAACAGGGTATGTCTGGACAGCATGGATACGACGAGTAAGGGTATACCTAAGAAGCCGAAGTTAGACGGAGAGAGGGATGTGGACCGTATTGGGGAAATGTACGTATACTGAGTGTTCTGCGCAGTCCGGCGGACACGAGGTACTGTAATCGGAGCCATGATGATGGCGAGCAGGGCTTTAGATGTAGCTATTTCCAAAGAGTTCAAGGTTGTTGAGAGGTAGGACAACAGGGAACTGGATAATTCAGCAGGCCCAGGTTCATACCCACCTAGAAATTCATCATGTCATAAGGGATCTTCGATTAAGCATAAGATGTGATGCAAAATTAAGGTATGTAGACAAGCAGATGTTGTCAGGACGATTGCGGTTGTTGGAATTGAAATCGCGATTTGGATGATTGACTAACGCGACGAAGCTACGGATAGCTCAGAAAACTCGGGGCCACGTGACTTTTAGCCATATGAGGTGCTAACTATTTCAAGCTAGTCCCAATAGATGTACCCAGGTACCTACCAACAAGCAGCATTACATCACACCTATACTCTTACGTACATGGAACTTGGAACTTGGAAACCTCTCATAAACAAAGGCATTAACCTAGGTATTTAGGGAGACATAGATGAACCTCCATGTCGGGCCTAGTAAAAAATAAGAAAACTCACTACATAAACTAGAAGATATAGAATGAATGAATGAGTCCATATACATATACAAATTCGAATTAAATTTCAAAGCACATCTTCTAAATGCAAAAATCCACAATCCATCCGTACGTCATTACCATAAGTATAGCTATACTACCTGTTATAGGTAATACCAAACAACTGCCAAACGGTTAAAGCATCCCCGTCACAATATACCCCGACCCGCCATTCGGCCGACGAGCAACCCCTCCCAGATATTCATTCGCCCGGTTTCAGAGTCGACGATCCCTACCGTCATTCGCGCTTGGCCGAGTTGATCGTCACTACCAGCTGGCTGCCTCACGAACATGCCCAGTAGATAGATCACCAGAGGCACATCTGACCTGAACTGGTGATAGCAATACGCGTGACTGGCTAAGCCTGGGGTACTTGGCGTTTAAAAATTGACATTGACCATTAACCCCGGATTCGACGCAATGTTACCAATAACATAGCATTTCACGAAATATTATAGTAGAGGATCTCGATAAACGTCATTAGAAAAAGTCATTAGAAAAACTTACAAAGTAACATGTACAAACAGAACTACAATACACGTATATACCAAAGTCCACGAGCAAATGCCTAATCATTTGGACTATCTGAATAATATACAGCAAAGTCCTCTCAATGATCACTAATGCCTAATCCTCTATCAGAACTCTTCGCGCACAAGGCGGTGACATCCGCTCAAAAATCCTCTAGGCCAACGCTAGACCTCCGGCTTCATTTTTTTATTAACTATCTCGCGTAGCACAGCACCCAAAACGCATATCGCCCCATGACGAATGCTGCACATCTTTCCTCTGGGCCCGGGCCCTAATAGATCTCGCGAGAAATTCCGAAGTTGATGTCGAACTGCAAATTGTGACCCGGCCAGTCAACAACGTGCAAAAGAAAAAGGAGAGGATGGCGTAGGAAATTTTCGTCGGTAGTAGCAAGGCCGGGAGTATCGCCCTATGTTGCGACCACCCAATATGTTATTCCTTACACCTTAATACAAATAACGCCAGGGATCGTCTAGTCTGATCGATCATCCAATGACGAATGGCCACCATGAAACGCCGTTGATGCCGATGTGAATAAAAAGTGTTACAAGCGGAAGTCGTTCATCGTGATATCTGCGATGGGTTTTCAAGCATTGGTAACCTGCAAAATTAATCAGCCCACGTTACTACTTCCAAGCTTACGAAAACTCATACCCTTAGAATTCTTCGCGAGTAATCTTGATTGTCAGCGATGCTGCCGTCACTCATTCGTCGGTTCATAACAGGATCGAGACGAGAGTCGGTCATCGAAAGACCGCCGCTGCTACTGGGAGGCTTTCCGCCACCACTAATGAATGCGTTGACAGCAGCATTCCGTCGGTGTTCTTCTTCAATTTCGGCATTTCTCTTTCGGCGCAACCAGAAGAAAGCAGCACCACCAAAAGCAGTTATCGCAACAACGCCAACCACAACACCAGCTGCAATACCGGCGACATTGGTTCCGGATCCCTTCTCGGGTTCACTGGACGCTGTCACAGTCTCGGTGGGATCTATGACACAAATTAGCACAGGCTCATAATCCGATGAGGAATGATGGATAGACACATACCAGAAGTGCTGGCTGGAGTGTTTGAAGAGGTTGTACTAGTCTTGGATGCACTCGAGGTAGAAGAACTGGCGGCCGGTGCCTCACCAACTGATACCCTCTCTCCGGTATTGTAAACCGTATAAGTGTCAAGACCACCGCCTATTGACAAGTTAGCATCATAGGTACTTAACAACACAATATCATTAAACATTACATACATGCTTGCGTGCCGAATCCGGGACACGGTTCGGTGCATTCACTATCATCAACTAAGTCGGCTTTGTTAGGATATTTGTCACCGCAGTAACAGTCTTTCGCATTAGTAGCAGCCACGAGATTAGTTTTGTTGCGACATAGGGTTGTACATGCACCCTGCGAGTTGAAGTCGATTGTCTGCTCAAGCACCAGAACTCCCAAAGATTTATAGCATCCGTGGACGGTATCTGTCCCCGGTACCGGGTCTGTTGCTGGTTGTTCCAAGTTCGCCGCATCGGCAAGGGGACTTAGGGCCAGGATGACCGCAACGGCAAATTGACGAAGTGACATGTCGAAAATTATTAATGTCGATGTTAAGTAGCCAAAATCTTAATTCTCTCAACCCGATCAACGACTGGAGAGGACGGGAATCTAATGTAGGTTGGATTCAATCTCCTCTAGGGAGGGGGGAGCCGATAATGTCCTTATCGTGTTTCGTACTGTATCTCGATCTTCGACAGTTAATACTTGTATCCAAGTCTGGATCGCAATGAAGTCGTCCAGATCATGTAGATGGAGGCGGAGAATCTCTTGATAACGATATTCGTGTCGGTGACGTCGGGCTGCAATTGATTTGTACGTTGTTCTTTATGGTCTTTCGGCGACAGTAAAACCGATGAACAGGCGAAAGAAACGTATAAAACAATGGCCGGCTATATCAATGGCTTTCGTTAGAATCCCTTATTAAATAGCTCCTGAATCAACCCCTTTGACAAGTCCTTGGAAGGTTTGGTAAAACGTTGAATGATCGGGAACAAAGTATCTGTTCTCGTAATAACGGACGTGTATACGGCAACGTGCCAAAGTCGAGGAAGGCGAAGGGAAGTGTGTGTGTGTCGCGTAGTAATTCTACTCACCCTCTTTTCTTTATTGGTTGAAGAGGTCAGTCAATATCACGATGACCTGGCGAAAAGGACCTACGAAGGTGCGGTGTAAAAGGCGAGGGAAAGGAACAAAAACGACTAATTCAGAAGATGAGAAATGAGAGACACGTCGAGATCGGACGAGGAAACGAGTGGACTGACTGACTGGCCTGAGTAACTTAGGGAGTGTGGGAATGGGGTTTATTTTGCTTTAGAGAGGCAGGTCGGGGTGTAGGGTCGGAAAGGGAGAAAGGGAGAGGGAGAAAAGACACGAGGATGCAGAGGTGAGTTTGTGAGAAACAAAGGCTAAGAACCCAGAATGGGATTAGACCCCCAGTCATAGAGGAACCAAGCCCACTTTAGCTTGGGTACATCTGTTATGTATCGAATATATTTTTTAGAATACGCTAGGTACGTACCTCACTGTGTAGTAACTTGACTAGCGTTGATTGGCTCGTGACTGGTTTAGTGGTTACATGCAGTGTGGCAGGTGTGGTAGCAATCGCGCGGTCTTGAGAAAAAAAGCTGGCAGGCGGCCAGCAGCTCTCGGTGGGTTCGGTGGGTTATGTATCTATGTACACTAGATGGGCGTAAATGGATATAAAGATAAGTGGGACACAACTTGGATAGGCGGCAGGCTCCTTACGCTCTTTACTAGAAGGAGAATGTGAAGCGAAAGGATGGGAAATTACATCGGACAAGGGGGGAGGGGAGGGAATTTGTCCAAGTAAATATGCTGCAGCACCGTGCTTAATAGTTACACTTGCACAGTGTTTTACATTTTATCTACCTAGGTAGGTACCCCATAACGCCAGCTTACGTGCTTCAAGTTACACAATTACCTTCAATTTTTATCCCTTCTTCGTGTATCCTGCGAATACCTTTTATCTTCCAACTGTTCTTCCTTTAAACCACTCCCCGTCATTGCCTCGAAATTTCATCTTTTTGCTTGCCTGTTTGGTTCGTCAATTGATGAAGTACTATGTAATTCCCCCTACTTATCCGCTTTTCCCATTGGGCTTCTCCATGTCCCTTGCAGTAGTGTCAAGCCACTTAGATGTAGTATTTTAGCTACTTTTAGTATATTAGGTACTTAAGTTATTACCTAACCCCTGAAACTTTCCCGAGAACGTCTTATTGGATCGCATGATTATTTTATAGAAAAGGAGACGGCTACATATGCTTTTTATGGGTTTATGAATTATCCATCGCCGTACCGTCTTATGTACGCTTATGTTGGGTTTATCCGTGCATAAGCTCCAAACTGGCTTATGACTTATGAAAGGCACAACTGATTGTTCCTGACGCTTACCCCTACTTCGCTTAATTCAAGTGTACCTGTGTATAGTGTATAGCGCTATGCGTTGTGAAACTCAATTACGCACGTACCTACACGATATGTATGCATCGGACCTATTTGTGCATAACATAGTTAATACTCGCTACAATAAGGTGTTACAAAACCGATTAAGGTGTTTGCTTTTACAATCGGGATGCCGTCTCTACCTAAATCCTCCTTAACTTTCCGATAACCTTCGCCACCAGTATCGCGCGAATTGTCGTGTATTATTGTCGTGTATTTATGTAGGTATTCCATTCGTATTAAGATGAGAATGGTACGTTGTCAAGTCTTGATCTACAGATTGACATTGCGACGTAACCTCTAACCTCTTTTTTATGCACGCTGCATAGGAAGATGATAAGACACGAGAAGAAGAAAACCGTCCAAGCAATCCAAGCAACCCCCAAAACAACCCAAACAAGCTGACAAGGTAGTAAAACAGCAAATTTGCCAAGCCAACCCCAAAACAAGAAACACACGGCAGCAGACGGTCAAACCGTTAAGAGTACAAGAGTTCGATCATCTCGTCACTTTCGGCACTTCATACAGAAATAAATTGCTTGTCCATGCAGTTCCAACAAGAGATTCGAGCGAGAGATTTCAGGTCGTATCATCCACATACCTACACCCAGATTCGTCAAAGTTCGTTATTATCAGCCCGATACCTACCTTGCGTCTTTTTATTTCTTTCTTTTTTTTTTCGGTTTTTTTTTTCGTCCAGAATCTAGACTTCGACCTTATGGCTTGCATACAGGCATAATGTATGAGTGAGGCTAAATATTTATATTTGCACATACCTACACGCCTTATTGTTCCTTTTATTCGTATTTTCCTGACGGATCCTAGAATTCGGGTACATTGCGTACATTATCGGACAACGTCACATTATTGGCAGTGAAGGCTTAAGTTCTTCAATAGCAGTGATTCGAACCTATTCACCTGTACCGACCTTTGAATACTTCTAGTAGTAGATTCCATTATTTATCTGTAACAAATTGACGAGTCTACCTACGGATTACTTACCTAAACAATAGGAACAGAACAGGTCGTTTCACAACATCATCCTCATTTCTTGCGACATAACCAAAATCGGCATGTCCAACTCCAGAGCTTCTACATCCAGTAATAACTCGGATCCTAAAATAGGACAGCACCCATTTGACCCTTTTAAATTCGGGGATTTTCCTATGCCGCGGCCGTAGGAGGACTCAACCCAGAATCTCAAAGGAATGATCTATGTAAAGTTACATTATCGCGTGCAAAGCAAGCATCTATGCTAGCCAATATAACACAACGCTAAGCAGACGATATACATTTGATGAATCCCTTCTCTTGTTTCCAATCCCGAGGTGTTTTTCACCGTATCTAAAGCATCTTGTATCGTGCATATTTTCAATTGCTTCTTTACATGCCAGGGTTTACCATTCTCATGTGAAATTCGGGAGTCGGTCCCAAGCCTTACGTCGTATCATGATGCGCCAATCGTCGCCAAGATCAAACGACCAGATCAACCAGTATTCTCATCCTAGCATCCCCAGACGATTTCCGCATACCCAAGTCGGTAACAAGCCACATATATTTAACATACCAGGGATTGTATGTATGTTCCATGAAGCTTGCCTTTTTTTTTCTCGAATGCGCGTATTCAAAGTGACAGGTAAATTATAAACACCTAATAACTACGGAATAGGCAAATTTTTATTGATGAGTTTTAAGTACTTATTATGGCGACTGAATTATCATGATCAAGAGTTATACCAAAGTCTTAGGTACATTAGGTACATAAGTATTCCACCTGTTATTAGAGAAGACATACATATGTCTTCTCGCTAGCATATTCAAACATCTACAGTACCACTCTAATGAGTCTTCCAAACATCTACCAAAGTGTTACCTGAGCTAGATTAAGTCACATTTATTTTGTGACAACCGGAGTTATTACCTATGAGCGGAGTCAAGGGTTAACCCCTATTTTGTCCATTGGCCCATTATACGTCTTGGGCTCTTAATACTTCAAGTTTTTTTTTTTTTTTTCCGATAAAATAGTTGCAGGTTAAGTAATAGGTTCATCCAACGATGAAGGTACTCAAGAGTTTGTAATTTTAGTCATCATATCATTAAAGGTCATGGGAGTTCAAGTAAAATGGCCAATATATCTACCTACTCGCATTGTACAATAGTTTACCATATCTAAAATGAGAACAGAATTGCGACCGCTTGGAAAATATTTAACTAGAATATAAGGTAATCAAACACATTTTTTTCTAACATACCTATTATTTACTGTTCATATTTTTAATCGTTTCTTTACTGTTAAGTAATAGTGTAAATTTAACCGATTAACTATTTAGAAGTTTTAGTCACATAAATCGTATAACACGTAGGCGATATTTCAAACAGTTATAAACAATAAATTAACTAAATAAAACAGTTATTATTAACGCGCATCAGGGCAGCAAGTTCGGCAACTCGAACATCGAAAAGAACTCGCCATCTCCTAAGTGTCTAGATTCTTAATATCTAGTCTGACATCATGGCCTGCTAGCTAAAATTCGAGCGTCACTAACTAACAAATAGTCAGTACGGCATTCTCGGTACTGGCACAGTCGACTTGGAGAGGGTAATAGCAGGATGTAGACCCAGGAGGGCAGTCAAGGACACACTGGCCCGCGAGCTCAGCATGGCGGTGGTGCGAGACGAATGGGTCACCGTCGATAGCCGACAGGTCAAACCACGACCTACCGTACTGCACAGCTAACTCGACTTGAAATACCTTCCTGGAACCAGCTTTGTCGGTACATTTCAAAACAGAGCCGACGTTGTCGTTGTAGGCAGGGAGTGGGGACTTGTAATGCCGGCCAGCCTTTACCTTGACTGACGCGCTGGAGGAGCCGTCGTTCTTGGCAGCGGAACACCAGACGTTGAACTTGCAGTTGTTCTGAACGATAAGGTCGCTTGCCATGACGGCGGGAGCTGCTAGGAGAGCGAGCGAGGTGAGCTTGAGAATGTTGAACATGTCTGTAGTAGGTGCCCAGATAGGTTGTAAGATTGCTAGAGAAACTCTGTATCTGATATTGACGTCCTTCGGAGCCGTTTAAAAACAGGGGTTCCCAGGTGAAGATGCCTTAAGGTGTGGGATGATGGTTGATTGGATCGTGTGTGAGAGATAGACATTATCATCGAAACATTGGACGCGAGGTATATATAGTCGTAGGCTATTTTTACGTTAATGGCATTCGTTCTATACAATTATTTGTTTAATATTAACTAACTGATAGTTGATTTGAATCACAAAGAGGGTGTTTGGCTGAAGCTCAATAGACACATTCAGAACAAGATGATATTACATTTACTTAGTCGCTTTTTAACTTACTACTTCGTGTGTTGTTCGTTTGGTAATATATGCCAGGATATCAATTTCATTCACAAGGTATTGCCAGACCCTAATTGAATACTCTGTTTAAGATCTACCTAGCACTGGCTAGCCATATACCACAATGCACTAATTAGCAACTCCGATGTATGAGGCACGATTAAAAGCCATGAATAAGGCATAGGTGTATGTGGATAGTTGAAGAAGCGGACTGATTCACTCTAACGCGTAGGATTAAGTCTTTCAATTCAGTTTTAAGTGAATATTGGACATGCCTATTCTCGGTCGAGTTTTATTAGCGACATATGTTAGAAGAATACTACAACTATTCGTAGGCGGGGATTCCACTGAAGTCAGTATTGGATCTCTAAAGTCAAGACTCACTAGACTTTAGGTACTCGTCGCTTCCTTTAAGTTGACATATTAAGGGGCTTGGGAATACAATACAGCGGCCATTTGTCACGAGGTGGAGCAAGAAGCAAGAGAACAACTTCATTGTTCCATGAGGAACTTTGAGTTAGCTACGGGAGCCTACGGCTATACATTAGATATTAATAACGTCCTTTATTCTAGATATATCATCTAGAATCCCGACACAAAGTATTACAAGCCGTTCCTCTATGATCTAGAAACTAGGAATCCACCATTTTGTAGTCTTTGGAACGTGCCGCTGCGGTCATACTTCTGGCTCACGCTTCGCAGGAAGTCCAGGTTCTGCGAACCGTAGCTCGCGAGCACGTTTTGGTCGCGCGCCGCGATGTTGGCGAAAATGAGCGGGTCATACAGCTTCTTGGCTTGCGACTGACTCTTGATGTAGTTCCCTATTTGCGTAACAACGCCGTGAACTTGCTTGTCGTCTGCCGGATTCGTCCACGTCGAGATGGGGTTCCAAAGGGTTAGAGCCCTCTTGGACGATCCTAAGACGTTTCCGCCGTTGCAGTCGGCAACGCGAGCAGCGGCCGCGCCCAAGGTTTGGATAACAAGGAGGAATGCGGCGGAAGTGCCGTTGTTAGCCGCATTTATGGAGAGATATTGGTTGTAGAAATCGAGATACATGTTTGCGTCAGGGGTCGTAGTAACACCGACAGTGTCGCGGCTGGCCTCGGGCTGGGGTGGACTTTGGAGCCCGATGAATTCCAAGGTCGTGCCGTTCGTGGGAGGGGTCCTCTCAGACGTCGGTACCAGTTTGCTAAACGGCGCAAATACAGCAGGGTCGTTTGTAGGTTCGCCGTAGACGAATGCGACAGTGAAGCTATCAGGTGAGCACGTCATCTGAATGCCGGCTTTAGAGTCACCTTCCATATTCTTCTGCACCTCTGCTAGCGCCTTTAAAACTGCTCGCGCGTCAGAAGCGGCGTAGATTGCATTGCGGTACCAGATGTTTCGCGGCATCTTAGTATATAGCTCGAACTTTGTGACAATGCCTTAGAGAATAGATTAGTTTATCTCATCAACTCATACTGAATTTAATAAGTCATCTTACCGAAGTTGTTCCCACCCCCTTTCAAGGCACGGAATAGGTCCGAGTTCTCGGTTCTGCTTGCGGTAACGACTCTGAAATCCGAGAGTACGACCTGATTTGCTGGTTAGTATATAAAAATTAGGTATATAAACATATATCCAGTCACTTAATGGGCTTATACGTACTTCCATGCTCTTGATGTTGTCCGCTGCAAGCCCCGTAAGCGAGTTGATGATGGGATGACCACCACCGAGGAGAAGTCCGGATACGCCCACATATTTGTTGCGACCAGACACTACCGCAACGCCTTTCGAATCAAGATACTCTTGAACAGGTCCGAAGCGAAGGCCAGCACCTACAGTCGCATACGACTTATCCGTACTCAAGCTCAAGTTCGAGAAACGTTGCGTGTCGATGGTGACACCCTCCTGGCCAATACTCGCAAAGCCTGGGTTGGGGTTGTGACCACCAGACCTGACCGCGAATTTGGACTGGACCCTGCTGATCACTTGCAGCGCGATAGCTACTTGGACGGGATGTTCCGGGGTTATAAAACAAGCCGCCGGGAGGTCACAATTGCTCGACCTAAATACTACATTTAGCATAACGGATCGTCCGATTTTTCGGTACCGCAACCGACTGACCAATTCTTTTCTAGTAGAGTGACGTAGGCAGTTTGATTTGTCCTGGTATCCGTATAGGAATCTGGTAGGATATAACGAAGCAATTGGCATGCGATTTGCGCCTGGAAAGAGGACGTTCGAGAGCTGATGGTATTATTTTGACTGGAAGCCTGATCTAAAAGTGCGCTTGAATTGCGAACCGCCGCGCTTAACTCAGAAATGATGGGATCCGACGAAGAGAACGATCCAAGAGTATCCAACAGCTGCTCAGAGAAAGACTCCTCCCGGGCCTTTATAGCAGCACCAAATGAGCCTGTCGCCGCTGCGCCGAGAAGTAATGAAGAGACCCTCATATTGAGTACCACAAGAAAATAGACAGCTTCCTTTCTTGCCGATCACCAAATCGATCACCGAAAGAATGAAGGCGATCGTCGTGATGCGGAGTAAGAAAAAAAAGAAAAATTAAATAAGAGGCAATTTGGAGCATTTTGAGCCGTATTATTGACACACCTGAATTACAGCGCCGCACACGCGCTTATAACAATGGCTTCGCGCATGGCCACATGGCTTTCGATATCACCGTGATTTTAATCAAGGAACCCCACTGGAAACGAGGCAAGGGGAAGAAGAGTCGCTAGCTGAATACCTACCGTACTCTAACTCGCCTGAACATTCGCAAGGCTAGGCTTTAGCAGCGCTGACTCGCCTCGTCCAATAGGATGGAATCAACTAAATAAGCGGGACACGATCCTTCGTAGAGCCAACTCGCAGCATTCTAGATTGCTGTGGCCGAGCGGCGTGTGCTAGGTACCTAAGCTTCCTAATCCGAGACCTTAGGACTTGATGTCGTCCTTCTCGAATCTCGGATGCGACGCTTCACTCGCATCCGGCCCGGGTCCGACGAGATCGTGCCGTGTTAGCACTCCCCCTCTATGTAGGGCAAGATTGCGCGTGTTCGAAGCTCTTAGAGGATCACAATAGCTGCTTTTTCTTAGGGCTTATCCTGCGTCGTCCACGTGGAACCAACTACCATAACGTCACAGCTGCACATCTATTCTTGCTTGGCTGTACCCGTATAACCAGAGCGAGGTTAGTAAGGCGTTAGAGTCCGCGCCGGTTTCAGCTTTAGAATCCCGAGTATTTCCCCAACGCTCTTGAGGCCATGTTGGAGAGATCTAGATTTGACGCCATCAGTTGCAAGAAGGGGTTGTTTGGACTCGTACGACTTCACTCGGCGAACTCCTGCTATCTTCGTCAAGCGTGATACTCCTTCTGTGGGCTACCACGTGGGGGTGATTTTTAGCTAACCTCCTTGCAGACGGTTGGTTTTGATTGAATCCTCTAATCAACCATCGTGAGACCCGTCTCGCGCTCTCACTTTAGCCATTGTGGGAGCTCCACGGTCGTAGTTGGCGCATGATATGGTAAGCGCTCGTGAAGATGCGAAGAGGGCTTCAATACTTATCATATCCAGCCGCCGCGCTCTCCCTCGCTTTTGACCAACGCATCCGAACTCATTCCATCTTAAAGTCCTTCTAGGCCCATGTGTAGTGTTACAACCTTGGTCCTTTACCTCAATCGCCAATACTATTACTATTAGGGGTATCTGCATGACTACTAACTAACGACACAATGCTGCCTGTACCAACCTATTTATACTCTCTTCTCTCGGTTGATCAATATACTAATTTACTGCACTTATACGATACGATCCCTGGGACGCGGTGACGAGGTATCGCAAGCGCGCTGTAGCGATTCCACCGGTGTCTAGTAAGACCTGAGATAGCTCGGCCACTCCAGTCTACAAGATTATAGAATAAAAGAACTAAACTAAGGGATAATGTTAGGTACAATCCTGAAGCTCGAGGAAGATCCCCTATATCGTGTTTATTTCAGCTTCTGTTTAAGAGCTGATAACTTACTAAACTCAATAGCCATCCCTTTTAAACATTGCTGCATATTTAGCATTTGCCTCGTATCCTGGAGCGTTTTGAGATGTTTCTTGCCTGATACCCCCCTTCTGGTCTCTAGTGTTTGTTGATATAAGTTATCGATCATGCCTGGGTCCTCTTTGCCTAAGACCTTCCTCTGAAGTTCCAACGCTTGTTGACATATTGGTACAGCCTCTTCGTACTTATTTTGAAGTATTATTAGGCGAGCGACCATGCCTAAGGCCCATATCGTGCTGGGGTGCTCTTTACCCAATACCTCCTCCCGAAGTTCCAGCACTTGTCGAAGTATCAGTTCGGCCTCTTCGTACTTATTTTGTCCCCATAAGGTAAAAGCAATTGTACCTAAACTATCAATCGTGAGGGGGCTTTCTTCTCCGATTAACCTTTTCCGAAGTTCTAACTGCTGTCGATATATCGATTCGGCTTCTTGATATTTCCCTTGTTCGAATAGCGCACTGGCGAGGTTCGACATGCTAGCCAGCGCGAGGTGGCTTTCCAACCCCATTGTTTCCATTGCGGCGCCTAATATCCCTCGAGACATAATTTCTGCTTCTCTGTACCTCCTTTGCCTCATAAGTACCTCGAAGAGCTTTCCTTTCACGTCAAGGGTTTCTGGATGGTTCACTCCGAGATCTGTCGCCATAACATCCAGCCCCTGTTGAAGAATTTCTTCTGCCTCACTATGTTTTCCTTTGTCTGCCAGAGCTATGGCGAGTTTTACATTTTTTCGTTGGATATCTATGGGTTCCAGTTGTTGACTTTCATTATGACTTTTCAACGCGCGCGGCCATAGTTTCTCTGGCATTTCATCTTTTCCCGTCCCAAGTAAGCTTAAGTCAAGGTCTTCCATACTGGGAAACGTGTGGCCGTGATTCTCTCCCAGCAATCCTTTACGCATCTCTAATACCTGTCGATGTATCTCTTCCGCTTCGTTTAGCTTTCCTAGCAACTCTAATATAAAAGCTAAGTTATTCATAAACATAAGGCGACCAGGGTGGTTAGGGCCTAATAGCTTTTCGTATAGTTGCAATAATTCCTGGTTTAGACTTCCTGCCTCCGGATATTTAGATCGAGCCTGCAACACAATAGCGAGATTTTGCGTTGAAAGCAGTGTGCGAAGATGCTCGTGACCAAATATCTTTTCTGCTAGATCGAGAGACTCTCGGGCTGTCTGTTCCGCCTTCTCATAGTATCCAAGGGTCCGATAACATTTGCTAGTATTGAAGAGGAGTCTCCAGGTAGCCTCTTTATCCAGGGCGTCTTGTTGGAATTCCAAGGCGGTTTGCGTATGCGGTAGATACTTTCTCAAGGTAATTATGTCGCCTTCTTTTATATGCAAGAACCCTGATTCAAGATACCTTATCCCTTTGGTAATCCACTCTTCCCAGCTTCCTTGCTCTTTTATCCAATTGCGCATAGCGAGGCGTACAAGCCGGTGTATATCGAAACTGGTCCCTTCCCGCTCAGTAATGAAGGCGTATCCCTTTAGTACACCTATAGCCTCATCGGCCTCTAGTTCAGAGTCCTGCTTTAGTAGTATAAGAGGAATGTCTTTCTCCTCAAAGAAGCATAACTGTTTTAAGTATTCTGCCGCCAATGGAGTATCCCGGGAGATGTGCTCGAATGATATAAGCCAAGTCGTTGCAACCGGGTTCGAGGTATCTTTGTACCTGCTGCAGTCCTCAAAATTCTTACTTAGCAGCTTGATAAGAGTGCTATTACTTTTACGGCAATGATCCAGGTATTTAGTTGTCACCATTCCTGTCTTCGCCATATAGGCAGCTGCTTGCTTGATAGCCAGAGGAAGATAAGCCAGTAATTCGAGTAGATCGCACGCACTTTTTCTATCACGTAATTGGTCTTCTATCAACTCATTCTGCAAGAATTGAAAAGCCTCGTCCTCGCTCATTTCTTGGATTTTAGTGATGTTCTTCTGCGATATATCAAGCCCAGTGGAGACTTCGCGAGTCCGCGTTGTAACAAGGATAGATCCATTTCGGTTGAATGGGAGATATTGGGCAAGACCCTTGGAATTCCGGTCGCCGAGGAGTAGTTGGACATCGTCGGCGCCGTCAAGGATAAAAAGCCATTTACCGACACTATCCTTTTCTAGCGCAGCCTTGGTGAGTGGCTTCATGTCTGCTTGATCATCATTGAGCTCTTTGAGTCCGAGCTGTTGGGCAATCTCTCGGTAGGCGTTGTCAAACGTTGCTTCACTAATCGCCGGCACCCAGAAGACAGATAATTCCGGATATTCGCTACGGACGCGGTAAGCAGCTTCGAGAGCCAACTGACTTTTTCCAACACCTCCGAGACCTTCAAGCGCAACTCGCTGGCAATCATCCTGGTCTACTCCTGGACTGATTTTATCCCGCAACAATCGCAGTGTTTGTTCTCGACCAACAAAGCCACGGTTTCGGCCAAAAGGAACCATAAACTGAGGTCTGTCTAATACTGAGAGTTGTGTTAGAATATACTCGCTGTTAATAAGGCTGCGGGCTTACACGATCTCCGACTTTCGATTGTATCTTTAGCTTTATTATACATCTTAACTATTACCGCCGAAACACTCAAGAAAGAGGAATCGTTTGGACCGGAATACTTATTCATTTGAAGATGGTCCGCTGGGAGTGAACTTCGCTCCCATCCAGCAATATGGGCAGATTCCTCTTTTACGACCTAGAAACCGCAATGAATTCTTGGCATTCTTCAAATTTCGGGGTGTACTCACCATTGCTTTCACCAATCCTGGGACCCCAAATTTCTTACCGTAATCTGTCTTGTATTCTTCAAAGAAGCAGCATGTTGGTAAATGTAGTTTGTCCCGTAGCTTACAGAGATCATGAACCTTGTCTCTTAGTGTAGAATTGTCGTACCCTAAATCTCGGATAATGCCCACATGTGAGTAGACAAGCGCCATCAGCCAGGCGATAACAATAGCAATCCACTTCATCTGCGTGCCTCGGAAGGGGGTTCCGAGGGAAACAAAACCGACAGTCTGTCTGGGTAGATAGCGGAATTCCTCTTCGCTCTCAGCGTACAATAATCCCTTTCAAGATCAGTAATATCCGCCAGATGCAATCCTTGTAAGCTTACATATAGAATAACCAGACCACCGAGACTATGACCTAAAAATATGATAGGTCGTTGAGACCCCATGCGGAAGTTGTGAACACAGTGTATTAGAGATTCACCACAGAGCTGTAAGCGTGTTTCCGGTGCGTTGGCATGCCATCTTGACTCATAGTTATATACCAGGATTCTGGCTTTAGGCAGGAGAGCTGGCAGCATATCGGGATCTTTGAGCCAGTGGACGTATCGTCCCTTTTTGTTTTTATCCTTCCACGTCCATGACCAGTCAACATTTGAGCCCAGGCCATGCACGGCAATGATACTGATGACTGATTAGATACCTGTATAAAGCGATATTTAAGAAATAAGGTATCATCCATACTCAACCTCAGCGTCTTCAACGGAGTGATCAGCAGGGTCCGGATATAAAACTTCGAGCGACGATCGGTCAGGAGATATCTGATTGTAGTTAATAACTAGATTCTAGTAACATTCCTAGAGCTAGACGAGCGAACCTGTCTGTTGCTTTCCAGTGACATTTTCCTCAATTTTACGCCGATATGTCGTTGGATTTAAATAGTTCTCCTATTCGCGACGGGAATTCTTGTTGAGGTTTGGGTAGCTGTGGCAATGTTGCTGACTAGGACTACGGCGCCGTGTTATACCAAAAATAAAAGACGTTACTAATAGCCTTGTTCACTAAGAGAGGAAGGGGGGGATTGGAGGTAATTATGCATGCGTAGTAAATGGGAAATACATAATCAAAGGTGTTGGTGCGCTGGGTATTATCATCGAGGGGGAGTCCATAGGAAGTTTGGGAGGAGCAAAAGCTCAAGAGTAGCATCTACTCAAGCCCCTCAGATAATGCCCACGGCAATAATATTGTCCGGCTAGATACCTCCTGGCCACTCCTTTTAGTAGGTACTAAAAGGGGTGGCCAGGAGGTATCTTGCCGCCCAATTATATCAGTTGTTAATGGAGTCGAACAGCACAATCAAAGCCATAGGCGCGTATTGTTTTTAGGTACCCAACATATCAACCCTACCCAGCCTATTAGCTGGCACATACCATACAGACAATTGAATAAGATCGTGTTTTTTTGGCCACGTCAGTCTCGTCATAACTTAAAATACCTATCAAATCAAGGCTATGATTTTTCGTGGGTGCATTCTTCAATGTACAGATATAGTGTTATTATATTTTTTTGACCTATCGTGTAGGCCTTGCATCATTATTTTGAAAATTCTAGTAAGGCACTTGAGCCAATAGGAGGGCTTACACTGTGAGGGAATCGTATAAGTAAATCTCGACTGATCGCCCATGGTGTGCATCTCTCGAACTTTGCTCTTATAAGAGATATATAATGATTTTATAGATAGACGAGTTATCACTTTCTATTCAAGACTATGGACCTCTCTAATATACCCGTAAGACGAAGCCTTTTTATCGCGTTTATATTCTAACGGATGCCACGGCAGTTTACTACCAACTTGCTCCTACTACGCGTCGAAACGGATGGATTTACATCTCGTTTGGACGAACGATGGAATAATCTTCGTAAAGCCCTTGCCTCGTTTCCTACTTAGTCTCGAGGTTTGGAATGAATACCTCAATTGCGAAGTTGATTGCAAGTGTCGACGGGGTTCTGCGGTACTCAACACTGGCGATGCTCGACAGACACCACATCGTTATAGGTCCGACAATTCGGGAGGCGTAAATATCAACCGACCCGGCGTTAGTTGGCCTTCGAGGACTCAGCGGGATGTCTGTGCGCTACGGAGATGCGCCTTAGGTTTTCTCTACTCGTATGCTTGCCTTATTACTTACGAAAGCGACTTTGCATACTCGAAAGAACACCATCTTCTTCCTAGTTTAGCCAGGGGCTCAGAGATTCAATGGGACGATTGGAAGAAGTTTTCCAAGGAAATTCTCGCCAAATATAAGGAAGCTGATGTACATCCGCGTTTCCACCGGGGAGAACTTCGTCTTTCCCGATTGAATTTCTTCAGTCGCTTTACCCAGTGGCCATTATTTACTTCGTATATTCGCGGTTGGCGAAACTACGGTAGTTTGGTCCGAGACAATATCACCTCACTAGCTACGGCTACTATTTTCATTGCCTTGATTCTGACGGCGATGCAAGTTGCGCTTGCCACGGACCAAATCAAAGCACACCCTCAGTTCATGGACGTTTCGTACGGCTTTTCCATTTTCGCTATTTTGGCTCCGCTGTTCGTGCTTTTCTTGGTTATTGTGGAAGTTCTTTATAACCTTCTTAAAGATAACCTATTGACCCCAAACCTTGCGAAAAAGCTGGCTAGAAAGAAGAGACCTGCAGCAGATGCGTCGGTATAAGAAAGAGAGCTGTTTAGTATAGTTACCTAGGTATATAGCCCGGTAGCGTAGTTGAGTCTTGAAATACAAGCTATTTATGTATAGTATAGGGGAAATATGGTATAGGGGATGGAACCAAGCAGTAAGTGGCCATAAAGTAGTCTTAACGGAAGAAAATCGAAAAGGGGGTTTCTATGTCGGACAATCCATGGACGCGAGTAAATCGGAACTGGAATATGCGAGTATGCTTGACTGTAAAAGTCATGGTTCCGGTAGTTCGGGCCCGGCGCGGAGTAGCCTCGCGGTTAGCGGACGGGAGTAGCGAAGATTGGCTCTAGGCTACTCGTAAAGCCTACTATGTAAAGCGGCTGTGTATAAAAACTCTTCCAGGCGTGATATCCCGGCATGTGGACCTAAGCGAGTCTTCTGATTACATCTGTCGTGAGTGGGTAGAGTTCTGATGTTTAAAACTCCACACTTACATATTAGATGATCGCGGGCCGCGGAAGGGTAATGTTTTTATCTGGATTGGTCCACGATTGGCGGTAGTCACCGAGAAGGCTATTGCTGTTAGTACCTTGGGAAGTGGAGCAGGTAAATTGGCGAGTTGGTGAGTTGGTGAGCTGATACGTGACCGTAAGCATTATACACCCCTTAATGGGACATGAAAGTCGAAAGTCGAGACCCTTCGCTGCCGAAAACTACCGAAAATATTACTATAAAATTACTTGATAAATATTCGAAGCCCGGCAATACATAGCAATGGCGGTCGCGGGGGGAGAGGGCATTGCCGGATGCGATGGTGAAATTATTGAAATGAAGATGAAGCCATTCGTGGATGCCATCCGGGTGACGGCTTGACTCGAAGTTTACTCGAAGTTTCGAGTTTTACTCGAATTTATCGAGAAATGATTGCTCGATAGAAACTCATGGTCAACTTTATATAGTACGGTCCACACGGTCCGCTCTGTTGGGGCGCATCGACGTAACACGGACGTCAAGACAAGAGATCTGTGGATGGAACAACTGTCTGGGCGTGCATATGATGGATGTACTTAGATTTATGTTATCGGTATTGATCCTTGTGAGAGGAATTCGATATTCGAGATTTGCCTTTTTTTTTATTTTCACCATGGTCCCTGATTTGGGTTGGAATTTGTAGATGATGTGTCACGTATCCCACACCTTCTTTAAATTTAAATCCACTTTTGACAGAGAACCCGGTGATGTCCGATATCGATCTGATTAGACTAACATACCAGTATAGGAGGTATCTAGGTACCTAAAAACATGGCAGCATGGCAGCATGGGTGGGTACATGTATTGGCTAAAATAAGTCAAGTCCCCTTACAGAGTGAGCGTCAAACTAATGCAAGTCATAACCTAGGAAAGGTTAAAGAATCTTGGACGAATCAGAACTCGCCGATAACAACCATTGTCCAATTCGGGAGTCCCGTCAAGTTTTTTTTTCTTTTCTTTTCTTTCTTTCTTCTCTCCTCTTACTAGATATCGTCACCCACACCCACTTTAAGCCACTTCCCGTCTTTCTCTTATCTCGATTGTCATTCCCGTGATGTTCTTGACTTATCTCCTTAGGCGTTTACGCCCTCCTGAATCAGGGTCTGCTGCAGGCTAGTCCGACAGTCCGACTATTTCCTAACCTCGAGTAGCCTCGAGATTAACACTCACCAGGGTTCTAGATAGGTATCTTGCCCCTTTACCGAGGCTAAGCCTATAACCCACCACAGCCCACCAGCTTACACAACGGATTCACCGCTCGTATTGTACCTCGCACGATCGTACTAGAGCCAGCCGAACTTGAAATTTGTCCTAGTTAGCGGTATCGCTGCTGACTTGGCCTAGTTCTGAGTAGAACCTGAAACGCCGTAGGTTAAATCGTAACTTCGCTTACTCGATCGTATCCATATCCTCGTTTGCAATTCTTCCTTCACCTTCCGTCAGTAGGTCTTGTGCTTTCCGGGCTATCATTCCCTTCCATTCTAGTCAACACCACCACCATCACCACCACCACCGTACATACTCCTGCATATTGCTGCTGACTTGTAATACACTCCTTCAATTATTTGTTGCGTAACTGGTGCTTTCTCCTTATCTTGCCTTCTTTCTCTTTTCCCTTATCATTCGTCCACCAACCTGCAGTCAAAGGCATTGTGATAAGCAGATATCTGCTTTGTCCTTGTTGCCAGTCTATCCTTATCTTCGTCTGCCAACTTACTACTTCATCTGTTAGCATATTAGCAGCCTTGTAACGTTAAAAAAAAGAAAAAAGCACAAAGTTCACAGGTCGACCTTACATAATGACAGTCACTTCTAGAACCAATGCCGGACCGTTGACCGTCCTCGTATCAACGAGGGCGGTGATCACGTTGCCAGACGACAGTCTCCTACTCACCCCGGCTACTATATCCATCTCGCCGGCCACCGGAAAGATCGTGGCTATTGTACCTACTATCCTGCCCAAGACGTCGTTTGCTCCGTCGACGACATACATCAACTACGGCGCCAAATTCTTGATTCCTGGACTTGTAGATGCCCATGTGCACCTTAACGAGCCAGGCCGAACGGAATGGGAAGGGTTCAACACCGGTACCAGAGCGGCTGCTTCTGGCGGCGTGACTACCGTTATCGACATGCCGCTCAATGCTATCCCACCGACCACGACTTTGGCGGGTTTCAAGGAGAAGCTCGCTGCTAGTCAGGGCCAATGTTGGGTAGACGTGGGGTTCTACGGGGGCGTTATCCCCGGAAATGCGGACGAGCTTCTTCCCCTAGTAGAGGCCGGCGTTCGCGGGTTTAAAGGCTTCCTAATCGAGTCGGGTGTAAGTTTGCACTTACAGCAAACCAACCATATCTAGATGGTTCGCTAACAAGAGTCAATAGGTTGAAGAGTTCCCTGCCATCTCGTCCAATGACATTGCTCTTGCAATGAAAACACTAAATGGCACACCGACGACGCTCATGTTCCATGCCGAGATGATCCCTCCGATTGCCGACTCGGTTGGTGATGCAGTACAAGCCTCCGAACCTCCCTTAGCACCACACGGTAACTTACAATCATACAATACGTTTCTCGAGTCGCGGCCTCCATCTTTTGAAACCTACGCCATCGATGAGATCCTCTCCTTAGCGCACCTGGCTCCAGGTCTTCACTTACATATCGTACATCTATCTGCGACGCAAGCGATCCCGATCCTGAAGGCTGCCCGAAAGTCTGGAATCGACATTACGGCTGAGACTTGCTTCCATTATCTAGGGCTAGCAGCTGAGGGCGTCGAGGATGGTGATTGCAGATACAAATGTTGCCCACCAATTCGTGAACAGCTAAACCAGGACGGGCTTTGGGAAGAGCTCGCAGCACCTGACTCGTGCATCAAGACTATCGTCTCTGACCATTCACCCTGCACTCCCGAGCTCAAGCTCCTCCCGCCTTACCTCCAGACCATCGAAGCCCCCCATATGCACCATTCCGATTCGGGTATTGATATGTCGGCTGATCTGGCTCATACGAATGGGAAGCAAACAAAGATCGAGAAAAAAGACGTTGGTGACTTCTTTGCCGCATGGGGTGGTATCTCGTCGGTCGGACTCGGTTTGCCCATCCTTTACACATCGGCCAAGGAGCGAGCGGCAGCTGGGAGCAAGTCAGCTCCGAGTATCACCGATATCGTGCGCCTATGCTGCGCCGCGACGGCTAAGCAGGTTGGACTATCGCATCGCAAGGGAGCGCTCAAGGTCGGTATGGACGCTGATATTTGCGTGTTCGATGATACCGAGGAGTGGACACTGCACTCGGCCGGTATGCATTGGAAGAACCGCTGCTCGCCATGGGAGGGGCGCCGGTTCGCGGGTCGTGTCAAGGAGACATGGCTAAGAGGCAAGAAAGTATTCGAATACGGAGGTATCAATGGCGGGTTCGTAACCGGGAAGCCGGTTGGTGAAGCTATCGTTGAGAAGAGATTTGCTTAAGAGCTGTGCTGTGCGAGGACCGAGGCCGGTGTTAATGAGCTCAGCTATGAGGTGATGGGGAAGAAGGAAACTGATCCTCAATAAGCTGAGCTGCGATGATTATTGATGGTATGATGACTTGATGATATTGCATGGCCCGCGAATGAGTTTAGATGGAGTTTAGGAGTTTTGAAGAGGTTATTACTTATTAGGTTACCTACCAGGTACCTTAGGAGGTAGATAGGTTAGATAGACTATTAGATGTCATTTAAAAGTCTGTTCTTGATCATTCATTGATTTGGTGCTAGGTGTCACACATCACGCCAATTGACGTGCTTTGAAGGCTGTAAGGTTAGGTGCTGGCACATTATTGGCAAGGAATGCGTCTGACGCGGAGAACCCTGACGCCCTTGTCCAATGGCTTGTTCAACTGTGCCACACCTCGTTACATAGCTGGTGCACTTCGTTTCGTCAATAGAAGTATTGTACAAAGCGGTTGGGGGGCTTGTCCTTCGAAAGTCAATTTTAATGACTCTGGTTACAGGATAATTATTTCTTTCTTAGACAGCCTCTTAAACTGTTGAATAAAATGCTTTGGATGTTCTCTTTATCAATGGTTCTTGGGGTAGTTATATACATATACGTCTGTAATTAAATTTCTTGGTATTTGGAGGAGCCTATAGATATGTGAAGCATAACTCACCGGGCTTAAGTTCATTGGTACCTACATATAGGTGGCGTCGAAAGAAAACCTCTGTCATATCGCTAATGATTTCTGCATCAAGTACATTTAAAGTCTTATTACATCTCTATTTCGAGGTATGATGTCTTAAGAACTACAGATCCATACACCTTACGATATTGGTGTTTTACGTACGTGCGTTATTGGCAAACTCACGACTGAATAATCAACTAATAGGGAGTGCCATTAATTCCGGACAGCTCACAAGAAAGAAAAGGTTTGAAGCTTTGCTCTTAACTACCAGGTAGACATGGTGAATAGCTATTACGTACTGGCTGATGAGGAGCTTTCTTACTATTAAATCTACCTACCTCCTACCCAAGACAATGTATATAGTATCTCGCTTAAGCTGGTTTATTTTTATCGCGAGATATTATTACTAAACTCCACTCTTTGTTATTAAAAAAGCCAGGACTTGCACTAGATGATAATCACTCCGCCATGATTGCGGATAGTAAGAGGTAGTCTTGTGCGATTGATTAGCTGTTAAGCCTGCAAAGAGGACTGGAGCCGAGATCGCCAAGTAATACTCCGTAATTCATTTCCCGCTCTCCTGTTCTGTACATAGTAATGGGGGCGTTTTTATGCTGTGTACGCGAAGTCTTAGATTTTTCCTTTTCATCTTCGTCGATTCTTTAGCTCCATGTAAATTGCCGATTGGCAGATTGGTTACATAGGCTCGTTTATTCCTACCTAGGTACTTCAAGCCCGTGCGCTCATCTGTCACATATCGATATATGAACATCCCCAGACGAAGTGGCGGCCATGTGTAGCCCTTGGCTGTAAGGACGCCACCGATGCGAGCAATGCAAATCCATGGTAAATCGTCAGCTTCGTGGAACCTTGGAAGTGTGTTGGTTGGTTGGTCTAGACCGAACATGTAATCCTGGACAGGCAAGCGAAGCGGAACGCTTCGTTTCCGAACACAACCTTGGCTGAATTCGGCTTGTTTCCACGCATGCGCCACAAAGATCTTCTTGAATCTTTATCATCTGATAGACTGATAATAATCGTGGTGATGTGCTGTGTATGTAGTGTAAACTTCTCTTCGACTCGTAAATCTTGTGATATTCTCAACTTGTATACCTATATATGGATGTTATATGTATTTTGTATATACTAGGATGTAGGTACCTTGGACCTTATACGAAGTATGCATGTAGATAAGGTACCGCCCGTATGGAAACAGTCCAACTTTAAGTTCGCTTAATGAACTGTCCCCGTCGACGGGACTGGGCCGCTGTCAGCCAATTCTAACCGAGGCGCGATGCGAGACTACCTTAGGTACATACGCTAGTGGCATAGGGCCCAACCAGGCACTCGGATTGGGCTGAATTCCCCAGGCGTAGTGTAGTTCTCCAAACCCCAACAGTGAAATACAGGTACCTATGTCCCACTCAAAGCCACCTTCGCTTAGAGCATCAGATGTCTTGCCTTACATACAAATTATGTTATTTACTGAGTTCATGCCGGGTAGATAGCTGTCTTATATTGTAATCATATTCTCCTTTCCGAAATACATGGCGTCGATCAAGGGTCGAACATGCTACTTGACTTACATAACCTAGATATTTATGGTATGTAGTTATACGACGAGGTACATGGAGTATGCATCTTGAGAAAAGTCGGTAGATTTTGCCAAGCCATCGTAAAATCACAAGTAGAAAATCGATAATCGGAAGATGTGGGGTGAATGGCAATATGTATGTTAGTGTACCTCCTATGAATTATTCCAGTAACGTTAAAAGGCCAGGTAAACTTTAATAAAAGGCCAACCCATCCACTTTGCACGTGACACAAGCCACCACAAACCACCATAAGCCACCACCCACCATTACAGTATACCACCGGGTAACCTTATACCGCTTCTCGCAGTCGATTATTAATAACTTTACGAATATAACTCCGAATTTTTTCAAAAAAGTATAATTAATTATATAAGAAAGTCAGCAAAATTACAGTTCAGGTTGCACGTGATTCGGACCAATATTGACCCGGATGCGGCTGAAAGTATAAATTTTGACAATAGTGGCTATTCCAAGGCTCCTTTTAGTGGCTTTTATCCCCTATAATCTCAACACCTTTCATCCTTAATAACTTTACCAATATAGCCCCGAAAAGTTCCGAAAAAACGTCATTATTTAAATAACTAAATACCCAAATTTATAAAACAGTCCCCGTATTTTTAGCTATTTATTTCGTAAAAATATAAGTGTTTATATATAATGAGCTAAAAGTAAACTAGTAGATACTAGTAAAAATGTCACTTTGTATACATAAATGCTTACTATTTAAATATCTCAGCCAATTCGGGGCCGAATCACGTGCAACATGAATCCTATTTTTACTGATTTTCTTATTTAATTAATTATGCTTTTTCAAAGTAATTCGAATAAGATTTTGTAAAGTTATTAAGGTAAACGTTAAAAAGAGGTAAAGTATTACCGGGTACGTACTTTGCATATTGCGCATCCAGCGTTGCTTTAAACCTGTTGCGTGGTGGCTTGTAGTGGCTGGTAGTGGCGTATGTCACGTGCAAAGTGGATGGGTTGGCCTTTTATTAAGATTTACCTGGCCTTTTAACGTTACTGGAATTATTCGGAGATGATGTACTATCATTACGCCAAATTTACTCACTATAACGGGATGGGCATAGGCACATAGGTTTCTAATAATATTAGTTGCGTATAGGGTTTCTAAAACACGTGTTTTATAATAAAACACTGAATAATACCGTACCCCTGTAAAACACTGTATTATTCGGAATTATACTCGGAACCGGAATAACATATGACCCGCTTAAAACATGGCGGGACTTGGGTGATTTCTTAAGAAAAAAAGTCGAAGAGTTAAAAGAGGCTATTTTGATCGAATGTTATGTAAGGACGGGGGGGGACTTTCGGAGGTTACTCCTGGGGCCAGTATTTTTGGAAGGCTGGATACATGGAAATACTTGGTACAATTGAGAATTCCTATTGAAATTTGGTGGTGGGGCAAGTACGGCTGGGTACCCGATAAGTATTTCCGTTCCGAAAGATACGTGCCGAAAAATAAAACACTGAATAATACAGGAATAATTCCTGTATTATTCAAATTGTATTATTCATCCCGAATCCCTAGTTGCGTATTAGGCTGCTTAGGTTCTTAGCGATATATTTGATCAATTTCCAATAATCGTGTTCAAGAGTCGGCTACAAAACAAAACATTCAGGACGAGGGTGTTAACGATACTACCGAACCGCCAAGGTCTAGAGCCCGCTAGAAGGGTACATGTTCTATGTTTGCTTGGTCGTAGTCGCTTGCAGATTGCAGCCCGTCCATGGTTCCAATTAAGGACCATAACAAGGGATAACGTGGTTCGCTGGGCTCGCGTGGGATTAATCCTAGTCAGCTTGATGTTGCATCTTACATTACCTACTATGTATGGTACACCATCTCGGTAGGCTTTTTGGGGGGCGACCATGTCTTTGCGATCTCGAGAGTTTTTTCATTTTGATGCTTTCCATGTTAAGCCCTTTTGTCTTTTTTGCGATCCTCATCTGTTCAGCACGCGCGGATAATATAGAAGAAACAGCTTGTTTGGTTCCGGGAATGTCATCATAACCGTTCGAGCTTTGCTCGGGCTTTTTTATTCTGCATAGTTAGGATTTTCGTATCTATTACTTGGCTGATGTTTTAGCCGCTTATAGCGATTGGATTCACCACGGACGTTCTAGCTATGACGTCCTCAAACTCAGACATTGCCGCTCCAAGTCACGACGAACAAAATGGCGAGAAACCTGTTACCATCGATATCGACGCAAACGAGCCTCTCAGCTCGGTTTCTACGTCAATGGATATGGGCCGACCAGACCTAAGCCGGCGAATATCGATCCCGGCAGTTGGCCACTTGTCGTTAGATGATGTCGAGGCCGTCGAAGTTCAAATAAGGAACCTGTCAGTCACTGTCGATACGTCGCCTTCGATATGGGATCCTGCGACTTATCCTGATTTGTTGAAAACGGTTGGGAAGGGCCGTAATGGCTCAACGACTAAATCTCTCCTTGATTCAGTCAATGCTTCCTTGAAACCTGGAACCCTGACGGCGATTCTCGGTGGTAGTGGTTCGGGAAAGACGACTCTGTTAAATACAGTCGCAGAACGCATGGTCAGCTCTCGGCTCTCACAAAGTGGGACCACCACGTTCAACGGACAGGAAGGGGTGCATTCTGTAAGACACGCATATGTAATGCAACAGGATATATTGCTTCCTACTTTGACGGTACGGGAAACGCTACAATACTCGGCGGATTTGAGGTTACCTCCACCGACTACGAAAGAAGAGCGCATGCGTATTGTGGAAGAAGTCATCCTCGAATTGGGCCTGAAGGATTGTGCGAATACTAGAATCGGAAATAGTCAACATCGTGGGTGTAGTGGTGGAGAAAAGCGAAGAGTGAGCATTGGCGTACAACTCCTAGCAAACCCGTCGATTCTTTTTTTGGACGAACCAACTACTGGATTAGATGCGACAAGTGCTTATCAACTAGTCAGAACTCTCAAGGCTCTGGCAAATAAGGGGCGGACTATTATCACAACTATCCATCAACCGCGTTCCGAAATATGGGATCTATTCGATAGCCTAGTAATTTTGTCTAGGGGAAGCCCCGTCTATTCCGGTACCATGAAGGAGTGTATCCCGTGGTTTTCAAACCTTGGATTCCAACTCCCTGCTTTCGTCAACCCCGCCGAATTCCTGATCGACCAAGCCGCCGTCGATAACCGTTCCCCGGAGCTAGAGGAGGAGAGTACTGCCAGAGTCGAGCGCTTAAAGGTAGCTTGGAACGAAGAATCGCAGAGGATTTTCGCGATATCTGCATCTGAAAAGGCCGCCGAGACGGAGGATAAGCCAAAGCGGCCGATAATAGGGCAACACGCGAATTTCTTTCGTCAGCTGCGAGTCTTGACTGACAGGAATCTAAAAGTTACTTACAGAGACCCGATGGGGATGGCCGGGTCTATAATGGAAGCAATCCTCATGGCTATCATCACGGGATATGTCTTCTACAACCTTTCCCGGGATCAACCGGGCATTCGATCAAGACAGGCTGCACTATATATCTCAGTAGGTCTGCAAGGTTACCTGTTTCTAACATTTGAGATTTTCCGTTTAACGTTGGATATCCCAACATTCGACCGCGAGAATAGCGAGGGCTGTGTGATCGCCCTTCCTTTCATATTGTCACGTCGATTGGCGCGTTTGTTTACCGAAGATATACCCGTTCCGTTTCTGTATAGCGTCATCTTTTACTTCATGGTGGGCTTCGACTCCGATGTGTCCAAGTTCTTTACATTCTTTTTTATCATTCTACTTAATCATTATATTGCCGTCACGTTGGCCATGTCGTCTGTTGCCGCGATCAGGCATTTCCCTGGAGCTAGTTTAATCGCCAATCTTACGTATACTCTGCAAAGCATGGCTTGTGGTTACTTCATACAGAGTAATACGATCCCGGTATATGTGAGATGGACCAAGTATATCACATATACGGTATGTTAAGCACATCTCTCACACCTTAGGTAAATCTCACTAAAACCTAATAGTATTATGCGTTTGGGGCTCTTTGTGGAAATGAGTTCGAGGGTAGCTTCTATGACTGCCCCTTACCGGGCGGTGAGTCAAATCCAGCCTGTAACCAATATAATGGGCGGTACATCATGGAAAACCTTGGATTTCCTCGGAACTGGGTAGCACGACCGATCATCGTTCTACTTGCCTTTGCCATTCTCTTCCTTACCACGTCTTGGATTGGGCTAGCTTTGCTAAAAGTAGAAATGACGATTGCACGAGCTCGAGTATCCGACACAGATCTTTCAGCCGGGAAAGAGAAGATGGCGGCAAGGTCGATTCATGAAGTGCGGGCTATAGATGTTGGCCTTGATGAATTCTCTTTAGCATTGGACAAACGATCCTTGACTGGGAAAAAGCTGCCGACTAAGATAATTCTTAACCCCGTTACGGCAACGTTTCAAGCCGGCACACTTAATGTAATAATGGGACCGTCCGGTTCTGGAAAGACAAGTCTACTTAATGCTATGGCGCTGCGCTTACACAGTACAATCGGCACTAGGTATCGGCCATCAGGGAAACTTTCCTTCAACGACGCTGTTCCATCAGATTCGGTTATACGGTCGGTCGTATCGTATGTCTGCCAAGACGACGATGCATTGCTTCCGTCTCTCACGGTTCGTGAAACTCTACGCTTCGCGGCTGGTCTTCGCCTCCCCACATGGATGAGTAAATCGGAGAAATATCAGCGGGCTGAAGAAGTTCTGGTCAAGATGGGTTTGAAGGACTGCGCCGACAATTTAGTTGGTAACGAGCTGGTGAAGGGTATCTCCGGGGGAGAGAAGCGACGAGTCAGTATAGCTGTACAAATCCTTACCGATCCTCGAGTACTACTGCTAGACGAGCCGACGAGTGGGTTGGATGCATTTACGGCAAGCAGTATCTTGGAAGTACTCCAGGGTTTGGCTAGAGAAGGACGCACACTCATCCTTACTATCCACCAGGCTAGATCTGACATCTTCAACCATTTCGGGAACGTACTGTTGCTGGCTAGAGGTGGTTCACCCGCTTACGCTGGTGCGGCGAGGGACATGCTGCCCTACTTTAGCAAACTTGGCTTCCAATGCCCTCAGCATACAAACCCAGCCGATTTCGCACTCGATCTCATCACTATAGATCTACAAGAAGCACATAGGGAGGCGGAAAGCCGAGAAAAGGTCCGGAGGCTTATCGAGTCGTGGAGTAATGTCACAAAGGGGAAGTCGCCATTAGCTCTACAAACCAATCCCCGTCTTTCGAATATAAAGGAGGCGGAAGAGTCGAATGGGGATTCAGGGAATGAAAAAGGAACGACTGCTTCTGAAAACACAAAGACGGAAGAAGCACCTCCTTCAGGAGAGGGAGGTGAAGCAGTCCAAGAAGTCACCGATTCGGATGGAACACTCGAGAGGCGTCTCTCCAACCCGGCACCCCGTCGCTCATACCATAAAAATGCTCTAGCAACACCAGCCGAGTTAGGGGCGCTTGTCCATAAACGCGCATCCTTTATAACGGCATTCCCACTGCTACTACATCGCGCAACTATCAACCTCAGGCGGCAGCCGCCCCTCCTCCTGGCACGTACGATGCAGGTTCTCGGTTTAGCTATCATCCTAGCCTTGTTCTTCGCGCCGGTACATAACGACTACTACAGCATCCAAAACCGCGTGGGTTTCATCCAAGAAATAGGTGCTTTCTATTTCGTCGGTATGCTTCAGAACGTTGCGGTGTATCCGGCCGAGCGAGAGGTATTCTACCGCGAAGACGACGATTCCGTATATAGCGTCGAGGCATTCTTATCAACGTATACGCTCCTCGAGTTGCCTTTCGAAATTGCGTCCTGTCTGCTCTTCGGCATCCTAGCTGACTTTGCGGTTGGTTTCCCCCGTACCGCTGAGATGTACTTCGTTTACGTGTTTTGCTGCTTCGGAGTCGTTTCGTGTGGCGAGAGTCTGGGTATCATGTTTAATACGCTATTTAACCACACGGGTTTCGCCGTCAACCTCATCTCAATCTTACTGTCCGTCGCCCAGATCATGGCTGGTATCATGTCGATCAATATGCCAGAGCTATTCAAGGTCTTCAACTACATCAGTCCGCTGAAGTATGCGACGGCAGCCCTGTCGCCATATACCCTGCGGGGCGTTAAGTTCACATGCGACGACGCTCAGAGGTTACCCGACGGCCGGTGCACCATCGAGACGGGCGAGCAGGTTCTGGATCTGTACAAGCTGAATGTCGACCCGATAGTTAACATCGGCGCGTTGGCGGCCACAGTCGTCGTGTACCGTCTTGTGGCGTGGCTCTTGCTAAGGCTGGTAAGGACGAAATGGAAGAGCGTTGTTGAGAAGAAACGGTCGTGAGGAGGTCTGGTACATACTTTGCGAGCCCCTGACTACGGGCTTTGAATTTATGCATAATATAAGTGAGCGACATATTTAATAGAATAATACCATAATATCTGATTTGGCGATTTTGCTATTCATATACATAATTGATAACCTAGTAGGACCTTCATATTAGGTACCTTGTTAGTGAGTAAGTCGGGAGTAGTTAAACTCATACCTACTACCTGTTGGTAGACATACCGTACAAAACACCCATCTTCTAGGTACGTAAATAATAGATGACAAATCGTCCATTTCAACTCCTGTCTCCCCGAGTTCTTGAAACCTTCCGTCTTCTAGGAATCGGAGTTTTTAGTTTCAAGACGGTATGCTGTATCAAATTATTAAGCATCCCCTATATCCCGAATGACAATAGCAGTTTATTTCTACGCCTCATGCCTAAGTGCGTAGATCGCCAATAGGAGTCAAGCTAAAAGCCGACTGAGACCGGCATCTTAACCCCTACGGCGATTAGGTTATTTGAGCTTCATCAGTTCGGAGCTGCTTATATGAAATTCAAACATGTCTTTACCACCTATGTGCTGAGATCTAACGGATGTTTTTAAAGTCGGTGCAATATCCTGCCGCGTTGAATACTAGTTTGGCTGTGCCACGACTATCCTTGATGGAGTATCCGGAGCTACGTTGATGTCAAGTATTACCTAGTGCGGTATTGGCTCCACATATGGCCGAGCATACGATGGGCGGAGCTTAGGTACCTACGTAGGTAGTTAGTAAAATGTTCGATATGTTTCGTCAGTTACATCACATAAGATGCCTTGTAAATCGTAATGATGGCGAAGGTGGTGTTATATGATGGTAGTCACTTTGATATAAAAGCTGGAGGTTCGGACGATAATATGAAAAGAAGATACCCTCTATCAACTCATAGGTTATACGTCATCACTTGACTTACAACTCTGATACTCACTTCATCAAATATTTATTAACAATTATCACCACTAGAAGACATAATGGCACCCAAAGTTCTTGTCGTTTTAACTTCGTTCGGCTACATCGACAGCGCTAAGAAGGAGACCGGCTGGTATCTTGTAAGTGCCTAACTTACACCTCGAATACAAACAAGTGCCTAGGTACTAAACTAACTTCTCCAACAGCCCGAGTTCGCTCACCCGCACGAGATCCTCGCCAGTAAAGGCGTTGAGATCGTAACCGCATCGCCTAAAGGAGGCGTTGCACCGCTGGACCCAGCATCAGTGGAGCAATTCAAATCAGATGCGTCCTCGGTCTCGTTTCTTAATACCAAGTCCGCGCTATGGCAACAGACAGCTAAAATCTGGTCATTCTTGGGGCGCTCAGAAGAATTCGACGCGTTGTTTTACCCAGGCGGATATGGACCCATGTTCGACTTAGCAACTAACACCGACTCCATCGCGCTGATTAAGGAGTTTGTTGCGGCGGGCAAGCCTGTTGCTGCAGTGTGCCACGGACCTATTGCATTCACGGGCGTCAAGCTACCTGACGGCAAGCCTCTTCTCGCTGGCAAGAAGGCCACGGGCTTTAGCAATGCCGAGGAGGAAAGTATCGGCCTGCTCGAGCACTTACCCTTCACACTCGAGAACAAGATGAAGGAGGTCGGTGCCGAGTACAAGTCAACAGAGAAGGTGTTCGAACCATTCGTGGTAGTTGAGGACGGCGGGAAACTTATCACAGGACAGAACCCTGGCAGCTCAGCAGGTGTTGGCGAAGCGCTTGCAAAGGCGATTGGTGTTTAGGGGGTTGGCTCTACGGTGAACTAGGAAGACTGAAGAAGCTAGGAAAGGGGGTAATCGACGCTGACATCAGCCAGCCGAGGACCTACTGACATGGGAGTCATGAATAGGGGTAGCGAGTGTTAATTATCTAGATATCCGCAAATCAACTAACTGTCATTATTATTCATAAACCATAAACGCGCCGTCCAAATCCTTAAAATACGCTGGTACGACAGAAGCAAGATGCCTTAATAGGCACATCGGCACCGGCTATTGCCGCATCTAACTGTGGCTTTATAGCCCTGGCTTCATCGATGCGCCCCAGCTTTCCTAGACATTCGTGATAGCCATGTAATGACCAGACGTTTTTTAGGTGTTGCAATGCGCGCGGGAGCTTGCCGCCGATCCCGAGATCCTCGGCGTAAACTTCGACGGCCTCGTCGAAATGGCCTTGCTCGACCAGTAACGCCCCGTACGCATGACTCGGCGGCTGCATCCAACCCCACGGTTCGTCATAAGGTAGGGCGTAGCTTCGCTCAATCGAAACGCGTAGGTGTGAATAAGCCGAGTCATAGTTGCCCCTTCGGTATTCTAGCTCGCCGTCGAGCATGGCTTCTGCGACATTTAGAATATCGACACATTTGTTGTTAAACATCATGCGGGACTCCGGAACCATCTCCGCAGCTTCGGCGAAGAGCTCGCGCTGTTTGGACGCCTCTTCAACCTTGCCCGTCGCAGCTAATGCCACACCTTTCGCGTAATGGGTCAATGCATTGGTCGTGCAGTAGAGTTCGCCGTCTTCGTAAAACGGCAAGTCGATGATCTCCTGCCATCGGCCAAACCGGATAAGAGCGTGTACACGCATAGCGAGGAAACCTTCTAACCAATCTGCCATAGGCGGCGACTCGACGCGTAGGAGTTCTTCCGACAGGGTCTGTTCGACACGGGCAACAGTCTCGAGGGTGACCTTCAGTTGGCCTGCAAACATGCCGGCGTAAATGCGGAAGTGAAGGTCGTGCATCCGATAGAGGGTGTAGAATCTTAGGGGATCTTCTCTCGCAAAGAAGATGTTATCTGCGACAATGGCCTTCTGATTTGATTCAATAGCGCTCTGGTAATCGCCGACTAGAACGTCGATATGTGTTGGCATGTGGTTGAGGTGACCAGCATCGGGGACAAGATCCCGAAGCGTGTTCGCCGCGTCCAACGCTGCTTCGGGGGTCGTAGACATCTCCATGAGGTGTATATAAAGATGAAGCAGGCCTGGGTGTCTAGATCCACCATCTTGAGCCATCGAACGCTCTAGGATCGCCTTGGCCTCTAATGTGCGAGCCCCTGATGCTGGCTCTCCGGTAGTGATATCCCAGAGCTGCCATGGAGTCAAGCTCATCAATGCATCTACATACAAAGCAGCTATGTCCAGGTCATCTGGGAATTCCCCATAAACTCTCTCCATCGCATCGGCATACCCTTGGTTCCATATTGACCAATCTTTATCACCTGCATGCTCTTGTGGATACCGAAACTTCAGCGCCTCTACGAGCGCCTTTTCAACGGGTAGTGCTTTGTCTAACCTCGCCTTCGCTTGCTCAACCACGCTGTGGGTACGTCGCATGACATTTTCGAATTCAGTCTCGTCAAAGTATTCCCAAGGCTTATTATAATTCGGACCCAAGACGTAAGCCAGGCCCCAGTAAGCTAAGACGCAGTTACTGTCACAAGCGATGGCGCGCTCAAAGCATTTGACGGACTCTTCGTGGTTGAACGCGTAGCTCCAGATCAAGCCGCGATTGACCCATTCTCGAGCTTCTTCGCTGCTCGAGTTCACCACCCGCCTATAAGAACCAAGATTATAATAATCATGCATGATACGGGTTCGTTGGGCGAGATTCCTTAGGCTTAATACACATCGCGTATTGTATTTACAGTTGTTTTGTTGTGTAATGTCCAAAGTAAAACCTCGTTGCGATCGCGCCATCTTGGATTGCCCGCATTCGGATACGTACCTAAGGTGCCTAATTAGATATTGTTATATCCATGTTTTCTTATATACGAGGGTAAGGTGTCATTGCCCCTTATGTTAGGTACTGTGGACTTAAGCATTGGTACCTTTCTTCCAATATACCGAGGAGAATCAGGAAAATTTCGCGTTATTAAAGATGGCAGAGCCGTGGCGTAGTTATCGTTCTGCATATTCTATTGCTTGCCCATGCTACCCCTCCAAGGGCTGAGTGACGCCTGAATAAGGGGCTTTGATACTACCGTATAATACAAGACCACATAGCAGTTGCCAATACTACCTTAAATTAAAGCAATAGAACAAGATTTTAAATACGGATGCTAAAGTATGTGTATCTACCTTTCTTCACTTTCAAATAATAAACTCCAAAAATACACGATATAGCATAGGTACCTAAGAGGTAACCAGCTAAGATCACCTAAGTGTGATAAGGCAAACATAGGCCACAGCGATGCGATGGCATTTTCCGCGGATAGAGATGATAGCCTTGCAACCATTTTAGAAAGAGTCACCGACACTGAGGGTTCATCTATCTCATCCCATAGCCGCCTCGGCCATGAGATTTCAGAAGAGGCACCGAATATTGCAACACAGCATAAGCCGACTACTCCCAAAGAGATCCTTTCAGAGCGTACCACCGAAAGAATAGGTACCGCGGAACCGGGCGCAAGAGGTGCGTAATCCTCCGAATACTTCCCTCGTTAAAGGCCATGCCTAATACAGACTTTTCGTGCAATAGCCGCAGCAACACAGGAAGATGAATTGATCAAACAGTTTCTGGTTCGACATTTTAAGAATGATATCTTGAGAATAACTCCCCGGGAAGACGACATTGACATCCTTTTCCAATATACAATGGGGTAAGTGATACAAGAGACTACTTAACCTAACTGAAGTAGTCTGACTCCATTGCTCATTTACAAGTTACTAATTATTTAAAATCCATTATTTAGTTTAAAACTAGATGCGAAGCCTGACGATGTTGAGCAAGCAAAGGAACCATGTCAAGAGGTAACTATGAAGCTCAGTATAGCAGCTCTTAGTCGGATGAGAATGCGGAAGCTTCAGATGGAGCTCATCAACAGAATTATGAAGATGCATTATCTTAAAGAACTCCCAAGTGACTGGGAGTCTTTATTAGAGAAGTATAGTAAGTTGATTTCTGGTAAAAGCTGTGAGACTGATAATGGAAGAACTAATAACGCTACCCAAGTTACGGCGACGCGTGACAACGACTATGTTCACACCTGGGTTGATGGAGGTCTGCAGGATCCATTCCTTATCACAAGCGAGAGGAAGGTGGATGCCGCCATACTTCAATCTACCCTTCTTGAAATTGGCGGACCAACGTTCAACTTCGTTCCACCCCTAGAACAAAAACCAACAGCTATTGGAGACACCCGAACTGAGATGACCCAAAAACTACGAAGGGGAGCGTACTTCGTGCGAGCCGTAGTTTCTGTTATAGGTGGGATATATCTAATTATGCCTGTGTGGCTAATGATAGAGATGGGAAGTCCAAAAGCGTCGCTTATTATAACAGCATTGTTTGTGTTGATAGTCGGTCTTGCGGCGGCATGGGTGTTCAATGATATTATACATGTCTTTTCGATTACGGTGGCGTACGCGGCCGTATTGGTTGTCTTCGTGGGCGCCAATGGCTCTTCGGCATAAACATACTTGTCGCGGGAATTAGAGGATATTATAGCCCTATGTACACCTTCCTCGACAAACGAATACTAGTCATATAAGATATCAATATATATATCTAATGTATTAGAATACATGAAAGATATTTTATATTATATTTGTGAGAATGCCATAAATGAATAGTTCTCTTCTTTATGAAGCCCGGAGATAACACATTCTTCGAAATATCGATAGAGATCACTAGGATGAGCATGGACATAGCTACAGACGTCTTCTCGAATGCCTGTCCGGGTTCCATGAGGTAGTTATCTTAAAAAAATGAAAGTTCAATCCCTTAGGCTTAATATGCAGTTTGGCCGTCCTAAAACTTTGACCCTCGGAGTATTTCCACGCGATCCAGGGGGCTGCAGCTACCTGACCTTTTGGCCTGACTACTCCGTAATATGATAGTTAAAGGTGAATATATCTAGAATAAGTACTAACGGATGCTTGTTTTCTATGCCGGAAGATGTTATATCGTCAAAACAAGCCATAATCTAGAGCAGGGAGAAGGTAATCAGAACCTTATTCCCAGATGCTCCTTTAATCTAACAGACAAGTCCCGTCTGTAATAGTTTGAATTATTAGGTACCTATCACTACATAGCTGACCTGGTAATGACATATAGTTGAAGATTTAGGTACTCAAGTGACTTCTAATGCACCACGTTGGTTTCCGCTAGTGAATCATCCGCATTGTTAGATAGGTACACTGTGATGCAATGTCGACATTTCTTATGGATGGATTTATCAGTGAATCAGGCTATATGACTAGGTACTCCATAAGGTAGGACGTGTAACTATTCAATAAAAAGCAGATACTCAGGATCTAAATGCTAGTCACTCTTATGACGTATAACGAAATTCAGATGATAGACACATAGCTACCACGCTGGCATATAAACCACTCATTCTTTTTGGCTAAATTTCTTCTTGAATTTTCGTATTAGATCATACCTAATCTTCTTGCGCCATAGATAGCATCAACAAGCAGCAGGACCAAAGACTATCCTATACCTCCCTGTCTCCATACGACGACATACTTACCTCAATATTAACCCTCTTCGTGGAATTTAATTTACGTTTGGAACAAAAAGGACATCACCGCGTTTGAGTCCTGGCTCGGAATAAGCGATGCCTTTCAGATCTTCCAATGATGGCCTCGATTTTAGAGTTCACCACAAGCACCTTGAAGAAGATCTTGAATTTCTTCGCGGGCTATCACCTGAATGCTGCTCCAACCTGACAAAGCTGTCTGTTTGCTTGCATTTGCACGGCGGATACCCATCCTCGGCCAAGTGTATCCCTCTCAGTCAAAAACATATCGCCGACTGGCAAGCCGCTGCCAAACACGTTCTCTCTAATGCTACACCGGGAAAATTGAAGCTAGATCTGGTATGCGATACAGGAGAGGAGGACAGCGAATCGACCTCAGCGGTCCTCCAACCCCTGCTAGATTTCGCCGGTGTCCTGGCCGAGTGTGAACTTCGATTGCATGACAAGCAAAATAGTCGCATATCCAAGTATGCTGAAGAGGTAGCTCTTCGTGCTAAAGGGTCGAATGCGAGTTTACAAAGGCCTTTCCCGTTCATGCAACTACCACCGGAAATTAGGCACGAGATACTAAAATACACAGACCTAGTCGCGCCAATGAACCAGGTCCAATGGAGTCCAAACGATGGCTTCCACATTTGTCGCTGGATTGATTGCATCCATGACGAATGCAGGGATTACCTTAAGGATCGTTGCTCCAAGTGCCAACCTCTGGGCTGCTTGAAGCCTGAACATGGTTGGCGTGAGGCCCGGGTCGACTTCTGTCGTCTTGTTTGTAGCGGTTATTCACCGCGCTGTCGGTGTTGGACTCCGCCACGATCTCTGATGCTCGTTAATCGTACCATGTACCAGGAAGCATGCGACGTCTTCTACAACTATAACCGCATTATCGTATTTCCTATAGTTCTCCATGGACATCACGTAACTCACGCTTCGTTCGGAACTAAACGACGCCCGATACAGTTACCGATATCGCAATTCATTCTAAGATATAGGCAGCCAAGCATCCTGTCTCGTCTGCGTTGTCTTGAGATTGTATTTCCGCCCATCGATCTGGACGCATACCTCGAGGAATCCAACCCTCTATATTCGGATTGGTTGCTTGCTATAGACATTCTCAGAGTCCATGCGAATGTGTCCAACTTGAAAATTAATATTCATATGATGTTTCATGGGTCTAACAACTGGACATCTGACTATTTCGTCCGTCAAATGAACCTGTCAGACAACAATACTGAATCTTTATTTAAGATCCATAAACGCCTTTTGGAGCCATTGCAGGCATTGCAAAATATGAAGAGTCTTTATGTCCATTTAGAGTGGCCGTGGCATTGGAATTTGAAGGGACGCCAGGCACCTGGTAGGTGCGTAAGAAAAAATATACCGTGCGGATTCTGCAAAAGCTGCCTTGTCGACAAAATAGAAACCTGGCTGGAGCAGACTGTCATGGGTGATGAATACGATAGCCATGCGATTGGAAAGTCGGACCAAACACCAAGTAACTGGCTTATTAGGGAATGGAAAACGTTTGTTTACTGGGATCTTGCTTCCGTTTATTAAATTATGCATCCTTACGGTGCTTATGGTGGGGGACTCTGGATTAACAAGTCAGCTGATAGTCTACCTAGTATATTTAAAGGGACCCCTTTTTAAATCCTAGCACCTTAATACTCATATGTATGAGCTCTGTGTTAAGCTGGGGGGTGTTGAGTTTTCAATACAGAGTAAACTCCTCCCTCAATTTCGTATTATAGAAGATGGCAACAGAAACCATGATCACCATGGAAATACAAGGTAGCTTGTGTCAAAGGTGTAAATTATTGTTTTCAAGCGATGGCTTTTCACAATTACTTTCCACAAATACGTTTAGACACTCAAAACTCGCGACATTCCCGGACCGACCAGATTGCCGATTCTGTAGTTACCTTTGGAACGAGGATTTCATCGGAGGGTCTATCAACGTGCTCACAACGCGACGCCTACGCGATTTGATGTACCCTACGTCTGGTAAAATAAAACCAGAGAAACAACACGAACTTGGTGCATGCTGGGTAGTCATGACGCGTCCCATAAGAAACCAATACATCATGGGAATTTCTGGAGCTACCGCCAGTCTAGAACCCCTTACAGTGAAGAACGACTTGATTCAAGTTCAGGGTGTTGACAGAATATTCATAGCCATAGAATCGGACGAAGGACGTACTAAGTGGCAGGCATTCCGGCCATTGCGACTGGTTGTTTCTAAAGGTACTCTAAGCTTCACATCTCGTAGACTTAATTGGTTACGAAATATGCTTTTTGGCTAGCTGACTGTAGTTTCTTTTAGATAGCCCTTTGGCATCATTTACCAATTTTCGGCCTGTTGAATGGAATGGCTTAACTAGGAGATGGACCGACGATATCAAGTCGATGCTTGCACATTGCCGGACATCGCATCCCCAATGCCTACCCTCTGGCCCAACAACACTTCCGTCCCGGCTATTACAAGTCAGGGGAAGTGAGAAGGCCTTTCCAGAAGTACGACTAGTCGATACGAGAAAAGGATTCGGAAAAGAATTATACGCAGCCTTGAGTTACTGCTGGGGAGGCCCGCAGCCATTAGAACTAACAAAAGATAATCTCGACGTTCTCCTTAACAATGATCTGGACAGTGTTTCCCTCCCACAGACAATAAAAGATGCAATTCTGGTAACACATTCCTTAGGATTGGGTTACCTATGGATAGATGCGTTATGCATCATTCAAAATGACCCCGAGGACAAGAAGAAAGAAATTAGCCAGATGTGTACTATTTATCAAAACTCTTTCGTTACTATCGCCGCTGCTACATCTACCTCGGTTAATGAGAGTTTCCTCAATAATACGGCAACGTTCAATACACGGCATGCCACCTGCACTGTCCCTTTCACTGATAGTTCCGAGAAAGGCTACGATCCTAAAAGTCTTAACAGTATTACCATTTCACCTGTACACGCGCATAAGACTGATATATTTCCCTTGAACAAGAGGGGTTGGACATTTCAAGAGGCTCTACTTCCTACACGACTATTGGTATTCGGAGACCTCGAACCATTCATCCGATGCCGAACAAAGAATGTGATGAAGAAATCTTGGAGCTCCATCGACTACGAACTTTCTGCTGTGTATCCTCGGCGAATCATTGATAGCATCGCGAGTAGTCAAGCTCACGAAGACGGCCTATTTGTGGATACGAAAGGAGGCGATCTCGACAATATCTGGCGAGAGATCGTGGAGCAGTATACCCTTCGCCAGCTCGGTTATTACACAGACAGACCGCTCGCTATCAGTGGTGTGGTGGATTTCCTCTCTAAAACTTTCCGAGATAAGTGCCACTTTGGCGTCTGGGAATCATCACCAATAACTGGGTTATTATGGAAGACAATGCCCTTAGAAGAACGAAGGAGTATTATCGGTCTACCAACTTGGTCTTGGATGTCGATCACAGGCCCCGTAGATTTGGACTGTGTTGTTTACTTTGACAAGCCGGAAGCGGTAGTTGAGTGGGACACCAATTCCTCGCATAGTAGACTACTAGTATCGTGTCATGTTCTAAAAGGAGAAGATGTATTTACTAGGACGGGAAAGACTAGCCCTAAGGTACTGATCGAATGCTGGTCTGACTTTTCCGAAGGCTCGGCTGAATATCACTTCCTGCCAGAAGAGCAGTCGTCCTTCCTAGTGCTCGCACGCGAGACAAATGGGCGCTTCTTGGCACTGGTTGCGGCTCGTCAAGGGGACAATGTTTATCGTCGGTGCGGGCTGGCTGAGCTGAATATTCCAAGAAACTGGTCGTTAGGGTCACGCGAACAGATTATGCTAGTGTAAGGCCAAGCGAAATGTCTGTTGAATTTTCTAATGGGGGGTGTAGTGTTTTGTCTCTTCCCTCTCAGCCCTACCGAGATGGTTGTTCAATTACCTAGAGGCTTTAGAAGGGCTTTTTTTTTTTTAAAAAAAAAAGAAAAAAAAAGATCTTCATATTACACGGGTACGTCTAATATACGGCCCCCTCGAGTTCAAGTATTAGCCCTTAACGCTGAGGCAAATCAACCATCCTCATGGGCTGTTGTAAAAGGATGAGACCTAAATTCCCAAAGTAACTCCCGTAACTCGTGACGCCTGTTTATTACTCATTAATACAATTTCCTTGTATATCTGTTCAATTGTATCCTATGATTCCTTCTGCGATGGGCTCTATAGCATGTTGCGACCACAGAGTAACCCTCCGACCAATGATTCCCTCACCTCCAACCTCGATTTTCATTGGATGACTAAGAGGTACTTCTATCGAATGTTCCTGGTCGTCTTTTAATGTCGATTGTGTCCGTGATAGGCTGAATTTGTAGAGAAAAGGACTTATTATAGCAGACCTCGTGAGGTCTCCAGTCTCACTGCACAAGCCTTGTCAGTATTGTTACTCGCACCGGGTCTTTACTGTTCAAACTTTTCTAGAGGTAGAGATGCTTACTGGATACCAACAATACATGAATCCAAATTGGAGAAGCTACTATTGTCACTGTTTTCGTCGGGTACGAAGGTAGCATGAGTAGCGACAGAACTTCCCTTCCCACAGTCGTGAAATGTGAGTCGACCTGTCATTACTGCAGGCATGGATCGAGTGGTTCTTAACGGAAGACTGAGCACGGCGAGGGCACCGCCGCGAGACTGTCGAGAATGATTGCCACACATTGTTTAAGTATTATTCGGACGTATTATTGGAAGAAGACGTTCGTTTAGAGTAACGACCTGCCCAACTAACTCACTTTGACGGAGAGAATAAGTATAAGATATAGTGTAAATACCTAACTTCTGATTGGGAAAGTAAGTTGACTGGAAAATGATAGGATGCTAAAAGATATAAATGTTTAACTATTTAACAAAAGCATTGAGTCCAGAAAATTAGGTAAAGATATCGTGCCAAGGATTCAGGAGTAAGGACCAGTTCTGTTGACCCTCAAGGTTCCATGATGTAGTTACGCCAATAACGGCACTGTGTACCAATCATCATCTTTCATACGGAACATCCCCTATTATGTAACACAATAAGCAAATAAGAGCACATTAAATAATTTAGTAGGAATAGGAGAGAGTTGTGGTTGTTACAAGCTTTCACATGTAAGTTGAGCAAGTTTGCGCTCTTTGAGGCCGTTTCGCGACCCGCTTTTGGGAAACCGTCGCACAGCTATAGAGTTCAGCGAGTAACCAACTATTGTTAGTCGCTGTTACCCTTGATAGACGGCGTACCTGCTATATCAGACTAATTGGAACTTAATGTACCTAAAGTATCTATTCGAGTCTTGAGGTAAAGAAGACGCAAGAACGCGGGGAAGAAGGCAAGAGTACCTTGATGGTCATCCGGCACCTGCTATTTTGTGTTTGTCATCATTATCATCGCCAAAGTGCTCTTCATCTTTACAGCACGTCACTTTACCCTACTTTGCCTCCCCTTTTTTATTACTTCTACTTATCAACTGTCCACAAACTGATCTACCCGCAACACGGTAGAAGGCATACAAACTCTTCCAGATCGTACTACCGGTCGCAGATTCTTCTACTTACCACCAAACTATTCTTCGTACTCTGCAATATTCTCTGTAGCTAGAACTCTCCTAGCAGATATCTACAGTATCAGCACACATCTCAAAATGGCCGCAAAGACGTACTCCCTTCCCCCGCTCCCGTATGGGTATGACGTAAGTCTCATCCTACTTGTAGCCTGGCTGCCTCTCTACGCAAACAGTACTCCCCTACTGACCACATGGCGCACTAGGCTTTGGAGCCCAGCATCTCCAAGCAGATCATGGAACTGCATCACACCAAGCACCACCAGACCTATATCACGAACCTGAACAAGGCCCTTGAGGTAGAGGCCAAGGCTCGGTCGGAAGGTAGATTGCAGGATGCTGCGGCCCAGCTGTCGGCCATCAGTTTCAACGGTGGCGGTCACATCAACCACTCGTTGTTCTGGGAAGGTCTAGCACCTTCCTCCTCTCCCGACTCGAAGCTTGATGCCGCCCCCAAGCTCTCCGGTGCTATCAAGAACACCTGGGGTAGCTTCGACAAGTTCAAAGAGGTTTTCGGAACCGCTCTGCTGGGCATTCAGGGGAGCGGCTGGGGTGTAAGTATATTCCAGCTATTATCTGTCTATTCTTGACTGTCCCAGACGCTCATATTTCCAAACCTATCTTCTTTGAATCGGTTAAAATGTATCGCCACTTGCCTGGTTTATTTAATAATGTACCGAAATGACTATGGCTAACTCTATCCGATGACGTAGTGGCTCGTCAAGGAAGCCGTCAGTGGTCAACTCCGCATTGTGACTACCGCGAACCAGGAGGCGATTGTCGTAGGCGACACTCCCCTCCTTGGCGTAGATATGTGGGAGCATGCCTATTATCTTCAGTATCAAACCGGGAAGGCGGCTTACGTCGAGAACATCTGGAAGGTGATCAATTGGAAGACTGCCGAGACGCGATACGCTGGAACCAGAGATGACGTCTTCAAGGTTCTCAAGGCCAACATGTAAGGGTAGATAACTAGGTGACAGGAGTGCAGTAGATATCTGCCATAGGCCGATAGTTTAAGGAACCGAATTTCGTTGGGAAGACATGCTCTTTGACGTTGAGTAACGATCGTTGCGTTTCCGATTCAATTAGGCGACGTGCCGACCACTTTCCCCTGTAATCTTGTTAATGACGTAGTTAAGCTCTTGATAAAGTGGAAAATATGTGAAACTGCGTGGGAAATTATTAGTAAATCACCTTGAACTTGGAATTCGTTTTAATAGCCTGATTTTTGAAATAAACGAACACCGGGCTGACGATTCTTCCAAGGTTCTTGAAAGGACCTAAGAGGTCTGTCTCCCTTTATCCCCCGATATGTAGGTACATAATACAACCCATGCTGCCGTGTAACATTAGATCTGTTTAGTGGCACCCACAGAAAGATACCTAAATTGACCCCACCAATCTAATTTAGTAACGGTATTTCCATTAAAAAACCGCGGGGATATTTCGTCGCGTTTTTGACGTCTTCACGCGTCAAGCTCTAGACTCGATTCCGAATCCAACCACCATGACGTCGAACAGGTTACCGCTGGATTCTACACCTCTTTCTTCACCCGGTTCGTATGCGACAGCAACAGAATCTCCACGGAAATCATTGAATGCTACAACGATAGATCTTGGCAGTCCTATTGGCAGCCCTATCGTCGACGGTGGAGATGAAGCCGACAAATCGTATAGCAAGGCTAGCCAGCTTCCACCGGAACTTAAGCAGCACTGTCAGATTTACTTGGAGGAGAATTTATGTATGCTTATTTTCTCCAAAAAAGAAAGTAAAAATGTTGTAGACTGTTTTCACTGATCATAGGCTGTTGTTCTCTAGACCTAATTACTCTCAACCTCTTAAATAGCCTATTATCATCCAGTCGCAAAGGTCCAAATGATCCTTATTACTGCCCCCCGCCGAACCAATTGTCGCTGCTTAGCACAGCTATCGTACACCCGAAATTTACGACTAGACCGAGGGAAGAGGGCTGGTCCGAGGTATCTGCCGAGTCCCTTATTTACCTACGAAGTCTCCTTTCTCGCTTAGGACCTATCAACGGCCGATTCAAAGAGGCTTTCCGCTTCGCGAGCGCGCGAAATGGCACACCGGAGTCTTATTCGGGCGATGACCAGGATTATGGCGGCGACGACGATAGTGGCGAGGGTAGCTATGCGCAGATGCGACGTAGACATTACCAAGATTGTCTTTGGCGACGGGGGCAGGACTTCTTTCACGTGGTCGGCTGGGCATTCAATTGCAGTGTTCTCTACCCAAACCGCTGGCGACACTGGAGACATTGGCTTAAGTTCATGATAGATCTATTAGAGAAAGATCTCATCGAGCGCCACAATCTAGACGTCGAAAATGGCCAGTCGGACTGCCCTATGCTTCGGGATTCGATTCTGGCCGGTTACGTTGCCCAACGCTCCGGACGCTCCGCAGGGGGGTTAAAATGGATCATGGAAGCAATATTTGTTGACGGCGGTGTCGCTGCAAGTTCTCGCTTCCGGGAGATCTGGCAAAAGGAACACAAGGAAAATACCAAAAGCACCTCAAAGAAAAGGAAACGCGAAACAGTCAATATTGAAAAGGGTAATTTTGGAGGCTGGTTGGATGATGAATCGGTATACTCTTCTCAAACGTCTGAACCGCCAACACCACAGAAACGAAGGGTGAACTCGGGCGATATGGGAGACCCAGATTTCCAAGCGTTGGAGCCCGCCTACGTAGAGTCAATTCCTCTACGACAACGTCTATTCTCCTTGGTAAGATAATTCCCATTCATAAGTGGTACAGAACCATGTCGCAGGCTAATAAGTCGAACAGTTATCATATCTCTGCCACTACCTTCCAAGACCTCCGTTGGACCTCTCCGACCTTTACCAGAGGTTCGAAACGACGGTGAAGTCCCTTCCTTTGCCTATTTTTACCGCCTTTGTAAACAATCGGACGTCGGCCCTGAAGTTAGAGTCGCAAATATCGACATTACAAGGTATTCTATTGCTCTTAATGCCCACGACGGCTCTTTCGCCAGCCAAAGTTGACCGTACCTGGCAAGAATCTGATGCCATCACTACTGAAATCTTGGAACGCTGTTTTCTTCCTTATCCTGCGAACACCATTGCAGTCGAAGACAACGCGAAGGTGTCAGTGCTACTTGAAAACTTGTTTCAGATCTTGTGGTGCGAAGGAAGTGGAACGCTAAGCAAAGGCCTGCGAGCAGCAACCGAGAAAGGAATCGCTGCGAGGGAGGCAAAGGTGAAACGGAAGAAAACATCAGCCCGAGGACGAATGAATACCGAAGACCCGGATGTGGAAGCTCGCCTTGTGTTAGAAATGTCAGGGGAAAGGTTACGCGTACTAGTTGACCTTATCGAAGCCGACAGTAATAGTGACGGCGCAATGGAACTGGATGCGATGGATGAGGATGAGGACAACGAAGGTAATGCATATCATTCTCGAAGAACAATTCTTATAACCGCTTATCGTCAAGTACTGATTAAACGTATAGATGACATTGATGCGACTTTTATGACAGCTGTCGATAACATGGAAAAGTATGAAGACGAAGCTGAAGAAAAGCTATACTGTCTGTGCCAAGACAAGGAGTCTGGCGATATGATCGCCTGCGACAATCAAAACTGCCCATACGAATGGTTTCACTGGAAATGCGTCGGCCTCAAATCAAAGCCGAGAGGAAAATGGATGTGTCCCGAGTGTGCACGTCCCAAGCGCGGAAAGCGGAAGTAATGTTTAGTTATTGAGTTTAAAAGGCGACAAAAGGAAGTAGTTTGCATCGGTACCTTAGGTACACATATGTAGATCTCTGGTGTGGAGGGAGTCAATGTCCTTATTTTACGTGAGCCTAAGCGGCTCTAATGGTGGTATTGGTGAGTCTATTAATGCAACATTAGAATCCATGAGCTGTCTCGTTATTGCTATTTACATGGTATTATGATATACATAGGTACATAGAGTTGCTCACGCAATAATACGACGCTACGCCATCCGCGGCTTTTTGTATATTTCTTCTCACCGTTTCTTCGCTGGGGCCGGACTCCACGCTTCTGGTTGCCAAGTTTCGCCGGGGCCACTGCTCCGTGCGCGTTTCCAGGGGTCATCCTTTTGTTGCGTTACTTCGCCGCGCTCATTCCGAGTCGGCGATTCACGGGCCGCGCGCTCCTGAGGTTGTGTCCGACCCGTGTTGAGCGGAGGCACCGGTTGTCCCCTCTCACGGCCCGGCACGTCAATTAGGCTAGGCTTAGCTTCCCAGCGCGCATCGGCCTCAGCGGCTAGGACTTTAATGCGCTCTTGGCGAACAACTTCATCGGCCTGCTCGTCAAGAGTCGGGGGTTGCTGGCGCTGATACCGAAGCCACTGATGCCACGAAGGCGGCACTTTGACTTCGCTAAAGTGCGTAGACCGCGGATAATTGACGATGCGCCGGAACCGCGATTCCGGAGCGGAGGGATCGCCGCGTACTAAGCGGAATTCCCAATATGTATTGCCTTGAAGGTCGAGGCCTATAATTCAAGGAGAAAAAAGATAGTATGTAAGTAAGTTAATTATTCGAGATAAGGTAGTAGTGGTATTATATGAAAAGGTTATGTGAAATAGAAATAGAAAAGATGATATTATGACTTACCGACGAGAAAGCGCTTCCTCCACGGCAGGCGGAGAGCTTTCCATTGGTACCAGGCCTTTCGTATAGGGCCTATTTGCTTTATGGTCGACATTGGAATGCGGTTATATTTATATACATAGTCGAGTAGGATTTGGTAAAATCGGTAGGTATATTTTGAATGTTTGTATTAAGACAAAGTATTGTGAGCTTCAACGCTACCAAGCTACTGGCTCATTAGGTCTCAATAATAAAAGTCCAAGCCGAAAGTCGACGTCAGAATTATTAAAGATGCGATAAGATAACCAAACATATGCACCGCCACGGAGTTTTATTTTCAATATGCCATCCCGCGTGCCACAGCATTCAAGGTCTCATTTGCTCTCCGCACGCAAGCCCCATCTGTAAGTCAGACCGAATCAGTTAATGCCGAGAAGAAACGTCATCCCTGTCGCGCAGCCTATTTCCTGATTGTGCAAGGGCGGTAGTGGGGGCGTGGAACCCTGCCATCTTCATATTCCACATTAAGACGGCGCAACCGCCATCTTAACTTCTCATCTTTTTAATAGACGCATGTTCGCTAATTTTGTATTTGTAGAAAATACCAACGCGTTGTCAATTCCCATAATTCATAGCGGTTTAATCACCATCTCTAGTCATTTCTTCTTCACTCCTTCGTCTATCCGCATACCAATCTCGTCGCTGGTGACGTCGTCTTATCTCATCCCACGTATCCTCCATTCCAACCAGCAATTCTCCGAACTGCAAATCACTATTACTACCCTCAATACATACGAATCGCTTTACTGCACCCATAGTTACCTTCCATATATTACTACCTAGGTACTAATCTAATTATATTGATCATCAATATCTATCAGTTAACACGCAACAACCATTGCGCGTCAGAATTACGCATCAGAGCCGCGCGAATAAAATTCCGAGTTAGTATGGCATCAGTAACATCCTTGGACAAGGACTTGCGAAAGTTGCGCCTCGAAAAATATACGCCAGCTGCTGCGAACGAAGCCCAGTCGTGGATTGAGAGTGTGTTAGGTAGCAGACTTCCATCCAACGATCTTCTCGACGGACTTAAGGATGGCGTTGCTCTATGCAAGTATGTTCAAGCATACCTATCTTATACACTATCGTATCTTGCAGTTTGACTAATGATTCCTCTTTCTCGTAGACTCATTAATTTGGCCGTCGGTCCTCCCGGCGTTAAATTCAAACAATCTGCTATGCCTTTCATCCAGATGGAGAACATCTCACATTTCCTGCGCGCCTGCCAATCGCCACCCCTGAATTTGCAAGACCACGATGTGTTTCTTACAGTCGATTTATACGAGCGGAAAGATCCCGCCCAAGTTCTCCAGTGCCTCGGCGCTTTCTCTCGAGCGGCGCATTCCCTTAACCCCTCCGCATTTCCCTCTCCCATTGGATCAAAGGCGAAAATATCCGCCACCATGAGCCCGCAAAGCACAGGTCCAACGACGCCGCGCAATAGGAAACTTTCTAATGTCAGCAACAACTCGTCTACGTACGGTTCACGGTCCGGTATAACCCCTACAAAAACCGGAGACTCGGGTTCGGGGCGCTGGAGTCCTACCAAGAGTCCACCGCCATCGAGCGAACGTGTAGGATCGCCGTCCGTATCTAGTTGGAGCAAGAGAGACCTCGAGGGAGTTACAAGCCCCGCATGGAATATTGCGCAGTACGGCTATATGGGCGGCGCAAGTCAAGGCAACCTAGGTATATCTTTCGGAGGGCGGCGACAGATTACTAGCGCCAGTCCTCTTGTCCCCAGCTTGGCCGATAAGGAGCGCAAGCGCAAAGAGCAGGAGGCCGAAGCCGAACGACGGAGGTTACAAACAGATGATCAGCAACGTATCCGTAAGGCTGACCTAGAAGCTGAAGAGGAACGGGCACGGTTAGTAGAGGAGCATAGATGGGAAGAAGAGACAAGACGGCTGCGCGCCGAAGAAAAGCGCAAGGCGGAAGAAGAGAAACGTCGGTGGGAGGAGGAAGAGCGCCAATGGAAACTAACAGAGGAGAAACGAAGGAGGGAAGAAGAAGAAGCCGAAGCAAAACTAGCCGAAGAGCGTCGCCGTGCGAAGGGCAAAAACGATAACCGATTGCAAGGGCAATTCCTTAGCCAATACCAAGCCGAACACGATATCACGCCGCAAAAGAGTGGCGGTGGCGGGTATAGCGACCGCATCAAACAGTTAGAGCAGGAATTAGAGTTGGCAAGGAAGCGAGAGATGGAATATGAGGAAGAACGACAGAGGCGGTCACAGAACCGAGCGCGATCTCGTAGCCGGCCAAAAAAGGCGGAATCTAGACCACCTAGTCGCCAAGACTCATGGCGACCGAAAGACGAGCGCGAGTTCCTCAGTACACAATGGAATCGACGTCAGCAAGAGCAGCGTGAGCGAGAGCAACAGCAAGAACAACAGCAAGATATTGCTCCTCCGCCTCCGCCGCGTCCACTCCCCGTGCCTGTACTGGCTGCACCAATCAAGACCAATCACACAGGAGAGAAACCACCTGTGCCCATAAAACCCCAAAGAACTGGAGAGGGTAGGCCCCTTCCCATTCCGGACCGGATTAAGAACCAGGCAACTGGTGGCTCGAACCTAAACCCGTCGGCACGGCCTCTTCCTGTCCCATCCCCGAATTCTAACGGTAATCGTACGGATCGCTTCCTCGCCTCCAACCCGGCGCCCGCTCCGGCTCCTCCGCAGCAGACTTACTCTCGTGAGCTCGATGTCACAGCAGAACGTGACGCGGAGGACAGGCGACGAGCCGAATCACAAGCTAAGACGAAGGCAGGCGGTTGGGCCGGCAAGTCGTTACTAGAGCGCGAGATGGAGATGGAAAGGCAAAGACAGCGCGAATGGGAGGAATCGCAGCAGGAGACGGCTAAGGCGGTTAGAGCAGGCGATGGTGTAGACGGTATCGGCGGCGGGGTTGGTGGCCGGTGGGACGTTAGTCAGTGGAGCGGATATACTGGCGGCGACAGCCAAAACAATGGATCTGCGGGTATTGGAGCTGGAAGGAGACAAATCGTCGGGCCTAGGCCATTACCAAACAGGCCCGGGCCGTGAACGCCCTTCCCGATGGAATAGTGCGGGATTAGTTACCTATCTGTTCATAGCAGTGTAATTAAGGCCATGTGAGGAATAGAGACCCAATAACGACATTATGCAATATATTTCATCAAGTTCGACATTGGAATGTTCTCGGCTTATCATTTGAGGACGATTATGAAGATGGAAGTTATAAGTTTGAGTTCTATTTATGTCGGCCTTGGTTTGGCCTGAAATATAAAGAGTTGTTGAAGGCGGTAAGCGTACCTCTCTGTCTTCGTTCTGATTTTATTCTATCGGTAGGAGTATATGTCGAGTTACAGGTCTAATAGGTGCGTCGTTATAGACGTTTTGTAATTGAATCTGTTCGAACCTACATTGTGAGAGCTTTACGCACTGTAATATCACATACTACCTCATACGATATGCTCCGCCAACCCCTTTCTGACGAGAGGATGCGATTCGAAGAAATTCACGTCATATTTTCACGTCGTGTCTGGCTTTGGTCGATGTTGTTATAAATGGTAAGGGGTTTGGGGTCTAATATTAAAATGCTAGGAACTGCGAGGGAAACTTACTCCCTAAAAGCTCCGATGTACCCATAGGTCGTCAATATGATCACGACTGATAAGTATTTCCTTCGGGCTTGCGCGGATATCACAGTCCGTATGTTTCGAATTACAACGATATCTAAGTTATGAGTTGTTGGGTTAATATGTGGCTAATAGTTATTTCTGCATTCTAATTCAATATCGGCGGGAAATATACAGAGTCGAAGAGAGCTATTCTTCATGCGTGAACTAGATTAATGATATGACGCTATGCATAGGATATATGATCAAGGATACGGCTTAATTACCACCCAACATTATGAAATAGTATCGAGGAATCGAGATATGCGGTGTCGTCTCCCACGAGAGGCTGGATATTACTCTTATTGTAACCGCACCACCGACTGCGCATCCGTCGTGGCTCTTATATCACTATCATTCAAGGAGCTTTTGAGCCAACAGTAATTAAGATCCGTCCCTTGCGGTCCAACGTCGTAATAGACAGCGCCCGCGCAATATGTATTTTTAGCGCATAGCGAAACACATTCCTTCATCGATTCGGCCTCGAGGTTCTCGATATCGCGGCCTTGATGTGATACGTCGCACTCGATCCTGAACTTCGTCCCAGTGCCTGCGTCTGTATACGTACTTCCGTCGGCGCCCAGGCAACTGCGTGCTGAACTTGGAGTAGCTGTGGGTGACGCACTTGTACTAGAGGGTGAGGTCTTCATGGGACTTGGAGAGTCTGTAGACTTGGTTGAGTTAGTAGCGCACAGTACCTAGTAGCAGTTGTAATCGCTTTATGAACTTAAGGTCCGTTGACTCAGTTCCCAAGGCAAAAAAGGGGGAAAGAAATTGAAATCGCAAAGTCTTTTGTTACAACCGACGACCCTGCCATAGCATGGAAGGATCTATAAGACTCTGACTTACTTGATTTTCACCTACCGGCGGCGATGGTGTTGCCGACCTATCGGAGAGAAGCCTTCATTAGCAACGATCCTACATCAAGGATGAAAACATTAGAACATAATTACTTACGAAGCTTTGATGGCTTGGTTCCTATGGGTTACTCCAACCGCCGCGCCGACAGCCGCTCCCACGAAAGCAACTACGAACATACATATTAAGAGTAACCAGAATACTCTTTTTCGAATTCCGAGTATGGTGGACGATTTAGAGGCGGCGGCGGTATTCTCATTTGATTCGGTATTCTCATTTGATTCAGTATTCCACCCATTGTGTTTGTCCTTGATATAGTTATCCGGAGTGCTTATAACTTGCGGCGCGTAGAAGACCTCTTTTCCTTGAGGGACGTTTCGTGGATCGGGTGAGCCAACTTCAATCCCTTCTACGGGAGGATGTACTTCTGGTGCTAAGGGATCGTGGTTAAGGATCTCACTCCCATCCATGAGTACGAATCTCTTCTTAGTCCTCTCTGGAGTCATTGGGTTCTCTCCACCTTGGCCAAGATGGCCTCCTTCAGCACAGTCCCAACACACAGGCGTGCCCCTGCCGTCAGTATAATGAGGACAGACGGCATTTAAGTCAGGTCCGGCGGCAGTATTGTTTGCCATGTCCCGTGAGTGTGGTCGTACTGCGTTTACAAACGGGGAAACGCCAAGCTGCGCGCGACGTATGAATGATATGTATACCACAAGAACTCGAAACTTTGAAGTAGAAATGAAAGCAAGTTACCGAGTGCGACTGAAGAAGGTGGGCAGGAAAACTAAAAATAACCGTCTTCTGCCCATTGAAAATTCAATCGAGCCAGCAATCGGGTATAATCTACCTACCCATGCAGTCCATAACTTATCACGAGGCGCTACCACTGGATAGATACCATTCGATGCTACGCTCGAGGTTCCATTGGGGGCTAAGGATTCAGCTCAATCCATAGAAACCTTTTGTATAGTGTATATAGCTTATGTACCTACCTTTGACTGCAGCCCTAGCGTATCGTGAAAGGAGAATAGGAAGGGGACAGGGGAAAACACGATAGCGTTAATAATAGTGAATCGAAGCTAAGCTCCTATCAACAGGTAGATAGGGGTTGAAGGGAAATACGCCATCAATATTAGTGTAAACGCGATTTTGAACTAAGGTTTAGCCGCCGAAGGTTTGCTCAGATCTGAAGCATTTTACGATTGTTATGAGAGTATTCAAGATTTAGCGGCGGGCCGTACCGTGATATGTGATTTGATTATCGTGTTTTTATAACTACTACGAATGTAAGGTTGAAATGATTAGGTACCTCCTAGGTACCTATGTAAGTTTAGCAACCATATTCGTAAAGTTGTCGAGCAATACCTATTTCCTGATGCTTTGAAATCTATTATTGAATTGGGGGATCCAATTTCGAATTTCTAGGTAATACATACACTATGAGGCAGTGAGGTAGTAATTCATGTGGCTGGACATGCTGCATAGCTGAATTCCTTCTCTGGGGAATTTTGCCCGAGCTAGACGCTATGCCGAAATTAGTATGGCCCCCTTACGGATCTTGGCTGCAGGGATCAGGTTGTAATAATAAGTGGGATATGCCCTGACGTGTGGCGTCCATGATAATACATAGCCAGATAGCGTCCGCTTCGGTGATGTCACAACATCAATTTATTATCCACAAATATCGGCATCAAGACTCTGGCTTGTCAAACATTATCTTCCCGGCCGTAACTTTCATGCTACCTACTTCTAACATACTCTACTATATCTACCTATTTCTATCTCTTCCCTATTATCAAACATGGACTTAACTATCACAAGAATCTTACGAGGGACAATACTCCATGTCTGCATCTGCAAACTGCAGTCCACGGCCTTGAATAACTTTAATCTTGGCTGAAGTAAACGATGAGTCGACATCAACGTCACCGTTAATTGTAACAACACTACCTCCCCATCTTTTCTACATAGACGACCACCTAAGAATAGAGTTCTCCTGATGATAAATACTACGTGTTAGAATATCACCGGATGAGACTAGATCTTAACTTGCAGTTGTATTCGTAGCATCGTCTACAACAATAGCCCATGGGGTATAGGCTTCATCTCCGAATAAACTAATACGACTATGCCTCCAATCGAATTAGACAAGCCTTCGACGGCGCCAATAAATACTAAAGGGTCTGAGCAAGACCTACTCCGAGTACGCGATGTTCCGCGAGACGGGAACCGCCGGACCATCGTCCAAGATTCGCAAGGTAACCTTGTATATCCGAGCTATATTCCTCCGGATATCGAACTGCCTATCTCGCGCAAGAGAGCCGTATCGGAAGGCGTACTAGATCAATTCAAAAGTCCTGGTCCGACCGAGGGTCCCAAAAAGTCCAGGTCAGAGCCTGTGAACAAGCAATCTTTCAAGTTGGCGCGATCGTCATCAAATCCTCAACAAAGCCAACGTCGGACTTCAATATTTTCGGCTTTTCCTCTTATGAAACGAGCAGGAACGGATGTTTCTATGCTTGACATGGCACTGCAACATGCTTATGACGAAAACAGGGATGACGATACATCAGACTCGTCATCGTCGGAAGCGGAATATGGAGGGAAGGCGAGGAAAACGCGTGCAGGCCAGTCCTCAGGACAGCCGAACCGTAAAATATCCAGTGACAGATATCGGCGCTTTCGAGTCGCAAATGAATTATATCGAACAAAAGGCAAGGTATCCAAGAGGGATGGTCGATTGAATATTACAGTTAATGACACAAGTAATACCGGATATCTCGCGAAGGCGCTCGGTACTGCCGTTAAGAAGGTCACGCCCAGGAAGGCCGAGGAAGGGAAAACCAGCCATCGGCCAGCCTCCTCACGGTTATCTTCAGCTACCACGGCGGCATCGGAGGAATGGAGACGACCGAAGCTGAACATAGTAATCATGGTCATTGGCTCCCGGGGTGATGCTCAGCCGTTCTTGAAGATAGGAAAGGTGCTAAAAGAGAAATACGGTCATCGCGTGCGTATCGCTACTCATCCCGCCTTTCGCGACTTTGTCGAGAAAGATTCGGGTTTAGAATTCTTCTCCGTTGGTGGCGATCCCTCAGAGCTGATGGCCTTTATGGTCAAGAATCCCGGTATGATCCCGACGCTCGAGACAGTGAAAGCTGGCGATATTGGAAAAAGACGTGCTGCTATGGCCGAGATGTTTGATGGATTTTGGAGAGCTTGCATTAATGCAACCGATAATGAAAGAGACATCCACAATATTAAGATGATGGGCGAAAAGGATCCGTTTATCGCAGACGCCATCATTGCGAATCCACCCAGTTTCGCGCATATTCATTGTGCTGAAGCTCTAGGAATTCCCCTGCATCTCATGTTTACTTTTCCATACACACCTACAGAGGCTTTTCCTCACCCCCTAGCAACCATCAAGAAATCCAATGTCGACCCCGGGTATACTAATTTTATCTCTTACCCCCTCGTCGAAATGATGGTCTGGCAGGGACTCGGAGACCTCGTTAATGATTTCAGAGTTAAGACATTAGGATTAGATCCGGTATCTACTCTCTGGGCTCCTGGAGCGACATACCGCCTTCATGTCCCTTTCACATATTTGTGGAGTCCGGGATTAATACCTAAGCCCGACGATTGGGGCGAGGAGGTAGACGTATCTGGTTTTGTCTTCCTTGATCTTGCCTCATCTTTTAATCCACCAAAGGATCTTCTCAAATTTCTCGAGAAAGGCGAGATGCCTGTCTACATTGGCTTCGGGTCGATCGTAGTTGACGATGCCGAGCGCTTCACAGAGATGATTTTCGAAGCTGTGAAACTAGCTGGTGTTCGAGCCTTAGTATCGAAAGGCTGGGGTGGCCTTGGCCGGGTAGATGTTCCTGATTATATCTACATGCTGGAAAATACTCCCCACGATTGGCTTTTCCCAAAGGTTCGAGCTTGCGTCATCCACGGCGGTGCCGGAACCACTGCTATCGCACTCAAGTGCGGCAAGCCGACCATGATTGTACCTTTCTTCGGCGATCAACACTTTTGGGGTTCGATGGTTAGTAATGCAGGCGCTGGACCAGTACCGGTTTCGTATAAGAAGTTGAATGCCGAGGAGTTGGCAGAAGGCATTAAATTCTGCCTAACTGATGAGGCACTGAAAGCAGTGCAAAAAATATCTAGAGACATCGAACTTGAAGGTAATGGCGCCCAAAACGCGGTGAAGGCATTCCATCGGAATTTAACGCTATCTGGAGAAAATTCGATGCGATGTTCAATCCTTGATGATCGCGTGGCGGTGTGGCGCGTTAAGCGAACCAGCATCAAACTCAGCGCTCTGGCAGCCTACATTGTAGTTAGTCGGGGGTTAATAAGTTGGCGGAGACTACGCCTCCTTCGACATAAGGAATGGAATGACTTTGAAGGACCGGGAGAGCCTGTTACAGGGGTTGTTGGCTCGATAGTCGGAACAGTTGGCGACGTGTTTAGTGGAATAGGCAGCGTCCCGTATAGACTGGCGAAAACATCCCACAAGAGAGCCGAGCGGAGAAGAAAGAAGGAGAGGAAGCGACAGCAAAAACAAGATGCCCTAACTAAACGCCCAACCGAATTCCCATTTCCAATCCAAGGAGACGGTGGTGCTGGGACTGATACGAACGAAAGCGGCCGCCTTGGGCATGCTTCGACGCATGCAACTACGCCTTCAACAGCTCCTCTTGAGCCCTTCCAAGAAGAGTACCTAGATGAGATAGAAGAAGGGATTGGTAAAACTGGCCGAGCCCTAGCGCATGCACCTGTTGATCTTTCGCTCGCGCTGGCCCAAGGTTTCCACAACGCTCCCCGTCTGTATGGTGATGAGACCGTTAGACGCCCGATCCGGATCACCGGAATACGATCTGGGCTCAAGGCCGCAGGACATGAATTTATATATGGTATCTATGACGGATTCACCGGGCTTGTACGATTGCCGATTCGCGGAGCTAGGGAAGACGGAATCAAGGGCGCACTTGCAGGTGTTGGCATGGGATTTACCGGATTTATATTAAAAAATATAACGGCACTGGTCGGTCCAATAGGCTACACACTCAAAGGTATTTCTAAGCAGGCCGACCGCGAAAAGCAGCCCCTTAAATATCTCCGTCGCGCACGGATCATCCAAGCACAGCGGGAGCTTGGTGTCCTAACAGAGGCCGAACGCAAGGCCATAACTGACACAGTTCTTAAAGGCTGGCAGGTTATGCGCCGGTTGGCTGATGCAATTGTACGGGAGAATGAGAAACGATGGTTCGTACCCCACTTCAAGACGAAGAGCAAGAGTGCTAGGAAGGTTAAGTCGGTAGGAAATTATGGGAAAGTTCCTGCATTTGAGAGCATTGCGGCCGCGGAGAAAGCAATAGAAGCTATCTCAAGAGGAGAAGATACCGAGGCTGCACTCGGGAAGCGTAGGGGGATCCAAGATGGATAGGGGGTTGGCCAGGGGATTATCGCGGGCTTGACAATGATGGAACGAGAAACTAAGTATACTACTGATTGATTAAAGAAACAACTAGATCATGGGGGGGCAATGCTAAAGGAGTATCACATAACGAATGACATTCACCTCTGTTGTCATAGGTCGGACGAACAACTAAGGAGGTCAGGATCTAATACGGAGCAAGTAATAAGAGCTAAGTAGAATCGCCTTGCTGGAATTATATCCTACAATAATAACTCTCCAGCCCTGGAATATTCATATTTTGATTCTGGTTGGTTTGGGGGTTTTTAAAGGCATCTATTAATATGGTTGGCTACTAAGAAAGTTACGGATAATATATACAAATAATAGCCTTCTGGTTGATATAGGATTACCTAGTAATATTAGTATTGACTTACATAACGAGCTAAGTTGACTTTAGATGCCAATACTAGCAATTAAACATATAAGTCGCCCACATATCACCCTCAAGCCGGTGTTATAGTTGTCCAGCTGAAAGAATCTCGTAGCACTGTAACTCTATTAGAGGTACTAAAACATATCCGTTATAAGAATATCCAGGGAGACACGTGAAAGGGGTAGCCTGTTTATCAAATAGCTAAGCGATATAGAGTTTCTATTTGGTTATCCCAGATACTGATATTGAATTCTCGGGGTTGCGGTCTTAACGCCGAAATTTCGGGGATGTTTTCTTAATGAGCGATCTGAATCCTCAATCCTCTTTTATCTAAATAACAAGTTGTCAAGCAAGTATGAATTGTTAGAATCAGTAACTGATAATCGGGGGCCGAACACAAACTCTCCTATCTTTAGCACTGTCGAAAGAGGGACCTGTTAGGGTATAGTGGGTTAGGGTGGCTATAGGGGTCTGTACGAGTATATAAAAGGCGCTTCGCGCCCTCCTTAGAGGTTGAAAAGCCAGGCGTTACTAAGTTTAATATAACTACTACTTGGTTTATTACCTTAAATATTCACTTTATATATAATTTACCTTATTAGGGCATCCCCTCCTCCTAATAAAATAACGCCTTTACCTATTAGCATTAACCGTTTGTTAGGGTGGTAGACCGCGAGGCCGTGAGGCAACATGAGAGATACCTTGACGGCGAAAGTTGCTACGATTCGAAAGGAAGTATCACGAGACAAGAAAAAGAGAGACTGCCGCTACGGCGCAGGAGGTTAGCTACGACGAAAAGTTACGATGAGAGGGGAGAGAGACGACGAAGCAGTACGAGGAGAGAGAGACGACGGCAATAGTAGATACCACGAGAGGAGGGGGCTAGCGACCTTTTAGTAGGCCTTGAAGCTAAGTATCGCCAGCTTACAATTATGATGTTATTGATGTGTTAGAGATTTGTGGGGCGAGATAATAGCTATTACGAATGAGGCTTTAGGACCGAGACGAAGCTTATAATAAAAATTAGGGTTAGGGGTAAAGGCTTTATGATTAATACGAGGTTAGACAAGGCTAGGCGAGTAGCCATAGCGATTAGGCTCTAAATTCGGCCTTATACGATTAAGATGAGGCTTACCTTAGGCTTTTACGAGTAAGGTAGCAGCTACAACGACAAGGCCTTATAACCGAGATAAGGCCTAAGCTATAGCGACGAGGCTATGGGGCTTTAAGGCTTTATTAGTTGTTTTAACTATATAGCTATAGGGTTTTATTAGTTGGTTTGGCTACGTTTTAGGACCATTAGTTATTTTGATTACGGGGTTTTATAACCGTAAAGCTATAGGGCTTTATTAGTTTAAACTTATTAATCTAGACTGTTAGTCGTTTTGGCTACGTTCCAAGACCTTATTAGTTATTTCGATTACGTACGTTTAGGAGGTCGTAGGATTTCTCCAGTCGTCCCTAGAAAGCTGTGGTCGCCGCAGAGAATAACAAGGCCTGAAAGGAGTGCGTACTGCCGATGGTCCTTGACGAGGTTTAAGGATAGCTAGGAGACGCCTTAGTAGGGTAGGTAGTGATTTTGTGGCAGGTTAGCGGCAAGGTAGCTATAGGAGTGCGTACCTTACTACCGATTGGGTGTAACTGGCCCGAAAAGGTGTACTGCCGAGGTTTTTGACGCGGTTCGAGGATAGCCAGGAGATACCTTAGTACGGTAGCAGGTAATTTAATAAGATTAGCAGGGCCACGTAGCCGCGTAGTTACTGCAGGGGATACCGGCCCTGGAAAAGGTGTACTGCCGATGGTCCTTGACGCGGTTCAAGGATAGCTAGGAGACGCCTCAGTACGGTAGGTAGTGACCCTGTGGCAGGCTAAGCGACGAGGTAGCTATGGGAGTGCTGTCGAGGTCCTTGTAGATCCAGGGATAGCCAGGAGACACCCTAGTACGGTAGCAGTGTTGCTAGAGGCGAGTCTAGCACAGCAAGGCTAGCAACGAGGATAGCAGAGACGAGTCGAGTATATGCCTTGCTATAGGGCAGGGGCGAGGGTAGCGACGACGCCGAAACTAGCAGTGAGGCTAGAAGAGACGTTAGGGATGAGATAGGGCGTATACCGGACTATAGGGTAGCGGAGAGAGCAACCACCAGGCCGTGAGACGATAACTAGCAGCGAGGCTAGCAGTGAGGCTAGAAGAGGCGACAGAGATGAGGTAGCGCATATACCTTGCTACAGGGTGGTAGCGACGAGGAGGCCAACAACGAGGCCAGATAGGACGTATGCCTTGCTACAGGGGAGTGGCGAGGATAGCGACAGCGACGAGACTAGCAGCGAGGCTAGACGAGTATACACCTTATCACAGGGTAGCGGAGAGAGTAACCACCAGGCCGTGAGACGACAGCGTGGTAGACTAAGCAACGAGACTAGCAGCAAGACTGAAGCGGCGACGAGGCTAGCGATGAGGCTGCAATACGACAAGACAGCTGCTACGGCGAGACAGCGGCAACGACGACAGCAGCGAGGTTGACGATAAGCCTATAAGCGTACCTTATTATTATTATTATTACTATTATTATAATATGAGGCTACGGCGAGATAGCAGTAACGACCTTAGCAAGGAGGCTAAAAGCAACAGCGAGGTTGATGAGGCTCTGACGAAAGAGGTGACGAGGTAGCAGCACACACCCTAGGACCAAAGGCGACGACGAGGCTCACGATGTTTTTTTTACACACGATGTTTTTTTTTTACCCTCTCTTTTCGTTGCATGGTCCCGAGGACGGGACCACTGGAGGGAGGGGTGACTCTGTCAGGGTATAGTGGGTTAGGGTGGCTACAGGGGTCTGTACGAGTATATAAGGGGCGCTTCGCGCCCTCCTCAGAGGTTGGAAGGCCAGGCGTTACTAAGTTCAATACAACTACTACTTGGTCTACTACCCTAGACATTCACTCTATGCATGATTCACCTCACTAGGGCATCCCCTCCTCCTGACAGGACCGTGGTGATAATCTGCCCGAGTTACATACCCTCATTAAAGAGCACGGCGGAATGACCCTCGGACGGACTATCCATCCCGCACCGCGATTATACGCGGTATTCAACGTGCGAATAAATATGATAGCATAGAGCGAACCGGATACTAAAGACTTATTCCGTCGGACCCGGCGCTCTTGTCTCCTGCAATTGGGTTCCACACATCCGCATGAGAGTCGGCATCGCGACGTTGAGTATGAGAAACTTTTCTACGTGCGGGAAGTTACTTTATAATTTACATCGCACCTCTACATTACCAAGTATATCCTATCTCTTGAGCACCCTAGCTATCCGCTCACACTCCTATCGCCGACCCTATACTATGGCTGTGAATTTCGATACTTCCTCGGAAAAGGAGGCGGGCTTACTCCGTTTCCTTAAAAGTCAGCTATTCTTCACACCTCCGCTTATTACTCGAGAAGAAGTCGACCTCGCTGGCAAGACAGCCGTGGTTACCGGCGCAAATGTGGGCTTAGGGTTAGAATGCGCCCGCCAACTCCTCGACTTGGGGTGTAAAGTAATTCTTGCCGTGCGTAGCGAGTCGAGAGGCGAAGCCGCACGCCAGCAGCTCGCCCAAGGTCGCGACGCGCAATCAACGGATATCGAAGTTTTGAAATTAGACCTTAACTCATACGACTCCGTCGTGAGTTTTGCTGAGCGCACCAAGACTCTTACAAGGCTTGACATAGCAGTTCTTAACGCTGGTATTTACAAAGTCGACGAGTCTTTCAACAGCGCTACGGGCTACGAAGAAGATATCCAGGTAAACTATCTATCCAATGCTCTTCTGGCGCTCCTATTAGTGCCCATTATGACAGAGAAGAAGACAGGGGATGTCCCTGGACGTATAGTCTTGGTATCCTCCGGAATAGCCAATGCGACCAAATTTAGTGAAAAGGGGTCAAATCCGATACTTCCCACTTTTAGAAAGAAGATGGAACCGAAGTGGTTGTTTAAAGAGCGGCACGGTACATCCAAAGTGCTTGTCCAAATGTTTGTGGCGGAGTTAGCAAAGCGAGTTCCATCTTCTGCCGTTGTCGTCACCGTCGCCAACCCTGGTTTTTGTCACGGATCGGAAATCATACGCGACGGAGAGGGGCGTTTCGTGGGTTATTTATATAAAGTTATAATGGCAACGGTTGGTCGTCCTTGCTCAGTTGGCGCTCGTGTATACGTCCATGCGGCTGTGAGTCCTACACTAGGCGAGACCGTTCATGGGCAGCATGTCGAGGATGCAACACTTAGACCGTTAGTTATACCCCTTCCCGCGTGACAGACATCGGAATGTATATTAATGAGCTCGTAACTTAGTATGGCACCACTTATCTATAAGCCTGAAGGTAAGCAGGCTGCTTCGAAATTGTGGGAGGAGATAATGGACGAATTTTCGTTTGTAGGAGTCAGACAAATTATTGACGGTCTCTCCAAGTCGGCTTAGATCTACCTCGGAATAAGCAGGGGTCAATGATACGACACTGTCATAATCGTATAAAATTTTCTAAGTCTTGCTTAGTTAGAAGCTGACCACTTAATGCAGCTCTCGTTGAGCTGCAAATTCAACCTGCATATGCTACTAAATTTAATCCCCGAACCAATAGGAGGCATATGATATAAATACCAGGTAGCTTTCCTAAATCGGGAATGAGTCATACAGGGGCTGAGATTTATCGTTTTATAAGTAAGAGGACTTACCCCGAGTATCAATTGTGGTATGGCTTGTGGCAGCTATACACGTCTATCTACTACCGGCATTAGTTTATTGACTCAATTATACACAGTCTTAGGTAGTCAACTACATTAACTTGAATTATTTGCTGAAACATTTACTATTAATATTATTACGAAAAATCCGACTGGGGAGTTATATTTCACCATGGCGGAATCTACCTCGCAGTCGACGTCCACACCGATAGTAACAACAGACAAATGCATCATACGTGCATATTTGCCAAGTGACGCCGAGGGCATGGTGGAGGCCGCCAACTTCCCAGAGCTTGTCCAATACATGCGCAATACCTTTCCTCACCCTTACACACTGGACTGCGCCAACCACTGGATCAACTCTTCCACAAACAGCAACCCCATGGTAAACTTCGGTATCTTCACGCCCGAAGGCACCTTCGCCGGCGGCATCGGGCTTACCCCCCATCAGGACATCGAGTATCGTACGTGGGAAATTGGCTACTGGGTCGGGAAGAAGTTCTGGGGGAAGGGTATTGCAACGAGTGCACTCAGGGGGTTTTCGGTCTGGGCTTTCGAGCAATTCCCGGAGCTGATAAGGATCGAGGCTGGTGTGTTCATTGAGAATATCGCGAGCCAGAAAGTTTTAGAGAGGGTTGGTTATACTAAAGAAGGAATAAGAAGGCAGGCCGTCTGCAAGAAGGAAAAGATCATGGACCAAGTAACCTATAGTTTAGTCCGAGACGACCTGAGGGATTTATCATGAGCCTATGTAAGATGCAGTTGCTATATATTTCGAGGGGGTACTGGATAGATTCAGATTGAAATTTTCAAATCATAATTCATACTTATCATGGAGTTCTCTGTCATATATCTATCACCTCTCTAGTGTGTTGAGGAAGTTGGTGTAAGGCGAGTATGAAAAATAGGGGCTAGGATAAAAAGCCGCCAGCAGGACGTTTCCGAGTACAGTCTAGAATTAGACGACATAAAAGCGTGCTCTTTTGCATTTTGTGAATCCATTTATATTATTAAGAGATGCATTATCAATCTCGAATAAATCGCCTAACCTAGCAGATTACCTCCTATAAAGATTGTCTCCGTTGTACCAAGATTATGAAGAACCAGACTTTATCTCGGCTTCACTTGAGAGTTATTAGCTAACTTTCACCCATAGCGCCTTTGATACCTAACAGGAGGTATTGTTACTCCTTAATATCCAAGTCCCTTGATCCCGGTGATTCCCACTTGTTATTACCTATAGCGCCGATATGAATTCATACCCTTAGGGTAGGTATACCGCTTGCGATCAAATGGCATCTGGAACCATACCGAATTCTATCCACTAATTAATTGGCTGCCACACCACACTACCGAATGGATCCAATCACGAACTCCCTAGGTGAAATATAAGCATTTCAATCCTTTCGCTCAAAGTCTCGTCTCTGTCGTACCTAGTGTCAGTTCACTGCTTTGGTTGGCATGGTCATTGGGACATCACTTACCAGCCAATGCTTGCCACATGAGCTGGGTGTCCGGATACCCATCGCGTGCAAGCCGGCTACCCCTAGGCTTAGAAGTAGTGTTTTTCTCCCATAATTTCGACTTGACTTTCTCCATAGCTTTACCCATCTTACTGGGGAGCGAACTGCTATCGGCCAAAGCTTCAGCGTCGGAGGATGACTTGCGGTCTTCGTGTAGTAAAAGTTAGTAAGTTAATGTAAAGAATTTAATGGAGTAGATGTAACTAACAATCATTGATACTGCCTTCATATTTCCCTTCCGAAATATCCTCCTTTTTATTTGGCGTACCCACTAGAGTTTTCTCCGACGCAATAGACGATCGCCTTTGGCTTGTCCTAGCGATAGGAAATGATAATCCGGACTGCGATGGCATTTTGGCAGGTTTTAAGTGCCGTACGTGTATAATAATCAAAGAACCTGGTTTTAATTGGTGTTTGCCATACGGTAGTTGACAAAGTGTATAGAAATCTACGGAGCTAGAAGCCTAGGAGCGAGCCGCATACAATCTTATTGATAATTCTAACTTCTTCAATGGGAAAATCCATCTTTTAATAGTGCAATTGACAGGCGTCCCCTGCGCGCGCTTTACAATCTATGAAGTCCCCTTCGCGTGGCGTTACTCATATTTGATATTTTGCTTCGGCTTTCTAAGCCGAAATAATGCACCGAGAGCCGAGCTCATTCGCAAGACATCGTGAGAATCTGGTTTAACGAATCAGAATCCCGATGGTGGGGATAAGCCGACAAATTGGGATTCTTCCTTCGACGTCAAGCCGAAGCCGAAGCCGACCTGGTATCTGCTGCCCGTTCCAACAATTTACATTCTAGACTTTGAGCCAGCCTATGTCGGAGTCAAAGCTCTTGATTCACGGCTTCGGATTACTTTGATAGAATATTCTCTCGTACACGCAGTTCTTACACTCGGCCTCTCTATGAACGACCCTACGAACCCGCCACTACTTCTTCGCCGCAACGGTCGGCCTCAAGCCTGCGATGTAAGTAATGTATACCAATTCCCTTTAGGTATATCTATTGATGAAACATGTAAGCCCTGCCGTAAACGTAAGCTAGCTTGCGATCATACACAACCGGTTTGTAGTCGTTGTAAGAAGAGAAAACAGGATGGTGAATGTGTGTATCTCGCGTCGTCCTCAAGGATATCTACATCCAAGAGCCCACTGCCATCTCCGGCGCCTTCCACACCACTCCCATCCCCTCGGCGTGGAAGTCTTCGGCACCCTCAGAACAACCCGGCTTTAACGCCTGACACTCAGGTTTCAGGCCTCTTCCGACCCGGCTACCTCGGCCCGACTAGTTACTGTAATATCTACGAAGACACCGAGAATAGCCTCTCGCTTCTTCAAGGATCGGACAGTGTTGCTACCCAATCCGAGAGTATCGCTCACTATGCCCCTATTGAAGGCTCCCAGACCAACTTGTCCGTCAGAGTCCGTGATTTGGCCCTCAAGGTGCTACGTAACATACCTGATCCCATCCAGGGGAGTTCCCTGCCGTACAAGTCCGGGAGTGACAGCTGGATCTATAAGATAGCTGAGCGAGTGGTTGGGTCATTATATGAGGTTTTCGGTGATTATTTCAGTGTGGGAAGCCGACCGACCGCTAAATTAGAGGAACTCGCCCGTATTATCTGCGCTAATACTTCGAGGCCATTTTCCGACGAAGAATCTGACCCGGACAAGTGGTTCAGCCAATTTTCGGGGAAGAACATCCGCTGGGAGTTGATAGGAATACTCTCCATGTTCTGGGAGTTCGTTCCTGGTTCAAACGCGGAATTTTGGAAAGGAAAACGCTCCGTGAAGTTTGACCGTGGATTCCGCATAACGAGGGAAAACATGCACCTGAGCCTCGATTTATGTAAAGAATTTTCCGCCGGAAACTCTATGATGCTCTGTTTAAGTCAGAGGTGCACTATTGTGGATTCTAGTACGTGCCTAACGATTGAAGTTCCCTTTCCCCAGAAGATACCAAACCCTCCAAGCCACGTACTAAAATTGGTAATTATTAACTTTTATCATCAGTGTCTGTAGGAGATGCCGGTAGGTGGTCTATGTCTGTGATTACTATACTGGTTACTTGTATATCATGTCGAAATACTGGGATCATCCCTTGCTAACCGTTAACGTGCCTAAGATTTGGTTGTATGGAGGACTCACGCGGAGACGGTTTCATTGCTTACTTTCCTCGGCTTTCACGCCGTAGAAGAAAAAGACCAACATCAAACATCCTTGTCGACCGAGATTAAGAAGAGGCTTTTTCATAATACGTTCTCGATCGCCATGGATGTTGTCTCTTTTACCGGAAGACCTCCATTGATCAGTTCTCGATACTCGTCGACGCCTATTCCGCTCGATATTAGTACCGAAGATTTATTCTCTGACCATGATACTTTAATGAAAGCTGTTTCGCGCCTAGATGAAAAAGGTTGGAATACCGACGGGGCGATGTATCCTTCTACTAGTATTCGAGCCCGGGCAATCATCGCATTAATCCGCGAAGAGATATTCGAAATTGCTCTCGACCATAGACAAAACACGTTTCCGAACGAATTTTCTATTGAAACTCTGCTGTAAGCAAGCCCCCCATAGATATGTCTCTAATCTAGTATTAACTAAGACGGATAGCCAACTTCGATCTCGAGAGCTTTCAGCAGTTGCTGCATTCCCTTCGTGCTTACGTTTCGATCCTCTTGAGATTGATAACCTGGAGGTTCCCATAAACCACCTATCTGTGAGGTTATTTATACAGCAAGAACATCTACAGAATATGTTTTTTATCGAAAGACTCTTGCTTCGGTTTGGCCATCAAGACAAGGGCGATTTATTGAAAGTCAGCTATGACTTAGTCACTCAGACTTTACCTTGGTATGTTTAGAACCCTATTGCACTTAGGCCTTGCTTTGTAACTATTCATCCCAGACTAACAACGCCGCAGTACGTCGTGACCTTCCTCACCCACTCCTTTCTCCCGGGTTTCATTCTATTAGACTATAATGAAGTAACGTTTCTCATGCATCTAACGCGGATGCTAACACGGAACAGATTATCTACATTCAGATAAGTTCTCATCTTTCAGGGACAGCTGTGAATGGCTTGTAAGTTAATATACGAGCAACTCCTTGTTACCGTTTCCTGACGAAGATATTAAGGTTATGGCTCACGCTGTTCCCGCCGGTGGTATACTCTGTTTAGAACTTCTAAAGCCTACCCTCCATTTGAGGCCCCATAGCGACTCTAGAATCACTCGCTCCAACATCATCCAGAAGTTGAGTCTCCTCGTCGCATTTCTCGACTGGGTCAGTCCGTCGGCACCGAACGGGGATTTATGCAACGACGCGAAATCAGTAATACAACGCGTTCTGGACCAGACATTAAATGCGGCATCGAGTATATATGAGCCTCCCGCGGTATTTCAGTGGGATTCATCAACACAGTTAGACTTCAATTTTGACCTTCTCGATACGTTCGATTGGATTCGCCCGGATTTCCCTTCAAGTCAGCAGTCAAATCAATAAGGCATCCAGCATTTATGGCCTTACAATTTAGAGGATGCATGAATTAGATTTAGGGTCGTGCGTTGTACATTAAAGTGCTACGTCCCTATCGATAGAAAAGCCAAGACGGCATATCTTGTATCCACTTACACGGACTGAATGTAACCATCGTTAGTGTAAGTAGACCCCTGGATGCGTCTAATTACACCTTGCTTTGTAGTGTACGATCAGTTCCCTACCTCCTTAACTTACCTCCCGAGGTATCCCATGAATTCGATGTAACGAAACACTACCTAAAGCACAAAACTAAAGCACAAAAGGAGCGAACCGGATGCGCAATTACGGCGAACAAAATCTTTAATTAATAACATTCTATTCTACGTACTACGTTGTACCATTATTTTAGCAAGGCCATCATCGTGTGGCCGCTAACCTTCCTCATTTTATTTTATGTAGCGTTCCTAGCAGGCCTAGCATCTAATATGCAGGAACAAGCACGAAAGACTCCCCAATGCATGGGGAGCATAATAAACCACAAAACTTACAGATCTGGTTATGATCGGACCGGTTTCTTATTGCTTATCGACCTATCGACCTATCTAATGTCGTTTATCCCTACGAATATAAACCCCTGATAGTACATACATACCTATATGTCATAAAGTGGCATGGGTATCTACACCGCGTTCGTCTTCTCATTGATGAATCATGAACCCTCGCAGGATTCGATACCCCGCGTTCCGAGATAATGGAGGCAAGACGCGCTGCACAGTTCGCAGACATTACTTGATGTAACGGTGGGGACGAAGATTAGGACATCTGCTCCGGTCACTGACAAGGCCTCGCTGCAGTTTGCATGATGCAGTGATGATGCAGTGATATACTGGCGTATCCGGGAGCTCACCGGGACGCCAGGGATGGAAGGTTATTTCCATTCAGACGGCACGCGAGCTGGTCACGACCACACTACCACCACAGGGCGACCACAGGGCAGGTCCAAGACATGTTTGTCTCGCTCCTCCTTACTACTTACAGACAACCCGACGTGTTTATCTTATCATACTGAACGAATTCTTGTCTCCGGATTGTTTATCTTGACCTTAAAGCCGTCGTCAGGTGCATCGTTATCCGCCCTGGAATGCATTCATTTACCCAAGTTGCCCAAGTTACCTTAGGTTAGGTAGGCAAACTTGTTATCAACTGGGGATATATTATAGGGGCATATTACACTCGTTTACATTCTTTTTCCTCTATCTTGCTCTTAGCAGCAAGAAGCTCTAGTCGCCATGCCTCCATTCGGCTTGCGCTCCTGTTCAATTGCTTTTATTGTCTTGGCGACGGCCCTGGGGAATGATGCTGCCGCTATAGATCCTCTTTCGTATGTCGATCAATTAATCGGAAGTCGAAATGGAGGAAACATCTTTCCGGGCGCCACACTCCCATACGGTATGGCTAAAGCTGTTGCCGACACTACCAGTGGAAGTAATCAAGGAGGGTTCACTCTTGACGGGACTCCAATCTCTGGTTTTTCTGCCCTACACGACTCGGGAACTGGAGGGTCGCCGTCCTTAGGAAACTTCCCTCTCTTCCCGTATGCGAGCTGTCCTGACGATGATATTGATCAATGCGATTTCCCCAAGAAGACCCGCGCCAACCATGGCCAATTTGATCAAAGTAGCGTGGTGGCGCGCCCGGGGTATTTTGAGGTTACGCTGAACTCCGGCGTTAAAGCTGCTATGACCGCCAGTAAACATGCTGCGCTGTTTCAATTTACCTTCCCAACATCAGATGGGAATGCCTCGCATCCTCTCATTTTACAAGACCTGACAGACCTTTCGGACTCACGTCAAGATAACGGCACCGTCTCAGTCGACGAGCAAACCGGAAGGATCACCGGAAGCGCCCGTTTCCAGTCAAGTTTCAGCCAGGGAAAATAGTAAGTGCATTCGAAATTTATTTATCGTGTTCTTCATCATCCTCTCATAATTTCTCAAATAAGACAGGTTAGTACTGATTATCATAGTGTGCCTTACTTTTGCACCGACTTTTCGGGCCCTAAAATATTCGACAATGGCATTTTTGTGAACAGTAGAGCTACTCCAGATGTCAAAAACTTGACTATCTCTAGGTCAATTAACGGATATCCTCTTCCTGGAGGAGCTTTTGTTCGATTTGAGTCTACCGATACTCCTGTGCTTGCTCGCGTGGGCCTGAGTTTTATAAGCTCTGAACAAGCGTGCTCAAATGCCGAAGCCGAGATTCCGGACTATGATTTTGATGGGCTCGAACAGGTTGCTGCCGATGCCTGGAGACAGAAGCTCAGCCCGATCACAATCACGCCGGGCGACGTAGATGAGGATCAGATCAAGAACTTCTACAGCGGAATATACCGCACAATGGTAAACCCCCAGAATTATACGGGAGAGAATCCTATATTCGAAACAGGGGAACCGTATTTCGATTCATTCTATTGGTAAGTTGACGTATCGCATATATATAACGCAGCCACTAACTCAGCGAAGCCTCTGGGATAGCTTTCGAAGTCAAATCCCATTTCTCACCCTTATAGATCCAGATGCGGTAGCCGAGATGATTCGCTCTCTGATTGATACATATCGATACGAGGGCTGGTTGCCAGACTGCCGTATGACATTCTCTAAGGGTTACACACAGGTCAGAACCTTTTGGCTTCTAAAGACGGACTAACTGAGCTAATACCTAGTTCTTAGGGTGGCTCGAATGCTGATGTAGTCTTGGCCGATGGATATCTGAAAGGAATTACAGCCGGTATTGACGTAAGTACACTGAATTTGATAACGTGTTTTAGCTATTTAATAACTCGGTATTGTTGGATAGTGGGACGTGGGTTATGAAGCTGTCGTAAAAGACGCTGAGGTTGAGCCATTCGATTGGTCTAGCAACGGGCGCGGCGGTCTTGAGAGCTGGAAAAGTCTCGGATATATTATAAGTCTATCCTATTCCTAAGGTGTTCCTACTCCAAGCTAACCCTTAATACCCCGTGCAAGACCTAGACTGGCAAGGCTTCGGAACTATGACCAGGTCTATTTCCCGTACTCTTGAGTACAGCTATAATGATTTTGTCATCGCACAGATGTCTCAACTGAGAAACAACAGTGCCGATACAGAAAAATACCTACAGTCGAGCGATAATTGGAAAAACCTATACAAGGAAGATCAAACGTCGAAGTTCGCCAACGGCCAGGACACAGGGTTTACAGGTTTCTACGCCCCCAAATACCTGAATGGCACTTGGGGTGAACAGGACCCTTTGCTATGTAGCAATATTGACAACTCCGGCACTGCTTGCTCGCTCCAAAATACGGCTCACGAAACTTTTGAGAGCAGTATCTGGGAGTACGGCTTTTTTGTGCCACATAATCAAGGCGACTTAATCAGCCTTTACGGAGGACCGGCTGAATTTGTTCGCCGCCTTGATTTCCTGCATGATCAGAACATCACCTACATTGGCAACGAACCCGCCTTCCTAACCGTCTTCCAATACCACTACGCTGGTCGGCCTGCCTTATCGGCAAAGCGTGCACACTTCTATATACCTCGGTTCTTTGATACCACCCCTGAAGGTCTCCCAGGGAACGACGACAGTGGCGCAATGGGATCGTTTGTGGCTTTCTCCATGATGGGCTTGTTCCCAAACCCCGGACAAAACGTATATCTCATAATTCCTCCATTCTTCGAGAGTGTCAATATTACACACCCACAAACCGGCAAGACCGCAACTATCCGCAACGTCAACTTCGATCCCTCTTATGAGAGCATCTACATCCAAAGCGCAACCCTTGACGGCGAACCGTACACAAAGAACTGGATTGATCACAGTTTCTTCACAGAAGGTAAAGAACTCGTGCTTACCCTAGGGAGGAACGAGAGCTCCTGGGGCACAGCTGTCAAAGATTTACCGCCGTCCTTAGGGGAATATACTGGGTTCAACGAGACGTTGTCGAGGAGAAGAGCCGCGCCTAATATAGGTACAAGGTACAGCGCAGGCTTTAGCCATGGTGGGCCTAGACTCAACTAATAGACGGTTTGGACAAGACATTATACTAAGAGCCGTATAAATACAGTATTATCACGAGTAATAATAATTCAAGAATTTTATATACGAATACTTGGATACTCATGCACGATATTTACTTGTATCGGGTACCGTATATGATTATCTGAAAGGACTTAATGTGTAGAAAAGGTGTTGAACTTTCCACTTAGTGTCGTTATGGGTTACAAAAGTGTAAAAGGGGTAATTAAGTGGGTAATACCAGACACTTGATATATTCTAATATCATCTTACATCAGGATCATCAAGGTCATACAACGACGGGTATCATATTAGCCATGAAAATACACCATCTGTTTTTATAACAGTGAAACTCAACAGATAGCTTCGTGGGCAGTGTGATATAAGTAATAAAAGGTAAAAATCAACGAGTAATGTATATCTTCCTAGGATGTGGTGAAGTTCTTACCTTTTTTCCCCTTCCTTTTATCTTTTTCTTTCGGATCCCGTAATTAGACTCCCGTAGTCTTATTTGCTACTGTTCTACAATAGACAATAGCTATCCTATAGTAAAGGTATTATTGAGAATACATAGATAAGATGGATACCTTATTGTATCAGATAGATCACTTATTAATGATATTACCTTGGCAAGCGTTATCATGAATACCGAAAAACTCCGAGTGTTCCCATTAGTTTGAAGAATGACGTTCGTTTATACTCAATCGAATCTTCTTGGCGTCACCTGCCTGGAGTTGTAGTAGTAGTGCTGTAAATACTGGTCCAAATCCAACTTTATCGAACCGGGAAAGGATAAAGTATGGTAATTTCCAAAGACCTCCATGTTCATAACAAGGAGATATTTGGGTTATGAGCGTGTTGAAAAGTTGGAAAATGCATGAGAGCCTCTCTCTTCCATGGTTCCCGACGCCAGATTGCGCCATACATACCTACCTCCTAGACAATTCATAAACATTCTAGACTTGCCGGGGAACATCGGCTGGGGAAAATGGCTTGACTGATGGCTATCGTACTGCGAAACAGCCACCGAGAATTAACGGCATAGTGCTATGACAGCGTCGTTATCATCTTGCATGCGCGTCCCGTCTCGATCTTGTTGCTGGATCATTATCCGGTGGGGGTACAACAAGCCTATTACCACGTAAATACCTAGCCATCCAAAGACCCTTCTTACGTCCTCTTTGCCAGTGCAGCGATTTACAGCTCGACGCATGCGCACCTACCAAATGCATGAACCGCACCGGATGTAACCCTGCGTGCCGCGAGCTCCCCAACGTTACTACTGGTGTATATCTGGGGGAAAAGCGGAAACGATCTTCTTTCCTTAGAATATGAATTTTGGTATGGCGTGGGTTGTCAAATTTTGTGCGTAGATCGCCTCCGCAGTATGTGCGCTTTGAATATAGGGGTTTGAAGAGATACAGAAGTATTAAGCAAAGCATCTAATTCGTAGTATGAAGCAAGTCGAAAGCTATGAGATACTTCTCAAGTCGTGAATTAAACGTTTCCATAGCCACCTAGATAGTTATTATGCGAATATGACGTGTCTTGAGTAAATATCCGATTACGATTCAGCCTTTTGGTATTGGGACCCAAACCCAATTCGAAACCAAAAACGATAAGTCAATAGGTATCTCCCAAAGGTTTAGGATATACTTACTTGATTAGTTAATATATTAACAGCAAAGGTTAGCAATTAACCTGGTATTATATTTCTAGCGAAGGATATGTGCGTAAGCCTCATAAATTGTAAAGCCGCATGAAGATACATGTATCAGATAGAGATGTCCATTTCATATAGTAGTACTTCCAGGTAGTGGATGTAAAGCTAAGGTATAATCGCCCCCTTCTATAGCTATTGCCCCAATGGTTCTCTCAATACTCTTCTGCCGAGCATGACAATATGCACGTGAAGTTCCAGCCTCACCAGTGACCAGAATATCTTTGTAGTTGGGTCACCATAGCCCAACCCAGCGGAACCTTCTCATGTGATATCAACGAATCAAACGTCCCTTCCCCGCTCCCCTCTTGTTCTCAGATATGGTCCATCCAGTGAATCCTTTTTGGTGGCTCCTATCGATGAAATATGTCCCGAGATTGTCTACTTCGGTAAGCAAGGCTACTATTACGCCGAAGCCCAACGGCCGTCCTGTGAAGCATAGAGCCGCTTTCACTCGGTTACACACGGAAACTCGTGCACAGTTAAATAAGATGTATCAAATTCTTAGAGTTGCATAGGCTAGAGGGTGGATACATGTTATGCTTATGACTAGACGAAGATGATTGATGGAAAAGGTTACACACCTAGCTATCTTCTATAGACTGGATGATCTAATTCGTCCCCCGATAGTAATGTCACGGAGCTAGTGTTAATATTGAATTTCGTCCTGACGTTGAACGACTCCAGTATAATTCAACCACGTTGCAAAGTCGAGATCTTTGGATGAAATACTCACCTCACCGTAAAATCACGCTTCTAGACAGCTTGAGGGGAAACTTGGGCAGTAGCAGTAAAGTAACCAAATCAACGATGGGCACCAACCAAGTATGCTCGGCGATGATGTGGCTCTATCTTAGTAGCTGGGAATAGGGCACAATTGTATGAAGCGGTGTAGAGCGATCGGGAGGATACACATGAACTGTTCACCACCAAGAAGGAGTTTGCGATGAGTAGGTAACTCGAGGCGTAGCGGACTATCGGTAAGTAATGCCGTCATAATCGTACGAACTTAGCATACCGTAGAGGCTAAGTTGCATCTAGCTGTTGAGAATGAGGATTTGGATACCCAACTGAACAGCATAGTAGGTATCTTGAGCCTTAGATGATTGAGGGGAAGGTCACATGCTATGTAGCTAAGATACAACTTATTATAGCGTCGAAGTAGTATACATTCTAGCAATCCCGACAGGGCGTTTACGATGGGAAATCTCGCGCCGGTCCGTGTTGATCTTTTTGGATGTCGGCGAGCACTTCTCTATATTTTTTTAGGTTTACTCAAAATGGGTGTCCATGGTTCTGCGTTATAAACATGTTAGGCCGCGACGTCGTGGTGTGTATACCAGGTGATATCGCGAGTTTAATCTGGGGCTTTAATGTATACTGCTAGGGGAATCCCCCAAGTATCTCCATCTTTACCTACCAGGTATATACCAACATAACAAGTCTTTAATAGTCACAATAACTCGAAGGTTGCTATAGAGAGGTTATCTGTGATATCGTACCTGTCGTCGCTATGTTTATTCTAAAATTAATACGGACTGACCACAGGATTAGAGAACGACTTGGCCGCCGATACTGGCGGAGTTAGATCTACCTAATTCGCCTATTCGGAAACCCACTTCAAGAGAATACATAGGTTGGTAGGTACTCGGTTCCCTATTAGCCAATTACTCATTCTATTATACATAAATTCAGTGTCAATCCTCTAAAGTAGCACCGGGAGACTCGGAATCAATTCGTTAGGTGGTTATTTCGTCAAGTAAGATATGATCGGAGTCTGAAGTTGAAATTCTGTTGAGAAGCTATATGGATCGCCTGATCACGTCCTTTCATCATGAAACATCACAGGTTCAGTTCAACGTCGAATAGTCCACTGCATTTAACCTAGCGAGGTAGTCAAGGCGGTGCTAGCTAACTCTTTAGGTGTTAGTGTATTCACTCGACCGGTAAATATGGGGTTCTACCTATAGTGGCTTCTGGTGGCAGCCATGATTAACCATGATTAACAAGCAGAGAACATCGAACCCGTTTCCATGAAATCTGGGTAGAAAACTCCGACTTCTAACGACATCCCGCACGCTAGTTGCCGATCTACATAGTGAAGCTTGGATTCCATTTGTAGCGGTGGGACGGGTGGTTATCTAAGGACAATTCGAAAGTTGGATGATCAACCGCCATGCCATGTATTCTAGGCTTGTTTTTGGGCATCGTGCGTGTGACTACTGGTAAGACAGCAGTCAATCTTGATGCCAAGAGGCCTAGGCAGGAGAGCCGTCTATCTTCTATCCACCCAAAGGGTATAGTTCTGTGGACCCAGACGGTAACGAAGGGTGCTATGTATGTAATCCACTATGGAGTTCTTCTGAATTCTCGCAAAGTTCACCGTATACACTACTACTTACTATCCCTGACGTCGATGGAGCCTTACGGAGATATTGGCCAAAGAAGATGTTTACCTTAGTCAACTAGTCTCATATAACTAATCGAGAAGTAGTTATTGATTGACAACTCACCGAGCAGAACTACAAGCGTAGACCTACAACGCCTTGGTATAGAGTCTCCAGTCAATGTACCCGCAGGTACCGTTTATAAGCTAACAGCGACTTTGCATGTAAGCCTCACAAAAGTAACAGGATGCGTGTTGCTATTACAGAGCCAAACTAATACTTGAACTGGGATTCGCTCTTGACCCCAGCCGATACGAAGCTATGTATTCGACCGATTGATTAACGGCTTGCGCAAGATATGCGAATGCAGCTGGATGGGCCCTCGCCTCGCATACTCATACATAGAAGGAGAATATACGGACGGATCCACAGCAAACAATGCTTGGGCATCTTAACCATGTTATGATAGACCCCTATCTTCGAATCATTGCTATCCCACGCCTCGGTTTATTGTTAGTCCTGATTTGGTATATATGTAGGTACGTAGACATGACCGGCTTAATAAGTATGGGCGCTGATCTGCGCCTCTTAATCCGTAGACAATTTCAGCCGATGTTACTTTCGTACCGGCTCCCCCCTGCTAGTCGAAGATTCCGTAACCGTACAATACATAGAACATGGTTAGGGAATGCCTCATCTCGAAGCGTATGAATGAAGTGGACCGTATGTTTGCCATGAAATTAGTACTATTATATCTGTTTGTCCATATTATTCAAATGTCCTTGTTCGGTTTTCGGTGAGTTTCATCTGTGCCCAACTTCTGACATGGGTTCGGCTATCATATGTCTTGATCGCCAAGAAACCGTCGAATTATGATAGATCCAAACCCCGGAATCGAGAAACGTCCTCTTCGGGGTAAGCCGGAGACACGCTTTCTGGCAGCTGCATGCGACGCCCGTCTATGTAACGCTTGCATAGCAACGATCTAGCCCGAAATACTCCTACTCTCCGCGTTCCTTCACCCTGACCCCCCCTCCTTTTAGATTCTAGTTGGCGCGTATATTCGCACCTAACCATTGCATTGGCTAAAATCGGTGCCGTAGCTCGTGAGCATGATGACACAATGCAGCGGAGAAGATTAGCGACAATGTATGCCAATGTAGGATGACCTCGTTATGACTTAGATGCGTTACGCGACGACGAGCCATTCGTTTTCTACCTGGTATTGTCCTGTCTAACCCTACGTCTTAATATGGGATATCACACTGCCCTATTCTTGTTAAAACACTATCAAGTATAGCTGTTGAACTATGGAGAGGTTAAAAGTTAAAAATATTGAAGTAACGAGCCACAATGTGAAAGAATGGCTCTGTATGGTAAAGAGAAGGCCTATAGGTCCGGCAAGGTTTCCGACGCCCGAAAAGGATCGTTATGTACTCCAAGTTATGGTTTCTGGGGAACCACCAACGCCCCCAAATCAAGTACCCAACATATGGGAAACAGATAATAACGCCGTGGGGGTCATATCTATTTGCCATAGCGCGAGCACCCCTGTTTACATCTTTTTCCATGTAGTTCTTTACCGTGTGGAGTAACTTCAGACCCTGAGAGAGAGCTGATGTCCTTAGAGACAACGGTACATCCATCCGCGTCTAAACCTATGTAGGTGCCGAATAATAGTTAATAGTTAGAAAAGGTTGGCGCAGCCTTCTTTTGTCCTATGACGACGTTATGGGATGATATTTGGATTCTAGAGTGTCTTAATTAGCTTTGATTAAATCTTCCGAGGATTATGATTGGCTTGCCCTCCCGTCGGCATCAGCTATAACCACAGACGGCGAATCAGAGTAGATTGATACTTGTAAGATCTACATGCACACATACTCTACGTACCAAAAACTTACTACAATATTACATGTAGTTCTAAGGGGGGGTTAGGCCTGGGTTTAGAAGACCGGTTCAGTTTGTGGGGGATCTAGTTCGACGCTGAAAGCCGCATAAGAAGCATGATTGAACTGCATAGGTACCTTGTATGATCTACCTATGTATTTAGCGAGCTGTTAGTCTGTCATTTTCGAAATGATTAAAGTTGATCATCTATAACAAAAGCGTAAAAAAAATGAGAGATCTGCGATTTGGATCCCGCTTCCCGCTAGGGGGGTTCGGACGGACCCCTGGACAAGAACAAGGATGTAGCTGAAGTACTGAAGTACTGGTGATATAACTTGAGTTTCCCTGTCGAGAGGCACTTGGATAAAATATTAATTGAGTTATCGCCGAACACGTATTCCTATTTTTTCGGTGTTATTCTCCATTTAAAAAGAGTCCAGGAAGTTCAACGTAACTAACTTATTGCGTCTTTTTAAGTAAGTATTAAAGTCTTAGTCAAGGTATTGATTATCATAGTGAAATCTATAACTTAACTCAGACAGACAAGTATTTCGGCCTTGCTATTGCGGCTCAATTCCTTCCTTTCGTCTCTCTGCTGTACTCTCTTGGATCGGACCGTCCCGCAATCCTACCGGGCGTCGCGTCAACTCAAATACAAATTGATATAACCTCTTTGGTCTTTTGTTCTTGAGTGGCATGGCAAGGCGCTATTATTCCCGTATTTATTAGTGGCGCGGCTGATCTGGGAAGGCAGGTATGTTGATATTACCTATATGTGGCTGTTATAACCTCTATATTCGATCAAATAAGAATGCGGGTGATGGTTTAGATGCACTTCGCTAAACAAACTCTAGAATCCCATGAATGCACGACGGTGACAGCGAAAGGTAGAACAATAAGCCACAGCTAGGGTCGGGCGTCCCATCCGTCACGCCCGGCCGAATCAGATTCTTTTCATCGTCCCAACTTGTTGTCTCCTTTCCCGGTCTTGTCGATTCTAGTTTAATAGAGAACATATTGTTCATGACCTAGAAAACGAGTATGAACTGTTTTGGAGTTCATTTATGCTCGCCGAGCTTCCGCCAAGGTTTTGAACATTCAATAGTCCGTCTCTATTGTCGGAGGTCTAGCTTACTCGATATGGTCATTAAAACACAGAACTATCAAGCACTTCTATACTTTCGGAGGATACATATTTAACAATAAATCGAACAGCATAGGCGAATTCAAATCAAGTGAACAGGTATCTAATGTAGATACCTATAATGCTACTGAAGGGGCAATATGAATGAATATTATTGATACATTCTATCACTTCGCTACGGTCGTAAGTAAATATTTTCGACATGAGATAATCTCATGTTATACCGGAGGGGCAGAACACTACTTGATAAACCAGATATGTTGCTGATTCCTACCTGCTAGTATTCCGTATACGATGACCTGTAGTTATGCTTAAAAAGACAAGTTTTCATCTAGCCCGGTTCGCTGAGCCAGACTCGGTCCAACGCTCATCTTTTTCTGTAGTGTATTGCAGCCCCGCTGTCCTACTTTGCACAGCTCACCAAGAGACCCCTCACCATGTCATTGCCCTGTTACGTAGTACATCCTACCCTGTTACATATGTATGTACTAGTCCCACGAGGCTGTGATATAAGGCGAATGGCAAGCTGGGTTTAGTACCTTAGAGGGAAAGATTGAGATGAGCATCGAATAATTTGCTATGTACCTATATAGTAGTCCTATTCCGAATTGGGGGCATGGCGAGAATATAGATCTTGGAAATTAGGTAGGAAATACCTATACTATTCCAAGTATCACCAAGTACCTTGTGGTCTCGCAGGGTCCCGCTAATGCTGCATGTGCATGTTGGGACCACATAGTGGTGGGAGCTCTGCTGGGGTCTTAGGATAGACGGCAGGGGTTTGAGAGGTGCCAAGCGCTGGTAACCCCATCCTACTTGCATTCGCATCGCCATATTCATCGCGGCCATCTTTTGTTCACTCATTACCAACCAGGCTTTTCCGTGCTTCGCTCACCCTCTATGTGCTTCACCGTAGTCCGTAACAAGGTCTCTCACGTAAGGCCCGCACACGTGAAGCTACTATGTAGTCCTGCTAAGCTGGTAACCCGGTGTCGTTTACACTACTAGTCGTAATATAGCTTCTAACTGCTTACTGCACGCTCTACTACTATTCTCATGCTTGAGACGGCCCACAAAGCTCAACTGGCTCAACTGGTTCTCTCCCCCTCTCGAAGTCGTACATACAAGGGCCCGGGAATGGGGGTGGAGAAGCTCAGTGCGTCTTCGGGCCTTCGACGTCTGCCCATCCCCATCCAACCCTTGTGCCCCATTAGTCCTACCCTCTACATACTACGGTACGTTGCTGATGTGCATCTCCCGCCCACGTAACTTCGTTTTCCGCTAGCCGCCCCACGGTATCACATCCACGGTCCAAATAAGACCTACACTCCATCTCCGCTGCCCAAGGGCGACCCCTCCATCTGTTTCTCGCTTCTCCATGAGACGCGCCATTCATCGCTGCAGCTCAATCAGACATCGGGTCGTCTCGACTGCCCGCTCGTTTGCCTTTTGCCGACGACTGCAGCAAGGCTCCGTTTGAAAAGGCCAATCAGTTCAGCTGTGTTATTGAGACCAGCTTAGCACATCCCCATATCTCTGCGGAATTATCCTGAGGGATGGGCCTATGACCGTATACACTAATATCCTATCTTCGGAGGAAATTGCCACACCAGCTCATTTTTAAGGAAAAAAAAAAATTGTTCCTTTCATATGAGTTGCGAATCCCGGTGGCCCTTGAGACGGATCCTGCCTTTTCATAGAATTACTCGTTGGAATGACATTCCCTTCCACGAGCTATGGACTGCCCGTTGGCTCTAGTAGCGGATGATGGAGACATGCCTTGGTCAGACGGTCAAAGCATGGCCTCCGAGGGAAGCTCCTCTGTTGTCGTGCCGACTTCACCGCTATGGACAAATCCGGTCCAAACCAACCGAATGGATACCGGCCAGCTGTCTCCTATCAGCACCGAACTCGATATTTCCCCCGTAGGCGCCGCCGCATCTGGCGTGCCGACCATGATTCATTCCGCTACGTCGTCATGTGCGGAATCCTGGAGCACTAGCTATAGCGAAGGCGCTGGGGCGGGTGATGAAGCCGAACATGATATGTCATGGGAGAAGAATTCGGATGACGCATTGACGGTCCCCAAGGTAGAACCTCTCGAAGATGATGGTTTCCAGATGGACGAGGTCAAAGAAGCTCCACACACTCCGACTACAGAACCGAATGCTGCGCCGGTGCCACAGATGAAGTTAAAGAGACCGAGGGGTCGGCCTCGTAAACACCCCCTCACGCCCCAAGTAGCGACGAATAAGATTGCCAAAGGACGTTCCAAGACCGGGTGCATCACATGCCGGAAAAGAAAAAAGAAATGCGACGAGGCAAAACCGCGCTGTAAGTTAAAAGTCTCATCCGTCCCTTACCGCGCATCTAATTCGTATAGGTTTAAATTGTGAGAAAAATGCTGTTGTTTGTGAGGGATACCATGAGAAAACCATATGGAAAAGCGGCAAGGAGAAACAGGCAGAAGAAGGTATTGATAACCTGAACTTGGATGTGCGCCCATCCTCTAACATTCGGCACAGACCTACAGAAGCGGCTCAGCTTGCCGCAAATTACTCTCCAACCTATATTCGAGGGAGTAGAGACGCCCGAAGATATGGTCTTCTTGAATCACTACATCAGTCACCTAAGCGGTGTACTTACGGTTGAAGGGCAGTATAAGAATGCATTTAAGGATATGCTACTCCAGATGGCGGTAGAGCATCGAGGCCTGATGCATTCTATTCTTTCCGTAGCCAGCAGACATATCGACTACGATACTCCATACGGCACCAAAATCCTCGTCTCTAACCCAAAGATCAGCCTGGCTTCGCTACTGAATAGGTCACAGTTTCACCACCAGGAGGCGATGAAGAAACTTTGCGAGCCGATGGATAATGAGAGTGATCCGAAAAACAAGACCACTTTATCTCCCCGCTACGGACAGATGCTCTGTCTGCTTTTGCAAACCCTCGCAGAAGGTAATCCCAATGGCGAACATCGAGTCCATCTTCAGGCGTACAAGAACCTCATCCAACAGTCTCCACCCCCGGACGATGCTTTTTTGATATTTATCACCGAATTCTTCCAGTATCGCGTTTTTGCAGACGAGCTCATACGTTATCCTGATATTCATACGCCCCGGTTGGCGACTGAGGACTGGACCCCTTGGCTTGAAATCCAGCCCGCACGTCTAATTGGCATTGCCGATGGTTTATTCCACTACCTTGCTCAGATAACGAGTATTCGCAACACCATCAGAGCGAATATAGCTGCCGAAGCGGATCCCGTCGTTGACTACACCTCACTATATCGAGCTGCCGAGATCGATTCTGCCATCCGAGAGTGGACTCCTCATTGGCCTCCGGGAGATAGTCGTGATCGTGTTGGGCTCCTATATAAGCAGATGATGTGGGTATATCTGTTCCGGACCATCTACCCGCCCTCGTCGACAACAACGCCGTCTACATTGTCCACCCAACCCTCAGCCAGTATCATCCCTCTATCCCCAACTTCTCAGTCTCATTCCGCCCATACCCCGCCTTCATCGGAGCGACCAAGAAGTAGTCATACGACGCCGCCGCGTGCCGAATCTCCGGCACCGATCCGATACCCACCTCACCACGACAACCGCATAACTATTGCCGTCGATGAATCATTGGCGATTCTAGACTCTTTTAAACCGAGCGATCCCGTACAAACTCTACTTTTAGTGCCTTGTCTCGTGATCGGCTGCGCATGCTTCGCTCCCGCACAACGGGAGAGAGTGCGCAACGCAATCCGAACAGTTCGCGGCTACACTGGGCTTCGTAACTGCGACCGCGTCGGCGAAGTACTCGAAGAAGTCTGGCGGTTAATGGAACGCGGCGACTGGGCACGCGTATGGGACTGGCAGGGTGTTGCGAGAAGTATGAACCTCGACTTCTCGTGCGCTTGAGCCGTACCCATCCCTAGCCCTTCCTTGAACAACGGCAACTCATCACAGGAGTCCAATAACACTCATAAAAGCCGTTCTTGTTGGATACAAGGCCACCCGGCTAACAATTTGCTTTCAGGGTTCTCTTATTTCATATATCTGGGTTTTATCGCTCATTTGGTCATCACTATTATCTTACATATATACCCAAGTCATAGGTCAGGTTCATGTTGCAAAGAATAAATCGCGAAATTATACCATGGTGTCATTGTTGATGGTGGCGGCGGCGGCAGAGACGGCGGTGGGCGGCGCTTTCGGGAAATGGCGGAATTCGTACGAAATGTGTGCGACAAACATCAGGACGTCGGATAGATGGCTGGGGCTATCTGGGCTCGGCCAATCTTCAATATCTTCTAGACAGGTATCTACATTCGCACCTCTTTGGCGCGATCCGAAACTAGTGACTCCTAAAACGGTTCGGTGGACAGCGTAACGGTAGCTGGCTAAGCATTCACCTGTGTTTTGGATGACGTGGCGTTTGCTCTGGATGGGGGCTTGGATGGATGGGGATTCTTGGTCAACTTGGTTATCCTGGTGACGGCGGACTTGGTCTTTCGACAGACAGGTACTTATCTAAACGGAGTATTCTGGGTGGCGTTATCTCATATTGCATTTGTTTCCTTTTTCATTCTACTGGAGCATGGTCATCATTAGGTACATACATACTAAGGGGCATCTTGCTCCTCGCCGTTATATTTGCGGCTTGAACATAAATGCATCTCGGTCTGGGGCTCGTACATATCTTACATTGCTACAATGCGTGTCTATAGCTAAGCATATAGTTCCCGCGAGTAGAGGGGAGTGCTATTTCTCTGGAAATACACAATTTACAATCGATATTTTCTCAATACCATCGTGACCTTTACTCAGTTCAACTACCTATCACATACCTAAGGTACCTACCTGGTACCTAGGCAGGCAGATAGTCGAGTTTTAAATAGGGAGTTTAATACGTAGACAAATATGATGGCATAGTGAGCATTAGTCATGATAGTTATAGGTAGATGTCGTGATATGTAAAACAAGACCGCTAGGTAATTTAACCAGACATGCTACCAAACTCATCCTATAAATTTCAATAAACTACCTCTATCTATGCGTCGTCTCTTTCAAGCTGTTGTCAAGCCAGCATTCCAATCACCCCCTTAGTACCAAATAGTTACCTGAGCTAATCAAGAAGCTAACAATCCGGTGATAAACATTTGTTATTACTACAATAAGACAAATAACTAATAACATATCATATTTGCTACCTTTTGTAAACTAGGTTATATACAAATTTTACTTCTCTTTGCTATTTGTGATATACTGTATCACATATTCCGCGTCTGGGATTAAACCGCATGGTATGTGACAAGTGTCGTAGTAGGTACCTGTTTTCATAGCCATAAGATTGTTAACATAGCGTACGTAGGTATTCTCTCAATTTATAAATCCTAGGTTATCTCCTCACGTCCTATTCTTCTTTCTTGCATCAAAGAGATCCCAATTCTACCATCGTGGTTGTTGCTAAGAGGTCTCATCCCCGTCCCTTGGATTTACCCATTTTGGTACTCAGTGTCGAGCAGTTATCTCTGATACATAACTCAAATTTGGTAACTATCCTCAAATCCGTGTCCTCCTAAGGCGCTTCAACTAGATGTACTGTTGCATTGTGTTATCCACTGCCTACCTAAATACTTCCCAGACTGAATATGTCTCGGTCCAGCCAACGTCCTGCAACCAACCAGTAAGATCTATACCTATTGAATATCTATTGAATATCTATTTATGCGGACTTTAACTAATAAAAACGTCAACAGGCTTCTCAAATGGTCTAACATGGCCTATGACAAGACTGTTGGTGATAGCGAGGACTTAGTCGTTAAAAAGGTTAACAGCAGCAAGGACAAACAGACCAGATTCCCACCACGTCCAAAATATGGGACCGAGGGCACGTCAGATTCTCTCTGGGCTAACTACGTAAAGATGGACATAGGAGACCTAGTTCTATATCGATACGATATCTCAATTGACCAAGAACCCAGTGTGAGGAGGCGTATCCAGATTGTCAAACTACTTCTTCAACTTCCTTGCATGGGTGACTATAAACAAGGCATCATCACTGACTTCAGGTCGACTCTTCTATCACTAAAGAAACTTGAGAATATTGACGATCCCAACGAGGTTGAATATCGTGCCGAGGATGAAGTTCAGTCACGCAAGGGTGCGAAGAAGTACAAAGTCGCACTTAAATACACTAAGACTCTCTCCATTTCTAACCTCCAGGACTATGCCAAGTCCACTGATATTTCAGCGATGGATAACATTAAGAAAGAAATAGTACAAGCATTGAATATTCTATTCAATCACTATGCGGAGACCACCGATAATCTTGTTACGTTCGGGTCAGGGAAAATTTTCCCGGTTGGCACTTCTCAGGAAAATTGCGACCTCGGCGGCGGTCTAGAGGCGATAAGGGGTCATTTCACTAGTGTTAGATGGATGACTTCCCGGTTCCTTCTGAACGTAAATGTCTGCCGCGCAGCTTTCTATAAAACTTGGACAGTTCTCGAGTTGATGAACAAATATCGGCAGGACGTGAGCCGTGACAATGTGAAGCTGGCATTCTTTTTAAGGGGGCTTAGAGTGCGGGTAAATCACCTTGACAGTTCGAAAAAGGATCACGGAACCATTTCCAAAATTAGGACAATTTGTGGCCTTGTTACGGAGAACGATGGAAAGGATCTAGATTATCCCCCAGAAGGTCGTAGTTTTGGCGCTACTTCCAAAGAAATCAGTTTTTGGATGGACGAAAAAGGAGGTTATTATATTAGTGTCTACGATTACTTTAAACAAAGTAAGTATCTCAGCTTCATCATAATTCGGTGAGGATTTATTAACACTAGTTAGGATATGGAATATCGGTAGACTCAACAAGGCCAGTTATCAACGTCGGGACGCCAATGAACCCAAAATATCTCCCCCCTAATCTCTGCAGCGTACTTCCTGGTCGGGTGGCGAGGACAAAATTGACTTCCGAACAATCGCAGAAGATGATTGATTTCTGCACCAGCGGACCGTCTCCAGATGCTTCTAATATTCAGTCAATTGGATTAACTTCGGTTGGGCTTAGAGGCGAGAATAGAAATTTAGTAAGGCATCGATTCTACTCTTAATTTGAGACAATTCTACTAATACTAAATGCAGGGGCGTTTCCATATTAGCTTTCCAAGGGAATATTCTGAGCCGAGCCTAATCACAGTTCCGACCCGTGTCTTAAATGCACCGAAGGTTTGCTACAAATCTAACAACGGTTATCAGAATGCCAAATTGTCCAAAAATAGGTCATGGGATCTTCGAAATATGAGTTTCACTACAGCTACAAACACGAGGAGATGGTCGTATGTGGTCATTACGTTCGGGGGTGAAACAAACGTTTACGAAGGCAGACACAAAGATCTTGAACAGTTGTTCAAGAAGGAGCTCCCTAAGGTCGGAATAAAATACACAGAGCCGGTAGACCTAAAAACTGCTCGTAAAGTCAACGTCAAAGATGCAGCGGACATCGACAAGATTTTTCAGATTGCCAAAAATTATAGTCTGAACTGGCTCCTTATCATCTTACCTAGAAGGATAATAGCAGGGGACTACAACTATATCAAGAAGTTGGGCGATCTTCACCACGGCATAGCAACAATCTGTGTCGCTGGTGATAAGCTTGATGCTCAGAGGAATCCCGCTCAATACGTGGCCAACATTTCCATGAAGCTCAATCTGAAGCTTGGTGGAAATAACCAGTACGTCAAATTCAATGAGTTAACTTCACTCAACTTCAGCGAGACTATGGTTGTGGGTATTGATGTCACCCACCCATCCCCTTCATCCAGCAAAGATACTCCTAGCATCGCTGCGGTTGTTGCAACTATCAACTCCTCTCTTGGACAATGGCCGGCTGTGATCCGACGGCAAGCGGAGGCACGCCAAGAGATGGTGTCAGAGCTTGCGGATATGCTTCATTCACGGCTATTGCTATGGGAAAAGCATAATAAAGCCTATCCAAAGAACATTCTAGTTTATCGCGATGGCGTATCTGAAGGCCAGTACGAGACAGTACTCGATCAAGAGCTGCCACTTCTACATGAGGCCTTTACTCGTATCCCCGTCTATCGGAAAAAGGCGCCGCGGCTCACGGTGATTATTGTTGGGAAGCGTCACCATACGCGATTCTACGCACCTGGTGATGAACCATCCAATCCCTTACCTGGAACTATTGTCGATCGGGGTGTGACGGAAGCCCGGTACTGGGATTTCTATCTTCAACCCCACGACGCGATAAAGGGAACTGCACGCCCTATACACTACTTTGTGCTACACGACGAGATATTCAAGGACCTTCGCAACCCAGTTAGCGAGCTAGAAGCCGTAACTCAAGGGCTATGCTATGTGTTCGGCCGCGCCACAAAACCGGTTAGCGTTTGCACTCCCGCCTACTATGCTGATATAGCATGTGAGCGGGCTCGTTGCTACCTCGACCATTTGTTCGATGATCCTGGTGAATGGGCAGCACATGACTCCAAGAGCTCCAAGGACATTCAGAAACCTAGCCAGGGAAAAGTCCCCCCTAAGGATAAGATAGAACTTCATGCTAATATTAGAGATACTATGTTTTATATCTGAGTTTACTCGGCCATGAACACAGTCGCTCGTTTAGATTAGGACTTCAGGCGGATCTATGGGATAGGGTCTACGGGATAGATAGGGTTAGCAATGATCACACATGCGTTCGTAACTAAGTACTGCCGTAGGTACACCATTAACTCAAAGAGTGATTTTGACTTGTGCGTTTGTACATATTTAATAAACGGCTCTGATTTAATAATGGTTAGCTGGTCAATTTCATGGCCCCCAAATCTAACGAACGTGTTGTATGAATATTGCTATTGCGATAGTACTTAACATTATATGAACCATGAAAATAACCCCTAAGTCCGTTCAATTCCAAGACCTCAAGCTATTTACACAATCGCTAGTGAACATGCGTATAATCCCTTGAGTTCAATATGAGTGCCTTGTTCATTTCTCTATCTAACCTATGCAGTTGGGGTAGGCGCATGATAAGTAGACGACCACTGAGCCTGGTAAGTCGACGTGCCCAAGACCTGTCCGGCTGATGCCGACGTGACAACTGATTTCACAATCCACGTGTTCCAGCTCGTAACCTTCGTAACTCCCGTCATAGCGCCGAGCTCAACCGATGGAGTATCAGGCCATGCACCAGACCATACAGTCGGGCCTGGGATCTGATAAGTCGTGGTACAGGGGGCAGTGGTCGTGGTCTTCGTCGAGCAGTAGACCTGAGAGATAATTAGCTATATTCATAAGAGATGGCGGCGATTTAATAGGTAGGCATACATCGTAGATAATGCCGGGGTCATCCCATTTGTAAGCTCCTGGAAAACTGACACCTTCGGGTAGTGTCACATCGCCGTCGCCTAGAACTTCTATTTGGATGCAGTTTGGATAGAACTGCGCCCCGCGGATAGGGTTCTTCTGGTAGCTGACCTCAGCCTCATGAAGACCAATCATCTCGGCTCTAATGAGGTAACTATAGGTAGGTTGGTTAGCAAATGTATGTACGTACCTCCGGCCGAAAGAGGTGCCCCTATCCGTCACTCACAATCCAGCTTTGAGCCCCTTAGGGATCCGCACGTTCATCTTGCCTCCGTTGGCGGCAATATCAGCCGTGGTTGCCCATTTCCCTGGAGCTCTAGGGCCCTCTCCTTCAGCGAATTTACCCTCTTCCCAGATCTTGACGAAGGAGTTCTCGCCGGGTGGGTCCGGGCTGAGATATACCATCGCAGGGCCGTGATGTGAAGATGCGATGATGTCGTCGGTAGCCGTGCGGGCATCATGGTGCCATTCCACTACAAGTATTTATTGTTAACAACTTAGTGTTACCTCCATATAACGGCGTTCTAAACTAGAAAGTTTTTACTGACTCGTGAGGTTATCCCCGGGCGTCATTTGGATAGTATGTGGTACCTGGTGATCACCCAATACGTTGCATCGCAGGTCAATGCTGTCGAGGTCTTTGACAGGGCCATTAGCAAAGCCGTATGGTGGCGGTCCGTTGTATGCCGGTGTACGGATCCCCGAGAAGGTACCGCTATCAACACCATTGACGTAGACGGACTAGTTAATTGAAAGATCAGTATTGTGACGATAAGTCGTTTTCCTGACCCCTGATTGACTAGTGACTATCTCAACAAGGCGATTGACTCAAAGACCAATAAAATACGGCTATTTTCTTCAATGCCACTTACGTAGATATAGCAATGGGCCTGTGCAACATCCAAAAACGTCACCATCGCTGCCGCCGCAGCGGCTAAGGAGCTCCGAAGCTTCATGGTTCTCGTCGATTTCAAACTCGACGCACTATCAGGATCATAAGCGCGGTGATAACTTCTCTAAATCTCAGGAGCCTCAAAGGGAAAGGCGAACTAAATGACATTAAGGCCTCTATATACGAATAGCATTACAGCACGACAAACTTATCTCGGCCAAAGAGTCCCGTGCTAATCAATATCGCGCCCATATTAGATTCCAACGCGATTGGATAGAGCTTGTACACCATTCGGGCTTTCTCTATATCGTAACTGAGGCTATATTTAGACGAGCACTCGGCAGATCGTCACGACGGAACGTGCTGCCGAGTTGAGCCACACCAATAATAAAGCATTTACCCGGGAAGCACAGAACTTGATCATATCTTATACTGTTCATTATAATAACTTGCTCGGGAATATGCTTTCATATAGTTAGCTCGATACTTATTTTATTATACCTACGACATATCAATTCTAAGGAAATAAAATATCCAGAGCTAGATAATCGTAGCAACGTGCTATCCCCTATTTAATCGAAATATAATCAAACATAGGCACGCCCATTAAAAAGAAAGCATATTACTCTTCGGATTGATCTGTTTATTAATTATGAGTTGTGCTATTTGCAGATTACCTTGCCAGTCCTTCCAGACAGATTACTTTTCAGAACACTGGCATGCCACCTGCCACCAATTTTACTAGTAAAATGACATGGCCCTGTTCTGCCCCATAACCTTCTTAGAACACCTAGCATGCCAGGCGCTACAGGCGCTGCCAGGTCCCCAATTCGAGGCCCCCATTCAAGGCTTCTTACGTAATATGAGGCTCTAAGGGCTTTTACCTAGTATAAGGGCTCGTCACTCAGTAATACCTTTCTTACAACGTGCCGCACCTATACAATTTTAACACCATTAGATGCGCCTCATCATGAGGATTGTAATGATATAAGTAACCATTATAAAATACGGTGTATTGGCTGAGAAATGTAGTATACATGCCACTATTTACAGATTACTTTTATAATAACTTAATGAAATACGGTCGCATTATAAAAAAAAAGGAGACAAATCGATTAGATTAAATTGAGCGATTCCATGCCTGTAAAAAGTTCTAATATCTATTGTAATTACTGGTGAAATTGAACTTTCTGTAAATCATTGAGGCAGAAAGTGGCCATGTTGTTTTACTAGGATTTTTGGTGGGCAGGTGCATGCACTTGTTCTGAAAAGTAATCTGTCTGGAAGGACTGGCAAGGTAATCTGCAAATAGCACAACTCTTAATTATAGTAGAACTTTTTAACTGATTTATTCTCTGGATAACGAAGCCAGAGACCTATAAGCCACATATTATTTCACAAGTTTCATTTGCCCTAATTACTATTTCTCATCAGTAAAGCCCCTATAGCCAAATTCTAGAAACCACTCACCTCGTCATACGGTTTAACCTCCACGATCAGCTTCCCGGTATTCCCACCAGTGAACAACTGGCCTATCGCAGTCTCCGCCACTTTGAGGCCGCCCTTGACAATAGTCTCCTTGGTCTTGACCTTGCCCTCGACCATCCACTGCCCTAGTTGCTGTTGTGCCTCTTTAAACTCGCTGGCGTAGTCTATGACGACGAAACCTTCCATACGGATACGCTGGACAGTTACCTGGAGGAGGTTTCGAATCCCAGTTATACCTGGAAGACCTCCGGGTCCTTGGCCGAGCTTGTTGTAGCCGCTGACGCTGCCGCACATTACGAAACGCGAGTGTACCGCAGCTTGTTCGAGTGCCATTTCGAGAACTATGATCAATTAGTATTTGCATCCCCTTTTCAAGCGAAGCCAGATGTTGTAATAAGTATTACAAGTGATAAGTCGTGGTCGTGGGTGGGAGTAGGGACTTGTAGGCATATAAGGTGTCGAGAGGGGGCTGATGTAAAGCTGATCTAGGAAATGCTTACTCTCGCCGCCCACATTGTCAAAGTAGACATCGATAAAATTGGGCGTAGCTTTGATGAAGTCGTCGCGGAACGTCGGCGACTTGTAGTTGAGCGCGACGTCGAAGCCGAGCTCCTCCGTCAAGATCCTACACTTCTCCTCCGAGCCGGCGATGCCCACCACGCGAGCACCCCAGATCTTAGCAATTTGACCCGCAACGGAACCTGTCGCGCCTGCAGCTCCCGAAACAACAACAGTCTCTCCTGGCTTGGGTTGGCCGATTTTCTTGATTCCAAAGTAAGCCGTTAACCCAGTTAAGCCTTTTGTGTATAATTTATCAGTCGTTATATTCACGCGATCGGCATTAGGGGGGGAATCCACATACCAAGCCCACCTAGCGCATCAGTGACCTTAGTGCCAGTTGGCAAGTTGAGCGTCTCGAATTTTTCATCGTCTAGGATGATAACCTCGGTCCATCCAGCAAAACTGTAGATTAAGTCTCCTGCTTTAGCCTTAGAGCTCTTACTTGCGAGGACCCTGCCAACAATGCCTCCACGCATTAGCTCCCCAATGGCAACAGGTGGCATATAAGACCGGAAGTCTATAAAATGTAAAGCCAATGGCTACTGTCAGCTTAGATAGAAATACAACGAATTGGTTATGCTTAAAAAGACAGCAAGTGCCGAGGGGAGGGTGGTATGAAAAATGGGTGACTGACCATGCAGCATGGAGCGCATAGCAGGGTCCAGAGACAAGTAGAGAGTTTCTACGAGGACCTGCCCATCTTTTAGCTGGTCGGCGGTAGGTGCATCGGTCTCTACATATTTGAAAGTTCGTCCCGGGATGATATCGCCCTCGGGTCTTTCGGCAAGGTGGAACGAGTGGTTCTTGCGCGCCATTCTGAATGAATAAGAGGTATAAAATTAATAGTGAAATAAATTTAAGAGTGATGTTAGGTTTAGGAAGTATCATTCAATGAGATGAGCGATCCCCTAATATTTGTTGACGGGTGGGATGCTGGTACGATTATATAGTCGAATTCGAACAGCTCCTAAGGTTCCTATGGGGATTATAAAGCATATATGCAACCTCCTCTTTACAAGGTACCTACCTTAGGGGGCCTAAGCAAAAAGGTGCTAAAATAACTGGTACACCTCTTCATACAGTTATGATGCCAAGGTATACTAGATCGAGACTATACTACGGTATTACAACACCGGATTTTAAGGAGTAAAGGGGTGTAACTCCACGTTGAGTGGAACAAGGCACGTATTGTGCATCATCATACAAACGAATAATAAAATGCTGTAATTTACGTTTAGATATTTATTTAGTCATGACGTTTTAATATTGTATTAACCTTTCTTAGTCTTAACCCATAATTGAATTTTAACTTCGAGTGTATTGCATAGGTACCTCTTACGGGACATCCCAGAAACAATCTGTGGGGTTGTGAGCAATCCGAGTGATATATGATATAGTAGTTGCCATTATATTAATCGATGTTTCTGGTCCATTTACGTACTCTTGCCGTATCACACCTCGCTTGTTCCGCTTAGATAGGCGATACCCCTGTCATACACGTTAGACCATGTTATATGGGTTAGTCAACCGGTACAACTATCAGTCCGTATTTGCAATATAGGCATTTGTAAGCAACTATCCTGCTATTGAAAATTTATACGCTACTACTAGGCATGCCCCGCGTAACGTTTCTACGGGTGGGTAAATATCTTCTCCCTTTTGTGATGTCTAATATATTCTACGATGTGTTTGGAGAAGTAGTTCTTGAAGCATAGCTGCTTGGTTCATCAGTAGAGGTCACTGTGTTGTTGTACAAAGTACATGTCATCACATGTAAAGTGCACTGTAACAAGCCTAAACCATCATTATTATCTCCTGCCAATTCGCGAGAATATTATATTCTTCGCTCCGTACAAGGGGCCTATATACAGTAATCCATCAATGGTTCAGAGTGCCATACAAGATCCTCATAAACCGGCACGCTCCATCCACCCGTGAGCTATCGAGAATTGCAAGTACATACCTACCTAAGTAGGTATAACTATAAAAATACAGTAGGGGGTATCGTGGCCATACATTGTTTCTCTGTTCGTTCATACCTAGAACTCGTAAACTGCCGGTACTGTTCAATCTCTTACCTAGAGATTGAACCAGACCTGACTAAAAGTAACAAGCTGAACCGCTCCTCGTACCAACATCAAAGAACGCCGATGTATTGAGAATTTGGGTTATCGAGTATTGCAATGATGAGGCTTGATAATAGCCAGACCAAGAAACCTCTCATTACTACAATCGCTAATGTAGTCCCAATTGAGAGTTATTACAGGTGGCTGGATACAAGATCTTGGAACCCGTTCATGCGAACTTCCGAAGACACAGCTTCGGGAAGTTACTGGATTAAGAAATGAATATGGAGTCGCTCGATACTCTTAGAATAGAGCGCCCCCCAATGCAGAATGAAACCTGTTGGGTTCCTGCAAGACATGACAGGGGGAAGGTTGATATGGTGTAGCATACATCTACAGTCGACACTAGGTACACATTAATGTGCCGGAATGCTCTCCACTTCGCTTGCGTTTGTATCGCTGCTTAGTTCTTCTTCAACATCTAAGCCTTGCTCGTTATTATTAGGTTTGGCCATTTTCGTGGCAATCTTGCGCTTGCCGGAAATCGGAGTTCGAGAAGTCGTGGCTTTGCTGGATAAGCTATAACGCTTCTGGCTTTTGGAAGCTTTCCGTGACCTGATATTGGCGATAGGAGACTGAACCGAAGATTCGCGCTGCAAGTTTTCGTCTTCTTCCACATTGTTTTCTAGGTCACTGCTGTCATCAGAGGCGTGTTCCGTTCTAGGTTGCTCTGAAAGCTCTTCGTCCTCTGATTGGTCGCTAGAAGCGCTCTCGTCGTCACTCTCGTCTCTACTTTGAATGCTGCCTTTGCTCTTCTCGTTCTCAGCCTTATCCTCGTTCTTCTCAATCTGCTGATCTTCCTCATTGCTTTCTGAATCTTCTTCCTGGCTGTCCTCATCTGCGCCACTTTCCTTGTTGTAGTCTGCGATCTCCTTATCGTCATCACCGTCAACGTCGTTGTCGTCGTCGTTGTCGTCGTCATCATCATCGTCGTCGTCATCGTCAGCCTTAACAACGGTGGCTGGAGTCCTTGGTCCGCGCTGGGTCTTACTCAAGATCTTGTTGACCTTGCGCTCGATTTCAGTATATTCCGCATTTTGATCATAGTCCTCGCCGCTTGGGAAGTCGAGCTCCTTGGTCTCATGATACCTCACACTGAGCTGTTTGATAATCTCAGGCACAGTCATGATAATATGATCGGGGACGGAATGCTTCAAGCGGTACCAGACTAAGATGATTGTAGGACGCCGCCAACGACCACTTAACTGCTTTCTAACCTTCGCCCACGGAATACGACCGTCTGCGTTGACACCGAAGGTTCGAATAGCCTTGACAATGTTATATCGGTCTCGGCTTGATATTGTTTCTGCCTCATCCCGAGCATTCTGAATGATCTGAGCGATTGGAAGATTCTCTCCACCATCTATGCTACCAACACCATCTTGCACTTGCTTCTGCATAAGCTTCCACTTCTGAATACACTGGAGTCGGCTGCGTGTTCGCTCCATCAACTCACTAACTCTTTGCCAGTCAATCAGATCCTCATCAGATTCGTTTGATAAAATATGTCCTTCTTGGCGACGCTCCCGAATTACCTTAACGGCATCGGATATTATTGACCGAAGTTTTTCTTCTTCTTCGTAAGTCCATGGGTCAACACGCCGACTCTCGCCACACACGACATAATTTCGTATGCGATCCCGTACGTCTTCGGGATGACGATTGATGAGTTTTCCAATTATGGCATACTTGGATCCATGTATTTCCCACATCTTCTTTAATTCTTCGTGCTGCTCCGGAGTCCATGCACCACGAGCAACAAAGTTGTGGAACTTTCGACGGCACTGATTTATCACTTTCTGACGACGACGATTTGGGCAAGTAGCCACAACGCGAGCCCAAAATTCTTGGGATTTGACTTCACGGGGGTTGCCCTGGATAAGATCGTTCACTTCGGATTGAGTCAAGTTGTGGTCATCTCTCCAACGTTCAACGGCCTGAGTAATGTTGCGAAGCTCGAAGTCGCTAAATTGGCCAGTAACTAATTCATGAGGTTGTGTCTCCTTCGGAGGCGCACGACGTTTAGATGGGGTTTTCTTTAGCGTGGGAGTATCGACGCCATTTCCTTGGAGTTGGAGCATAGCCGAGATTTTGGGTTGTTTCTTTCCTGTGGCGGAAGAGGAAGAAGCCTGGTTGGCTGAACTATTGGCGTTACCCTCTGCCTCACGTTCGAAAAATGTCGGCTTAACAAAACGCTTTCGTGCCGAGCTTTGCTTAGGCCGAAGACCAAGACTGCTATTGTTATGGATATCTTCAACGTCTGATGGATACTCATCATTGGTGATATCAGCGTTAGGCATGGTCTGGGGGACTAAATCTCCATTGCCAATGCTCCTTTGCTCTCCTCTGCCATCACTCCTCTTGTCGGATTCTGGTTCTTCATCATTGCTGTCTTGATTAGTAACAACATGATTCTGGTTATCCTGTTGCATCCTGTCTGGCGACAGATCAGCATCAGACGAACTACTATCAGGTGACCCTGTCTCCATCTCATTGGATTCTGTACTAGGGTGTATGGCTTCTCCTAGGTTTGGATCGTTACTGTTCGTGTTTAAATCGGAGACTGAAGAATCGCGTGATATAGATTTTTGCCCATGGTTGTCCGGCGACACTCTTGGTGCGCCAGTGTCCATAGAGTCATCCTCAATGACTTCCAGTGCCTTTCTGTTCTTTTTCCGGCCGGCATAGAGACTCTCAGCAAGACCACTGAATGAAGTTGCCGAATTTACCCCAAGGGTTCCATTGCTGTCACGCTTTTGTCTCTTTCTGTCCTTACCAGCCGAGCCCAGTATCTTGCGTTTCTTTGTCAGTGAGGCGCTTGGTGGTGTAGACTCCGTAGTAGTAGTATTGGTAGTATGCAAGCCAACGATGAGATCTTGCTGAGTCTCTTGGACTTCATCGGGCTCTAAAGATTGAATGGGATCATTAGGCATTTCAAGATTGCCTAAATCAGGAGATGCTTGCAGCAGGGCTTTCTTTCGGCGCCTTTCGTTCCTCTTGCGCTTCCGGCGTACACTAGCAGAACCTTCCTCAGCACCGGGAGAGGAACCATTCACGCTTGTTTCATTATCCACGGCATTATCGGATTCGAGCAAGCGGGGCTGTGATATTAGGCTGGGTCGATTTCCACGTCTTCGTTTTTTGGACTTGCTTGGTACAGGGACTGGTGTTGAAGTCTGCTGTCTATAATCGGGAGATTCAGGTATTTCGAATTTGGCGCCCTGTTTCGGTGACATGGCAGCCGGCTGTTGTGGGGGAGGTGAGCTAGACATTTTGATGTCTGGTTGATTATATTGTTGATGAGTCGGACTAGGAGGCACACGAGTAGCGGATGGGGGCACTTGGCTCGAGAACACAATATCAGGGGACTGAGGAGTATACGGCGGATGAGAAGGATGGGGCGGTGATAAATCCTGATCGCCTTGTACACCGTCAAATTCAGTTCTCGCTTCAGTGCTCAGTTGATTTCCCATGGTTTAGTGCATTTTCCCTTCAGTTGAAATTTACAAATGGTGCCAAGTGGAGGAAATGAATAGATGACGCAATATGAGAGGGATAGACTGTCTGGTGACCTTTTGATGCCGTAGAAAAGAGGTCAAAGTAGTATAGAACGTAGAGTCGCGACAGATGCGCAGAGCGTCAGAGCACTACGCAATTGTCCTAAGTAGAATAGGGCTTCATTGCAAAAGAAACAAAGTGCAGACTTCACAAACGCCAAGAGGGGGTAGACAATTCCCTTCTAGCTTCTAGGTAGTCGGCGATCAAGGTGAAACAAGGCAGACGTATAGAGAGTCGATGTGAATTGATTGGGGGTACGCGTTAAAGTTGGTGATGTGTGACATTCCGTCGCGTCTAGTGGGAGAAAAAAAAAAAAGTAAAGGCGGGCTACCTATAATTAAATATTTACAGGGGTCCTTTGTGGCATATGTGCCTTCCCTCCGTGCGGGGTCTAGTTCGAAGATGTACGTACTTGCGCAATCGCAACTACTCTGCAGGAAACTTATGACGGCGTAACTGCATGCTTTAACGTCCTTAATTGTGCAAGCTTTATATTAAGCGTGGCTTCCTTTGCCTAAAATTTCCTCGCTCCTACCAAAGGTATTGCTAAACCCGCTTTTTAATATTGATTATAAAGGTAGACTATAAGGTACTTATGTACATAACCTAAGGTAGATTAGACTATGTGATGTGCTACCAGAGCTGCATGTCTTACTCCACTTTCGTACATTTCTTTATAGGTTTCGATTAGTGCATGTCAACCCTTAAGAACCAATAAGCTGCTCTACTGATAGGAGATAGAAGAATACTAATAATATAAAATATAATATAAGGTATAAACCACGTACCTAACCTACATTATACTACATAAACAGCGTAACCTCATCTCCTACACCACCCCCTACTGCCCGAACCCTTGCCCCAATCTCTAAAGGATTACCCTCGAACACAACAAACTCCCTTGCATCATTGTCCTCCTTTAGTCCCAACAGCTCATACACATTATCCGAGACTAAATCTAGAGCATCTTTCTCACTGAGCCTACCCTGGCCGTTTCTATATGCGATCCCGGCGAGCAAGCCTACGTCGCGTACTAACCAGTCTTCGTTGATACCAATGGCTACACGAACCCCGGCCTCGACAAGCCTGTCTACCGCAGTGCCGTTTGTTAGAGGCGCCCCGGTCAGTGCCCGCCGCTGGTCCCACGAGTTACGGTATGAGAGCAGAGGGTTGAGCACGACACCCACATCCGCTGCTGCCAACTCATCCGCCAATAGAAAAGACTCGGCGCCGCCGATGATGATAAGAGAGATGCTGCCGCTACCTCGGGAAGAAACAATGGCATTATCAATAGACTCTTTTACCCTTAAGAGCGTAGCGATGACATCAGCGCTATGAACCGTGATAGCCAACGGCAGAGAGCCGTCGGTCACTTTTCTTAAAAATGCAGCTTCGGTGTAGGGGTCTGCAGTGGTAGTATTGGAAGTAGAAGCCTCGATCAGCTTGTGGCGTAATGTATTGACAGCGTTCGAGATCGAAGTGCTACCACGCTTCGCGCTCAGATCCAACGTATAGTGTACCGCTGCGTCATCGACAAATATGGCACCATCGTCAAGAACGTGCTTTGCAGCAGTACGGAATCCCACGCTGGTGCCTTGGTGAGTCGCTTGTCCCGAGTATTTGGGTGCCGAGATGGCCCTGGTTACACCATATTTATATGCGTAATGTAATTTCTTTGTCTCAAGTGCCAACCCGTCAATACCTCGACTAAATATTTCTGGACTGCCTCCATTTTCAGTATCCTGTTCGGCATCGATACCATTAAGTCCGAGAAGAGAACCGAATACTGTGAACGGTTTGGTTAAATGGCCATTCTCGAGATGGATGATTTTGACTCCTGATTTGGAAGCCATCTCAAGCTCAGTTTCACAGGTTCCTACACAAGCAATTTTACCGCGCGAAATCACGACAGTAAAATCCCCATCGTGGGAATTATGCTGCTGGGATGGTAAAAATGACTTGGAAACCCCCGTAAAGACCACGTCACCCACAATGACCGTTTCTTCAGTAATAGGAGCCTCCGGCATAGAATTACGAGGGGCAGTAAACGGTTTCTCCAACTCGATAGGAGCCTCAAATTGTGCTGTCCCGTCGATCCAGACTTGGACCGGCGCGGCCCCAACGCTCAATGGGTCGCTATCCCACACAACAATATCGGCATCAAATCCAGGCTTAACCTTACCTATTCGTTGCCCAAGACCCAGTCGCTCAGCGGGGGCTGTCGTAACTGAAGCCAGGGCAGCATGGTAAGGCAGTCCATACCCGAATGCCTTTGCGGCTTCAAAGACGACATGCTGGGCATTTAGAACTGGATTGTCGCTCACGTAAATAGGGGTCAGTCCATTGTCGTATAGCACCTTGCCTGCATATTCGGACCCAATATAGGCTTCGGCCTTATACCACATGTTATCGGCGAACAGGGCTGATGCAGGTGGGGTATCACCGTATGCTCGTTTGAGGATTTCAGGAACGAGGAACGTCTGGTGAGCATGATGAAACGCTCTAATCGGAAATTTGAACTCATTGGTGTGGTCCACGAATGCTTCCAGATCTGGGACCGTGTAGCAATGGGTATTAACATGAACGTGTCCACGTAGCACCGCAGCTAGTGTCTCCCACTCCAAGTCTTGAGGCAGATAACTGTCCATCTGTTCAACACCGACGGACTCGGCCAGGGTGCACCAGTCATTTTGAGCTTGGACTTGCTTTGCAGCCTGCTCGAAAGCATGTCTGAATTCCCAAGACTCACCGAGTCGGCTAGTAGGTCCATGCTCGCCAACTTTACCATAGACTCGCTTAGCGTTCTCTCCACAAGCCATCTTGATGTATCTCCAAGAACGATCCGGATCGGCCAATAAATCGTTTATCGAAGTCTCATTGCGACCGTCAGGTATACCAACGGCATGTTTAATAACGAATGCCTCGCCGCCAATGTTGTTACTGGAACCTGGCAGCACTAAGCTTGTCGTTACTCCTCCAGACTTTATAACCTGAATCTGGTGATCGAATATATTTATACCATCAATAGAACGGATGTATGGAGTTATATTAGAACCCATCTCGTTTGTATCGTCATTCCCAGCTAACTCTGGCAGACTGTCGACGCCAGCATGGCTGTGCATGTCAATGATACCACTCGTGAGTTGACGACCTTTGGCATCCCATATCAAGGTATCTGATGGGAGTGAGCTAGCATCAATATCCTTTTGGACTTCCTTGATGAGCCCGTATTCCAATAGAACGTCGGCGTTTATCCACGAAAAGCCCTTGCCGGCGCGTGCATCCTCGTCGCTAGTCCCGTCGGCGGGCTCGCCAATCCAAATAGTGGCGTTCTTGATAAGAGTGGGCTTGTGCCCATCAACATAACGCGCATTCCGCTCCCGGCCTAGGCCAATGGGATCTTGTGGCTTAGAGCGTAACTTGGCACAAGTCCGTAAGTTCTCACTCAACTTCTCAATCGATAGTTGAGATACTGGGCGGCCCCTTGGGCGAGTATCCATTTGCCACCATTGTGCGTAGACGATAAACGCGAGGCATGTCAGAGCGAAGAACTTAATAGCCCGAGAACGCCGTACAGACCTGCACCTGCGCCAGTCCGGTGCAGCTACGGCACTGTAAGGAGGGAGCTCGCCCTTCCCGTACTCCATTTCTTCCGATTGTATTTCACAGTGTACGGATGAAAAAGGAAAAGGAGGAAGAACAAGAAAGAGAGAAGAGTTTAAGGGAGGCTGGTGTTGATCATTGGGGAACCTCCAAAGACCCCACGATCTTGGACGAGACTTGGCCAATTGGAGAAGGTTTCAGTACGACTTACAAGGGGTGGTTGAGCTCGCGACACCCCACAAAGATAACGACACCATTACCGGTAGATTAATTGCGACTCAGACGCTCCTATTTTGCACATATAGAAATCCGTAGCAAGTATCTGGGTTCATATATACGTGAGTTTGGTCGTGTTATATATAGGTTAGGTACCTAGATTATAAGCCGGAAGCTTGCAACTATAAATCCAATTTAATCAATGGATGCTCGTATCTAAGTGGAAGTCAAATGGAGATCCTACAATAAATTTAGAAAATAAAGTCAACACTAATATAGGTCTCCCGCTGTCAGCTTGAGCACCCCTGCATGATCCGAGTTAGGTCATGATCACAACTTATATATGACCATACGGACCTATTGACTATTCACAGATCGCAGCAATATACAAAGTGATTAGCTTTTATTAAGATGCTCCCTAAGAGACATTCACGGTCGTACTGTTTAATTATGTGCAGAACCGAAAGGCAAGAAAGTGTACGTACGGACTTAATGACAATTAAAGGGACCTTGATTCAGAAGAGTTACTCGAAAACCATTCGTTAAAAACACCTATCGAATAGTATAGCATAGCTAGGTACATTAATGCGCATACGATTCATGGTTAATACGAGCATCCCCCCCCTTTTTTCTCTGCCTGCCAGTAGGAAAAGGTAAAAGCACTACCCTTCATCTTGTCAACCTCTACAGGTATGGCATCCTTGGCAATTAGTTACATGAAGTTCCTGTTACATGAAGTTCCTCCTTTCTGCAATAAAGCAAACAATATCCTCCCTTTTAACCCTGTCTCCTGGTCAGTTGATGACCATCGCCTCAGGAGGACTACTCGACTCCTAGGCCGGGTTCCTATTCCCACCATCCTTGCCATACCGCCTTACTCTCGACTCTCCTCCTCGTCGTGCTCGTGTTCGTCGGCCGTGGGAAGGCTGGGGGCAGCAACGGACGGCTTCTTCAGCGCCTGGAAGGCGCGGCGCAGCGAGCCGGAGAAACTGCTCGCGGATCGGAGAGTTACGGAGGTGGTCGAGTCGGACTGCTGCGAATTCGTCTTTCGCACTTGTTTCTCCATCTTCTGGCTGGCCTTAGCCTTGGCCTTCTCCTCCTTCTTCTGGGCGCGCTCCTTCTCGCGCTCCTGGCGCTTCATGCGCTTCTCCTCGTCTCGACGCTTCTGTTCTTCCGGATCCACGGCCGAGTATAGGAATGGGCCTGGAGTAGGTCTCATGACGAACTGGTCTTCTCCATCGATCCACATGGGGTTCACGGAGAAGCCGCTTCCCTGCTGGCTGCGGTGTTGTGATCCCTGTCGCGACTGGTGGCTCGTGGTTGAGCTGAGGACCGAGGGCACACGAGGCGCAGGCTCCGGGACGATGGGTACGGGTGCAGGCACGGGTGCAGGCACGGGTGCGGGCGCGGGCATGGGTGCGGGCGCGGGCATGAGTGCGGGCGCGTGATGCGCTTGGGGGGTGTAGGAGGTATGATGCGCATGCTCATGGACCGCGACATTGGGAACGCTCGGTGCATCGTGAAAGAGACCTTGATGAGGATTATAACCTTGATGAGGATTATAGTAGAAGGGATCATCCTGCGGGCCTGCAGGCTGGCCAACCTGCTGGCCAACCTGCTCTTCGCGCTCGATAGCTTGCGAAAGTTCTTCAAAGATTCGGTCCTCAGCCGTAGTATTGTGCGCGTGAAGCTCGGCACTGCTCTAGAACGCAGAGATTCCAGGCGCGCGCAATATAACCTGGTGACGAATGAAGGTGCGAATTCCGGCTTCGGTTCGCAGAGGTTGTTGGTACAGACTATGCTGCAATGCTGCTAAAGCAGTAGGTCGACTGATTCTACCGGTGTAATCATTGGCTTGGAACTCAGCCATCTCATCGCGGATGATGGCTCGGATATTCTCGCTGCCCAAGGCTCGAGAAGGGGTGCTCGCAGCAATGACTGATGATGGGTGAATCTGGTCGGTACCTCGACGGGCATGGCGAGATCGCTGAGGTTCAGCCACCGGAGCTTTGGGGGGCTCATCAGAGTCGGATTCTTCTTCGGGATCCTCCACTCGATGAAGAGTTCGATGAAGACTTCTCTGGAATCGCTCGACCAGAGGGGTGTTCGGATGCATTTCTGGCGAGTAGCGTCCAGCAAGTCGCTGGAGTTCCGAGGTGGCGTCCATTACGCTTTGAGGAGTTGCTGTGAATGGCAAAGGTTAACAAGTGATCTGTTGAATACAAAGAAGTAGAGAGGCCTTACAATGGGTTCGCGAGATGGTTTGTGCGCCCTGGCTTGTTTCTCGATGGGCGAGAGGAGATTCTGTAAATAGGTTCTGTAAGCCCATGGCACAAAATGGAGAAAGAGAAAGATTTTGGGGAGCTTGAAAGAAATTATTTTCATACCAGAAGAAATTTGCGGAGCAGAACCGCCCAAACCAGTCTCGTTCTCTTGCCCCTCCTCGATGTTCGAGAGCTCGGCGCTGCGGTCTGTTCACGGTCAGGTCGTTGTCACGATCTATGCTCAGAAAAGAAACTTACTGCAGCTTTCAGAGCCCTGGGGGTCTGCTGTCTCAGACTTCTCCGAAATAGAGGCTTCTTGCCCTAGGTCTGCCATCTCCTGGTTGGTCACCGCGAGTGACTTAGGGCCGTCTTCGTTATTCGTAACAGGGCCGGCTATACCCAGCAATTCAAGCTCAGCCTGTGTGCTAAGTGAGTAGGCTGAAGACGAAGACTCGAATACTGAATCATTATCATCATCAAGGAGAGGGAATCGCACATTAGCCGCCGTCAAAGGCTCTCTAGGCACCTCGTCCTCCATCGTTATGCCAGTTGTCGTTACTTCGCGTGCAAAAATACCACCTCCGGCTAGTCCTTCTGATAGTCTACGCAAGTTCGTAGTAGACTTGCTTCTAGGCAACGCAGCCTGTTCAGGTTGGGGTGGTTTGGCTCCCTTGAGATTTTGTGCTCTGAGGTGATGTCGAGGCGGAGGTGATGGTGGTGGAAAGTTAGGTGGTGGGAAGGGTGGTTCCTTTTGAAGTAGGGTTGCTAGACGCAAAGGGACGTGACCTGGATCCGTTTTAAATTTATGCTTAGAATGGACGGTGGGATCAGAACCGCCGATGTGCGAGCGGTCGTCGACGTGCGGGCTGTCGTCGACATGCGGGTTGCCGGCGTCTTGCGGGTTGCCGGCGACTTGCTGGCGGTCGGCGATGTGCTGCTGGTCGGCGATGTGCTGCTGGTTGCCGACAGATGTATGATTGTCAAATCTTCCGTCACCAGCAAAACGTCTACGATCTGCAATGGGCCTAGGGTTGGCGACGTTCGTTGAGGCACCAAGATATCCAGGGCCGACAAGAGCTTGAAATTCAGCAACATAGTCTTTTGCTTTGGGATCACTAGAGCTTGACGTTCCCTGTTCTTTACGTCCTTTGGTTGATACATCTACATCATCTACTGAACCAGCTAAGTTTCACCAAAAATCGTTAGCCATACATCTTCAGTTGAGTTCAGATGACAGATGACCTTCACAGACCTAAGAAAAGTCTTGAAAGAACCATTAATTAGACAACGTACCTTGAAGACTTTCCCCATTGTTCCTGGGAGGATTAATATCCCCCTTTCTCACCCTTGTCGCTTCTGTGTAGTTAGTAGAACTACTAATGCTTGAAAGCTTAGAAGGCTTTGGACGCTCCTCCCCTAAACTTTCTACAGTCTCGCCAAAAGCTGCCCTATTGGGCAAGGCAGCAAACTTCACACTTCGGGCCGGAGGAAGCTTTGAAGACGTCGTAGATGATGGCTCACGAATAGAAGATGAATGAGTAGTCTCCTTTGGACCCTCTTCTGATTCCATGGGAGATTTAAGAGGTGATTGACTAAAGAGGTTTGTCTTTAGAAATAATGCATCCTCTGGGGACATGTACGCGTCAATCAAGCTTTCCACTGACCTTCTTAGGGGAGAGATCGCGAGATCATTGTCTGTAATCTCCTCTGCCAACCCAGACAGCGAGCTTGCGGGTGGATTACCACGCCTCTGGGCGCCACGAAGTCCCCTTGTTGGTATAGGGGAGGGTATGCTTGACGCCTGGGCTGGAGTTTTGTCAGGCGGCGGATATAGAACGTATTTGTGGCGTCTTTCAGACATGATTGCTGTTGCGACGCGACGCGACGCGACTACGAGTGAAGTGGTATCTTAAATGTTTTGTTAGTATTTCTCAATAGCAATAACGGAATTAGATTTTGGTGGACTTGCTTTGTAAGATTTTCAGACGAAGATGAATAATAGAATAAAATACCGACTGAGGCCAGGTATTAAATCACCACAAGAGGATGATTTGTATAATAATAGTTTAGGTACCTAAACTTTCATCAAGATATAACGGTCAGAAAGGGCAAAACTTGTTGCGGTTATCGGGTCGAGATGCACAAGACGTGTGTTAAAATCAGGTAGTTTTGATTTTAACAGGATTGAACCCGCGGGGACTGCAAGAAACGTCGTTGAATAAAAAAAAAAAGAAGTTGTGCGGAAAGGATGCTATGCACAACGAGGTCGGCGTGGGGAGAATCTGAAATGGCAAGCCTGTGAACTGCCGGACACTTGAGAGTCACTGACTTTTTCCGTTGTCAAGTGCCAAAACATGCACTAAAATTCTAATCAACAAACAAGATCTAAAAGTTGGAATTTTGGATATTTAAACCGATGGTTAGGTACGTAGTTATTTCTTGAAGCAATTCAGCAGATATTAGACAGGTCACGGTGCAATACGATAACGCTAGTTATACAGGCGGTTTGGATATGCCTTAAAAACATGTCCTCGGTTTATTCCTAGGGTTTAAATTGGCAAAATAATTTTCACATTGGTACATCATCGTGACTGAATTTATTGACAAAAGAGGGTTGTTCTCTTTGTTCATTTCTATGTTAAGATTCCCTGATATAAGTTTGCAAGTCTTCATCAAGTCTTGAGGCTCTTGATGATTAGGAGGATTAGATACAAAGGTACGTACTTGATTATGTACCTAGGTACATAAATGTACGTAAGGTAAGCACGGCCGACCACCAAACGTCATATAAAAAAACAGGGGTACAACCCGGCTGTTTGGGTAGAGCTGCGCCACTACCGAGAAATCTTAGAAGGCCTCCGATAAGTGTGGCTCTCACAAGGAAGCGACGCGCAATTTCCCGGACTCTCCTTAGCGACTTCTTCCCGTTTTTATCTCTTATCACTCTTCACTTCAATTCTCGGAAATACGGCAAAGCTAGCAGTTACAATAGCTCTTTTCATGACCAAACAATTGCATTTATGATGCTGCCGGGACTAGCGAGCCGGATTACCCCTTTTAGGAGGTCAGCATGTAAGCGCCTCAATGCTACCTCGACACGCGCTGGGTTGGTTTGGCCCCCACAACAACGATCGTTCTCCACAACAATGACTATGAGGTACCAGATTGGTCCGGAGCCAGAAGCAAGACAGTCATTATTCTCTAAAATGGGCGAGGCCGCAGCTACTACATTTGCTTCTGTTGTAGTTCTAGGCCTTGGCTTTGCCGGCGCTGGTTACGCTTATCATCAATTGTATAAGTGGTTACAGCTCCAAAAGATTCACAACGCGTTTGAGCCAGGGGCTGAACCAATTCTGGCATTGGCAGGGAAAAATGTACCAGCACCACCTAATTGGGTTATCCGAGAAGAGCAGACTAGAATAGACGATATTGTTTCGGCGAACGAGACGGGCCATTATTATCTGTTGATGGGGGATAAAGGATGCGGGAAGAGCAGCATGCTGATCGAAGCTATGAGAAAAGTAGATGGAGATGGTTGCGCCATGCTCGAAGCATCTAACAGCGTCGAAGTCTTCCGTATAAGGCTGGGCAAGGCAATCGACTACGAGTATCACGAGGATTACATCGGAGGTTACTTCAGCGAACGTGGTCCTAGAGAATCCACAGCGTTGCTCGACATAGAGAGGGCGATGAATAAGTTGGAGAAAGTGGCGCTGATACATCGGGCGAAGAAGAACAAGCCCCTAATACTCATCATTAATCAAACCCATCTAATTCGAGACGACAACGAAGGCAAAGATTTATTAGAACTACTTCAGCACCGGGCAGAGGCCTGGTGTGCTTCGAACCTAGTGTCGGTCGTCTTCACAACAGATGATTATTGGGTCTACGAGCGACTAAAAAGACGTGCCACGGAGCGAATGGTGGTTATGACAATCAACGATCTGCCGAAACCCCAAGCAGTAATGGCACTACAGAGATACCGACACCGTTACTTCGCGGAAGATGTGGATGTATCTATCCTTGAGGAGATCTACGATAAAGTTGGGGGCCGGCTTTCCTTTCTAAATCGCGTAGCTAAGTCACGCGATATGCTTACTACGTGTGATTGCATTAAGGAGATCGAAAAGACATGGTTTCTGAATTCTTGCGCCATACTTGGATCCGAAATGGATGATGACGTAATGGATCAACAAAAATTCGCGGTAAGTTTTTTTCTCTTTTATTGGTAGTTAACGGAATATTTTCCGGGTAGTCTAAGATGACGGGCATGGTAGTCACGTGGGCACATATGCATGTGTTAGCTTCCGCCTTGAAGTCCGCTTATAAGACCCCCTATATCCCAAGGACTCACTAACATCTGCCACAGTCAGCCTCTATGGTACTCGCGTTAGCCCTTGTTGACAGAGAAGAGGATATGGAACAAACCTATGATCCGGAGACAGGACATATTCTCCCGTATTTTCCAATGCATAAGGCCCAAGAAATCATGACTCGAGCGGATTTCATCCGAGAGCTTGACCGATTAAATATATTTACTATAGACAGCGAAGCTCACGTACGTGCTAGCTCCGTGCCCATGCAACGCGCGTTCAAGGAAATATGCAGCCAACCTGGATTTCGACAATTCCTCCAAGATACTCTAGATCGTATCGCAGCTATTGAGAGTTTAGGCCGTACAAGGGAATTGGTTGCAAAAGACCTAGTCCAAGGCGGGAAGTACCGTATTTCGAAGCCTATCAGCCTAGACGGCAGGGTCGAAATTCGATTAGAACAAGACAAGAAAGACTAAGGATTGGAAAAATTCCAATGTGGTTATTCAACTACCATGGTACGCAACCGTCAGCTGCAAGGCCAGCTTTTCTTTTCTTTTGTTGATTAAAAAGGGGATAGAGTTTGTATCAGTACTGTACCATATTACGCGCTAATGTCTGTATATATTTCGTCTGTATATACGTCTTGTCTGTAATTTGCAATTCAGTTCGCATCTATATTGATGCCCAGAATCTCAGAGACAGTCACACGGTTTTATAATCCATAGTTCGCAATTAGATAGATATTTTACCTTTCAACATAAGAGTTGATTACTGCGTTATGATAAATCATGTGGTACATAAAATTAATCTTAGGTAAACACAAATAGAACTTATCTCAGAAGATCTTTGTCCAAGAGTTTTGTCGCACCGAAATGTTTTTAGTCCATTGATATATAATTAGAAGTCAAGAAAGAATTCACATTGGTATTGTATGGTTATAGTCATGGAAATAAGTAACGCATTTATCTGGGGGAGATATACGGGTAAACGGGCATAGAGAAACTATGAGACGGAAGGATACTTGGTCCGAAACTCGTACTTGTCTTTAGACTTTAGAAGCTATTTTTAGACTTGGACTGTCTAGACTATCCAACTACCTAATGTAGGGTTAGTTGGTGTCGGATCGCATGTCGTCTTGATGATGTGTTTATGCTACATTCTTTGACTAAGGATGTGGGCGATACACCGGATTTATATGTAGATGCTACGAGGCAAGGAAAATGTTGGAGTCGTTCTACGTGTTCGATTATTATCATGGTGCCAGATAGCTTAAATTTCAACAGTGAGCTTGTAATATCCGATAGCTTGACTGCATAGTCAATAACGCAGGTGTAAAAAGGGGTAAAGGGGTCTTCCAAGTTAGGCGGTTAATCGCGTATATATGCATATGCACGTATAATATAAATCTAAGTACGCTAATGCGTTAAAGAAGGATACTTCCCAATATGGAAGTCATTGGAACCTTCCTAGGTTCCGGTTGCATGACACGGCCACAACGCCACGCCGCCACACCCCTCTTTGCTATTTAGCTTTAGCGTGCCAAGAAGGTTGTGGTTACCTGGTTACCTGGGCAGCTGGGCAAAGGCCAAAGTGGGATTGCTTTATTATGACGCACCATTTCTGCTTTCTCCCACCATACACCAAAACGTAAAAAAAAAACAAGATCTGGGCGTTAACCGCGCCGCGACGAACTCCCCGTTTGTACCAAATTTGGGCTTGTTCTTCAATCGCTTTATGAGAAGTCATTCTCTTCCTGAAAAATTTAATTTTCTATCAGGTGAGATCCCTCCTCTGGACATAAAGGGACAACATGTTTGTCCTTAAAAATGGTGAGTGATATCCCTCGTCACTAAGCTGCCAGCCAGCCTTACTGAAAATATGTCTTGGCTGCAAACCCCGATGATTATTATGGGTTCCTTTGTTTCTGTGATGTAAATGTGTGGCATGTGCCATGTGACTAACATTGTTATATAATAGTTGGCAAGCTTATCTTCGGCACCGGCAGCCAAGAATCCATGATCGAGCTGCCTCAAGGTCAACTCTACCTAGTTCGACCTCTATCGCCCAAAGGATACTCTGAGCTGATTTTCAAGGACGCTACCGCTAGGATTCGTCGTACTGGCCAAGATTTCCAGTACCAACTGGTCGTACAAAGAGTTTACGAAGAGGGCGAAGCTGAGCTAGCAGACGACGAAGGCGAAGACGAAGAGCTTAACGCACTAGCCGCCGAGCGTGACGAGAAGACCTTTTTACTCGACGAGGCTCTCCACTTCCGTTTTGAGGCTAGAGAAGGATCGGAGAAAGTTCTCGCTTGGAAGGACTTAAGCGGAGACGTTGGTGACGTTTACGAATTCGTCTGCGATCCTTCGACTAAATCTGCCCAAGTTGAGGCATTCGAGCGCATCGCAAGACAGTGTCAGTACGAGCGCAAGTACCGAAAACCTCACTCTACTGCGTCTACGGCCGACCTCGAACAATTTGTTTTTGAAGAGCAGCCCATTCCTCAGGCTAGTCCTATCCATAGCCCAACGCTCGCAAGATCAATCGACTCCTCCGACGCCATGTTCCAACTAAAGAGCGAAGCTAACGCCGGTACCAAGCGAGGTAGTATACCATCCGCAGCTTCTGTACTTGCGGAGCCTGAGCCTGAGACCTACGAAGAAAGAGAAGTTGAGACACAGCATGCTAAGCAGGCAGGGCCCCCGCAGCCCCCAGTCCAACCCGAACCACTGGAGATATTTGCGATGGAAATCGGAGAGCTGCACTTCTTCGATTTCCCTTCCGGCGCATTTGTCCTTCAGGATTCGTCCGTCACAGCTCAAGTGTCGGATATTGGTAACTGGAACTACTGGCTGCATATTGCTAGTGCGGATCGCCAGTGGATTGGTATTCCGGTCGTTGCTGATATCAACCCGGTGTTTAACTTTGAGTTTCTATCTTTCATCTTCAACCAATTTACCGAGGATGGCTCTGCTTATTCCTGGCTATTGAGATTCAAGGATAACAAGACCCTTGAAAGATTCCAGGATGGTCTAATGAGAGCACTCTGGGAGCAGCTGAACGAAGTCAAGTGGAACAAGGTCAAGGAGCAGGATCGTCAGTATGTCTTAGATGCTTTCGAGGACCTAAATATGGAGGATGCGCCGATAGAAGAAGAGGAAGAAGAACTCGAAGCCGAAGAACCTGAAGAGGATGATGCGCCACAGAGCGAACATTATGATAGCGAAGAGGAACAAGACGATGTCGAGACTCAGCCTAAGGACCCTCATACGAATTCCGCTTTGGCAGTTGGGTACAAGCACGATCGTTCCTTCGTCGTCAGAGGTCCTAGAATTGGCGTATTCAAGCATACTCCTAAAAATCACTTGGAATTCACAACCAATATCTCTAAGGTCGAGACTCCACAGGGCAAATCCTTCGTTCCCAAGAAAGTCATGTTACACAATGAGGATCGCAACCTAATCCTACAGAACGACACAGATCCCAACAAACTTTATCGCATGGATCTCGAGTACGGAAAGGTCGTTGATGAATGGAAGGTTCATGACGACATTCCCGTTGTCACATTTGCGCCGGAAAACAAATTTGCGCAGATGACCCACGAACCTACTTTCCTTGGTATTTCTCGCAACGCCTTATTCCGAGTTGACCCTCGTCTGTCCGGAAACAAGCTGGTCGACTCTCAGCTCAAGCAATACGTGTCAAAGAACGATTTCTCTGCGGTATCTACCACGGAAAAAGGATACGTAGCCGTCGCCTCCAACAAGGGTGACATCCGACTTTTTGATCGCCTCGGTATTAACGCGAAGACTGTAATCCCGGCCCTGGGCGAGCCTATAATCGGCCTCGATGTGTCTGCAGACGGTCGTTGGGTACTTGCAACCTGCCGTACGTATCTACTACTCATCGACGCGTTGCAAAAGTCTGGCAAGAATGAGGGTAAACTTGGCTTTGAGAAGCCATTTGCCGCGGATGCTAAACCTCAACCTCGTCGTCTGGCATTGAATCCTGAGCATGTGGCTCAATTCCATCACGAAACTGGAAAGGGGGTCTCATTCACTCCTGCTCGGTTCAACACAAGCAAGACAAACGGCGAGACATCCATTATCACCGCAACTGGCCCATACATTGTCGACTGGAATCTTGAAAAGGTCCTTCGTGGCTCAAAGGCACCATACATCATCAAACGTTACGAGGACACTGTCAAGGCCGATGACTTCAAGTTCGGCACCGACCAGAACGTTATTGTTACCTTACCAAATTGGGTAAACATGGTTGGCAAGCAGCATCTCAAGAAGCCTACGAGGGAGAGTATTGCTGGCGATTTCCAACGACTGGGCACACCGAGTCGAAGTTCGGGACGCGTCGGCACACGGGCGAGCGGTCGCTACAAGCTCGGTAAAGATGATGTGGTTAACTCACCTTACTGAGTTTGTGCTTCCGAGCAAATGCCAAATGGATGATTTCGCAATTGAGTTATTTGTTATTCCCAGGTTATACTCGTGTTGAGGGCAAGATCGCACTTTTCCTACAATACATACCCCAGTGGCGTTCGGGAGGAGACGGAAACTGGTGTTTATCCACTCACCTGAGGCGAGCCATTTTTGCTTAAGGTGATACCTGGTTCTCATCACACGATATTAGTGATTTCACCTTAGTTAGGTAGGTAGGTGCCTCTTAGGTACCTAGTTAGTAATTTACTCTATCGATATTCCGTTCACATTTTGTAGCTTGGTGAAAACTTGGGTTATGTACGAGCCGCACCGCATGATTTGACTACAACGTTAGGGGTGGTAGGATGGTCTACCCGTATGCCCGAATGAATTGTGCCATTATCACCATTTCCTTTAACATAACAGATATCTACCTACTGCCATCCTTTCCTATAGTGCTGCACTTAGGAACCACTCCTATTAGCCTTTGCCTACCCTCTTTGCCTTGATAGAAGTACTCCATCTACCCCGTTTCCAAAAGAAAAAAGAAAAAAAAAAGTTTCGGAAACGTGCGGCACGGCTCATATTCCTTTATCTTCGCTAGATTGTTGCACGCATGGCCCGTAGAGCGTGGGATTTGCTGGCTAAGGAAGTATAAGATAGTATGTGGTTTATGTAGCTAGGAGTCTCGCTCGGCGAATTACTTATATGAAAGCTGCTGCACGATGTCATCATACTTACGATAACAACGATAAACGACGTAGGTAGCATTAAATGACTTATGAGTGGTGGCGATGGAGCTTCTATATACATGGAAAAGGGGGGGGGGGATAAAGGGCTTGTATCTGTGTGTGATATGTAGTAGACTTCTGAGACAGCTTGGCGATGCTGCACATAATTCAAATTTATTACTACGTTCCGAAATGAAGCTACCATGTTAACAGATAATCAGCAGTAGGTGACAAAGTTACGAAGTAGTATTCGGACCAGGATTTGGTGGTACGGTCGTGATTGATATGATTATTTCTGTGCCTTGGATTTTCCCTAATACCGTAAAAGATCGGGCAACTTGCATTCAGCCAAAAACCATATGTAAGCTACGTCGCAACCATACGACGTTGACGATCATACTGCGTAGCTTAAACAGGTCCGCGGCGTTATGATAGCTCACTAGAGCTTTTTTCTTTTTTGGAGACTAATATCGTGAAATGTGGTACCAAATGTGGTGAACCTCTCACCTGTCTCTTCCCCTTTTATTGTGTTGCCCACTTTGTCTCCGAGTTGGAGATAGGCAATACGTAGGACCCAATACACCGGTCTACTTCGTCATTCGTCATTATGGTACTATCACATGTATCTAGATGTCTCCATGTAACTGTCCCCATCGAGACGTCCCGCGCCGCCTCTGACCCGGTTCGACCGAGTCCCTATTTTGGATGCGTTCATTCATAAGACCACGTTTTCGGGTGAATAACAGGTTACGGATCTTGGAAGATCCCAATGTCGTGGCCATAAGCTTAAGTCTAGGGATGCCCAGACGTAGCACTGGTTATATAGGTCCCTGCCCGATTCTAGAGTAAGAAAATATTTGCAGGTCGATCCTGTGCGCGTCCGTTGGTGACGTGGTGTTTATGGCGTAGCCCATTCCTTAACACTTCTTTTCTCCTTTATTTTAGAAAAATCCTTTTCCCCCGTAGAGCAGTAATCTAGTCATGATGAAGTCGCTTCCCTTCTTTCCCGTGGCGGCGCTGTTGCTCACGGCGCAGATGATCCTCCCGGCCAATGGTATTCCCAATTGTCCATACCCGGGTCCGGCCTTCCCAAAACCAACAGCACTTGCCTCTTCCGATAGAATTAAAACAGCGATCGCAAACCTGACGGCAACCTTTGACGCTCGGGGCATGGACCCGAGCACGAACCCAAATGGCACGTCGTGGTCGATTCAAGTCTTCTCTGCGTCCGACTCAGATGAAGACGAGCCCGTATGGAGTCATTACCATACAGCAACAGATTTGCTGGCAGCTGATACCCCCGGTGTGAAAAGCATCGACGGGAATACCGTGTTCCGACTTGGTAGTGTCACAAAAATTTTCACAATTCTAACGTTCCTAATCGAGGCTGGAGACACATATTGGAACACGCCCGTGACACAATGGGTCCCAGAGCTTGAGTTGCTCGCCGGAAAGGCGCAATACGACCCTATTATGAATGTTGATTGGGATAGCATCACGCTGCAAGACCTGGCAAGCCATATAGCGGGCATCGTAAGAGATTGTGAGTGCTTTTCATCCTTCTTACAATGATCTAGAAGTTAGTGGGATAAGAAGCTAGGTAACAGGGGAAAAGAAATGACAGAATAGGAATAGAAAAGGATTACCAAGCTGAGACTGTGAAATCAACTTGTTAGATGCCATCGAAGGGGAATTGACTCAAGAGCATGACCAAACCGTCCTGCAATCCCAGGGATTCCCACCAGCGCCCAGGAACGAAACACCAGTGTGTGGGGAGGCTATAAGGTGTAATCGTGCTCGTAAGTTAATATCCATAAAAATTCCCAGACGCACCTCCATAGACTAGAAAAAAGAATAGGGAGCAAAGAAGAAAAAAGAGTTGGAGGAAAGTAGCAGAAAGGCATATAAATATCTAACAAAATTTTCCAGAATTTTTCTCCGGATTAGCCGCCGTCCCTCCATCTTTCTCGCCATCATGGACGGCAGGATATTCGAATGCGGGATATCAAATATTATCTTACGCTCTCGAAGCCATCACTAAGAAGCGGTACGCAGAGATGTTGCAGGCTGACATTATCGACAAGCTCGAACTCAAGAACACCTTCTACCAAAAGCCCGACGACAAGCTCGGTGTCATCCCCCAGGGTCAAGAGGATAATTGGTCGTTTAGTATCGGCGAGGCAAGCCCGTATGTTTCTCCCAGTTCTATTCCCATGCTCTTTGTTGATGATACTAATGCCAAAGCGAAGCACTGGGAACATGTATTCCTCGGTAGGCGACCTGTCGCGTCTCGGTCGGGCTATCTTTCGACATACGCTCTTACCGCCGGCGCAAACGCGGCGGTGGCTCAAGCCTACGGCGCTCACATCTGACATACACGAAGGGATTAGTTCACCATGGGGTATCCGGCGTATCCCGCTAAACGACGGCAGCCGAGTAGTCGATGCGTACAGCAAAGCCGGTAGTATCAACGTGTACATGTCGCTTCTGGTGCTACTTCCCGATTACGACGTCGGCATCACAGCGCTGTTGGCCGGCGGCTGGCCTGGAAACTCCAACTGGGACATCGCGGACGCGATCGGTGCGATACTCCTCCCCGCACTAGAGGAGACAGCGCGTGAACAGGCAGATGCTTCGTATGCGGGAACATATACAGCAGATGATGGCCTAAACAGCAGTTTGGTGCTAAGCACAGACCCGTCGCGCCCGGGCCTCGGAATCGAACAGTGGATCAGCAATGGCACGGACATGGTCCCGATCGCGATACGGTACACGCTGAATTACAACGTGACGGGGCCTGCTATTCGGCTCTACCCGACGGGAATAGAGACGCAACCTCAGGGAGAACAAGGGACCAGGAAGATAGCGTTTAAAGCTGTGATTGAGAACCTCGACATCAAGGACCATAGCGGCGACATGTTTTCGACGAATTGCGGAACGTGGGTTGGCCAGACGACGGCCGTGTATGCGGACATGCCGCTAGACCAGTTTGTGTTTACGGTTTCGCGTGATGGGAAGGCGGTTGGTGTTTTGCCGTTAGCATTGAGGACGATGTTGAATAAGAATGAATGAATAGAAATCTATAAAGGTCTAAGGTTATTCGTAATAGTTATGTTTTCTAGAAGATCTAGATCTACTTCGTCAAGAAAGACCTAAGCATATTGCTACAAATGTATCTTCAAGAAAAAGGGATAGGGAAGGATAAGTATACGATATTGAATATATGGCTGCTAGTATATTGATAGCTTCCAGAGTTCCCGTTCCTCTATTTCCTATCTTGTGCTAAAATGTATCTTCAAAGTAAAGGCTGTTAGTCGAGTTGGCGAATGGAATCATTTGGGTGTTTATTATCTTCAGCATTGCTGCCTCGTTAGGCCTGTACTGGTTATTGAGAGTGCCCAAAAAGTTGAAGAGGACGAAGTTGTAAGAGGTAGCAATTCCGCGAATTCGGTCATCATTTCTTAAATTTAACCTCTAATGTCTCCACTCTTTCTCACGATACACAACATTATAAGGTACCTAGGTACCTAATCTAACGATTTAATATCAATGTCTTCTTCGAAACGCTTCACAAAGGCTTGCTCATATAGTTTTCATACATGTAATATGTTAAGTTATAAATTTAGAATTGTAAATAATTACCATCATTCAGGCAGCATGACGACTTTATCAACTTTTTAAAATAGTACTATGCACATTTCTACGAACCGGTGTGTCCCAAGGCTCCGTTGCCGAATATCTACCAACCCCCTAAACTCCGTCCCAGACCTTGTCTTAATCATATGCTTTCCGTTTTCTTCATCACCTTATCTCATCGTCATCATCTATAGATTCAACCTCAAGCAAATATGTCCGCTTCAATAATGTGGACTTAGGTGACGATGACGATTAATGGCATTAATAGGCCACCGAGTAGGCATTACCCCATACCTACACTATCCACAGAAGCTGTTTCCAGTCAATTGATAATCGACCTGACCAACGCTCCCCCTTTATTTCAGTAAACCAAAAGCGCCACCTGATGGAGCGGCTGCACTAGTAGCAGCCTTGACACTCTCAAATACTCCCGACAATGCACGGCCAACATCGCTGGTCAGCATCGGCTTCGCGTCTGGGCGAGCCTTACTATCAACCCCGTGGCTGTGGGCGCTACTAACTTTGGTTAACTCGTTAACAAAGCTTTGACCCCACCATGCTGAAGTATATTTGAAGACATATCTCTCCAACTTGCGGTAATTGGCTTCGCGCATCTCGGGAGACATGGTAACTGCGTCGTGGATGGCATTGGCAAGCTCCTCTGTGTTCCAGGGATTGACAATCAGGCTGCCGTTCAACGACTGGGCAGCGCCCGTAAATTCGGAAAGGATCATAACACCATGGCGGTTTTTCTGAGTCGCAATGTATTCGTACGACACAAGGTTCATCCCGTCCCGCGTAGAACTTACGAGGCAGACATCTGAAACCGCATACAGGGCGCACAGTTCGTCAAACTGGACGCTTTGGTGTAAGAAGTGGATGGGCATGAATTCGACCGTTCCAAACCGACCGTTGATCCTTCCTACTAGCTCATTGACGACCGCTCTAAGATTCTGATACTCTTCGACGTCTTGTCTTGAGGGCACGGCCACTTGTACAAGCACGATCTTGCCGATCCACTCTGGATGCTCTGTCAAGAATACCTCGAGAGCGTGTAGCTTCTGCGGAACGCCCTTGATGTAGTCAAGACGATCGACACCCACAATCAACTTTACACCCTCGAATTTGCGAGATAGTGCGGCGATCCGTTCCTGAACCTTTGGCTTTTTCAAGCCCTCGACGAATTTATCCGGATCTATTCCAATGGGAAACGCTCCGACCGTTACAAATTTTCCTCTATATTCGACGCCGTTCGGTGTAGTTGGAGCTTCTAGAATACGCGAGCAGGAGCTGAGGAAGTGGCGAGCATAGTCGTAGGTGTGGAAGCCTATCAGGTCGCACTGCAAAAGACCTTCGAGTAACGCTTCGCGAACAGGAAGAATACGGTAGATTTCGCTACTCGGGAATGGGGTGTGGAGGAAGAAGCCGATCTTTACGTCTTTTCGATCACCCAACTCGTTGCGCAACATTTCAGGTAAGAGCATGAGATGGTAGTCGTGTACCCAGATCAGATCGCCATCTTGAACGTCTTTCAGAACCGTCTTGGCAAATAGCCTGTTGACCTCCTTGTAAGCAGCCCAGGCGTTCTCGTCAAAGGTAATCTCGCCAGGATGGTAGTGGAACAGCGGCCAAAGGATCGAGTCTACAAGTCAAAGTCAGTATGAACTAAAAAAGTATTTCCATAAAATGGATTGGGCATACTTGAGAATCCATTATAATGCCTATCAGCAAGTTCGTCGTCGACGAATATGGGGTGCGCATTATATTGCTCCTTGAGCTGCTGCTTTACTGTAGGTATCTCGGCTTCAGGGACTTCCAGGCCAGGCCAACCGTACCATTGGAAGCTCGTCGTCTTGCTCAAACCGCTCAACCCAGTTACCAGACCTCCAGAGGACATAGAGAAGTCGTAGCTCCCCTCCTCTTTTCGTTTTATCGTAATTGGAAGGCGGTTAGATACTAGCAACAGCCGGCGGTCGCCGGTGGCGGAAGACTCGCTATCGGGCATAATTGTAGTTCTTAGTAGCGATACCAGCAAGCAAGAACCGTATTGGCGCGACCGTGCTTTAGAATATGAGGCGAGAGTGGGACACTTCAGGTGGGAAAAAGGAAAAGCTCGTAGTAGAAGAGCCTTATGTTTAGCCGCGGCAATGTAAATTCGATCTATGAAGGACCAAGTATAAAAGAAGAGGTGATGCAACACAAGATAGTGTCAGACCACGAGCAGCAAGAAGTAAGTGTGATTCGTTCAAAGACCCAGTGGTGTTTTATTGAATGCGTGATTGACTGACGGAGAGAAGGGAAAAAGGGAGGGGCCGCAGCGATACATGGAAGTTTCGTATGTGATTCGTTTTTAGGCGGGGATAGTTTTAGGTGTAGTATTATGTATGTATATGAGATATGTATTATATGTAATCATTTACATGTTATTTACATGTTCTGCATGTTCAAGCGCGCAATCTGGTTGGGTTAAAGCCTTAGTTTGATGCAATCGAGATGCAAGAGCAGCCCGAAATCCCTCAGAACCCAGCCCCGCCGAGAAGCCAGAGAAAGAGCCTGGCCCATCAACCCCACCAACCCACCTTCTTTACTTCTCCGTTTCTACTGTAGGGAGCTTTGGTCCGTTAATACTACGTCTTGGCCAACTACGTAATTTGAAGTCCTTTTTCAGCGGGGCACTGCGGAGTCTTCGGGTAAGGTATTAATGTATCAGTTGCTATCCAAGTGTCAGGCTGAAGTTAGTTGCCGCTAACTATGCTGTATTACGACACTATTAGATGCGCGCATCTCAAACATTGAAAAATCGTGAACATTCCAACTTTCTATATGGAACCAAAATACGACACCTACAAACATCTTTTTAAACCGCAACCAAAAGACAGCTAGTTATTCGTTTCATGCGAAAGGATCTATAACACATAACACATGATCACGTCTATCCAAACGCAGGGGATTTCTGTTTTATCAAACGTACCTAAATAAGTAGACTTAATGAAAACATCTCAACTACATGTACTATAGGCCCGATAGGTAAGATGGTGTATATAGATTCTTACACCTACCTACGTTACTACATGAGATACACAATCTACATAACCGCTGGCAGGGGGCTATATTTTGAACTGGATATTAAGCGCAAGGAGGTATGTGAGCGATAAGAATATTCAAAACCTTGCATGTGATTATTATATCTCAATTCTATCCAATGGTCCTTACATGCCCATTAGCTTATGTTGATACTCTCAAGATATTTCTAGAATTACATGTAGTTACATGTACAATTCTTACGTACTATTCCCACCAAACGCCAGCGCCAATTCAAGCGCCAATTCAAGCTTAGCTCCAGGTCCGTTTACACACTCACGATGCTTCTCGAAGCTACCATGCACCATTTTCTAACGAATCTGGGTCTATGTAAATTACCCGACGTACACGTACGTACTTACATGATGCACACCTTTGAATCCGTCAAATTCCAAGGTACCGGATATATATCCCTCTTTTTATGTAATTTACCTAATGTAATACGGCCTAGCCCGATCCCGTCATAGCTAAAGCCGACAGCTTTCCGTTCTAGCCCGTCTCCTGCCGTCCAACTTTAATACTTATTTCAACCAATCACATTCCGGGATTCAACCCAATCGAGTGAATTCGAACCCGGGATTTTTCGGGCCAAAACGTCCGTATTCTCGCAACGTCAATTTGTACTTTGGATTAAGTTTCTAAGCCTGTTTCTTTTCCTCGAAGACGTAACCAATTATCATAAGCGACATTTATTGTACTTCTCTACACTAAGTTGAGATGAAGGCTTGAGAGAACTACCTTATCCATCTCATTGATCGCCTTGTGCGTATTTTGCCTCCGTATGAGCCACCCGATATCCATGATAGTACACTTCAAACTCAAGAGTCGCACTCCCTAAAATCACCATCAAATTGAAGACGCAATCTCTCCATTTCCCCTTCTCAACAGGACTCTTATAACTCCCCGTATGAGACCATATAACACTCTCGGGAATCACGAAGCTTAATTCGCACAGCTTCTTAACGCCTATCGCCATCGAGATGAGCGTTCTGTCTAACTCGGATCATATGAGAAATCACTTACTATCATCCCTCCTAGTGGGCGCTTCTGGTTGGTCAGAGTAGAGTAAGACCTGCGAGAACTCGCGGACACCTGTGCTAGTCCAGCCGATGCCGTGTACTGCTTGTTGAATATCGATCGGCAGTATGTCATTCTCCCGCATCATTTCGCCCTGGAAGCTGTCAATAGTTGCCAGCACGAGCTGAGCTTTGGGTCGCCTACTCTCTTTAACAACCACCTCATCTGGTTATCCGCCGCATATTGGCCATTGCTAGGGTCAAGAATACGATCCCTCCAAAGATGTTTCTTTGGGTCAAAGTTCTCCATGATAGGGACCCCATAGCTGTATCTTGAGATGCGTGACACGATGGTCGATTCCATCTTTGGCGTCAACGGGGCATCAATGGCGCTATACTGCGGCAGGTCGTTTGCTGCAAGCGGCGGATGAGGCTTCCGTACTTGTTCCAATCCCCACATACACGCACCGCGGCATATAGCCGACCAACTACGCTCGTAAGTATAACTCATCCTCCACATCTTATAAGTTGGTTGAACTTACGCTCCGTCTACCTGGAGAACCCTAACCCCTTCCGAAGTATAGGCGTTTTCGAGGCGACTGTGAAGATACTTGCTCTCTCCGAATCCTCCAACCAGGAGGATGGCCTTTCGTTTTGTTAGTCATGTCTGGCCATGTCGTAGGAAGAGTTTAGGAGGTTATACCTTCACTTTAAGTCCCCGTCCTTGAACCTCCATCGTCTGGTTTTGAACAAGAGTATCTATCTGACCACAAATATGATCGAAGACAGTGCGTAACATGTTGCTATGTAAGGTATGAGCGCAAACAGGGGTATGGTAGGATTATATGGACTCACGCTTTAAGTGGCACATTATCATCTACAATACCTTCTTCCTCGTTATCTTCAACACCTCTTAGGTCTACCGAGTAATCCTTGTTATCGTCACCCATGAACGATCGTTTGATGCCGAACTCGAACTCCTTTAGCATCTTCTTCTTACTCACTTCTTTAATCTGCGAGTACTGCTTTTCCCCAATCAACGCGGCGATGTATTTGACGAATGCTAGATCGAGGAATACTGATCCGCACAGGTCACCTGGCAAGCGTATTAGTATGTAGGATTAGGTAAAAGGCCTTTACAAACGCACCATCCCCAATAGCGCATTCTTCCACTCTCAATGGGTGAATGCTGTTTACTTTGTAACTTATTAAATCCTTCGAAATCTGGTCAGAAATAAAATCTTGGGAGACTGGGCTACAAGCATACCACAGTCCCACCGCCAGCGTCACAGACTACGAACGAATCTCCAGGCTATTGGCATTAGCAATATATAAGACATGTTCTTAGAATTTATCGCAGACGCAAGCGGACAACTTACACGAAGCGTATCCTCTTCCGCCTTCCCCCTTAATGTTGCTAAAGCAGCCGCCTCGGGCTCGGTGACCATGGAGATATCGACAGGGAGGCCGGCAGCTCGCGCCGCTTTGACAGTTCTGTCCTTGGCTTTGTGGGACCACATTGCGGGTACTGTTAGTACAACCCGGAGGCGGAACGTGGTCTCCCAATTCTCGTCGTCGATCCTCTTGCGGATGTCTTCTTTTGTGTAGGCCCATAGAGCCCTCAAGTAGTCGGAAACCACCTCATCAGCGGTTTTATTCAACTTGGTAAGAAGAGCATTGCTCTGTTTCACATCCTCGATTGTCTTAGCATACTTGTGCTCGGGCTCAAGAAGTATCTTGATCCAACGAAAGCTATCTTCTCGCATCGTAACCTCGTATCCCCAGTTGCTAACTTGGCCATTTCGGTACGAGATGACTGATGGAACTTTTTCAGCATTAGCGTTAACAGCTTGTGGATTTGTCCAATCAGTAATAAGTCGTATCTTCTTCTGGCCCTCGTTTATAGCCCAGCAAACCCCCGAGTGTCTAAGCATTGTGTTGTTAATGAATCTCCCATTGCATAAATTCCGATATTATTAACTCACGTTGTTCCGAAGTCTATACCGACAACTATCTCTGGGCCAAGCAAGTCCATGGATGTGGCTGCTGTAGAAACACGAGAGCTAGAAGCAGTAGAACTTCCAAGAGAACTTCTATTCCGAAAACTCATTGTAGCTGAGGATCAAAAAAGAGGATACTAGGACTATGTGCCTGGTGAGGAAGACGGGAATGTTTCGAACTCAGTATTAAGCGAACTATATCAAATAACAACGAGTTCTCCGGAGGCCTATTTGGGGCATTCTAGGTTAGATCTACTCAAGCTTTGGTGGAAGACCCCAAGTAAATCTATCAAATAAACTAGCTAGGATCAGTCGAGGCATATGTTAGACAGTACGCGAAGGGTAGCCAGTCATCAATCCTCCAAAAGCAACACCTGCAGTTATGCGCCGCCGCTTCTAAAGCCGGTCTAACACCATGTTCTAGGGAATTTTGTAGCAGTATCAAGCCAAATTTAGAAATAATTCCGAGTTAGTGGGGAGTATCCGTGTAGAAAGTAACGAGGTGAATCTAGTCGACGCCACCATATAATAAGGAGGCTTGTTACTCCAACAAAGCATCCTAGCTCTCATAGGTCTGGATCACACAACCTAGGTCCTAGATCCTAGGACGCCTATCTGGAGTATCATAATGCTCCCCAATAAGAGAAAAGTGCAACTTTAGGTAGGCCAATAAACATCATCAGTTTGTTACACCGAGCGTAGATGCGCTTATATAACTATTGATTAAGCTTGCAAGGTAGACAATCCATCCGCCTGCACTTGCTTACCACACTCAGACCGTCTTGCATGGAAATACACAGTACGAGACTAAAAGTTCGCTATGTTTAGCCCCAATGTCCTACGTGCTAATACTGAACATTGATAAAGCGAAATGAGATTCGGGTTGTTCCAATATTCCAGTCCTCCGCAATATGAAAAACACCAAAACTTGTTATTATAGAAAATTCTCTAGTTGGTAGGGGTAAGTCATGGATAGCCCATCAGATTCGCCGCCATTTGACGGCTCCCCTCTACCGCCTCAACTTGGGCTTCCCATGATTGTAGTAATGGGAGTAACTGGGTCGGGAAAGAGTTATTTCATCAACAAGCTCGCAGGTCTTCCTGCGGTCGCAGAAGGGGCTCAATTGGACTCATGTAAGTATCGTTAGCCAGGAGTCTTATCTGACAACTAATTCCACGCTTGATATAGGCACACAGCGATGTGAAGTAGTACCCGTGTCAATTGGAAGCACTCAAACTCTTCTCATCGATACACCTGGTTTTGATGATACCGACCGTACTGACTCAGATATCCTGACTGAGATCGCAAGACTCCTTGCTAGCCAGTATACTCTCGGTTTTCAGTTGAAGGGGATCATCTATGTCCACCGCATTACGGATAATCGTTATACAGGTTCAGCCGTTAAAACGTTTGAAATTTTCAGACGAATCTGCGGAGACGAGGCGATGAAAAATGTAGTTCTTATTACCAGTCGCTGGAACGAGATTGACGAGCCGACTGGGGCGAGCCGGGAGCGCCAACTTCGCGAGAAATTCGTAAGTAATTTTTGAACCTATACCTCCATTATAAATACGATGTAACGAGGAGTGGTTCGATTGGATACACAGCTGCTAATTCGAAATATCATAGTGGGCTTACATGCTTGGTCGAGGCTCGTGTATGAATCGCTTTCATGGCGACCGCGATTCAGCTCGGACTATTGCTGCTCAGCTACTTATCAAAGAGACAGTTATCTTGAAACTACAGGAAGAGATGGTCAATGGTGGTATGCAACTAAATGAAACAACTGCTGGCTCATATGTCAGTGACGGCCTCGAAGAGCTGAAAGCAAAATACGAGAGAGAATTGCAAGCCCTCGAGGATCTTCGGAGAGAGCTTCAGGAGAGCGATAGAATGATGAAGCGCCAAGTGCAATTGGACATACAGCGTGAAAGAGACCGTCTCAAAAGCGCTGAACAGCAACAGGTTAGTCTTGAACGGGACATCGCGGGAGAAGTCCAAGAGGAAATTCAGAAGGAGACTAAAAGGCAAAGATTCGTTAAAGGGCTCAGTAAAGCCCTTCCGTTCGCCCCAATGGCTATCAACATACTGCTTCTTTTCGTCGGCGTGCCCCCGGGCGTGGGTGATCTATTTACTTCTTGGCTCGGAGCACTGCTCGCTGGAGACTCATCTAGCTAGGAGATCTACCAATTATACAGAATACCTATTGCATAACCCATTTCCGTCACAATTTCAATTTCTCCTTTAACGTGCTCCATATATCGGGTCTCGTAAGACGAATGATACATGAACTGCAAGATAATACGGCCCAAGTCGGATCACTTCGTTAACTACCTGATAATGGTACAGAGTACTATAGTGAACCTAATGCGCAATTACCTACCTAAGGTGCCTATTTTATTCTCTAAAGCAAGCATTAACTCAAGCCTAGGTTAGAATACACTGTTCCAAGCACGGTGTAAAGTCCTATGAAAGTCGCCTCACCGGCCTTTGCGTCTTACTTGCATAGCAAAGCGCCTGTTACCCCCCTGTCCAAGGATGGAGGGAGATTAAGACAAAAAAGAGGCTTGCAAGTTCCAAGTATACAGCGAATAGTGGCAGTTAGCACATAGTTTAGGATTCTATCACAAAACACTAGCATCGCAGGGTTTATTTTTATAGCATTGTCCAGGCCTCTACGTGTGGTGGGTGGTGGACTAAGATCATTTGTCGTATATGTTAGAGTGTAGGCAGGCTGGCTTAACTAATGTTCAGCTCCGCGAAGGCTGTGTGGATGGAATAGATACACACCGAGAGCACGGTAAATGATCACACACCCCTAAGCTGGTCCGCATCCCTGGTGGTTGTTAAGACTGACTGTTCTCGATTCAGTTCTCCCGCACCCGCTGAAACTAACTCTTTGAGAACTCATCACTCCTAATTTTCCAACGTTCTAAGACATAGTCCTGTTCCCATATTTCATTCATCCCTTATCGAAATTTACACCTTTCGCGTCGAGTATGAATCGGACAATCCATTCACGAGACATGCAAGGATACGACAGCCTCGAAGAACGCCATGGAAACAATCAAGACCCAAGAATTCCTCCTCGACCTGGTAACAAGGTTACTAAAAAAGGATTAAGAAGATTTAACAATGATGAGATATCCACCGGTAGAGGATCGAACGATGGGTTTATCGTGGAAGAAACAAGTAAGCTCGTGAGGTTTTACTCTTCTAAATACTAACGTGCCTTGGGGGACCTAGCTCATCCACCAGGGAATGGCCAAAGCCAACGAAACCAACCTAAGCATAGTAGTCGTGACACTTCCACACAGGGTACTGGAATTTCACTTACAGGTTTTCGCGGTGTAAGTTGACTGAAACTTCTTGAGCGACTTGGTGCTAAATACTGTCGGAAATAGATGGTTGACCGTCTTAATTGGGGCGGGCCCTCTCCAGCAGAACAAGCGTGTGACGAACGTTTTGATAAACTGGAAGAAAAGTACCACCAAACCAAGGAAAAGAACAAAAAGCAACAGATAGAAATGGAACATCTGCACGACCAGGTCCAAGCATTAGAGGAGTCTAACCAGATCATTAAGAGACGCAACGACAAGCTCCAGGGCTACGTAGACAATAAAGAAGCAGCTATAGGGTATCAGGAGCCCGACGAAGCGATCACTTCCAAGTTCCGCAGCTTGCACCATCAGATCAGAACATGGGCGAATAAGTTCTGCGTAAACAGCGACAAGCCGATCAAGCTGGCGTTTCCCGACGAAGAGCAGTTCCGGCTTCTACAACGCGTGCTACCGATGATGGGCAACGTTGACGACTGGGCTACCTGTCTCTCTGATAGCAAGCGGCGACGTAAGTTCGTCCGCGGCTGGGTAGCTCTTAATGTCACCGAGACCATGTTTCGAACGCTACCATCCAAGAATTACCAAGTAAGCATTTGCGCTCAGCTTCAAGTCTTCAAGCCTATTTAAATACTAATCGGTACTTTAAACGCATAGTGGGATTCTGGTACCGACTATTGGATCCCGGAACAAACTCGTCGGGGACTAGTTGATGTTGAGCGAGCTTTGTTAAACTCAGGTCAGTGTGAACCGCCGTTCTCGATGGCCATGGAATGAATGTAAACATAGAAGCTAATACGATGTGGTAATATCAGGACATGCCATAACATTGAGCAGCTTCCACCAATGGCGCGCTGTTACGATGGCTCTCCTCGCCAAGAAGTACCCTGACTTCACCGAGGAAGACGTCATGATAGAAAACGCAGCATCCGTGCTCAAAGTAATCAATCCCCTGGGACACGAGCGCGATACGACCCAGCGACTCATCGAAAACGTATACAAACCAGCGCTGGAACTCTCTCGCTTGCTCCGGCGCCAACGCGCTTCGTGGTCAGTACGTTTCCCAGCTACCAGACAGCAACCTGTGCCGGGCGGTAATACCGCCGCGATACCCACCGCTTTGAGGGCTATCTTCGACGATGGCGTCATGAAGGATATGGATCTAGACGAGGAGGAAATACCGTCGTCGGATCAATATTGCCATAAATACGTTGAGATCATCGTCGGTCCGGCGCTGTTCAAGAGCGGAAATATTGACGGAGAGCAATATGACATGGAGAATGTAATTGAAAAGGCCGAGGTCTCCTGTGCTGCAGCCCCGAACTTGACTTCTGGGTGAATGATGATCATCTCCAGATGAGACCATTGAGATTAGCAAGCAAATTTTAACTAGATTTATGTACTTGATTCTCCTTGAGTTCATTACGTCAAAAGATGTGATCATTTTGCTTTAGGGCTGTCGGAATGGTTATTTTCTAATAATTGTTATTTATTTTGAATACCGAGTTGCAGATACCCCCTATTCTTGCTGCATTCCGATGTCGTCAATTCATATATGATCCATGACTAATGCCATTGTCAATATTCATCTATTTATAACTTCGCTGTTACTCTCCGTGCGACAAGCCGTTATTCCTTGAGAGGTACATATCCTTTACTATAGCTTATTATCGTAAACAAGCTCATCTAGCTAAGACATTGAACGAAAACATATGAATTTAATCCCCCGAAGAATGTAGTTGTCAGCAGTTACTCAGGTCTACTCTCGGCCCGAATATCTCTTTGTTATTACTATTGTCGATGTATTCGGCAACTCCGTGACCTCTTTAGTCTCAGTTGCCTCAAGACATAAACCGTCTCTAAGGTTGATGGTAATGAATTATAATCCTTTTGTATGACTTAATACTGGGTATCCTAGGTACAAGTGTCATTGATCCATCATCGTAATGGCATATCCTAAGGGTGTCATTGGAATGTGCTATAAGAAAAAAAAAACCCATAATCGAAAGTAGCGGATAGACACGATATAGCAATTATGTTGCCAAAGACCTATCTAAATGTTTTGTGTCTTCACTAATATGAAGCCCGCAGGATTGGCCACGGTAGTTTGCCAACTAGATTTCCCCTGAAATATGTAAATTCTTATGCAACTATATCAATCCTGCTTTGATACCTAAGGTAGATAGATAACAATCGTATGAATGAATAAAGCGCAAATGCATCGTAGACTCATGGTTTATGCTTATTGGGTATGTTTTACAAACACGTGTTAAACATGCCGATAGTGGTGTGGTGTGGTTACAACGAGGCATCCCACTTGCTGTGTACCGACATACATATATGTACGTTGGGTTGGTTGAGGCTTCGGACGATTGCAGCGTCGATCATCTGAAATGACGCAAAGAGCGCTGAAGGTGAATTTCAAAAGCTTCCATAATAAACTAACATACACCCGTGCCTGATTTTGCTATGTACTAAACACTCCCTGGGGTATAGATTCTAAGGAATGTTATGTTGACGCTTCTTCTATCCCAAAAGGTATCATCATACGGCCAATCGAATGTGATTGCCCCGTTATATCATAAATCTTTCCGTGACCCCAACGCCTATTCTGCATTGATACGAATGCGATACAAGATAGAAATGTCATGATAAATATTGAATAAAAAGCGACCGTAGCGAACATCTACGGTATGGTATCCGAAGAAGACTAGTAGTCGTATCGGTAACACAGGTAGCCACCCATGGTATCCATAACGTTACCGATGGTGGTGTTGGGTTTGAGACCATTGGAAGAGAGGACATAGTCCATAGTGATTTGAGTGCATGGGTTGTTCGTATCGGAGCAACCGTTGATAGAAGTAGTGCGCGAGGCGTCGGCGTTCTGCCAAATTCTGAACGAGTGGTCGACGAAAAGATGGTGCATAAAGAAGATCGGGTCTCCGGGCGAGGCCTGAACCTCGGCCATGACCGCGCCAACGCCGTTGTGGCCGTAAGCGTGTGGGCTACGAGCGTTAGTTAGCGGGTAGATATTTAAAATAGACTGACGGACTAAAACTTACCCAAGTTCCTGGCAACCTCTCATGTCATCGTATGAAGTGCGTGAGTTGCAGTCCTGGACAAATTGGGCACTGACGGTACCAGTCAAGCTCTCATCGACGGCTCGCGAAAGACAATGATCTTGGTTTCCACTGCCGGGACCAATGTGAAGCGTAAGTCCACCGAATGTCTATGATAGTTAGTCTAAGTTCGGGTTATGCCGTTTGGGATAAAACTGAAGTACTTACACCCGAGTCAATGCAGGTACCTTGGCCGTTAGAAGTCTTTCCGGGGAGCGGACCGAAGTACTCATCGGTGAACAGATCCGAGTCAGCAAAGTGGCCAGCATCTTTCGTCTCATCCCACCATGGAAAGGCTGCGTTGAAACCACATTCGTTCCGCATCAAGTCCTCGAAAATCGAGACGTAGTATCGGTGCCAAGGCAAGAACACGGCACGCTGGTGAATGTTGGGGGTCATTTGCTGGTGTACTGATACGATATCTTCGTAGCGGCTTTTGGAGCCTTGGAACCCTCCAACAGAAGGCTTGTCCATTAGACATTTGATAGCGCTGACAAAGGCTTTCCTGTCGTCTGGGGAGTAGTTCCTCCATTCGACGCGAACCTTGGGGTTGTTTCGATCACATGTGCCGTCAGCAGCCGCGGCACTTGTGGTGACAACTTTATCCTCTCCGGCAGCGGGGCTCTTATTGCCACCAATGATCTTGGGAAAGTTAAACTCAGGTCCATCGCTAAAGGGACCCTTTATTGCCTCGGCTAGGGAATGGGCTTGTTCAGGTGTAATAGTCGGAAAGCTGCCGAACTGCTTGAGGTCGACGAGAGTTAACCGCTTTTCAACAGGGCGGGGAACTGTTAGGGCTGACACGGCGACGGCGCCGACGAGAGCCTGGGTAGTGAACGCGAATCGCATTATGCCGATCAGTAGGGATCGTTCGACTCCTTGGAAAGTGATTACTATTATTATTATATTAAGGCTAGCGAGGGTACGACGAGAAGGTCCACGCAGATAGAATGAATGATGTTAGGGTGCTGGGTTTTATTAGTATTAAGGATTTTTGATGTAAGACAAGATCCGCAATGCATCGTGGGTTAGATCTAGTGATGGACGAGGCTCTTTAAATGTTGTGCTCTCAGGCTCTTAGAGCTCTATGTATAATACAATTGACGATCATCATCTTAGTACAAGACGCTGATCTCTTTCAATGTATTTTGGTAATTGTTTTCAAAGGCAATGTTCCGGCACAAAGATCCCAGGAAACGTCATAGCTCTCCTACATGCTGATTTGCAGGAACAGCGGAAACAAGACGGGTACTTCTAGGACATATGCGGTTAGGAAATCCTAGAAGCGGTTATGATGGGATGGCGCTTAGGCCGAATGAGGCTGTGAGCTGAACCCCCTAACCTGGCTGGCAGGCCGGCAGGATACATCTCCGTACATATGTATGCGTACTACTGTGTATGTATTGTGTGTGTGTAGTATTTGTATCATGTAAGTGTATTATGTGTATTATTGTACATACCATCGAGCGCCTATTGCAGCGGCAGAGAACTGCAAGTGTTGCCAAATACGAGAATTGGGGGCGCCGGGCGTCACCGCACGTATTTGGCGCATCGCTTTGCTGGCAAGAATACAAAGCAACATGCTGTGTTTGGTCTAGCCCTTGACGATCACCACCCGTCTTTACCATCTTTACTATGTGTAACTGTCGTCGACTCGAGCGGGAACACAAAGCGTGGGTCCTTTTCTTTTTTATCAACCATCGATTCTTTGCGTCAGACAATACAGTCCCGTTCTCTTGGGGCCGATTTCCACGATAGCTTAGCTGTGCCGGTTGGACCGAGCCCGATTAACCCTAGTATTGTACCATACGATGCGGTGCCGCCGATGCGGGGTTTGCAGTAGTTGTGTATTCTTGTTATTCCCGACCGACCGTATCCTTGAAGCTATGAGCCAGGATGGCACGCATGTTATGACGTTAAGATCATGTTGGCCAGTCTGCCAGTCCAGATATGAGCCCAATCCTCGAGACCCGAATAGGTAGACGAATTTCGTTCAGATTCACCGGCGAATATGGGCGGCGCGGTCTAGCCCCTCCTTACTGTTGACGGCATCCCTCGCGGATGTATTAATATAAAACATGGTTTAAACATGGCCGCTCTGATTTGGGGCTAAATAGGTAAATAAATAAAAAATAAAAATGGAAATCCGCTAAAGGGCTGGGCCGTCATCCGAACGGTGCCACTATACAGGACAACATGCAAAAACAACGGTGCATATTTCCGAGCCAGTTAGCTTGGTAAATCCGCCCGCTACTGCTCGAGAGATCTAGAGCGTGACATCTTACGAGGCGTCAATTAACCTAGGTTAGGTTAGATACCTACACTAGGTAGTAAGAGGTAAGTAGAAAGAAACCCTTCAGTCAGCAACGGCTATCCGTAACTTTCTGTGACCAAATATCGTCACCGCAAGCTTTAATGTTGTATCCTCAGCAACAAAACCAGAAGCTGGTACTACTCTCGAAGCTATTTGCCCGTTCCGGCGCGGATCATCGCTGACATGCAAGACGTCCCGAGTCAGCTCTCGGCATCCAAAGAGAACAGAGAGATTGACACTGGTCAGCAGGTCAGCTAGACTGTCACTTCGCTTCGCTTCGCTTTCGTACAAGGTCCCTTATGTGAAATGACTTCATCGATTATTTTGTCGGGCCCTTAGCTTATCTTCGCAACGAGGATTTTTCATACTTGCTACATCCTAAAACCCCTCCTAGCACTCGACTAACTTAACGACGGCGTCGGGAATCGTAAGAGACCCATCCTGCGCCGTAGCGGCGGGGTCAATGAGCGGCGTGGGACATTACCGCATTCAGCCTCACGAACTACTAGGCCTTGGCAGTCGGTCCGTCCATGACCTACATCATAAGCTTGATTCGATCGCTTTATCTCAGAACACGAGAATTCCAAGCATGCCGTTGATGACGCGGGTACCGATGCGAAATACTACGTGTAACACGATGAAAACCTCTTCTTAGTCCGCTACGAAAGGATATGAAAATTCGGTGTGAGAAATGAGAAAATAAAGCCTGTCTACTACTCCTACCGCATATGTAGGGTGAAAATAGAAGTGTTACTGCTTTACTGCTGTGCAACATATCGCACTACATGTAATTTATAGCCCACGTTAGTTTTGGTCTGCTTAATTGGTTTGCTTCCATATTACTCGGGTCCAGATTCACCAGCCGGTCATTTTCTTCGTATCCCGTATGCACGAAGGCATTGAATTCTCCGCAACATACGAACATCCTTACTCAGCTTGAGAGTAGATTTGACGGCGACATCCGTCTTTAGTTTTACGCATGGAGCTTCTCAACAAGCACTTTATCATCTAGAAAGAGGGTTTAAAATTTTTCTCATAACTCCCTAATATAACTATAGCATATCCGATTCTTGACGTCTCGTTAAAGTTATTTCGCATTAGGCAGAGGCTTACCAACGGTATAAGGACAATCATCCAGCGCGGTACGTAGCCGTTGAGATATCCCTAGCGTCCAGTCTAATTAACAGGTATATGCATGTTTATGTAGTATACACTACGCACAACAGAGCCAAGCCCGTCCAGAACACGACTACAAGTTACACCGTTGTAAGCCCTTAAGATATGAGACCTCTAAGTGGAACTACGTTATCAAAGAGATTGTGAAGGACGCTGTCTTCGGATTTCTAGTTAAGACCCAAAAATAATAGGGCTGTGTCTGCATAAAGATAGGGGCACTAAAAACTCCGGTAAAGTACCTATATATGGGTAAGTTGTCGATGCAAACAAATCTCCGTGGTCGCTAGTGTCGCAATGTGATGACGAATCACCATTGAATGAACTTGACGGCTTTAACTAGGTATCTGCTGTATGTTTCAAGCCGGAGATGTTCGGACCGCCCCGTCATGCTCAAAACGGGTATGTTGTAAGACAAGATGAGCCTCGGTAAATTAGGTCGCCCTACGCCTTTACATCCCTTAATTCAACAAGTTTGTGAGTAAAATGGAAAAACCTCGTTGGAACAAGAAATAAATATAAGTGGAAACAACCCATTAAACCCTACACACTAATACGTAAAGATGAACGATCTACTCGCTCTCACATTTGAAAATTTTCTTACCGTGCCCAAGTTAAAATCGAGCGATTTAAAGACGTACGTACCTAGGCACGAATACCTTCCATCACTTGAAAAATAACCAAGTATAATGCGTTACGCTTCAACATCGAATATCTACTATATTCTTCATGAATGACTTTTTATGGCATTATTGGTTATGGTTTGACGCGGCTTGCCCAAGCGAACAATGATAACTTCGAATAAACGAGACGTTTGAGGTCTCTTTGGCATATATGAAGGTGCTCGTTCAAGGTTATCATAACAAAGGCTAAGTTGAAGAATATTACGCTGAACAAGAGATTCCTATTACAGAGTCTTAATTGGCAGCCATTGTATATTATTCTTTATCGTAATTTAATAACCTCATCAACTTTCAAGCTAATCGTGTTGCACCTATTGTCTATCGGACGCCTTAGTTCTAATAAAGAAGTACGTATCAAAGACTTCCGTCTCCCCCCAAGGACTTGTTCGCAAATATGAGTGAATCATTTCCTGAAACTTTCGTAGAATTTCCGAGATGTAATACATCTAATGACCTTCCGGATGACCCAGATATGTCTTCCCAGAGCAAGATCACCTGGCATCAGCTAGGACCGTCCAACGCAGGATTCTCTAAAGGAGATATTGAGTTTATGAAGCACGAAGAATACCTACGAATGAAATGGCCATGCTCAGAAGCTATGCCAGAATCGTTTGACCCAGACATATTAGAAGCCGTCAGGCAAGCCCAGTTCAAAAGTCATAATGAGGATAAAAGTACGACTGAAATAGGTGCTGGGGTTTCCTCGGAAAATGAAACCGAGTTACACGATTCGAATGCTGAGGGACGATGTAAGGTGGACGAACAGGTGTCAGATGTAATACACCTCAACGAAGCAAACGCCTCTGATGAATCCGTCTTTGTAGATGTAACACTTCCTGAACCACTAGACTCGGGCGAACAACAACTCGAAGAATACAACAGAGAAGCAATCGTAAAGGATATATCGGCAAGAAACATCCCACAGGTGAGTCAAGGTACCTATGCTACGTCTATAGCCGGTGACATCTGCGGTTCGGAGTTGGTATCGGAGCCGGACCCCGTCGAGCGTGGGCCCCCTCCGCGCATGGGATCGGGGTCTAAACCACCACTGTCTAGAAGTGCATACGCAGCAGTCGCGCAGCCCTGTCCTAAAGACGGATACCTAGACAAGCGACCTTGCATGACTTTAATGGGTTATCCTCGGGCGCCTAAATACTTTCCATTTAAAAGCCGAGTAGGAGGTAAGAAGTGATGCATTTCCTACCTTGGCGTAGGTACCCAAGGTATATATACCAGAATTTCATATTGATGAATAGAATAATGAGAATAGTATCCTTACTAGGTGCTGGATTTGTTTTTTTTTTTTTTTTTCTCGAGTAGAATCCAACAGAATAGATAATAAAAGACGGAGTTCTATCATATCATAACCCTTCTCCCTAGACTCCTCGACTTTGAAGTGTCAAATCGACCTGCCTAATAAGGAAAAAATGCTTGAGACAGGGGTCCGTGAAGGTGCCATGGACTCGGGAGAGTGCTACGCCGCAAGCTACCAAAACCAACAAACAGTGATAAGATTAGGTCGAGATCTAATTTAAAATGGCATGTCCCCTATCCTTACCTTTGGTCAACCCGACTGCATCATCCCTCAGCATTCGGTGACAATCGTAGTCTCGAGGACGAGCGAAGGAAGCAATCATGACGCGTCTATCGTGGATTTCCCTGCTGGGTCTGGCGAGCTTAAGCGCTGGTCTATCAACAACCCCGAAGGACATCGCATTTCCAAGACCGACATGGAAACATCTTCCAACGGGAAGCGACGCGCGTTTCCGCGGCTTAGCACCCGTGTCGGATAAGATCGCGTGGGTATCAGGCACGAGCGGGACTGTTCTCCGCTCTACAGACGGCGGCAACACCTGGGAATCCGTCGGGCCTGAACTATCGGAGGCAGATTCCGCACTTGAGTTCCGCGACATCGAAGCGTGGTCCGCCGATAAGGCCGTCATCCTGTCAATTGGCGAGGGTAACAGCTCGCGCATCTACGTCACGGATGATGGCGGCGCGACATGGACCCAGTCTTTCACTAATCAGGAACCGACCGCGTTTTACGACTGCATCGCATTCGAGAACCCGAGGCGGGGAATGGCGATGAGCGACCCGGTCGATGGGAAGATACGATTAATCGAGACGCGTGACGGTGGCGTGACTTGGGATATTGTCGACTCCGACGGCATGGTCCCGGCGCTCGAAGGCGAGTCGGGTTTCGCCGCGAGTGGGACGTGTCTTGCAACAACGGCCGGCCGCTGGTATGTTGCGTCGGGGGGTGTCAATCCCGGCCGCATATTCAGGAGCAGCGATGGACATCGCTGGGCTGTTTCGGATGCTTCTATAGCCGGCGGCGAGGGCTCCGGTGTCTTCTCGGTACAGTTCCGCGATGCGAAGCACGGCGTAGCTGTTGGAGGAAACTATTCGGCGCCTACGGGAGCCATCAGCAACGCAGCGTGGTCAAAAGACGGCGGCGTGACTTGGGTCCCGTCTACGTCGTTTCCCGGCGGTTATCGCTCTGGGTCTTCCTGGGTTCCGGGACGCTGGAATGTAGCTCTTGCGGTGGGCCCAACGGGTTCGGACTATACTCTCGATGGAGGTAGGAATTGGCATGGGTTTGATAATAGTAGCTTGGATAGTGTGGAGTGTGTAAAGGGGGGTGTCTGTTGGGCATCCGGGGAGAAGGGCGCGGTGGCACGCCTCGTGCTTGTATAAACTTCGAATGTTGTTATAGTGAAACCTAGTATAAGATCAAAAGTAGTCATTATCCCACATGGATCTTTTAAAGAGGTATGGAATGTTTTTATTATCTCAGAGTATTAACTATGATGTTTAAATTGAAAAACCCTCTCTATCAAACCGACTGCTCAGATATGTCCGGCCTCAACCTGCGACATACCCGCCCCCCTAATAGTCTTCTGGGGGGGAATAAATGAGAAAGGTACTTTCTTTATAGGCGCAATCGGCGATAACCGTACGGTTGGATCGAAGCTGACATCCTTTACTAAAAGCCAATGCGTATGATTCATCCTATTAGCACGAGAACTGATCAAATTAAAAAGGCCGGTTTGCAACTTTAAACCAAAAGGTAACTACATCTAAGTTGACCACCGACGACGCCGAGGAATAAACTTGCCCCTCATGAGTCCTTCTCCGTATACACGCTCTAGGTTAAAAAGCATCTTTAATATCAGATATATACAAGGAACTTCTCAAAACTTGTATGACACAGGCGTCGTTTAAACGGAATACTTGGTTTACGCTATTTACTGAGCTGGCCGGTTCGACCATCTTATGGTGCGCTAATGTCGCACTCCTCGCGTCTCTTTCACTTGGCTCGGCTCCAATCGAACCTATGCCGGCATTGAGTACCTGTAACGACTTGAGTATTAGCAGACATTTTGAATATTCAAGCACGATATGCTTGCAAGGTAAGCCATACAATACATGTGGTCACTAGAAATTAACCTATTAGCAAGCTTTACTTAGACTCTTAGCTTCGCCTTGATAGATATACTCACCAGCCTCCATCCTTTTCAATTTCAACGTTGCATCTTGGGCAATGTTTTATAACACTGGCTGTTGCGACCTCTTCTGCTATCAACCTATCTTTATGCTGTTGAATTTCTTGTCTTCGTTTGCGCTCAGCTGCCTCCCTGGCCTTCCTTTCAGCTAAAAGGCGTTCCGACCGTGAGCGGGACGTGTGATTAACGGGTTTGGATGTTTCATCTAGTTCTCCCCGCGTCCGGACTTTGCGGTTGAAGCTCTGGGGGTCGGCAAGGAAAGCATCATATTGTTCACAGGTGAAATCGCGGTGCCAGGAGGTCCTGTGGCGAAAGCAGAAATGTCCATTGTCTATGGGGCAGAAAGCCATAGGCGATGTTTCTCCCGGGTAATGTACTAGTCCCTTTCCACAACCAAGGGGACACCAAATATAATTGGTCACATTAGAAAGTATCCCTTCGATTGCTCGTCTGCTGTACCTTTAGTAGTATGTTAGAGTTTATAATCGTTTGAACTTAGGTAGTTATTCACGAGAACCACCTGGTTTTTAGCGTGAAGATTTCGACTCACTGAGCAAATAAATCCCTATCTCCAAAGGATTTAACTGTTGCGTGTCTCAACTGCCCTTTACACTCAGGACATGTAGGCCTATCAACAGAGACATCCCGAAGTTGAGAGTTGATACATAGTGTGAGACATTTGAAGCAGTAATTATGATGGTCACAATTATCTGTCAATGGATCTTGTGGAAAGTCAGCAATCGACTTGTTTTCAAAGCACACTGGGCAAAGCATTGCCTAGATTGGGTTGTCGCTGGATTCTGGGTTAACAAATTTGTCGCTGGTCAATAATGAAAGATTTGATGCGTGGTATGAATATCTATTCAATTTTGTATGTGAACTTAAAAGTTTAATTATATAGTATTTGTCTTGATGCCTAGATGTTAGGTGATGCTTCGATGTCTTTGACCTTCTAGTAAGAAAGTAGGGGTTTCAAGACTCGTACACTCGAGGCTATGTTAATAATATCCTTTAGTTTAGACATTAAGGAACCCTCGGGAGACCGAGGAACATTACTCGACAGAACAGTCTTACATTACTTCCACAGATATCCATTGATCGAAGAGTCTTTCTTTTCCCAGAGATTTGTAGCACTTTCTTTCAGAGTGATGCTATTTACAGATTACCTACCTTGACAGTCCTTCCATACGGATTACCCCACAGACCAAGTTTATGCACCTGCGCACCAAAAATACTAGTAAAACAACATGGCCACTTTCTGCCTCGATGATTTACAGAAAGTTCAATTTCATCAATAATTATGATATATATTAAAATTCTTTTTACATGCATAGAATCGCTCAATTGAATCTAATTGATCAGTGTCTTTTTTTTTGTATAGTGCGACCGTATCTCATTAAGTTATTATAAAAATAATCTGCAAATAAGAAAAGTAATCTGTAAATAGTGTCATGTAATCTGTATATAAGGCCAACTAATCTGTAAATAGCAACACGTATACTACATTTCCCAGCCAATACACAGTATTTTATAATGGTTACTTATATCATCACAATCCTTATGATGAGGCGCATCTAATGGTGTTAAAATTGTATAGGTGGGACACGTTGTAAGGAAGATATTACTGAGTGACGAGCCCTTAGAGCCTCATATTACGTAAGAAGCCTTGAATGGCCTTGAATAGGGGCCTCGAATTACATAGGGACCTGGCAGCGCCTGTAGCGCCTGGCATGCTGGGTCTAGCGCATTAATTACGAGCGTTCTGGGAAGGTTAATGGGGCAGAATGGGGCCATGTCATTTTACTATTAATTTTGGTTGCCGGGTACTTACACCTGTTCTGTGGGGTAATCCGTATCTGTCAAGGTAATCTGTAAATATGTCGCACAGGAGATAGCCGTCGGCACGGCTCACGTGACACATGTGGCATAGCCATCACCACAGCTATATGCACAGTAGTCATAGCTATTAGGTAATCAGGTTAGATATATAAGGGATGCGCTGCGCGCATCCCTACCTTAGAAAAGACAGACCTTTCTTACCCACTTATGTTGCCTATATATACCATGCTCCCTCATGACTCTCAACAAAATAGCATCACTTTTCTTTCAAAGCACCTAAGGTTAAGGTATGTCCATGACTCACGATAGCGACGTGGACCACCTGCCAACAAGTGTACCTAAGATAAACAAACTTCAACGGTTTTCTAGACACGTACCTACGCACGGTGAGAAATAAAACGTTCTAAAGTATTAAACTAGTGAATCACGGTCAATGCTGGCCATTTGACTCAGAATGCGTGGAAGCCACGTCAAAGAAACGCGTGAGTAGGCCGACGTGCGAGTAACACTGTGGTGAGTTGGGTACCTTAAGGTCAGGAAGTAGGTCCTTAATCAGGTACATAACAAAATATCCTCACGTCTTATCGCGTCACTACGATTTGAACTTCCACCTGGATATCTGAAGACCTTTAGCGGCGACCTGCTAGCGTCATTTTGTTTTGAGGTTATTAATTGGTTGTTTTTAAAAACTTCCCTCCGCCGACCTTACTGTCCAAGGTCTACTCTTCAACATACTCCAAACTTGCAGTGCAAATTACTTATCTGTTATATCATTTTCTAACTATCGGAACACGATATATTGGAAGAACCTTTCTACTAGAAAGATGCCTTCTCGCCAATTACATCTCGGCGCTTCTAAAACAGGATTCCTCGAGATCGTGGATTTACCACGGCCTGGATCCCCTTTCGATATACTTCCAGATGAATTACTCCTCGCTATTGTAGAGTTTGCGGCTCGCAATGATGGATACAGCTATAGCAACTGTTGCTCCGGTGGCCGAGATTACCCAACTATCGTGGCGTTAACGAAGGTTTGCCGCCGTTTAAACGGTTTAGCGACACCATTCCTTTACAATTGGGTCGATTTCAACTTCTCTTCTACCTTGGACTACAATTCTCTACATCATCGTGCCTTGTTACCTCGTCGACAAGACTGCAGACAACTAAATATCACTCTCAACTATCCTCGCCTTCTGCAAGAGGAGCACGTCATTGCTGCAATGGACTTCTTCACGGGCTTCAACCGAGTAAGATGCCTGATAATCGAGGAAGGGTTTAATGACTGGCGTCATAGTGCGACATGGGAACTAATTGACGAAGTTTTGATGCATATGCCAGATTTAAAGCATTTCACACTCAGAAAGAATATTCGGAGCCGTTTATACCCCAACCTTCTACTATCGTCTCTAATGAAAAACACTACCGTTTCGAGACTTGAGACCTTGAAATTTTCGGGAGAAGGAAATTGGGGATTAACACAACGTCTTGCCAACCGAGATAAGATGGCTACTCTGAGAAATCTTAACCTACAAAACTTCGACAAAGATGGCGGATCTATAGAACGTTTGATCAGATGGTCTAAACAGCTTCGGTCTTTCTCTCTTTCGCACAGCTTCTGCGATGACAAACAAGACTATATGGATCTAACCATGCTCGGCACGTGGCTTTCATCTCAAACCGAGACACTTGAGGAAATAGATATCGGTATTCTGTCGTCTTCGGCTAGCGGTAAGATCTTTGACTTGTCCCAATATCGGGCATTAAAGTTCCTTCGGCTTTCCAGATATTCCTTCTCGCCTGATCTGGAATCTTGCGAAAGCGACGCGAACCTGATACTCTCACCGGGGCTTCAAGATTTCTGTTGGAATTTCATGCGTCCTTCTCCCCATTCTGCGCCACGCGGTGATGAATTCGGAGAAAAGGAAGAGCAATGGCTGCAGAAATTTGTGGATATAGCAGTGTCAAAGTCATCACCACTCAAGACGATATTCCTTGACTTTGATGTCGAGTTTCATAACTGGTGGACATGGCCTTCGGGTCATTTGACCAGATTGAATGAATATTGCCGTCAGTTCGGCATTACTCTCCATTATAAGGAACCTTATTTCGAACCACGGATTGAGAGTGAGTGGATGAGGACACGCCCCGCGGAACCCCACGAATACGGCGTAAGAGACATTAGGGAATACTTCTTGCCGCTCTCCTGCACCTCCCATAATACTCTATAGCGCTATAATTGCGAACTCCTTCAGGCGGCGCCAAAAGCACAATGCTGACGCCCAATATAGCAATGGGAGGCGGACAATCCTTTAGTTTAGGGCGAATCTAGTGGCTAGATTCTAGCCACTAGTAGATATACATCATTGAGGTAGATTTACAGAGACTGAATTCCACGATTCCCCTCAACCTACAATGACTACTAGGTATTGCTGATATTACCAATTTGACGTTGTTATACTCTTACGTTTCCAGTTTGATAACACAGGGTGACTCATACTGTTCTGACCTTATTTCTGACAGGTAACATCGGCTGCTTGGCAACTAGGAAAGTCAGCATGAAATGCAGCCAAGAGCCATAATCATGTAAGAGCTAATATATCACGCATTTCAAATGCCGCCTATAGATAAGGTATTCTCCACAGCATGCGGCTCTATATAATGTAATGCTGTGTCTTACTCTAGGCTCTTGAGCCGGCGAATCCCATTCTCCAAGGACATCGGCTAGGTCGCAATGATGTCCCTTAAATTTCTAGCACTCAATGCCGTAGCATCATTTGTTGTAGGATCTTCCGTGTCTTTCCCTAGGGGCTTCCCCATTTCCGTGAGGGAGGACAGACCGTTCAATGCGAGTCTCCCTAATGTGACCATTTTCGCGACTGGCGGTACGATTGCAGGAAGCGCGAGCTCCAGCGACCAAACTTCTGGGTATAAGCCCGGCGTGCTTGGCGTCGATATTCTAATCGATGCCGTGCCGCAGCTGCGGAACGTATCCAATGTCCGCGGGGTCCAAGTAACAAATGTCCCATCGTCGGGTATCACGCCCGAGATTCTTCTCAATATAACACGACAGATACAGCAAGAGCTCGACAGCCCGAGCTGCCAGGGTGTCGTAGTGACACACGGCACCGACACGCTCGAGGAAACCGCCTTCTTCCTCGACCTAACGCTGCGCTCCGAAAAACCGGTCGTCATCGTCGGCGCCATGCGCCCCGCAACAGCCATAAGCGCTGACGGGCCAATTAATCTCCTCGAAGCCGTAACCCTAGCCGCACACTCAGGCGCCCGAGGCCGGGGCGCAATGATTGTGCTGAACGACCGCATCGCAAGTGCGTTCTTTACAACCAAGAGCAACGCGAATTCCCTAGACACATTCAGAGCCGCTGAGCAGGGATTCCTGGGCTTCTTCTATAATATCAAGCCCAAGTTTTACTTCACGCCTGCGCTGCCGCGCGGGAAGCCGTATTTTGACGTCGGGAATGCGACGAACCTTCCACAGGTTGATATCCTGTTCGGCCATCAGGGACTTAACCCCACTTTGGCATCTGCAGCTGTTGCGAGTGGTGCTAGGGGTCTTGTGCTTGCTGGCATGGGAGCGGGAGCATGGACTTTGGAGGGGTTGAATGTTATTAACGATGCCATAGAGAAGAGTGGCACAATTGTGGTTGACTCGCGACGATCGATGGACGGTTACGTCCCGCCGTATGGCGCTGGTGGATATGGAGGTGGTCTTCTGAATCCTCAAAAGGCGCGCATTATGCTGCAATTAGCGTTGAATGCCAGATATACGAGTGATCAGATGCAGAGTCTGTTCGAGTTTGATGGATAGACTATGAAGTGATATCAGTTTCAAACGACGTCGCAGTATATTCTACAGCGATTAGGAATTAGTTTTGCTATTCATAATTCAGCTCTTATTAAGGTCTAGTTGCTGAAGCCCATGCTCATCTAGCATTATATTAAAAGACAGATTCAAACCCCACTAGTATTGCGACGAGTGATAATAGTAAACCGAAGAAAGCTGAAGCGCGCATGGCTGCCATACTCGCCCCCTGGGATTTATCATCGTTGGCTGTGCCAGGAGAAATATTGCTTGCTGAGTTCGGGTCGATTGTGAATGTTCGTTTCGCTGCAGGTGCTAGGGAGTTATTGGCAAAATCCGAAGACCTCCAATCAGACCAGTCGTGTGTCAATAAGCCCCTAATGAAATTTGATTGTTAGATTGATGCCCTCACATTTCGAGAGCAATGCTGAAAGAAGTTATGAAACTCACCAGCTTTCATCGTGATCCTGATTTCCTTCGCGGATGTAATAACTTCCCCCTATTTCCCAAATCATCCAACCGGCATTCGCTGAAGGTACGTAATCCAGGAGACACGAGATGTATGGGTCTTGCGCCGATGTGCCGTTCTGCACGAGGCCGAACTCCGTTAGGACAACTGGGAATTGGTTCTCAGCTTCGTCTGTCAAGGCCTTGAATCCGGCATTAAATAATTTAACTTGGACCGCAGTACAGTTGCTAGGCCCAGGTCCGAGAATGTTGTCGTATGCGTGTAGTTCGAGAACCAGTTTATTCGCGAAACCTGAGAAATCGTCTTTATTAAACGTAGCCGATCCGGGCGTAAGTGCTGTTCCGTTAACTACGGGGCTTAAATCTAGATCTGAATCTAGACCCGAGAGGAAAATCAGGACGTCTTCATTGGCTTTATGAATAGCACTCGATCCCTGTTTGATGTAAGTATACCAGCGTTCCCAGCTGTAGGAAGTGCTAGCAAGTGTGAGGTTATTTAGGGGTATGCGAAGCTCATTTCGCAGAGACATGGACGTAAGGCTTGGCCATGTTTTCCCCTAGTCGATATTAGCAATACGATTCATCGTTGACGAAAGTGCAGCTGTACAGACATGAGTTGCCATGAAAGATAGGCCTCGGGTCCAGTTTTCAATGTTAAAGAATTCGTCGCCCCACCAGGAATTCCCATCAAGGGGGCTGCAACACCAGCCAGCTTTTGAAATATGGTTATCTAAATGGACATAGATCTCTTGTTTCGCACACTCAGCCGCAATAGCGTCATAAACCTTTGGATATTCTATTAGCTTTGAGAATTTAGTGTGCGACTTGATACATGTTAACTAACCTGTAACCGCGTCGTATTTGCATTAAAAGGCGGGTTATTGGCAATGATCTTATCGTACACTGCCTTTCCACCATCTTGTCCCAAAGCATCGGTGAGGGCTTTCTGAATTGTTACATCGGTCTCCCCATTATCATAATATTGATCTATCATCTCAGTGGCATATGTGAGCCGGATGGTGTTCATGCCTAGACTCTTGACCCGGGAGATGACTGATGCAACGGACTGGTATTGTAGACCTTCCGGGATCATGGTGTCGAGCGATCCCGGCCAGTTGACGCCAACATAGGTGATGGTTGAGCCGGCGGCATCATGGATCCACCGGCCCGAAGTAACGAACGGTCCGTTCGGCCAAGTCGCACGCGGCGTATTTGATGAAGCGAATACTCCAGCGATAGCCAGACAGGCGGGTAGCCAGTACCTCCATACATGATTTATCATTTTAAACGAATGTTAGTGGAGTTTAAGTTGAAAAGTTCAAGACCGTAGCTAGGTAGTTATTATGTTTCCAGGCCAGACTTTTGATTTATCATAACCAACACGAGCATTTTAGCGGGTGCATAATCGTTTCATCGGCACCGTTTCGTATTTATAGCCAAGAAAGGTTACATGCCAAGCCGATCGCTCAACGAAACCATCTTCATTGGATGATAGTTTCCGATCTGTAGTGGGGATAAGCGTAGGCGTATCGAACAGTCAAAGATCTGCTAACTTTAGATGCTCGGACGACGTGGAATTCGTATTGCCCTTTATCATCTTCATTAGGTAGGTACAGATGTATCATCAAGCTTGAATAATTGTTAAACTGGTTTTATGTCAACTCAGATTTTTGATTTAAGATGCGAAGTTTATAACGATACTTCTCATGTTAGCGTTAATTTAACACTCCAGCACGTGCGCATAGGTACCTACAGCATGTAAATCAGCTTACCTAATACAAAAGATTTGTATCTAAGGTAAGGGTAAGGGACCCGTCACGTTTTCCAACCCAAACTCATTTCTCCACCTTCTTTTCTTCATTCTTGTTGACATATTCGTCCCATTCCTCGCGGGTTTATACCCGTCGCTTGAATTCTCTTCATTATGAATGAGGGATTTTTAGTTTATTAGCGAGTCTTATGGCCGATGAAAAGAGCCAGTGTTGGTATCGAAGATTGTGATCCGTTTCGTCAAACACCTTAGGTACCTACATACCTACCAGGTATGGACGCCAGTGTGGCTCTGAATGAGCGCCGTCTTCCATAACATGTTTAAATATCGTACCAACGTAAAAATGCGCCAACGGCATCGATATTTTCCATTCGCTATTTGCAACTCGCACTGCTCGGTTATCCGTACAGTCGCGCGCCGTATACAAGAAACCGATTAGGGAGTCTGATGGCTAACTCCAGGCCGAGCTTACAAGGAAACGGTGTTTCTACTCGTTGTGGATTAATCCTATCAACTTAGAGAGTATATATTCCATAGGTTTCGAGCATGCGAGCGAATTTATAAGCCAGTCGAAGCTTGAATTGTAGTTCAAGGTGGCCATCCCATATCGAAATTAAGCAGATCCGGAACCTCGGTTGGTGTGGGGAACGTGGTATAGTCAAATTGCGATATGGTTGAGGGATCTGTCATCTCTAGCAAATATTTTTGGCTAGAGGTCGTTGAGATATCTGCTAATAGTTCTGCAGGTGCGCCTACGACGGATTGGCTGTCATGTTCTGCTATAACTCCGCTTAGAGTTGTATCCACCCGATCTTCGAGACCTGTCGCCTGGCTGAAGATATTAACTGCGTGTGGGTTTTTGTATCCACATACTTCTTCATCTTTTCTGAGATCACGGCACTCATCTTCTAATGAGTTACTGATCTTCTTCCTTTTATCTGCTGCTTGCTGGTGACTGCTTTGCATCGCAATACCTGAGTCTAATGTTGGCGATGAACGAAGACTATGAGAAGCGCTGGCTGGCTCGAGGGCTTTCGCATTATCGCTCATCCACTGATCGATGATAAGTTGCAATCCATCTCCCAACACCTCCTTCTTAAAAGTATCTAGATCCCTTTCTTCGCGCGGGAGATTCCAGGTCACTACTCCCCTCGCTTCTAGAAATTCGGCCAAAAGAACCGGTCCTCGGGCTGTCATAAAATCCTGGAAAACGCATAAGTCGTCGGAGAGCTCTCGGTCGCGGTAAGGTGTTCTTGGACGCGGGTGTGGGGAGAAGATAATGTCAAAGACTGCAAACCATTGCTGCTCCTCTGGCATCTTAGACGACACCCTCTGGCTGAGTTCCCTTTTTTGCTTCTCCGAGATACCTTCCATTATGGCGGAAGGTCGCGGCGTACAACTCCTCAGCCCAATATGCAAATCCCTCTCGTCTTCATCCTTAAATGTATCGTTACAAATTGGGCAGTGTATCGGTTTGCGATGGCATCGCGTTACGTGCTGTTTAACATCACGAACCCTGGCCAGGAAGTATCTATAACAGTCCCTATAGCGGACCGGGTCCTTCTTGGCATAAGGGCAAGCTAGCCATAGTCGGCGATCCTGTGCTCGTCGCTTGGTAAAACTTCTCTGACTTTGCTTTTCTCCGGCAATGGTTGAGGCACAGTCCGACAAGCGATTACGTTTGCGCGGCCGGTCATCCTCACGCTCATGTTCAACCAATTCAAATGGAGTTTCGGTGCTGTCGATTACTAAGGCGCTTTCATCCTGCTGACGCCCCCACGGGTCCTTATAAGCCGTCATGACCACTTGTAGGAACGAATCCTTCCACCGAAATAACGGGTGTTCCTCTTCAATTGGTGGCGTATCTGCGGAATAGGTTGAATTTGGTGTTTCAGAGTCGTCTGGTTCCCATAAGAATGTAATGTCGTATCCAGAACGTCCCATCGTCTTGTGACAACGAGAAAAACTTGATGAAGCACTTCTCGCTAAGATGAGGCCATGCTTTGCGAGCCATCAAACCATCCCATGCAACGAGATCCGCATAAGACTGACCTAGTTCAGTAGTAAATTCATCCTACATAACCTAGAGCGGACAATGTCGGGTTTTGTGGCGACGAAGTTTCGGGGAAACACCGATTCAACCAAGTCTACCTACCTACGTATGCTAGACGCGGCTGGCCATTTTGTCCATGCGGCTCAGCATGTATATATGCGCGCAGAGCACCGTAGTGCTCTTATGCAAGTTTGTGCTTGTGACTCGGATCTTGGCTCGTCGTTATTGGATAGCATCTCGTTCGCTCCGCATTAGCATGGTTGCCTTATAACGGGACCGGCCGCATTACACGTCCGTAATTCGAGCCGCGCTCCATCTTTCCGACGGAGGCGCGGTTTAGTTCTATGTTCCCCGCATCTCTTCTTCTCCATCATGCCCGTCCCGTCCTAAGACCCAAGTGACGGGGCACGTCGAGTTGCGGCCACGCTAGACTACCCCGGACGCACCGTCTACTATAATAGGGAACAAAATAAAAATTCAGGCTAATAGTGAAAGTACCTTTCAGGCCTCACGGCATTATTTCATCTTAATATTGTTATAAGAGCGAGCTAACGGTAAATAAGTAAGTTAAACGATTGTCTAAATTGACTAGAGCCTTTGAATTTACAATCCTCGCATCTTCTTGCCGTTTAGCACAGATCGCGAAATACCATAAATGCCTTGCCATAACCAGTTCGCAGCCTGGTGTCTTAATGCAGGGTAACATGAGCGGAGAATATTCTCCAATCGCTGAAATGTCGAATTTGCCACACGAGGCAGACGAGGGTAGCTTCATACTTGAGGTACCTAGCTGACGTTCAATGAAGCGTGCGTGAGTACGGTAGTCAACACTAATAGGTTTTTCTTCACTTTATTAATATTTTATTAATCGGATACCAACGTAAAGCAACCTTTCACTGCCATTTCTATCTGCCATTTCGTCATATAAGATGAATCTCTTCATAATTTCCTACGCCCCCAGCCTACCGAATTAGTTGCATATAATTGGCCATTTTTACGATATCTTCTTCCCCCTGAATATGGTTGCAGGTCCAGGTCTGATGATTTTATGCATGTGCACAGCCTACCAAGGCTGAATCCTGCCAAATCAAAAGTTTTTGCTCACTTCCTCGGCCTGGATTTTCGAACATACCTATCTTATACACTATTATCTTATCCATCAACAACTTCACTGCGTCAGATATTAGATCTCATTAGGTACATCATTAAGCGTCTATCAACATGCAGTCTTCCACTCCGCGCGTAAATTACGCTACGGGGGATTCGCACGTTCCAACGTATATGGACAACGCCAAGAGCCTCTCTTCCGCAATGGCGAGGTCAAACGAATCGCCTGGAAGAGTCGCCGGGACAAGCAGTCGTTCCCGTCTTGCGGAAGACCGGGAACCGCTCCTTGGGTACCCTGATGAGCGCCATTCGCCCTCGGAAGGAAACCCCGCAGCCGAGCCTCTTCGTAAGAGAGCCTGCGTAGTCGGCTTGGCTATTATTGTTTTTTGTCGGCTTTTCAACACCATATTTGCCGCTTGCACGATAGACAAGGCGATCAAGGTGATCGGTGAGGGATGGAACTACTGGATCAACAAGTTCCTCTTTGGCATCTGTTTGGTTATCCCAATCTGGAATATCTTCGCTCTTACCACGAGTATTGTCAACTGCCCGTTTTTCTCGATCTTTGGTCGCAAAAGAGAGGAGTCCGTGAGTAGCTTCAGAGGTAGGCTACGCATCCGGTTCGCTTGTTATGACGCAGTTTTGGGCCTGATTACTCTGGGTCTGCTCCCCATCGCGTGTTACGCTATAAGCTCTCATTGGGGAGAGAGGTTCGTAGGGCTTAGACCGCCAATTATGGCGATGGTGTCGGTCCTTGTGTAAGTTCGTTCCTTTATATTATCCAGGTACTATACAATTGTAGTATTATGTGTGGTTCTAATATAATGAGCTAGTGGTGCGGAATTATTTACGGCAATGATCCAGCTACAACAATGATCCAACCTTTCGGAAGTGGTAAGATATGTTATAGCAAGATATTGTTATATGGAGAGAGCGGCATTAGCCAAGCTAAACCGGGGAACACTATCCGATGCCAAACTCGTGTGGCAAGGGACCAACTATAATAGTCCGAGTCACGTTCTCTCGGATAGCAACTGGGGTGGTCAAACTCGAAGTCAGACGCCGGTTATGTAATACTACGTGCGTTAAGACAAAGCAATCGAGTTACAGCATTTAGAACTCGTGGTTAAACGATTGGCTCATGCAAGACCGAAGTCCTAGCAAAGTCTAAGACACTAGCGCGACCGAGGGCATTACATACATATGTACAGATAAGTATGTTGCTTCAAGGGAAAGTTACACATTATGTGTATAGGTTTTATACATAGAGAGAAATATCAATCCGGAACTTGGCTTAAGTATTTAAATACTACGCAGGTATCCAAGTAGGAATCGGTAACTTTCAATAATAATAACTATAATAGTAAAAGTCATAAAAAGTCAAAATGACCTTTTCCTCAATATGTATCCTTAAATATGTCTAATGACCTCAATGACATCAGATGAGATACAGGGGAGGTACTTTAGGTAAATCCTCATTCCGTTAGCTCCGAATGAATGAAACCTGGGGCCTTGTGTGACGATACCATTGATACAAGGTGCCCTGAAAGCTTATCTGAATTGTCCGATATGTTGTTTGGGAAAGCACTATAAAATACAGTGGACTACCGTGTTATCCAGGTACCAGCATGCGTACTCCGTTATCCGTTATCGATCGCACTAACGTCAACCACCTACAGGTAATTCATTGATGTAACCTAGGTAGGTAGGTACCTAAACGCTAAAAACCAGGGCTGGTGCAAGTCAAGCCAACCAGACCAACTTTACCAACCTTGAGCCTACCCACTTTCAAGACCCTCAACTTTCTTCTTTCACTACATTCGCTACGCTTACGTATTGTACACTACATACCTACATAAATAATCTCTCCCCTCAAACCACCAAGAGGTGTGTCATCGCCATCCAGATATCCAATCCATATCACCAGGCCAAACTTGCGAGCTGGTCATCCCAGCGATTCCCAGCCGGGGTAACTCAGCCGCCACGAAGTATAGGGGTTTGTTGTATTCTATCTTGATATCTATCTCTTCGATAAGAATCCTTCTAGATCAAGTTATTATCAAGTCATTTTTAATCGCATCCCATCCCACCAAGAGTTACAAGAGTTATCCCACCAAAAGTTATCATCATGGCTACAGCTCCTCCACCCACCGCACACCTCGATGAGGATGTTCCTCAAAATGAAGGGTCTAAATTAAAGACCTTTATCTCTATCCTACGAAAGTAAGTAAATTCTTGAATACCTCCTCTCATCTTTGCTTCCCCTGAAGCAAAAGGGGAGAAGGGGAAGGGGAAGGCAAACTCACCGCCACCGACGGTATCCATCCGTAATCGGAGCCACTTCGAGATACAACAATATCACAATACGCGTTTTCATTCCTTATTAATAGATTTTGCTAACGTCACCTCCGCGTCCTAGGTTCATAGGTGTTGCAGATCTTGCGGCCGTGCGATTCTCTCTTCCGTCCCAGCTCCTCGAACCGACACCCAACCTGGAATACTGGAACTACCTCGACAGTCCCAGTGCGTTTGCCGCGATAGGTACATCCGACGAACCGCTAGATCGTATGCTCGAAGTACTACGCTTCTGGTTTACCAAGGATTTAAAATATGTCAAAGGCAAACCATGCAAACCGTATAATTCTTGCTTGGGTGAATTTTTCCGATGTAACTGGGAAGCGGAAGATAATGCGCCACGGATCGATACCAAAAGTTTGATAGCTGCTACCAGCGGCAATGCCAGTAGTGCATCTTCGGTCAAGTCATCCAAGGCTAATGGCGACCCACGAACAGCATCTACCGTATCTGTTGTCCAGACTACACCTAATCCGTCCGGACCTATCGTTCGGATATCATACTTGACTGAGCAAACCTCTCATCACCCACCCGTCAGCGCTTTTTACGTCAGCTGTCCCGAGAAAGGATTACATGCCAAGGGTTTCGATCAGATCAGCGCGAAGTTCACCGGTACTACTATCAAAGTGTCCCCAGGCGAGCACAATCTGGGCATTTTCATTACTCTCGAGCGGAGGGATAATGAAACATATCAGCTAAAACATCCAGCTGCACATCTGGGGGGAATTTTTCGGGGCTCTCTGAGCGTGAGTGTTGGTGATTTCGCCTACATAACCTGCCCTCGGACAAAATTAAAAACGATCCTTCATTACATCGAGGATGGTTGGCTTGGCCGGGCGCAAAACAGGATGGAAGGCGTCATCTTCAGATATGACCCGGATAAGGACGACAAGACACGCATCAAGGATGTACCTGACTCGGACGTGGTTGCGAGACTAGGTGGTGCGTGGAAAGATAAAATCGTCTTCACTCTCGGCCCCAAGCCTGTGGTAAGTTTGCAGAAGATATTCTCTTCCATTCCCTCCCCTTCGTTCTAGCAGCGAGATATTGACAGTTTCTATTCTAGGACTCACACCCTCCGGAGAAGCAAATAACTATCATTGACCTTAACCCGCTCACCGTAGCTCCCAAAGTTATACCACCGAAAGAGAAACAGGCCGAGAATGAGTCCTTGATGTTATGGGACGGCGTGACTCAGGCTATAATGGCGAAGCAATTTTCAAAAGCTACTAACGTCAAGGTAGAACTCGAGGAAAAGCAGCGAGAGAAAGCTAGAGAACGTGAGCGCAAGAACGAAACCTGGAAACCGGTGTTCTTCGATCAAGTTACGGATAAACGGGGGACGCCTGACCTCACGGAGAAGGGCCGCCAAGTGCTCGAAAGAGCACAGAAGGAAGACTGGAGTTTGGAAGGGATTATCTAGAGCGGGCAGCATCCTTCAAGGTTAGAAACATAGCGGCCGGATAGGACCATCGAGGTCCTACATTGCATAATAGTCCTTGGGTTACGATACGGCATCATTGCTTTTTGGATGGCTTCGCTTACATATATACGCGCATACATTTACCAACCATGGGGATAAGGCATAGCGGCTTTGGCCAAAGCCGCACGTGGAGTTTTGTGCATTCGTTTAATATCTGGTTCTTGTTTTTGTTTTTTCGGGTAGACACAGATTCGAGTTTAAGCGGTGTTCAGGAGCATGTAGAAGCTGATAGATAGGTCTTCCTCGGAAGTTTTTCTTTTCATCAAGACTCTACCATTTCGCTGAGGCATACTCAGCACAAACCTTCGTTTTTTCATTATACGGATTCCAAGGAACCTTGAACATATGGTAACCTTTTATCAGAGGTTTATATTATCTTATCTGACTTTTCACTTCTACCTTATTTCGAAATTTACCAGTTGCAGCTTATCTACTGTAACTTCGGAGGCCAAGAAGAAATATATTGGGAGATTTAATACCTTGAGTTCGGACGAGTACAATCATAACCATGTACCTTAATCATATCTAAGTATACACCTAGGGTTTAATATCACTGAGTTCTATGATACATAGTATCCTCTGACATGATATTTACTGGTGGACTTCAGCCTCCGTCATACCTCGAACCTACAGATCCGTGGTGACCGTGATCTCTTCCCCAAGCGCCAAGTCCTCCAAAAATTTATCATTAGCCTTTCTTATACGCTCCAGAGCGTCCCGACCGAGGACGAGCCTCAATACTTTACCCTTCAAATATCCCGCCAACCCTTCGCCTGTCAACGTCTCATAGATACGATCCACGCCCTTCTGGGGGTCACCAGGCTGCTTGCCGCTTTTGGTCAGCAAGACATCCCGGACCCGTGCGACGGCTGTGCCCTCGTAATCCTCAGGAAGTGGTGTCCCAGATTGGTTCAAAGCGGCAAGGAAGTTGGTCCGGAAAGAGCCCGGCTCGACAATCAGGACGGACACGCCAAACTCGGCTACCTCGGCTGCTAGAGACTCGGACATGGCCTCTAGCGCCGCCTTGCTTGCTGAGTATAGCCCGGTTGTCGGCACGTATTCCTTGGCGGCCAAGCTGCTCATGCTGACGATTACGCCGGAACGCCGTGCCCGCATGCCCTCTAGCGCTGCTTGTATCACGTACAGCGGCCCGAAGAAGTTGGTTTGTAGTTGGAGCTGGGCTTCTTTCTCACTGGGTGGCGTCAGTTTTGATTATTGGGTACGGTAGTTATAAGTGCAGATGGTATTTCTTACCTTATCTGCTCGACGGCACCAAGGACGAGGAAGCCCGCATTGTTGACCAAGTAGTCGATTTGCCCGACCGCTTTGACTTTCTCGGTGATGCTCTCCCGAGACTCGTTCAGATCCAGCTCGATGACTTGACCTCCTGCCGATTCGATCTGTCTCACTGCATCCCCGGACTTGGCTTTGCTACGCACCGTTCCTATGACACGGTGGTTGGCCTTGAGGGCTTTGAGACAAAGTAACAGGCCAAAGCCATTGGATGCTCCTGTAATGAACCAAACAGACATTGTGGGATTTTATGAGGTTAAATTGAATTGTTGAGATCTTAAACTCGCCTATAGAACCCTAATCCTCCTCTCCCTTATATACAGATCAAACAGCCACTAACATAGTTGCTATGCCACAATACCAGCTCCTTAAAGCAGTCTGTCCGTCTGAACCATCGTCAGGAAGCACGAAATATCCAAATGCAGCGTTTTTCCAACCAACACGAAGATCTGAAATCGGATCTTGCTATAGAAATCCGAACGTCGTTGGCTTTTCGCGGATTTAGGTTATACTCCTACTATATAACAACTTGGCCTTCATCTGATCCGTAGGTGATAGAAGTCGTTTACGGTGGTAAAATCCGATTTCTAAAGCTGGGTTATCGGCGATGCCGACTTATCCCCGACGGCGCAGAACTTGGCGTTAGTAGGTATTGTGGAAAGTTGAAGCAATATATGGGCGCGGAGTTAGTGCCACGCGATTGCATGAAGAAACGAGATTCGCTCTTATAGCCTTTTAACTCCGTGGAAGAAGATATACAAGTATATAACTAATTTATGAGTGCGGAACTACATTCTCATCGGCGAGTAAAAGAAACATAGCCCCAGTTACCTGCGGAAGACGTCTTGTTGAGACCTGGGACAGAACTTAAGAGAAGCTCGATGGTGACTAGTTAAATAATATTTCTTTTAACGGATTTATATGAACTAATGTGTTCAGGCTACCTCTCGAACGTGGGCTTAACTCACGAACGCCATATTTCTTGCTTTGAGTGACCATGATGGCCGTACCCCTGAATAGTACCCCTGAATACTTCTTAGCACTAACTGACCTGAAAGGGGCCTGCCTACCGACGCTTCTTATTCTAGTCGGGCTCACGACAGCCGGGGCGATAAACTGCTAGCCTACTAAGGCTGTGGTGCGTAACCGGATAGTGGCGTGTCGCCCGAGAAGATGATTTTCTATGCGGAAGAGAAACGGCACTAGGTAGTTCCATGCATCACCGCGAGGGGAAAAGCATGTCCAATGCCGAGCCTCAGGGAGGTTTCAGGGTAATCTACGGGGACATGACTCTGTTCAAGGATGAGAGGCGTGTCATATAAATACACGCTGGATGGATTCGATATCCAATGAACGCTCTGCGCACGTATAGCAGGATATATCATTCTGCCCAGAACTGCTGTGCCTTCGGTAAACTCGGTAACGCCAAGGTAATTGTCTTGGCCATCTTAGCCGCAGACGGTAACATAGCATTGGGAATAGTTAAGGTTGCATCAACGAGGACGGCCATGGCTGTACTCGCCGTGCAGAACAGCGTTAAAATAGATGACCCATCCCCACTCAAGTAAAATAATATACATACACATTTTACGATATAATTCTTTAATTAAATTAAAAGATAAGAAATTTTAAAAATTCTTATATTAAATTAAGTTAATTAAATATCATATTATATAAATTTTATTTAACTTTTATAAAAGTTAATAAAGTTATTTAAGTTAAAATAAAAGATTAAAGTTAAAAAATTAAATAAGTCATTTATTTTAACGTTGTTTTACCGTGTAATAACTTTAAAAACATAGTAAAAATCGATTAAAAACATAATAACATTTACTTTTACGTAAAATAACTTTTAAAGCTTTTGTTTACTTAATTTTTATTAAAATTAATTTAATTTTTTAATAAATATATAATTTTATTTAATTATATTATAAAACTACTTTATTACCATTTAAATAAACTTAAATTATACGCGTTTATTTTAAAGTTATTATTACTTTTTAAATTAATAATACGTAAATAATTTAATATGTAAATAATTTAAAATTATATCGTTTATTTAATTAAAATTAATAACTTTTTTAAAACTTTATACGGTTATATTATTAATTAAAACTTTAATTTAATATATAAAACTTTAAATTAACATTATTAATTTAACTTTTTTAACTTTAAATCGTTTAATTTCTTTAATTAAATTTTTAATTTTTAACCGTAAAAAAGTTTTAAAAAAGTTTTTAAAAAAGTTTTTAAAAAAAAAAACGCCGTTATTTTTATACAATTTATAATTACCGTTTAATTTATATAAAAAAGTTAATAAAATTTTTTATAACGTTATAAATTATTAAAGATTTAATATATTTATTATTAAAAGCGTAAAAATAAAAATTAAAAATAAAAAAATTAATTTTATTTATTATTATTAATATATATATAATCGGTTAAAATAATAAATTAATAAAAGTAAAAATAAACGTTAATAAAATTTATTTAAATATAATTATTTATATAAAACTATAATATTATATTATAAAATAATTAACGTTTAATTTATTATTATTAAAAATATTATTTATAATTATAAATTATATTTTATTATAATTAACGTTAAATATTAACGATTATAAAAAATAAATATTACTTTAAAACAACCGTTTTATAATTATTAAAAATAAACTTTTTAATTAATAATAAAATCATTTATTATTTATTAAATAATAATTTTAAATTTAAGTAATTTAAATTTTAAATAAAATTTACATTTAAAATTAATTTTAATAACCTTTTTAATTTAAATTTTAATAACGATAAATTATATATAATAATTTATAATTAAAATATTATAATTATATTTTATAATATTTAAAATATTAAATAATAATTTCGTAAATAAATATAAAAAACATTTACAAATATTTAATTATTAATAAAAACTTAATAATTAAAAAAATAACTTATTTATTTTAAATTTTTAAATAATATATTTATATATAATAATATAATTTTAAAGTTTTATTATTTAATAATATATATAAAATAACGTTAATAACTTTATTTTACTTTTTATATTAATTATATATAATATAAATTAATTAATTTAATATATTATTATTAAATATTATAAATATTATATTATTATATATTAATTTTATATTAATTTTAATTTTATTTTTAATAAATTTAAAATTAAATTTATATAATAATTAAATTATTTAAATAAATAATAAATATAATATAAAATTTAAAAATTTATTATAATATTAAATAATTTTTTTTAAATATTTAAAAAAATTATAAACTTAATGTTTTTATTATTATTATAATAATTATATATATAATATATTATAAAAAACATAATTTATTACATTAATAAAAAATGAATTAAATTAACGATAATAATAAACGATTTATTACTTAAAAACAATAAAAAACATATTATTAATAATAAAATAACTTTAAATAATGACAATTGCTATTGGCACACCCTCGTTTTACTATCGGGGGCTTATTGGTACACCCTGTACAAAAGGTACATCCCCACGAACTATTTTCAATTAAGTCAACTGTACCACATTTCAACACATCAACCATTATAGCCTAGTCAATCCAACAATGCAACATATAAGATTTGTATCGCTAGTTTCGCCTCAATTAAGGCTTTCTAATGATATAAATCTCAATTAAATGCATGCGGTATTTCAAAAGTTATTCGAATGTATAGTCAATTCAACATGGTCAATTCAACATGGTCAATTCAACGTGGCGCGCGACCGCAAAAGAGCCTCCCGCAGAGCCTCATCCAGAGCCTCATCCAAAGCCTCATCCAACGAACAAATCGACAATTATACCATATGTAATTCGTGGAATAAACATATGAGATACACATCATTACAATCGCCTCAATTAGGGCAGTCTAATGATATATAGATCGATCCGGTGCAGGCTTTAGGTGTAAAGTTATTCGAGTATGTGTGGTGGTGGCCGCTCTTGGGGGACCACGTGATACCCTTTTGCGCGGTCGCATCTGTGTTGAATTGAGTATACAATCGAATAGCTTTTGAAATACCGCATGAATTTAATCGAGACCTATAGCATTAGAAAGCTCTAATTGAGGCGAAAACAGCGATATAATACTTATATGTTGCATCGTGGGATTGAATGGGATAGAATGGTTGATGTGTGGTTGAGGTAATAGGAGTTGAAAATGGGTGGGATGTATTTCGATGTATTAAGTGTACCAATAAGCTCCGATAGTAAAATGAGGGTGTGCCAATAGCAATTGTCTAAATAA